GATTACATAGATCGTCCAAAATAATTGATTTAAAAAAATTTACCAAGTTTCATAATTTATTTTAAGAATAAAGGGTTTCGCATTTCTTATCTATTAGGACTAATAGTCAAAATAAAAGTGGGATAATGTCTTTTTCCTTTTTATTGAAATATTAGTGAAGTTCTAATTTATTAGCTTAACAAGTGTATCCCCACTAAATTTTTAATTATTTAGCTATCAAAATATTTAAGCAATAATCAATTATTATATTATTTTTTTTAAAATCCAAGTTAATAACTTAAATAAATTATAGATAAACTAAAAAATTTTTTTCTTGTTTATATTTTTAAGGTATTAAATAAAATTAATAATTAACACATTTTTACATCATTAAAAAATGGAGTCCGTCCTTAATACCATCAAGCATTAACAAATATTTGTCTTTCTCATATAAATATTAATTATAAAAGTAAATTTATGATATTTGATGTTGATTTATGATTTATGGAAAATAATTAATACTAGATCTTAATCAGAAAATAAATACATTTTTTTTGTATTATAAAGTAAATAATAAAAGCAAATTCAGTTTAAAGATACTAAAAAAATAGACTTAATATTTTCATATAAATAAAATTAATTTATGCTCTTACAATTTACAGTATGTCTGTTATGGAATTTAATAGAGCGATTTAAAACTCTTATTTAAAATGATCTGTTTTTTAGTCCATTTTTAAAATTTTTTAATGAAATAAGGTTTTTATCCTTAAAACAGAGAAATGAAATAATAACTCTAAGAGTTTTGATAGTTTTTCTATTTAATTGAAATTCAAAAAACTAATAAAGAAAAACTCATAGTAATTAAATCTTTTTTATCCACAAGTTAGTTTGTTAAGTAGTTTCGTTATAACAATTATTTTTTAAAAATATTTTTTAAATGTGTGCTATGCTCTTATCTATAAACAAGTAATTTTAGTACATCACTGTTTAAAATTCCACCATGCTTACAAAATTAAAATTTTAATAAGTCGTTCGTATTCAGTATTTTGAAGTGGTAATAGAGGGTAAATAAGATATAATTATTTTTTTTATAGTACTTTTTTCTTATTTTTTATTAAAGCATAAATAAATAACTTACTTTGCTTCAAATATGATAAAAAGAATAAAAATAATTTTTAAACATAAATTAATTTTTGGAAATAACTTAAAGTTGTAAAATATATTTAAAATATTGAATTTAAAAATGTGTATTTAAATGAATTGTTGTAAATACTTATTTTATTAATTCTAAATAGAGTAATGAAAATAAAAAACCTTAATTATCTAAAAAATTCAAATAATTAAATCAATTAACAAAATAATATTGAATATTATTATCAAAATAGAATCACAATGAGTATTATGCAGAAGAAAATAAGTGCTTAAATTACAATTAATTAAGAAACTAATAAAAAGTAAATAACATCATAAAGCTAATATTTTTGAACTAGCGAAAGACTATTACTATTATTAAGATTGTTTTTAAAGCTATGTAAAATTAATAAGTCCATTTTCGTTATATAGCCATACATATTAGTAATGTAAAAAAAAAAAAAATTTCTTATTTTTTTTAGTTATTAAGTTTCATTAGATTTTTCTGATTAATCTAAAAATAAAGTATATTAGGCTAATTTTTTTGTATTTTTAAATAATTATATTGAATAAACTCTTTTACTTATTTACTTTTAAAAAGAAGCAGTTTTCATAAAATATTTTTGTGAAAACAAAAAGGATTTAATCATAAGCTAAATATCAGATAGTAGTCATTTAAGATAAAATTTTTATATTCTTTAAGTTTCTATTCTATATTTAACTACTGAAAAGTATTTGGTTCTTTAGCGAGTTCAGAGTAATTTTATTATGAAAAAATAAACTCTATCAATCAATATATATATATATTATCACAAAATTTTTAAATATAAAGCAAGAAAATATTAATTTGTCATTGAAATAGGCATTTTTAAGCTCTGTGATGCAATTAATGAAAATTTTAAAAACACTTTTTTTAAAAACTTCTTCACCAATTAAATTTGCAAAGTTATTGCATTTTTTGAGAATAAACACATGGTCTATCTTAAAATGAGACCTAATAAATAATAACCAAAAAACTAAATATAAAAAATATTCTTATTGATTTCATACATAAGAACCCAAAATATTATGATTTATAGAATTTTAGAATTACTTGAATTCTATCTATTGTTAACTTATTATTTTAAAATTTGTATTAAAATCATTTAAATTTTATTTCTGTAACCTAATTTTTACTTCTTATGTTTGCTTGACCATTTCAAATATACTTTTGATTTTAGTTATTCTATCAGTAAAACACTAATAATATATCAATTTAATTGAATGCAAAAATTTAATAAAAGCAAGCAAGTCTATATTTATTAGTTATATTTAATTACTGTCAATAGAAAATTAGAATTAAAGGAAATAACTAACATCACACAAATTTATATTTTTCGAGGTTGATTCTATACTTTGAATAATATAAAGTTAACAATAAATAATAAGATATAAATTTAAATTTAGACAGTCTTACTTTTATTTAATAATAATAAAGCATTTTGATGTAGTTATTTGAAAATATTTTAGTTTTTTATCTAAATTAATAATATTCATAAAATCTTTGATCTCACTCAACTACTATAGAAATCTTTTTTGCTTTTTTTATATGAAACTAAATAATTTGAATAGTTATTCTTACAGCAACATAATTTTAAAAAGTTAATATAGATAAGATGATCTTCTTTTTGTTATACTTTGCTGTTTTTTAACCAACTTTGAGCTTCGAAAGTAAGATAAAATTCTAAGGCTTTTCCATACTTAGGATGATGTATTAATTTTTGAAGGTCTTTGTTATTATGATTGAAGGATTAAGAAAAATTTTTAGCTAGTTTCCGAGCATTGCTTTGAGAAGCTCCTTTCATTATAAAATCTGTTAGTAAATCATTTATCTTGTCTAGAAGATATGCAAAAAAAGCTTTTGTTATGTTCTTGCATATATTATTTTTAGAAATCTATTCAAATTTCTCTAATAATCTATTATTTTATATGTGTTCTTCTTCTTCTTATAATGATTAGTTAAAGAGAAAGGACATATAATCATTTTGTGATTATGATAACAGGTTTTGTTGGTAATATTAATTATTATCTAAATTTTCGAGCTATTTTTAGCTTTCATCATCATTCAAATTACACTTTAAAACATATTTATCTTTGTAAGTTATCTATGTGAGATCCTTAATGAAGCAGTCTCTTTTAAAATCTTTGAATGACATTTATTAAGTTTATTAAATTTCAATATGATAAGGTGAAAAAGTAAATACTTATTAGGTAGTTTTTTGATAAAAGTAATAATTGGTGAGTATTTGTTAATTTTATTGACAATTAATTAATTACAACTTATGCAAGATAAATTATGCTATTTCATACTTTTTAGTGAGAGGAAAATGTTTAGAGTTAAATATTTAAAGGTAATTAATCTGTATTATTTTCAATAAAAATAATTTAACTTTAATATAAAATCCAAATAAAAAATATAAGATAGATCCCTTCTTTAGTATTTAATAGCATTATTTTAAGCGTTTTTAAAAACAATATATTTATCTATTACCATATTAATATTTTATTTTCTCACATAGTATCATCAATAAATGAGATTCTGAAGTATCCATTAAACATTTTTCTATATCAATTAAGCTTTCAGTAAATCTGTGGTAAGATGAAAAATTTTAAGCTTTCACTAGTGTAAGTGAAATTAAACTAAGATTTTTTTCACCAATTTAAAGAAATAGTAAATTTTATTTATAAATTTGAATAAGATCATTTGTTTATTATAACAATAAGGTTTATTCATGCTTTTTAATCTTAAATTTTGATAATAGAATCATCTTAATAATAAAAAAGAATTTTTTACTCAAAAAAAAAAAATAAAAGACCTAATCAATAGGAATCAATTAATCTAAAAAAAAAACTTTTATACTTAACTTTATTACTTGATTGATATACTTGTAAAGAGTAATTTAATAAATATTTTTTAATAATGTTAATACTTAAACATGAATTTCAATCTTATTTAAATAATATTGATTAAATAATATCTACTCAATTCATCTAAAAATAAATTGTGTAAAATTTAGTATGATAAAGGGATCCATACCTAGCTTTAAAAGCCGTCTTCTATGGTCTATAAAAAAAATATATATTTGATTTTTTTAAATTCAAAAGCTTTTTAGAGTATATTTTCATGGAATATAAATATAAATTAACAGAAATGATAAATTAAATTTTTCATTTTTTTAACTTACATTAAAAAGTTATTTGAAAATTTAAATAAAATTACAAATATCTGATAAATTTTATTTTAGTATTAGTTAATTAAATTCTCTTATGTTTACTAATTTATCTATAGGTGTATTTGATGATTTTTGTTTCAAATCACCTTTGAGATCTTCCATTAATAAATAATCAAAATATTTCTTTGGGGAAAAACACAAAGCACAGCACAAGGATATTAAAAAGAAGATAAAATTTTTTTCTTTATTTAATAAGAATTAAACAAAAAATGTAATCAATAAATATTGATGTAAATTTTATATGGTAAAATTAAAATAAATTTATAATTATTTTTTAAATAGATTCTATCAACGCATAAAATTAAAGCTATGCTTTTCAAATATTTTGTAAATGAGTTAGATACTTTTTAATTATTTCATTATTTTCAATTATGATTAGAAAATATATCAAACTATAATTCAATTAATTTATTTATTGCTAAGATTAAGAATAATAAAATATTGCTTTCATGATTATACTTTTAGAAAAATGAAAAATTTTCTAAACAAGAAGCTAAAAGGTAGCATTCTTATTGGTTGTAGTTTTTTCAAAGTAAAGGTTTGAATTACTTTTTATTTATTAAGATTTAAAGTAGAGGTTTTAGTTATTATTTGATAATCATCTTAACTTTATCATTTTCAAGATGATTATTTAAATTTCTAAATATTATTTTTTATCCATTATTCATTTGTAGTTGGATTAATTTAAGTTATCCAACAATAATGATTTGTCAAAGAAGTTTAGCTTGAGTCTTATTAATCTGCTAATTTATATAATTCTAATATGCCATCCACTTGCCATTCTGTTAAAAATTATAAAAGCTCTTTTTTTGTATCTTCGTATTTTGTTTACATGTATTTGATAGTCCTACCTAGGGCTACACTAAATGATTTGCTTATTTCTTCTTAAGATTGTAAATCGCTAATAATTTTGTACTCTTTTTTAATGTGCTTTTAGTGGTCTATGAGAATTTAAGAAGCAGCGCTTGATGCATCTTCAACTGTGACTGTAGCATATTTTTTCTTATTACCTAATAGCCCTTAAAACATACTTTATGACACTATTGATTATGTGTGATTTAAAAAAATATCTGTAAACAATGGCAATCTTAAAATTCCATAGTTTATGCCACTACTTTTTAACTCTTTTTCTATTTGAATGAACTAACCTCCAAATATGGTCTCTGGGTGATTAACAGATGGAACAGAAGCTAATAAAATATATTCAACTTTAGCTTTTTTTGCTGCCTATATAGCATTATTAGCCAAATGAGAGCAGTTAACATGTTCAGGAGTTGCAATAAATAAAATATTATAATCTTTTAGGATTTGTGACAATTCTAGTTAATCTTAAGCCATATCAGCCTTAATAATGCTTGCGCCTAAATCTTATAAATCTTTTATTTTTTCAGGGTTACTTGAACCTGCAGTGACATTGGCTTTTTTAGACAAAAGGCTTTTTACTGTCGCTTAGCCAATCTTTCCACTTGCTTCTAATACTAGAATAGATTATTTTACTTGCTGAACAATAAAATGATCTATATTCGTTTTTATCCATTGATTAGTTGTTGTAGGAGTAGAAAAAGTGATCTTTTTATAAACTTAGGTCCAAGTAGATAATTTGATATCTTTGTTATTAATTATAGAAAAATATTCTAGAACTCTTTCAGCTTCTATATTTGTTAAACCTCTATCTATTATTTATTATTTTATTTCTTACTATCCTATTTGTTAGTATTTAACATTCTTTTTTAAATTATATGAAAGTTCTTAAGCTAATTCATTATAGCTTTTTTTATCACTTGCTATTTTTATTGTTTTATTTATAAAATTAGAGTAATTACTCAATACTGAAGCAGCTGCTTAGGCAGCATCTTTAACTGTGATAATATTGAATTGTATATTATCATCAATTGGACCATAAAGTGTTGCATCGTTTTTTATTGAATCATAGTTGGATAAAATATCTTCTATAAAAATTGGAAGCTTCATAAAACCATATGAAATATTTGTTGCTTTGATTTATTCTTCAATTTATTGAAATTAGTTAGCAAAAGAAGTATTTTAACTTAAATTTAAAGAAGAAGAAATTAATAGATAGCTAACTCCAGAACTCTAAACAGCTTTGGCTATTCTTTATATGAAGTTAAGAGAACTTACATGTTAAGGTATTGCTAAGAAGACTGCTTCAAACTTTTTCATTTATTCAATAAGTATGTCTTCTTCACTAGTTAAATCTACTTAGGTCACTTTGATTCTATTTTTAATATATTCATGAGATATTTTAGAATTCAAGTCAGAAATTCCAGCAGTTACCTAAATATTTAACTTTTTAAGTTCATATACAGTTGCTTGACCAAATTGTTCAGATGCTCCTAGCACTAATACATTTCTTAAAAAATTCCTAATTTTTGTAGATCCACAGCCCATTTTCTCACTTACTTTTTCAATTTTGTTATTGTTTTTAGGTTAATTGAATTATATTCAATAAGCTATTTTAATTCTGACATCTTTTAATTTAAAGCTTTTTTATTTTTTAGTTACTTTGTAAGTATAAGTAAATAGAAAATTAATAGAAGTTTAATAGAATGATTTAATAAAAAATATCCTATTTTTACATTTAATTTTACAAAATATATAATTTTTAGCTTAATAAAATATGTAAATTATCTAAAAATGTGGAAATAGACAAAACACTACAAATCTATTCGTTTGAAACGAAAGGATAATAAGTATACATAATAACTATGAGGGAGCAAGAATGATATTTAAATCATAAAAGTTGAAAAATAATAAGCCTTCATTCTTATTGAATAATTTTTAAAAGGATAAACATTAAAAATATAAATAATTTAAAAGTAATATCATGTTTATTTTGATATTACTGACAAATATTTTAGGAAAAATTAAAGAAAAAAATAAAAAATGTAATTTAATAATTTAAAATAGCAAATAAAGTAATTGTTTTAATAATTTCAATAAAGAAATCTGTAAATTAAATCTTTCTATTATTATGATTAGAACAGTTTTAGAACAAATTAAAATTTAATTTAAAATTTACATTACTTATTTTTGTTTAAAATTCTTCTAGAATATTTTAATAAGTGTAAAGTAGAGATTAAAAAAAGAGTTTACAATTTTATTAAAGGATAAATGAAAGTAAACTAAATTAATAAATTTAATAAAATTAAAACAATTTTTAAAAATATTAACATTTAAAAAATCTTAAAAAACATAGAATAGCATGATATTTAAATAAGCTAATAAATATTATTATTATATATCATTCTGTTTTAGCAGCAAAAGCATTTTAATGTTATTTAATCCATGCTTCATTTGATGTAGGATCTTTGCCTGTAATAGTTTTGAAATCATGACTTAAAGTAGAAACTGAAGCATCTTACTTCTCTGCAAGTTAATAGAGTTCAATAATACCATTTACTTGCCATTCAGGGAGGAAGGCAACCAAGGCTTATTTAGTTCCTTCTACAGTAGCGTTAACATATTTAACTTCTCTTCCAAGGGCATTAGTGAATGAGTGAGCAGTTTCATCTTATGACTGTAAGTCGCTAACAATTGTGTATGTTTTATTGTGATGTTTATCGTGGTGATGGAGAATTTCTGCTGCAGCAACACCAGCATCGTGGCAAGAAACGCTAGTCATTTTAAAGTGACCATCAATAGGACCATAGAAGGTATTTTAGCTGCTAATTGTTGCTGCTGAACCAAAGAAATTTTCTGTGAACATTGGTAGTCTAAGGAATCCATAGTTCAAACCACTTTATTAAACTTCTGATTCTATTTCTCCAAACTGTCTTCCAAAGAGAACATCATGGTTACCTGCAACTGCTACAGATACAACTAACAAATATTCTACTTTAGCTTCTTTAGCTGCTTTGATAGCATTTGAAACTATTTATGCACGATTTTCAGTTGATGGAGTTACCAAAAATACGGCTTTATAATGAGCTAAAATTGCAGCAAGTTCTGACTAACCTTAGCTCATATCTGCATGAACTACTTTTGCTCCAGCTGCTTCAAGTTCTTTGGCATTAGCTTTAGAAACATCTCTAACACCAGCAGTTACATGTGCCTTTTTCTCTATAAGAGCTTTAACAGTTGCTGAACCAATATTACCTGATGCACCAAGTACAATAATGCCTTCCTTCTTGATTTCTTCCTTTGCTCCAAAAGCTTACTTATGCTATGCAATCCAGTCATGAATGCTAGTGGTATTACCTCCAGTGACTTCTTTAAAGCTATTAGTTAATACTAATTAACTAGGATTTTTATCATCTATAAGCTTGAAGAGTTCTAAAATACCATCTGCTTACCATTCAGGAAGGTGATGATCAATGAAGGATTTCTTTGCATCTTCATAGCTAACTTAAACGTATTTAACTTCCTTACCTACTACTTTAGAAAGCTCGCTTGCTATTTCATTTTAGCTCTTCTTATCGCTTGTAATTTAGAATATTTGATTTTTATAATCTTTGTAATGACTTACTATTGAAGCAGCGGCATTTCCAGCATCTTAAACAGAAACTTAGCAGAATTAAGCATCAGCATTTACTGGGCCATAGAAGCAACCTTATTGAGCAATAGCCTGTGATTGCATAAGCATATTTTCATAGAAAATAGGTAAACGGAGAATTCCATAGCTGACTCCTAAATTTTTCACTTCGTTCTCTATTTCTCTAAATTGCTTGCCAAAAAGTACTTCATTATCGACAACTAAAACTGAGACTACAAGGATGTATTGCACTCCAGCCTTCTTAGCGGCTTTGGAAGCGTTGATGGTAATCTTAGCACGGTCAATGTGTCCAGGGGAGTTAATGAAAACGGATTCAAAACCCTTTAACTTTTCAGCTAAAGCATCTTCTTCGGAGCTCATATCTGCTTAGATAACTTTAACTCCTTAATTGACTAATTCCTAAGCCTCTTTGCTATTAGGGTCTCTTACACCAGCAGTAACATTAACATGGTGTTTCTTAAGAGTCAAGACTGTAGCTTTACCTATGTTACCTGTTGCACCTAAAACTAAAACGCTAGAACTTACAGGAGAAGATTTACTTGAACTGCAACCCATTTAAAGTAATTATTATGTTTTTTTATTATTACTGAATTATTTTAAGAGTATTTTTTTTTTTCGTTTTTAAATAATGATAAATTATTATAGCAATTAATAATTTAAATCAAGCTTTTAAAGGCAATACTAGCTAGCTGGAAAATAATCGATTATTTTCTTATTATGCATTTTTTAATAAATATTGTTTAAAAATAGCATTAATAATTTGTTTCAAGCCCAGAATTTAATTTTTTATAACTAATTAATAAAATTTTATTAGTCAAATAAAGAAACAAAAGAGCTATCATAGTTTTATTTGCAATCATATCAGCTTCATTAAAATATAAAATTGATTTTTATAATTACAATAAAACCTGTTGTACTAGCACCTAAGGAACCAAAAATTTTACCCAAAATTTACTAGTACCCCTCTATAGATAGGTTTCATGATCAAAAAGTTAAGTTAGGGATTGAAACTTTTGCCCATTTTTAATGAGTAATTAGTTTATAAAGTATCCAGTTGTTAGGTTTTCCCATATAAATAAGTGACGTCAAATTAGAAAAATAAATAAATAAAATATTCATAGACTTTTTTAGTATTTTTCTTGACTTTTAATGGTTTGTTTATTTTGAAAGTTTAGCAATACTTTTGGATAAATAAATAATTATTTTAAAAAAAGCTTTCTAACAGATATAAAAGCAAGATTTATAAATCATGTTTTTTTTGTATTAATTTTATTTTAAAAATAGAGAAAATACTCCCATTTATAAGTAATTAATTACTTTCTTTACTAGTATTTTTTAAGAAATTAGTAAACATAAAAATTAGAAATTTATTAATTTTTTCTAGCAAGATCAGAAAGATAAAAATAGTATAAGATTGTTTTGAATAAAATACGTTTATTTTCAAATAAATCAAGGCATTTTTTAAAAATAAAGTTTTAAAATCATCTAAAATTTAACTTTAATATGTAATTATTAAATTATTTTTATTGGAAAATTTTTTATTTATATTATATTTTAAACTACTTAAAATGTGTGGTTTAAAAATTTTTAATCTTCAAGTAATAGATTAGCTTTTTAATAAAATAAATTAGTTAATAATATAGATTATATTTTAAGTTAAAAGAATTTATTTTTGAATAAGAATTTAAATGTTTTACAAATATTAAAAATTAAACAATTATTTAAATAATTAGATAAATACTAATTTAATTTCAATTAAAAGACTTATTCACTAAAAACTAATTAGCAAATAAATGATATAATTTTTACTGAAGCAAAAAAATAATATGTAAATGTAGAAATTTATCCTAAATATTTAAATTACAATGCAATTAATAACTAAATTAAATATTAGATATTTACTGTATATAATCTAATTTATGGAGGGAATTTATATAAATTTTTTTTTGAAATTCATCTCCTTTAAATGCCATCAAATTTAAAATAGCATTTTATGTAATAATCCATCTTAAATAAAAAACTTATGAGGTATATATATGTATATGTCATTTTATCCTCTAGACATCAAGTAATGAATAAAAGTTATTATTAAATTTACAAAAAATAAATATAATCTATTTAGAATTTACTCTATAAAAATGTTTTTCCTCTAAAAATGAAAATGTAAATCATTTTGAGCAATTGTAGTTATTTTAATATTTAAATATTTATTAAATTAAATGCTCTAAAAGCAAAAATAAATGGTGAAGAAAGTTCTTTAATTATAAAGAAAAACATTCAAATATAATATTTAAATTAAATAAATAAAATTACAATAAATTATCTTTAATATAGAATAAAGTATAATAAATACATGATTTCTAAAAATATTTATTATCATAAGTATGTCAGTCAGTCTACAATATTATTAAATTGATTTTTAAAATACTTTCAAAAATATTAATGAAGTGAATTTTATTTGAGAGTTTGTGAAAGATATTTTAGCTTATTTCTTATAGCTTTATTTTATTTAGTTAATAAGTTAATCATGTGGTGAAATTTTTTAGTGAATGTGAAAATATAATTAATTGATTGTATTTAGTATAAAAAAAGACTGGTCAAAGTAAAGAACATTGAAATAGATAATATTTGTAATAAATTTCAAAACAATATTATTGTTTCAAGTAAGAGATAAATATTAATTCAAGTATATTTTTAAAAAAAAGTATCTAGTAATAAAGATTTCCAGATTTCAGATTATTTTATGAATTTTTTTGGCAAAGAAAAGTTTCTGATAAAATTTATTGATATAGAGCAATTTTTTTATGGGTTTGATTGATATGATATGCACCTTATAAATTTTAGTATCAAAAAATAAGAAAAATGGGTTTTTCTTTAATTCTCATCTATAAATTAAGTATAATTTAGTAATTATCAAAAAATTAGAAGTAAGAAATTAAAATAGAAAGTGAGGTAAGATTAAAAAGATTATAAAATCCTTGATAGAAAAGCAATTTATTGAATTACTTGCTTTATTATTATAATGTATAGCGTTAACAATATATCTAATTGTTCAAAAAGCGCCAAAATGGATTAAGTGTAATCAAAGACTCATAAAATATAAAAAAAATGGAAAAATGAAGAAGCCAAAAAGGTAAACAATAAGAACTATTTACTCTTTATTGAGGAGAATTCCAGATTTAAAGGCTTTAATTTTCCTCATAAAAATAACTAATACTCTCATACAAATATATTATCATCTGACGAATCAACTTACAATTCCTCTTCCAATACCGAAATAGATAAAAAGACTTAGTAATCAGACATCTTTGACAATTTTTCCTCAAGCGCTTTGTAATTAACCCAGAAAAATGATTAGCTTTATCCTTTAAGTTCTGTTATTTGTCAAAATAATACTTCATAAATGATGAACTAAAAATATTATCAATTAAATGCTACTCCAATAATTCTTATAGAACCCAGCGAGTCAAAATGCTTTTGCCTATACAATGAAGTTGTTCTTGATTTTGATCTCTTGGATGAGTATAAATATATTTACTAGAAATCTTTGACGTAGGTGCTTTCTTCTTTTAAAAAGGTGAACCAAATTTAAAAGCTAAATAATGGTGATCTAATTGAAGTTTAGTAAGAAAGTTTTTCAAACCCAATATTAGAATTTACTTTCTTAATTAACTAGCTTAAATCCTTAAATAATAGTGAAGCTTATAGGTGGTCTTAAGCTCTTCATGTATTTTAATAAAAAACATAATCCCAAATAAATTACATCACTAGTCTTAAGCAATAAGAAGGATAATCTTAAAAATTAAAAAATTTATTTGCTTAACGCAAACAATTTGCCTTTTAAAAGGCTTAAAAATTATCTAAGCTAATTCCTAGAAATCAATATTGCATGTATATTGTATATAATTTTGATTATGAGAGCTTAACTGTCAGATAGTCTCACACTGGATATAGCAGAAAGCTTCTTGACATTATGGGAATTTCTATGCAAGATGCTCCATCTGTTTTTCTAAGAAAAGGTCCACTTGATTTAATAAACAAAAAAACTCATACATGGAATATGCTCTTGGCAGCAATACAATTAACAGGACATCCAAAGTAGGAAGTAATTGATATTGCAGAAGGGGAAACATTCATTTAAACGTTGGATGACATATAACTGCATGCAAAAATTAGCATTAAAACTAACAACCTAACATTTTAATATGATAGCCACAACAATATAGATTTACCTATTTAAGATGATATGATGGTTGAAATCTTTTATGAAATAGATGAAGAAAATCTAACAAAATTCTATAAGAAACGCAAAGAAAAGAGAATCCTTGAATCCTTCTCAATTTATGACATAATAGATGGAGAATTTGAATATTTAATGGAAGTTGAGAATTTCTTATAAAAGTACTACGAAGCAAATATTTCTTCATTATCATAAAAGAAAAAAGCTGAGTTTGATTTAAAAAACAAACAAAAAAATGGTGTACAAAATTAATGTTTGGTTAAAAGTGAGAACAATAAATATTATAGCCTATCAGACTCACATATAATTTCTAAGAATTTGGATAAAATGATCAATAAAGATTCCTCTATAAACTAAAATGTAGTAATCATAAAAGGAAATTTAAAATTGTCTGACGATTAAGATCCAACTGTTTTAATTTGAAATATTAAGAAGATTGATTATATATACCACTATCAATAAAATTAGTTTATTCACTAAAAATTATTTAACAATTCATCGGCGATTTAAAAAAATATTTATAACAATCATAATAAGATAACTCTAACTAATTAAAATAAAAGTTAATCTCCATAAATAAATAAATAAATAAATAAATAATTAATAAAATTAATTGATTACAAATTTACTCCTACTAATGTAATTAAAAATTTTTTGATGCAAATATTAAATAAATAAATAAATCAATCAATTAATTTTGGCTAATTTTTGAAGTAATTCCTTGTAGAAAGCAATATCATACTAAATAAAATATTTAATTAAAAGGTCAAAAATATATTTTCATTATGAATAAAATAATAACATTAATCATTCATTCATTCATTAATAATATTAATCTAACTTTACTAAATTACTAAAACTAAATTTCATTAACTCTTATTAATTCATATCCATTCTATTTTCTATACTTTATTTGCAAATTATCTGTATTTTTTGCTTCATTTTAAGACAATAAATATATTAATTAAATTTTAAACATTAAAAATTAACACTCTCTCTTATTAATTCAATATTTTTTTTAAACATATCAACTAGTTTAAATATATTTTTTCTTCCTTTTCTTTTTAAAATAATATGTTTATTTTAATGTAAATATTAAAGATATAAAAAATATTTATTTTTTTACATTTTTAGATAATACAAAAATTATATAAATATCTTTAATAGAAAAAAATAAATAATTTGCATAGCTTTTAATTAATATTATAAATAATATTTAAATTTAAATGAAAATTTATTTGATTTCATATATCATTTTTCCAATAAAAAGCTAATATTCTAATAAAATTTTAAATAGTTTATATGTTTTATAAATTTAGTAGTATTTAAAAGAGAGAGTTAGTGATTCTTTCTTCAGTAAATCAGATAAAAGTAATAAATAACATTTTCTCAATTTAGATAATTAATGTTATTTTTAATGTTAATCTAGAGAAGTAGTATTCTATTTGATATATAATATAGAATAAATGCTCAGTTAAAGTATTTATTAACCACAGAAAATAAATATTTTTTCTTTCTCAACATTATATATATTACAAATTGAATATTTTAATTTGTATTTAATTAAGTTATTAATGTAAATTTAGAATAGAATCTATATTTAAGTAAAGAAATATAAATATTTTGTTCAAAGAAATTAATTATAATTTAATAGTTCAAAATTTTATATATATTACAAAAAATATTCAAGCAAATAAAGGCATAAAAATAAAATACGAATTAATAAAATAAATTTTCAATAAATTAATTGTTTTATTTGAATTTTGCTTATAGATTTTTTACTTTTTACAAATATTATTTGTTGTTAAAATGTATATATAATTATCTATCTATGTATGTATATAAGTATTTGTTTATTTATTTAAAATAGATTTTAAATATTTGCAAAAGCTTATTTATTTATTTATTTATTTAATTAATTTTTTATCAGAATTTCTCATCCATCCATCATATATCTTTTTGATTGATTATTTAAGAGTGAGTGCTTAGTATCTATCTATCTATCTACTTGTATGTATTACAACTTAAATTATATAAATCATCTATTTATTGGTTACTGTAAATCCGCATTTTTCTTATGCTTAAAGCTGTCGGTAAAATATAATTAGAACTTTGGTTAGTTTTATCAAAAAATTTAGCATGTTTTATTACACCAGTTTTAACTTTATGTTTATTTTAAGGGAATTACTGCTTTTTTTGGTTTCATCTTTCGTACTAGATCTTAAAATATTTGAAGGGCAATTTAATCTTCTTTTTTTAGAGATATTTCGTAAAAAGGAATATTATATTTATCTGCAACTTGCTTGCCCTCCTCAAAAGAAACTTCTCTATATGACTCTAAATCTTTCTTATTTCCAACAATTACTGCATGAAACATATCCTTTTTTATCAGTCTAACCTTTTGTATATACTTTTCTTCTAATTCCTGTAAAGAATGCTAACTTGTTATTTAGTACATAAACACTATACCATTAGCTTTACGTATAAATTCGTCTATAACAGAATCATAGAAAACTTCTTGTCCTGCAGTATCCTAAATCTCTATATATTAAATATATTTATATTGATTAAATGTCAAATAAGCTCTATATAAATATCAAATGATGAATATGATTAATGAACTCTTGATATAAAGCGAATTGATTGCAAAAAGAGGATTTTCTATTTATTCTTATTTTTTATACATTCATCTTTCAAAAGAAATTGAAAAACACAAAAATGATGGTTTTTTATTTGCTAAAATAACTTACCAACATGCTCATCTTATCCATCAACAGACATTTTGAATTTATGGACATCATATAATGTAGGGTCGTATTATTCAATGAACCTGCCTTCTTTGACTCTTACTGTCATAGTTGTCTTACCAGCACTACCTTCACCCAACAGGACTATATTAAGTATATCGTCTTTATTAGTTGAAGAGTCCAAAACGGACGATCTAAAAGGCCCCATTTCTCTCATGTTTAAATTGGTGAAATCTATCTTTATATGGTCAAAAATTAATTGATTAATTGTTTATATATTTTTTATTCTGAAAATAATTAATTATAATGATTATTTTTTTTTTGATGTATATAAAAAAATTTATTAGAAATAAATTTAGTAAAAATAAACCATAGACATATATAAACATACATACATATATGCAGGTAAATTCACTAGTGAAATAATATAAACAAATTCAACTGTAAGTGGTTTCTGTTTGCGTAAAATCTAAATTTCTACTCCAATATTAAACTAAAAATTTAATTGCCATTAAAAAATGCAGATAAAGTACATGTTAACATTTAACTAACTATCTCAAATCAAGCTTTATAAAATATTTTGATTTATATTTTTAAATAGCTTGTATTTTTAATGAAAAACAAATCTTACACTTTTTATTGTAAAAACTCCCATTAAAGAACTTTTAGTCATTATCCCATCCAATTTTTTTGTTTTTGATTATTTAAGTAAATATCTAATCAGTAAATTTACTTTTTAATTAATTGTTACTTCTATATCTATTAAATTATCAAATAATACATTTTTTATTAATTAAAAATAAATAAAAATAAACAAAATTCTAATTTAAAAATTCATTTGAAACTTTCAATAAAGAATTTTATTTTGATTTCAATATTTATTTATCTTAAATAAAATAAATATCCAGCATTCAAATAAAAATGATTGAAATTTTTAATTTAAACCATTAGTTTTGTAAGTTAAAAAATAAATAAATAAAAAATGTAAATGAATTAATCACAGCTAATGTAAAAAATTTCAGAAAGGGTAAAATAGCATAAAAGTTTTATAATTAAAATATTTAAAGTTTGTCAAAAATAAAATTTTAAAAATAATTAATTGTTTTAAATAAGTCTTAAAGCAGTTTTTATACTTAATGTTAGTTTATTTAATTAATTTACATAAACATTTGTCAAAAAGTAATCTTAGATTATATTTATTATACACAGATAATTGGTTGATTATTAGAATGTGTTTTATTTTCAGCAATTATTAAAAATAAAAAAATTAAATGCAAAATTAGAAAAATACTTATTTATTTATTGATATATAGATAGATATATTTATTTATTTCTATCAATAAAAATCATACCAAAATTATTATTAATTTAAAAGGCAAATAAATTGATATTTTTGCAGAAAATAAAATAGTAAAAATACTTTTAGTAGGAATTTAATATTATTATACGAATATTATAATTTATATATTTTTATTTTTAACAATAATTTAGATTTAGTAAGCAAAAATTTTAAATTAGATTATCTAATTCAATAAAATAGTTTCTTTCCTTATTAGAGGAAGACACTGTTATTTCTTCTTAATTCAGAGTTGATCGGTTACTTAACAGGTGAACTAAAATCGTTGTTGTAGAGTTCTGGTTTTTGCTCTTAAGGTAAAGCTATTGAGCTAGAATTCTTATGCAATGTAGATTATGGTAGGCTCTGAGCTATTTGGTGTTCATCATGGCTTTAGAAGCGACTTCTAGGGTTTTAAAACATTTAGATATTTTCAGGAGTAGCTAATTTATGCTAGTAGCCTAAGCAATTATTAATCATTTTTAGCTATTTAATTCTTTGGTGATCTTGGAACATTCCAGGAATTGAGGGGGTCAAACCATTAGCCTTTAATATTATTTAATAGATTTGTTTTAAGCCATACAAAATTTTAATAAATTTACCTCAAAAACTTATTTGTTAATTTTTAACTCTCTTTTGTCCATATAATCTTTATTGTTGTGAGTTCTATGATACATCTAATTTTTTATAAAATATTTTAATATTATCATAGAGAATAATGATGGTCATGAATCATTTGAATTTATCTACCTAATCTTTTAGCTCATTTTAATATTCTCTTTTCATAGCTTCTTGATATTACTTTACTTCATTTTGCTATTCTAAAACTTCTTTATCCTATTTTTTTATGAAGAAAAACTATTTTTTCCAAATTTGATGTGTTTGTTGACTTTACTTTCTAAAGCAAATAATCATGATATTTGATTTTATCAATTGTAACAGCGATTTAAGCATCTTATTTCAATTGCATCTAGTTTTTCAGTGTTGAATTTATTGCTGTTTTAATCTTTATTAAAATAAATAATTTTTTTTTAATATATTTTTATTATTTAATCTATTTTTAAATAAAAGTGATCATTTTTGTTTTTTCCTATAAAATAATATTTATTTTATATTACTTTCTAACGTTGTTAAAACTCTTCAGCTTTCTTTTCTTCTTCTAGTTGCAATCTACGTTAGTTGTATTCATCTACTAATTTTTTTTCTAAGTTTCTTCTGTCTTCGATTTGCTTAAGATGATTTTCTAAGTATATGTTTTGCACTGGATTGTTCATGCTTTTATAATACCTCTGTTTCAGTTAATCTAAAAACTTTTAAAGTTTGAAATATTCAATAAATGATCATTTATTTATTTATTGTTTTATTTTAAATTACTTGCTCTCTTCTTTAGTCTTACAAAGAAAGCTAGTTGAATTCTGATTAGGCCAGCTACTTGTTTCTCTCTCTAGCTCTTTCCATTTCTATTTTTTTGATCTAATTTTTTATCAAAAATTGATCAAAAGCAAACAAAAATATTAAATAAATACCTCTTCTTGAGCATGATTTGCATTTAGGAGTTCACTTTTAACAAAGTATTTCTCTTGTAATTGAATTTCTTTGAACCTCTTTTCCTATTCCTCAGCATCTTTAATTCTTTTTTCTGCTGCCATTCTTTCCAGCTCTCTTTCTTTAAGCTAATTTTAATTCATAAATAAAATCATTAAGATATATGAAAATTCAGTTATCTTTACTTGTTGCTATCTCTTTTATTCAATCAAGCTATAATTAAAATCTCTACATTATTAGTGTTACTTTTCATTCTACACTTATCTTTACTCAAAGTAATCATTCATCATCTATAATTAAAATTAATTTTATAAATATACAATGAATTATATAAGGATTACTCTATCATGCAAAGACTGATATTAGCCTGTACCATTTCTTCTCTCGTTTTCCTACTCCCTTTAAATTTACTAATGCTAGTCAATACTGACCTTAAGATCTTGTCTATTATTGAAATAAAATATAATCTTTCAAAATCTACATATCACTAATTTTTATTTGCTATACCTGTAATTTTTTTTAATTTCGTCTTCTAACTTTTTCTATTCATCAACAAGTTCTCCTTATTTTCTCATCTGCAAATCTTGCAGATAAGCCCATTCATTTTTATATTTTTGCACTTTTATTAATGTATTTAACAAATTAATAAAAAATGTATAGGATTGTTTTAAGTAAAATATTAATATGGCAACTCAATAAAGTGCTAAATTACAGTCTGGAGAATATCTTAAAGGGGATTCTTAATACATTTCGCTAACAATATTTACAGATTTTCTTCAGCAAAATGACTGCTTTTAACTAAAATAATTGATGAGTTATATTTTTATTTAGAATAATTATTATTAAATTTTTTTTTTTGCTTAATTAATCTGCTAATCTTCGATTGGGTTTTTAATGAAAAATATATGTATAGTAAAAAATAAATTTCTAAGAACCTTAATGGCTATAAATTACTATCTTATTTGTTCAGTGAACAATAAATTATAAAGTAAAATCTTAATTTTTTTTCAATAAATTTTAATAAATTTACATTTTGTAGGATTTTTCTAATAATTATTAAAATGGAATAAAAATTTGCTTGAAATTTTATTATAATTATCCTTAATAACTCACTTTAAAAATATAATAACAATTACATATATAAAAATTTTCTTTTAAAATGTTTGTTAAAATTTTTTAATTACAGACAGTTCAAACCTTTTTAACTAAATTAAAATATTCTAAAAAGTTCTCGAAATGAGCAGCACTTTTAATGTAAAACATATCTTCACTAAATTCTTAAGCTTTTTGTCTAGAATTACTTACTAACTCCTATTTGACTTCTTTTGGCCTATTAAAAAAAATTATTATTAAAACAATTAAATAAAAATTATTTTACATTTAAACAGCTTTTAAAGTTGCTTCAACATATTCATCTTCATTTTCACACAAAAACCCGAAATTTTCATTTTAAATAATATCTTTCAAAGGGCCAGCGCTCTTATGTGCTATCGTAATTAATCCTCCAGCCTTATTTACATTAAAATTCTCTATTAAAATTTTCTCTATATTTCAAATAAAAATCTACCATCATTTCGACGACTGCAATTCCAAAGTGCTCATCTTTCATAGTGTGCAATCCAATATCACTTTGCTCAAATATTTTCAAAATATCTTTGAAAGATGGATTTTTGATAAATTAAATTTTATCACTAAGATGTCTTTATTCAACTTCTTTTTTGAGATTGCTTAACAACTACTCGTCATCATCGTTTCTCACAGATCCAACTACTCTCTATTTTTTATGTTAAAACAAGTAATTAGAATATTTATTTTTATTTAAGGTATTACGAATTATAGTTTATGCTTTTCTTCATCTGTTAATCTCGAAAGCACTCTTTCAAAAACTCTGATTTGCATCATGTGGTCTTTTTCAGGGCGGAATTAGGCGAAAGACATAATTTGTACAGTTGAATTTTCTTAATTCTTTTCTAACTCAAGTAAAGAAGTAACATTACATGGTGGATATCTTTTAATAAACATAATTTCTATTATTTCATAAAAATAGATTTTGTTTCAATTTAATTTACAATTTCACTGATTCTGTAATAGTTTCGACTTAACGACAAGGAGCCCACAAACTTCTAATATGATCATCTGTCCATGTTGAATTAGTGAAAGTCATATCTACATAATTTCCCATGAATTTGTACATTTTTGTTAATATCAAATAGTAGAAAAACTTAATATTAGAAAAGAGTCCAGATTATGCAATAAAGCCTCTATTATTAAAAGATTATTCATTTCTAATGACTTTTTAAATCATATCTGAGCTTATAAATGGATAGTGAGTGTATGAGACAACCTTACATCCTAAAAACTTTTTAACAACAATATAGGAAAAGGCAAAACCTGTGGAATCAAAGAAAATATCAGGTTGGTATTTAAGCAGACATTTAAAAGTATAAATCATTGTTCCAATAGCTTAAAGGATCATAGTAGCTACTCTAAAAGGTTCGAGCAGTTTTCTACCTGAAACCCTGATAAATTAAATCTTATCTTTAAGCTCAAGAACATTAATATTAAACCTGTCAGTTGCTTTCTTTAAAATATCCTCTCCACTAACTTAATCTCCTTTAAATCAATTAATAATTGAATAAAATAGATTTGACTATATTAACATACCTGTGTATATAACCAGTTCAAAATTTTCCCTATATGCTACACAATTTAAAAGTGAATAAACCAAACACCATAGAACTTTTTCTCCGCCTCCTGCTGAATTGCTGTTTGAGGAAAAATCATTGTAAAAACAAAAAATCTTTGATTTGAATTGTGTTAATTACCAATAAGGATGGAAAAATGCTATTTTCAATTTTGAATTCCCTTTATTTCTAATAAACTTTTTTAACCTGACTACAAGCTTTAGTAAAGTATAAATAGCCAATAGAGGAAGAAATACATATAAAAAGCTGATAATCAAAATTTTAAAAATAAATGAGGCCATCTTCTTGTTATTCGTCTTGCAATGATCAATTTACTTAAAACAATAATACTTTTATTTAATTAATTATTGTATTAGTTTTTTTGACGTGTAATAATAATACAAAAAGATTAACTTTCAATAGATTTGATAAAGATATTCAAACAAATAAATACATAAATATATTTATTTTTTTTTTCTAAATATTATTTTTTATCAGAATTCATTAAATCCTGATAGTAATTTATTTAATTAAAAGCATCAAAAATACTTATTTATTAGAAGTATAATTTGCTAACAATAAATTAATATAAACTGTAATTTATTTTTCTGGCTTAAATAATTACTTGATCTATAAATATTTAAATACCAATTGTTGCATACTTTAAAAATAAACAAACTTATAAGACAATACAACTAACTAACCAAACATAAATCCAGATTTTTATCAAATATTTTTTTATTTTTCTACAATCCTTTAATCATTTTATTTAAATTCCACATCAAAAATCTAAATAAATTCTATTATTATTTTCTCAAATTGCTTTCAAATTAGTTATAATTAATTAACCAGAATCTAAATTAAAGGTATTAAAAAATATTTTTATTTGGAATTGAAGTAAAAATCATATTAATTTCTTTTCTTAAATAAATTCTAAAAATGAATATTTTAATGCTTTTATATAATTTAATGATAAATATACAAAAAAGGTAACTAACCTAAAACATAAATCCAGATTTTTATTACATATTTTTAAAAATTATTTTAATAATAAATAATAAAAAAATTACTTTTTACTTAAATATTTTATCATTTTATTTCAATTACTTATCAAGAATTCAATTAAATTCTATGATTTTTTCTCAAATTTCTTTCTATTTAGCATATGAATTAATTTTTGTCTGAATTCTAAAAGCTTTAACTTGTCTTTTTGCTGCATCTCATTCATAAATTGCTTTTGATTTTTTTTTTGATTAAATTATTCAATTTTTTATGAAATAATTTTTTGGTTTTATTAAATAATAAAAATCATCATAATATTTTAGAAGAATGACTAAAATTAATATAAATTGTTTTGATCATCAAAAGTTATTTTTTTATGATTTAAATTAATGAAATTCTTTTTTTGAGATGATGTTATTAAAGTAATATTTCACTTAGACTAATAAGCATAATTATTTTATAAGATTCACAAATGTAGTTTGGGAGATGTATTTTGTTATGTATTTTTTTATGTGCTTGATTTTTATGGGGAGTCTTACAAAGTTCCGTAAGCTTATTACAAGCTTCTTTTGGAGAAAATATTATCATGTTCACTATTAGTTCCAATTACTTCAGTTGCAAATGCCTTTAAATAAGGAATTTATTCTTTAGCTGCTAAAATACCCTTCGGAATATAAAATTTATCTAAGTAATCTTGTGTATTGTTTCCATGCTAGTTAATGTTAAATTCAGTATCATAATATTATTTTTTTTACTATTTCTAACTTACAGAGGATTGAGATTAAAAAGATGTGTTTAATATGTTTTCTTAATTTACTGTATTAGGTTTCTATGTTAGTTATTCATAAGTAGTAAAGAAAAAGTTTTTGATTTAAATTATAAGATCTTCATCTTCAAAGAAATATAGAAGCACCATAGAAAAAATAGATATGACATTTATTTTGGAGTAAATATGAAGTGTGTATTGCAGAGGTTAGCACTATATCTAAGTTGATTATATACTTTTAGGCCCATCGTATTCTACAATCACAATGTAGATGAGTAGCATACAAACTGTACAAATTATGATTGTAAATTTAAAACCTCCTCTTAATTTCATTTAGAATTTTGTTTGAAGATAGTGTAACAGAAAATTCATAGCAGTGCCAAATAGCGATACTAAAGTATGACCAAATAGCATTAAAAATCGAATTCTTTATGATTGAATTTTAGAGCAATCATCTAAATTACCACTTGATAAAATCAGATAGGGGAAGAGAAAATTAGAAGATAAATTTGCTTATCTTGAAGCCATGTCTAAAGGCATTTTAAGCACTGTCCAAATTTCAATTTCTTTTTTTATAGTAAGAAAAATAATTGATTTCTATACCATGATAACAGAAAGACACTCCTTTGGCTATGAAACAGCAACATTCATACAAATGATAATAATAACTAAGTTGTAAATAAAATTGACTACATAGTTAAGGTAAAAAGAAAATCTAACAAATCTTAAACGAATATAAGCATAAGCTAAAAACAGTGTATTTATAATAAACATTAAGTAGGAACTGTGATATATCATTTTCATTAATTAATATCCTTCTTGAGTGCAGTAGCCACCCTTCTCTTGATAAAATTCTAAGCCTTCCATCCCAATAATTGTACTGTAGATAAAAAATTTCATGTTCTGAAAATTGTAATTGATTGATTTTGTCTTAGGCTCATTAATAGTATCCTTTTTTAAATATTCTTCCATTAAAAAATTTTAAATTTCAAAAATTTATTTTGTTTAATACTTGTTCCCAAAAACAAAGACAATGAAAACTTTCTTAAAACAAACTAAAAACTCTAATCAAATATAAAAAAATAATAAAATTAAAAGATATTTAATGTCATTATTGCATTTAACTTTTTACCGTTAATTTTAAGCTAAATATTAAATATATTTTAGTATTTTCTTTTCAGTTTCTGTTGATTGAAATTTTATTTAAAATATTTTTGAAATTAAGCCATTTATAATCATTTTAATTTGATTAAAATATATTTCATAAATCAATAGAATCAATAAAAACAACTTTTTAATTATAGAATTTCATAAAATAAAGAATGTTTTAAAGGATAAAATTGAGGGTTTTAATGCTCATTCATTTTCTAAGTAATATAAATTGATATTTAATTGTAAAAAATTAAAATAAAATAAATGAAGATGATAATTTTTTTAGCAAATTGATAAATTTTAAATTAATTAATTTAAAAATGCTTTTTTATATTTAATTTTATTCTAAAATAAAAAATGGTAGTCAATCAAATTTATTGCTGAAAAATTAATTGAGTTAAACAAGAATAATAAAATTATTTTTATCTTAAAAATGATTGAAATTTTTATTTAATCATACTAAATTTAAATCATTTTTATTTGGTTTTTAAAATTTTTATTCTAAAATAAAAATGGCTGCAAATAAAAAATAATTAAATAAATAAATAAATTATAATTAATTGATTCTAAAGAGTTGGTAGAAGGAGTATTAGAAAAAGTTAGCTATAAGAATAATGAGCATTTAAATTATATTCTAGGGCCAAAACAAAATAGAATGAAGGACTGATAAAGAATAAATATAAAATTAGTCAAAAATTAATAGCGAAAGTATTAAGCTAAATAATTATAATTATTCTTATTTTAATTGAAATTAAAACAAATAAATCAAATATATATCCAAGTCAACTTAACTATTAAAATGCATCTTAGATTCTACCTCGACGAAAATGGTAAAAGAGTTTACACTCTCAAGACCATCAACGATGAAAACGTTTAAACCCTCAATGCCCATCCTGGTAATTAACTACTCTTGATTAGCTTTTAATGCCTAATATATTCAATAATTTATTTATTTATTTTCACGTTATTAATTTTTTATTAATAAATTAAAAAACAGCTCGTTTCAGCCCTGATGACAACTACCAAAAGGAAAGATACGAATGCAAGAAGAGATACAATTTACTTCCTACCTAACAACCTGAACTTAAGCTCTGAGTGACTAGATAAATAGATAATTTATAATAAAGCGATTTTGCGTCAATTAAATAGTAACTATATAAAGTGTAAACAATACTAAAATATAAAGATTGAGGGAATAGGCATCTAAACAGATAAAAATATATGCATAATTCAAAAATAGTGAGTGAGAGACAGCAATTCAATTAATTTGATTTTTAAGCAGCAATAAATAAATATTTTACTTCAAAGCAAATATTATTAATATCTTATAAAAAAATAAATTATAATAAAAACACTATTTAAATTGTATTTACCTGCTAGTTTTGTTTTATGTATCTATTCAAATCTTTTATTTTATATTCTCTCATCATTCAATTACAATGTTTATATCATTCAAAATGATTTCTGTTTATTAAATTCTATTTTTAGTTTACTTTTGAATCTTATTAAAATATTTTATATGTTGTTGGTAATTAATTATTAAAGACCAATTAGCATTCAATTTTTTATAGAAATCTAGTTTGTTTTTTTCAAGTTAATTTGATTGATTATGCTTTTGTATGATACTCAATTAATTTACTGAATTTAATTTTAATAAAATTGTTTTTAAATTACTACAGTAACTCTAATATATCATATATATATAAAAAATAATATTAAATGGTAGATTCTTTTTAAATAAAAAGATAAGATTGTTTAGATTATTAGATTTGTAAATATATATTTTCATATAACTTTAAAGATGTTTTTTTAGTCAAAATCATACTTAAATAATTATTGCAAAAATATTTTTTTTATTATTAGTAAGCAATTCATAGATTATATTTGAAAAATAGTAGTAGATTAAAATCGTTTACTCTATATTTATTCTGTATTTATTTATACACTTTATATAAATTATAAGAAAAGGGAACATAATTATTTTTTAATTTCAGATAACTCATAAAAAATTAAAAAAGTGTTATAAATGTCATCAAAAAATGATATAATATTTTACTATTCTCTTAATTTTTTTCAGTTAGCTACTTAATAATAATCTATTTTGTAGATCAACTCCATTGAAGCTTTTGATAAAATTAAAATTATTTATTGAGTGAAAATAAAATAAAATCAAATCAAAAATTTTGCTAAAAAGTGTTAACAATAAAAATATTCACATCAAATATTAATAACAATTTTATCAAATTATTCTAAAAGTAAAAAAATAATCTTACCATATTTGGATGTTTAACATGCAAAGATTTTTACAATTTGCAAGAACTTTGCATAAATTTTTAGCTCCTTTATCTTGAATGTTATTATTTCTGATAATTAATTAAAAAAATATTAAATGATTTATTCAACAAATTAAAATTTTTTTTATTAAATTAGAACAAAGTTTTTCATATCAATTTGAATAAAAATAAAATGATTTTTACTCTAATATTAATGTTAATGCATAAAGACTGCTGCATTATGTTAAACCCTAATAAACCGATAAAGCTCCATCATCACCTATTTCATTATTTCTATTAATTAATTTAAAATTAATATTATATATTATTTTTTTTAAATATTTTCTAAATCAAATAAAAACTTCTTATTTTTTTAAATTAATTTACCTCAAATCTAGGTACAAATTTGATATTCTAGTCCAGTTTTTTAAAACAGAGCCAAATTCTAATGCTCCAATAGTCTGAATCATATTATTACTTTTATAGTAATCAAAGAATAAAAAATAAAATAATTATTTCAGAGAAAATTTAAAATAAAAAAATTTAATTTTTATCAATTAAAATTAATTTAAAAATAAAATAATTATTAATTTTACCCCACATAAAGTTTTAAAATGGAGAGACAAGTAAAATTAGAAATAGCTTTCCCTATGCTTGTTATACCTTGAGCTCCAATTGAATTATCACTTTAATTAACAGTTTATAAAATTTTAAGCTTAGATATTTATGAAATAAAATTTTTCTTAAATAATTATAATATACATTAAGCAATAGCCGTTCATAAAGAATATTAAATCCCAATCAGAAAAGTTAAAAAAAAATATTTAAAGAATTTAATTAATGATTAATGAATAAAAATGATTTAAAATAAGGATAAACTATTTACCCTATCTATAAATCTAATACTTCAAGTGATGAACAATTTGATAAACCATAAATTAAATTTGATGTCCCTTAAGTCCCAATAATATTTTAGCTTTTAATTAAATGATTAAATTTAAATCTAAATATTTTAATGATTAAATGATATGTTCTCTAATTAACTTCTATATTGAAAAAGTTAATCAATAAAGATACCCTAAATAAAAATAAAAATGTGTTTGTTTTACTTTAAACATAATTCCAAACTCTATAGATTAGCACATTATGCTAAAGAAGAACCTAAGTAAAACGCCCCTTTTTCTTCTACTTTATTTTTTCTTTTAAAATATTGTTTTAATTTAGCTTTTATTAATTATTTTGTATCTAATATGCATTTCATTTTTTATAAGTGATTTAAATTTTAAAGAAAAAAGAAGATAAAATTATTAATTTAAATATAAAAAATAAAAATTAAATTTTTCAATACATTTATTTTATTGTTTGCAGTTATTTTTATTTTTATATTATTTTTGAAAAAAATAGACAATTCTTATTAATAATTTAAATAAATTAAAGTTAAATTAATATAATACTCAAATTAAAATTTTTCAAATATTCACTTATTTTATAATTTATTCTTTGCTTTAAATTACAAAAGAGATAGATGCCAATAATAGAAAAAATATAAATTACTCAAGAGAGAGTTTTAGTTTGGAGAGATTAGTTAATTTAGATAAAGAACATGCCAAATCTGATACACCTTATGATCCAATTTCATTAACCCTTTTATTTATTTTTAAATGAATTAAAATAATATTTTTCTATTACATAATAAATAGTATAAAAACAAACTGAGTAATTAATATTTTGATAGTTTGTTTATTTTCAATTGTTTTTTTTTAATTATTAAAAGTTTAATTAAATTAATTTATGTTGTTTACATAAGATATAGTTCTAAATTTGATATATTAGTACAATTATTCAATTCTGAGCTTAAACATGATACACCTTCATCTCCTAGTTTACTACTGCTTTATTTTAATGATGAAATCAATTTTAGAAATGAATACTAAAATAAAAAACAAAAAAATTCTATTGAATTTATTATTATTTTACTGTAACAATAAGTTTAATCTAGAAAGATATTTGCATTTTGATAAAGAAGAGCCTAAATTTTTAATACCTTCAATACCTATTTAATTGCCCCTTTGTTATTTATTGATAAAAGTATTTTTTTTTAAATTCTTGTTTATAAAATTAAATGCTGAAAAAAATAAAAATAAGTTTTGTTTTTAAATTTATAAATTATTAATTTTACATTAAAGTTTTGAAAAATTATTTAAATTATATAATAAAATTATGATTACACTAAATTAAGATACAAATCTGATAGATTTGGACAATTTACTAAAGAAAATGCTAAAAGTGAAATGCCTTCATCTCCTAATCTTTATTTACTTTGAGAAAATAAAATTTTTTATTTTATTAATTTATAAAATAGAAAAATCAAATTCTAAACAAAAATTAATAGATTTTAAATTTAATCTTTAAAAATTTTTTTTAGAAAATATTTTTCATTTTAAAAATAAAACAGAAAATTTTATATTTAAAAATAATAATTAATTTTACCTCAATAATAATTTCAAAGTTTAAAGTTGATAGCAATTTTCAAGAGCAAAACCTAAAGTTTGTATGTCTTATAGTTTTATTTCATTTGTTCTAGATAGATATAAAATATTATAAAAAATGTATCTAAAATAAACAATTAAACAAACTAATATAAAAATTAAGATATTTTAATAAATAAAATAATTTTACTAGAAATTAATAATTAAAACTGTGAGATTTGTACATTTAATTATAGCTGAACTTAAGTTCTTAATATCTTGTTCATCTGCTTCCTCTTAGCTTTGAGTGTTTGTTTGCAATAAATTAAGAAAAAGTTATTTCATTTTATTTCAAGAAAGAAACAAATAATAATTAAATAATAAATTAACATTTTTTTAAGAAATGAATGAAATAAATAATTTTTTTTCTAAAAATATTTTTATAAGCTGAAATTTATTTTACAGCAGCATTTAAATATATATAATTATCTATTTAATTATTATTTGTTAAAATTAATTTACTTTAATTTAATCATAACTTTATATTGTGATGATAGTGAAGAGTTAAGAAACTTTTTTTTTAGAAAAATTAATATTATTATCATTTTTTAAAGATAATTTTATACATCTTTTAAATGACCATAGTATTATAGTTTTTAATCCATTCTATATTTTAACTTTGTATTATTTGCTATTTTTTTATTTACTTGTTTAGTATTTTTAATTCATAATATTTGTTTTTATTTTATAAAAAATTAGATAATTTTACCTATAAAACAAAGTAAACTAAATTAAATTAAACAATTTTTGTATTTAAATCCAAATTTTTTTTTTTCTTTTTTTGCTAAATTTAATATTCTAAGTTTGAAATTTGATTGAAATATAATATGAAAATGTAGAATCATTTATTTAAATTAATTAATTATAATATTTTTTTTTGTTGGTTGTTAATTTGATTACTTTTATTTTATTAAATATATAATAATATAAAAATTAGATATATTTTAATTTATTGTGAGATGTTTAATTTTTGTAGGTATAATAAGAAGTTTATTTTAAGCAATAGCTCAAATATAAAAAATTAAAAATTTAATTATAGGAATAAAAGAATAAAGTAATACTCAAAAAGGAAGTATGTATGTGATCAATATTTAACTTAATTAAAATTTCATATGTAATTCGATACTTACATTTAAAATAAAATAATAGATTAGAAGGCAAATATTAAATCTTTATTAAAAAAATATATACTTATTCAAGGTATTTATTAATAAATCAATTATCTGATTGGATAAGAAAAATAAGTATTGATTATTAGAAAGGAGATCAAAACCAAAATATTTAATTAATTAACTATTTTGATAGCAATACATAAGAAAGTAGAATATACGAAAATAAAAATTATTAGTATTTTATAAAATATATACATAAAGAATTCACATGAACTAGCTGCACCATTATCCTGCAAATTTAAGTTCTGTTTACATTCAAAAGAGGTAAAAAAAAGAATGTTTATTTTTATCATCAATAGAGTATTTTACATATTATATAAGGAATTATGAACTCCATAAGAATAAGCTAAATGATATAGAGTTTAAGTAAAGATCAACATTCATTAAATCTGTTTCTCCTTCTCCTATCAGTATAATAAATAAAGTATATAATTAATGAAGTTTTAAATTTAAGTCTAATTGTTTTTTAACATTTTTATTATAGCCATAAAGCAAGAATTTTGTGATGAGTGGTAATTAATTAATGATTGAAAGCAATAATTATGATTAACAGCTTTTTTCATTTGAAAAGAAAAAAATAATAAAATTAAGAGAGAAAATACAAGACTTCTTGATAAACTTATTTAGATTTCTTAGAGAAATCCAGAATATAAAGTAAAATATTATTTTTTATGGAAACATTTAAAAGATTTTACTTAAAATACTATTTAAATTAATTCAATATATGCTTTATTATGAATTAAAAATATTGATAGAGATTTAAGAGTTAAAACCAGTCTTAAGATACTCACTCCAAATCTTTCAATTATAGGAAAACAGAAACTCAAAAAATATACCAAGAAAACTAAAGATTAGCCAACAGGTTACTAACCGCGTAATATATTTAAGTTGATTATTATAATTCAAATAATAATCGATTTACCAAATTTATTTGAAAAGAGAAGCCGTTACTAAGAAAAGTGAACTTGAAAAGTAGTATCAGCAATAAAGGAAAATAAAACAAAGAATAACAAGATCAGATTGGTAGCTCGCCCTTCCTCAATCAAGCAAGTAATTCTTAAAATTTTCATTTAATTTTAACAAATAATTTTAAGAAATGCTATTTCTCGACATTTGATTGCAGCCTCATTTGACAGATTTTAACTTCCTTACGTACCTGCTCCTAATTCTTTAAACTAAATAAATGTAAACTTAAAAAAATAAATGAATTTAATGAATTACTAAAAATATTTTAGATGAGTCTTTAATTTCCTATTTAAGTTGGTTCATAAGAAAGGTCTGGTTCTGTAAATGGCTAAAGGACTAAAACTTCTTTTTCTATAGACAGACAAAGTAATAAATTAATTTACTTGCTAATTTATAAAAATTTTAAACTTCTTTAAAAAAATAATAATTTAAAGACTTCAGAATGAATACTGAACCAATTCAATAAGGTTCAACTCCGTAATCAAATTTCTATCTCAAAAATCCCTATCTGTAGTAGTAGCTGAATTAGTAATAAAAATCTTTTAATTAAGATATTGACGAAGATATCTAAATCGATTTGAACGATAGTTAAATAAATTTGGAAATGTAGAATAATTAGTTTTAATAAAAACAATATGAATGTAATTAAAATAGTAATAAAAATATGCCTAACAATAACAACTAAAACAGAGGAGAAAAATATGGAACAAAACTATTTCTTATAAATTAGTAATATACTACTCCTAATTAGCAGCATTAAATATTACCCAATCAATAATTTTAATTACCAAACTAATATGGAAATAAAGAGAATCTAAATAAATTAGAAATTAACACTTATTCAACAAATCGAAATAGCACAAATAGCATTCCTCCTAGTAATTAAAACAATTAAAAGTAATTTTAACAAAGTTTTAATGGTTTTAATAATCAAAACTTTAACACTTTATCACAACCAACAGTTTTTAACAGGACTATGCAATTAAAAAATTAAGGTCTGTAAAATTAGAATGAATTTTGAAAAAATAAACTAGAAATAATAATAAAAAGTAAGTTTTAGTTTATAAAATCTAAGCCTAAAAAATATTAAGCAATTTTATAATATTTAAATAAAAATCCAATCAAAATAGCATAAAACAAGCCTTTCTTTAATAAGTTATTCAAAGTAAGTAAATATTAGCAATTTAGTTTTTTTAGTTTATCTAAAACTGCAAAAAATTATAACTAACTAACTTTAAATTTTTGTGGTAAAAATAAAATAAAGTTTTCTACTTCTTCAAATAATAAAGATGGTAAAAAATTATTTTCCTAAAATTTATATAAGTGTCTCTTTAAATTAATTTAATAAATTATTTGTTGTAATTTAATTGTAAAATTTGAATTTAATGTTTAGATATTAGTGTGTTTTAATGTTTTAACTTAGATATTTTAATTTAGTTAGCTTTATTATATATAAAATTTTGTATTTCTATGCTAATATTTACAAAAATTAATATTATAAATAGTTTTTTAAAAACTAAATCAAATATTATTTATTTTTAATGAATTAAGTAAGTAAATTCTAAAATAAAAATTGAATTTATTTTATATTTTAAATTAATTAGCCTAAATTTATATAGAGAATGTTTTATTTATATTTCTGCTGTAATAGTAAATCAAATTATATATACAATATTCAAAACTATTTGAAGAATCTATTAATAAAATAGAATAATATTTAACAAGACAAATAAGTTATTTTATATTAATTCTTGTTTTTCAATTAATTTTCTGCTTAATTAGTGTTTCACTGTAATGTCTTCATCCTAAAAGGACTCTTGCTATCCCTCATTTCCTTAAAGTCTTAGCTATAGTTTGGATTGCTGTTATTATTTTATAGGCTTGATTAGAAATATTGTTGTGGTTGGTTTTAGTATTAATTTGATTGTAACTAATTATTATTGTTTTATTTTTAAATCCCACTATAAAGCTGAATTTTTTCATCTTTCATTCTTCTTTCTAAATTAAGTCTATTTAAGATTTCCTTTTCTCTCGACTTTTCTGTCCCCAAAGGAGTGTTCTTAAATTGCCTTTTAATATATTTTAAAACTTAAAAATGCTAAATTTAATTTGATAAATACTCTTTTTATTATTTTTCTTATATTTTTGATGTATTTTCCTTATCTTGAATAATCACCTATTCTCTTCTTGCATTTTCTAACTGAATCCTTCTATTTATTTCTTTTTAGAGAATTAATCAACTTCATTTATGCTTTTTAAAAAGAAAATTAATTTACCTTCATCAATTTTTCTTTTTCTTTCCTCGAACTCAGTTAAAGATTGTTTCTCTATTTTTTAAATTTCCTAAGTGTTATCGAAGTAGCTACTTTGATAAGTTCCATTTAAATTTAGCTTGCTCTTTGGTAAACTTTGGCTTAAACTTAAGGTGTCCCTTTTTTTATCACTCTTATCATCTAATTTATAATAAAATATAAATTATAAATTAACAATTTAAAATATGATTTTACTATATTTAATACTATAATCTATAGACCCTTTCTTTGATTTCTTAAAGTTTATAATGTCAAATTCCTAGGAATTCATTAATTCATCTTCTATTTTTATTGGTTGATTATGCTCAGGTTGTTATCTATTATTATTACTAATAAAATTTGGTTTTCATAAAAGAACTATTTCAAAAAGATGCTTACTATTTAATATCTGATTCTATTAAAACAGATCTGTTATTATTTGAATTTTTTTAGTTTGGTGAGATATTTTATGCTTTTTTATTATAATAGTTATCAGTGCTCTTAGCAAAAGATTTTTCAGGTATTCTTTCCTATTTATTCATATTTTGTTGGTAGTTTTAGTTAAAATGGATGTTATTATCTTTGTGTTATGAAACTTAAATGGGGTTCTTATACTGAGACATTTAAGCATGATCGATGCTCTAAGTTTAAGGTGTTTGTTAGTTTTATTAGATCATGATTTCATTCTTTTTAGGAGTTGTTTTAGATGACACATTATTTAATATATTGTTATTGATCAATGCTTTCTTAATCAGATTAAGTTCTTCAAACAATTCTTTTTAGGCTTAAAGATTTTTTCTGACCAACTAATAAAAAAAATATACAATTTAAAATAGTTTATCTATCTATATAAAATACCTTATAAAGATTATTAATCTCATCGAAATAATCGTTTTGCTTCAATTTATCTTCTTTACTGTTGTGCAAATTTTCAATTTAGTTTCTTGAAATATCAGTGGCTTCTATTAATTTTAAAAGATTATTGTTAAGATTTGCAATTTATACTATTTAAAAAATTTATCCGTTATAATTAACAACATAGCAAAATTCTTAAATTTATGTTTGTAAAACAAAAATAAAATTTCAACTTGGGAATTCCTCCTGGATTTTATTTAAAAATGCGTTCAGCTTTGTATCAACCCTTGAGCTTAAAGCCACAATTTTTTCATCAAATATCAAAATCTTTCCTTCAAATGCTGATTTTACTGATTCAATTTGCTATGTTTGTTTAAGTATTTAATTAGTTAATCTTAATATCTGAAATAAGTAAAATTAAAGCTAATTTTACTTGATTTAATTTCTCATATTTGTTATCTTATCTCTTTAGCTACTATAATTCTTGATCCAATGAATAAACCTTTTGCTATAGTGCTTCCTATTACATAAAATAACTTTTATCACTTGCTAATAATTATTTTAACTACTTAATTCTTCGCCTAAGACTCTAGATGGTCTAGTCTCATCAATATTTATCTAATCTTTTATTTAAATTAATCGAATTATTAAATGTGTAATTCTATTTATATAAAAATTAATAAAATTAATACAGAAAATGGCTCTTCATTTAATTAGTCATAACCTTAATTATGAATCGTTGATGGTTTATAATGCTAAACATTTTGATATTGTGTTTGGTCATTATGTGACTTGCTGTTAGATACCCCAAACGTATGTTAGTGCTAAGACAATCGAATCTACTTATTTAAAAAATATTACCTACTCTCATTTAAAAATGAATTTTGTGTTTTACATTATCTTCTTACTAATACCTGTTCATTTATTAACTGCTATTTTGGTCTTAGAATAAAATATATAATCAATCAACTATTTAAACAAATCTCTTTTTAAATAAAATACAGTAATCTAATTTTTGTATGATGAATAATTATTAAAATTCTTAATTAATTTTTCTATCTATTAATTACATTTTTTACAATTGATTTATCAAATTTAACATTTTTAATTAAAGTAAAACCTGTAAATACTAGTTATTTATTATTCAAATCAAGTTTGCTTTTATTATTTTTCATCCAATCATAAATTCATTTTTTGTTAAAAGAATAAAATAAATCTAAGCTATTTGTTTTATATAAATTAAAAATAAAATTTTTGTCATAAAACTTTAATTTGATTTGGCTAATTCATAACATTTTAAATAATTAATAAAAAACTAGGTGTCATGTAATATTTGATTCAGAACACTAATCAAGTTATTATCACTTCTAAAAATTTCTTATCAAAAATTAGGTTATTGATTGATTATTAATAGAATTCAGTTATAGAGAAAGAAAATAATTTAATTGCTTATTTAGTTTGTAGTGTTTTGATTCTATATTTGAGGTAATATTTTATTTAAAATACTTACATTAATTGTGAAGAGAGAATTACTATCATATAGATATAGAAATAAATAACATTTATATATTTTAACGTATCAATTTGATAAAAAATCAAATCATAAATTTCGAAATTAGCAGTAAATTTTAATTTTACCAAACAAATAAACAAATAAATTAATTAATTTATCAATAAACAATTCCTTAAAGTAGCAAAAAATTACAGAAAGAGTAATTGTATAAAAGTTGTTTAACTTAAGGAGTGGTTGGTATCCAATTTGATTGTAAAAATAAAGAATAAAGGAGATATCAGTTTATAGTTTTTTTAAATTAACATAAAAAAAAATAAGGAATAAAAGATTTTTGAGGGAATAGCAAGCATTTATAAGCAAACATAATTTTTATAATCTTTTAATTAAGATAATATGTCAGAAAATTAGTAAATAATTTAAGCAAGAAATCACTCAATTCCTAAATAGGAGAATAATTAAAATAAAACTATTTAAAAGGATAATTAAGATTATCAGTTGGCATAAAATAATTTGAATGAAAATCCAGTGATTGCTATAATAACAATCCAACTGAATGAAAACATATTCTAAAATCTAGAAATAAGATTTAATGATGAAGCTGGAGAACTTGCAAAGTAATTTTGCTAGCAAACTAATTTGGATCCTCAAATGATTCCGATATTAGAAAATAACATATTAGAGTATAAACAAATCGCAATTTAAGATATTTACTAAAAGGAAAGAGATAATGAAAATATTTTGAAAAGCTAAGAGCAAATAAAAAATGATAACATAGACTCAAATTAAAATGGTAGATAAAATAATTAAATTTAAGGTTTAAGTGAGCATTAAAAAATATAATAACATCAAATATAGCTAGAAGAAAACTAAGAATACACTCCAGCTATAAAAAGGGTTGATAGCTCATTCTAAGCTAATGTTAAAGACTAAAATAAATAAAATTAATATATAAACTAAATAAAAACTTAATAGAACGATGCTACGAAATAAATTAAAATGCAATTTCCTCCTCCTACAAATAATGTCATTAATAATATGCACTTAGATAATCCTTAGCTCAGCAATATTGCTTGGGTTCCAGAAAGAAAATCGTCTAATATTAGTGAAAATATTTCAGTTTGTGAATAGTAAAATTCTTACCAATAAAGTAGAGGTAGAGCTGAAAGTTTTTCTAATTACTCAGTTGCTAATTCATAAATATACGATTAACCCTAAAATTTATTAAAAATGATGAATTCTTTTGCATAAAATAATTTTAATAACAGTCTTTATCAGTCATCATCAATATACTTTTAAAAATCTAACCAAAGTAAACTTTTAATCTAGTTTAATTTATAAAAAATGTGCTTTGAAATCTTAAACTTGTTTGAAATTACTAATATTAAAGTTAAAATTTATGTTTTTATTTTGCTTAATTGCATAGCAATATCATTAAATAAAATTAAAAGAATTTTTTAAAAGCTCAAGAAAATCTAAATCATGTTAAAGCTTATTTGAAAATATTTTATAAAAATAGAAAAGAGCCAATAAAATTAAGAAATGGTTAAAAGTAGAAGTTAGTCTCTATTTAATAAATCACATAATGATTGTTCATTTATTCAAAATACAGAATGTACTTTCAAACCTACTATAAATCCTATTAGTGAATAGATAGTTTAAGAAAAATAAAAACATTTATAAAGAAGCTCAACTCATGAAAGGCTTTATGAAATGGTAATAATATAAAAGACAATCAATTATAATAAATAAGTAAATAAAAATGCTTTTTATAATAAATAGGGGTTAAATAAAATATAGCAAAAAGATGATTCTTTTGATAAAAAATCAGCAAGAAATGAAAGAAAATCCTATAATCCTTCATTAAATTAATCAGTTTAAGGTAATTTATACGGAAACATTTAAAATATTTATTTTGATTGTTATAAATAGCTATCACAGAAAGACTCTTTAACTATTCAAAAAGACACTAGTTACAAAAGTATTTTTTATTGTAAAATAAAGCTTAGGTTACATTAATTGATTTAAAATAGGTAAAAAGATTTGCAAAAGAGCATTCAAGAAAAAGAACTTAAAGAATTATAAGAATGCACTCATAAACCATAGATAAATGAGATTTCTTAAAAATTGATAGTAAATCGATTAGCATATTAAATAAAAAAACTATTAATGATCAAATAAAAAACTAAAGATGTAAAAAAGAGGAGATCCTGGCAGGAGAATAGAAAATGAATTAATAAATTAAAATAAGTACTCTGAAAAGAAAAAAAGTATTGCAAAAGCCAAAATTTTAGAAGAAGAAATGAAAGGCTGCACATTTTAGCCAAGAATAAACGAGCTAAGTGAATACATTTGCAATATGAAAGAATAAAAAGATAATTGTGGCAATACCGAGAATTAAGATAAATAAAACAAATCAAAGCAGCAACAAAGATTTGAATATCTCTTTGAAATAGGAAAATAAAAGAGCTTTTAAAAATCCTAACCTACCCCTGCTTAATTAATGTAAATTTTATTAATTAATTGTCTAAAATCTAAAAAAACTCTTATAAATTTAATAATTATCAAAAATTTAAAAAACTCTTATAAATATACTTAAAAATATGTAATTAAATCAAAAACGAATTTTTATTCGAGAATAATTCTATCAGTAATTACTCTTATAAATTATCTAAGCTATAATACATTCAATTAACATTATTCTATACAAAGACTAACAAAAAAGCGATTATATAAATCCGTAACACATAATTAAATAGAGTCATTTTAGCTTCTTTTTTGCAATTTCTAAACAGTTGTATTTGAAATTCTTATACAATTTTTTGAAGCTTAATAGAAAGTGTCAGGCTTCAGATGCCTTTTTAGTCTCATTAGATAATTAATAATAAAGAGAGTATAATTATTTTTTTACCTATCAGAATTGGTAATATGAAATTTTGCAAAATGACCCAACTATTTAATAGTCAAAATTAAAAGAATAAAAATATAAAGTTAATTGCTTCAAAAAAAAATTTGTTTAAATTTATTTAAGAAAGAATGCAAGTAATTTAACAAAACGTAAGGTTTGTTTTATATGATTTTTAATAATTTTTAATATTTTTTGAGAAATATTCTATTTAAAATGGATGTTTGTTATTTAATAAAAAGTTATTACATACAGTTAAAAATAAATTTATTCTCTTATAGAAATTAAATTTGATACTGTCTAATAAATTTTTGAATTTTTCGTGTTTAGATAGTTTTATTCAACCCCTCTTTGATTATTAATGCAAATAGAAAAAGATAATTGCTTACAATTAACCATCATTCATTAATTTAAATGATCAAAAGAACTTTATTTATTTAAAAGTGACAAGAACTGCCTTTTCAAACCTGAAATAAACAAAGTATCATAAGACATTAGGAGTTCTTTTTATGAAAGAATATAGCAATATAAAGTGATAAGATAAGAAAAAGAGATTAATTAATTGCGCTAGAAGTTAAATGAATTTAAAGATAAGCAGACTGGATAACCATTTTTTCGGCCATAAACTGGTCGAGCTCCATTTAAAGTATAAAACAAACATATTTTTTATTTAGTCTTTGAATGAAGTTTTAAAAGATTTATTTATTTGTTTATTAATAAAAAATAGTAAAGAAATCAAGAAAATTTAAATGTAAATGAGTTCTTATATCAGTAATTTAAAATAGATAGTAGCAGAAAAGAGAGGGAAATATTAGAAAAGTAGAAAGAAAAACCTTAGTTACAGATAAATGATAACTCTAAAAAAATAGTCTAGCAACTCGAAGATACTAGATTGAGGGAGATATTTAATTTGTTAGATGACGATTAAGATGGATAGATTGACTCGAAAAATATTAATATTACTAGTATCTCTCCAAAAGTACTAGAGTTAATTTCACCTGTTTTATATGAAATGGAGGATTATCATTTTCAGTTAAACTATGAGGAATTCAGCCAAGCTATAAAGCGTTTGGCAAAGGTAAATGAAGAATTTATTAAAATTAATTATTTATTTTATTCTTGTGTTTTAGTAGAAGAAATAAAAGCTGTTATAGACTTATTAATTAAAATTTGATTTTTTTGTAAAATGGAATCAATTTGAATATTTTTTAAAATAATAAGGGAATGACTTCTCAATAAAAAAATGATTTGTTCTTATATTCTAAAAAGCAGAGAGAATCCAATCATAAAAGTTCAAATTAAAATTTACATGTATGTATTGACTTAGATTTGTTATTTTTCGTTTAGTGATAATTTTTAATTAATTAAAAAGTAGGTAACAACAGGTAACATAAAGAAGAATAGTAGTTCATTATCTGTAAATTTAAAATATTGAAAATGATTTAAAATGAATGTATGTATTTATATAGAGTTAACTAACATATTTATAGTTTTAATTTATGTGTATTAAATACTTTAATAATGAAAGAAAAAATATTATGTTTTTATAAAACTAGTTTGGTTTCTTTATTTATTTATTTCTTTGTTTGTTTGTTTGTTTGATTATTTGTTTGCTTCCACAAAAATTAATTGATAAATGATGCGTAAGTATTTGTACTTTTGACTAAATTCTATGGTGATTACTATTTTTTTATTATAAATTATATTCTTTTATTTTCTCTTTCAAATTTTAGAAGATATTACACTGTTTTTAATTAATTTATTAAATAGCTAAGCCAAGAATTTTAATTTACACTTTGCACATTTAAATTAATGATTGATAAAAAATCTCAAGCAATCATGTGCGTATGTAAAAATATTTTAGCAAGTGTTTTTATAAAGAAATAAATGTAAGGGTAGGTATTTTTCTAAAGATATATACGAGAATTGTTTTGATTTAAAGTCTGATAAATAAAATAAGTAGGTAAGAATTTTATTTTTAAGAAAAATATTTTACATTTACAATATTTATAAATAAATATGGAGGATTTTTTGGTAATTTTAATTAATTCTATTATTGAAGATACAATTTTTAATGAGTAAAGTAGTTTTATCTCTTTTATATTGAGAGTTTGTTTTTATTTTAAATATTGGTATTTTGTTTGAAATTTGAAGCATATGCATATTTGTATGTATACATTCGATTTGTGGTTTTTTGCTTCTTTTTTTATCTCTGATTTTAAGAATTTGTCAGAATTAAACAAGTAAATTAATTTAAATCTTTAATTACTCGTATAAAGAAAAACAAATGAAGAATGATGAATTGATCATTATGATCTCATAGAGGAAAGAAAGCTCATACTTTCATTTAAATTTTTAGTGTGAGCTATTTTAGAGATCTTCGTTATTTAAACCTTAACTTTTTAGATTATATTTTACAATTATTGTCTCAAATGTTCTTAAATAAATTATGTATTGTTATCATCCATCTACTTTTAAATGTATTCTAAGATACCAATGAATAATTAGTAGTAATCTATGTAATTTTATTCGTTAGACATATTAAAATTATCTTGGTTATGGTTTTAAAATTTATCGTCAAAAGGATTTCTTGAGTAGGTTGAGAAATTATTTATTTTGTTAGATTAATCAAATTAAATATTTTTAATATAATTCTGAAATTATTCAGATACTGATTAGTTTGATGTCTAGATAAATTTCGCAGATTGTTAGAAATTATATTTAAATTTTATACTAAGTTCTATGTAATCTTAAATTTTCTTTTTTAAGGGTTCTTCTTGCTTTGTTTTCACCATCCACTAAACTAAAAAGTTAGTGGTGTAAAGGCACTGCCATTCTTTATTCTAATTGTACTGGGCATATTCAAATAAAGATTATGCGAGAAAGTGAGCTAATTTACTTGTATAAAATTTAATAATATACATAAGTTATTTCGTTTCTGAATAATTTTATAATGAGGAATTTATGATTTATTCAATTTCAATTAGATTTTCATTTAACTAATTTACAATTAAATTTAAATTTATGTCCTGATTTATGCTAGGTAAAGCAGTACTCAACGATAAGATAGTTGTAGTAAGATCAGAGTGTCTAAATAAACTATGGAACTATTTTTATTAGCCAATACTTTGTCTATCCTACTGAAATCCACTCAATTTTTCAGTATTTGATATTTATTATTTTGATCTTTTAATTTTTACTTCTGAATGAAAGTCATGTGCTTGACTAATATTAATGCTTTAATTTGATTAATTAATATTTAATTTACTAAGTGATTAATTAAGTTGTGATTCATTTAATAATTAGTTTTGAGATTTATCAATAGAATGAACTTCTTAATTTTTATAAAATTAATCATATTGCTAGATTTATTCTTAATTGTAGTTAGTGTTATCATCTACGATAGTGTATTAGCTCTATGATTATGAAATCTATTTTGGCTTTTATGCCTTCACTTGGATTTTTTTTATTTTATTTAAATTCTAAAAGTCGAAATCAAAAATTTATGTGCATTCTTTTGCTTCATTTCTCAATTCTCTTGAATCATTTTGACCTGGGCCTTTGAAATTTGATATAGGTTTATCTTTAAAAAGATATTCTTTAAGCTTTTTGTTCACATCTGGCATAGAGGGTCGGCAATCTTCATACCTTTGCAGCATAGATAAAAGAAGATCCTTCACGAATTAAGAAGTGTTTTCTTTAGTTGGCAGATCTCTCTTTTTATGCATAAAATCATGCATCGCTTTTTATAACTCTTCTTCACCTGAGTTTTTTTCGCAAAAAGGAAACCTTTAGTAAAGAAGGTAATACAAAATAATACCCATTTACCAAACGTCATTCTTATATGGATTGTAACTCATGTAAAGTACTACCTAGGGTGAATTAAACAATTTAGTGCCACACATTTAATCATCGTCAGATTTTTTTAACAATGCGTGTCCAAAGTCTATAATAATTAATTAGTCTTGCTCTAAGCTTATTAAAATATTTTCTAACTTGAGATCTCTATGGCAAATATTTTATTAGTGTAGTAGCGACAGACCGCTTGTGAGCTAATAAAAGTATTTAAGCTTGTCTCTTTCAGAGATCTTGCTTAAGGCATCGTTTGTCTTTAAAAATTAGCTAAAATCAATAGAATTATCATAATACTTCATAATAATGTAGGAATAATCATTCTCATTTATAATATAAGGGTCTTCTATTTCTAAAATGTGTTTTGAATTTTACAAAATTTCTTATTCATCCGAACTTAGAACTCCATGTTTTTTTTATTTTATTTTTTCTATTACTTCTTTTATGACTTTTAATGCGTTTATCTCATTACTAATCATTTAAAAAGCTTAATTATTCTAATGAATTTCTTTCACTGCAACTAAGCGATCATTCGTCTTATCTTTAGCAAGATAAACCTTAGCAAAATTTCCTTCTCCTAATTGTTTTATTATTTCCAATCTATTTCCTATTGTTTTTATTGTTTATGCTTATAAAAACATTTTATTTTTTTTTTTTAAAGATCTTGATTTTTAATTAAGTTATGGTTTAATAAACATTATAAGATTATACAAATCATAAATCACAAAAAATAGATAAATAAATAATCTCGGATAAATTTTCCTATCAAAATGGAAATTTATGTAAAAAAAAAATCTAAGAGATTAAGTTTACTTTTAAATTTTTTACATAAATATAAGAAGTAAACACTCTGGAGAAGTTACTTAGCCAGTAAGTATTATAAAATATGTAATAATCTTCAGCATAATAAGCATAAATATTGCTTAATCTTATACGGTACAAATATATTTTGATAAAATAAAATTTGTTATACAATACAAATTCTAAATTAGTGTTAGAATAATTGATTTATGTTATCAAAATAAAAAATACACTTGCTTCATTTAATTTAAAATTGAAAAAGTTTTAGATTTATTTATAAACTTTAATAAATAATAAAAATGACTTAAAGTCTTATTTTATTATATAAAAATTAATAAATATAAAACATGGAAGGAAGTAATAATTTTTATGTAAATTAATTTATCTATTTCCAGTTTTTTGAAGACTTTATTGGTTTATGATTTTTTTATACATTAAATAAATATTTTTTAAATTAAATTTTAACAGACTAAAACATTGTTATTATACATTCTGATAATATCCACGTATTTATCAACATTTTATTAAATTATTTTGATATAATAGCATCAATAATTGTAAAATTAATTAGTAGAAATATATCTCTCAATATAGATAAAAATAAACTTGAGCTATGTTAATAAAACAGAAAGTAATATCAAATCTTTAAATTAAACTATTATGATATTTTAATCTATTTTTAAATAATTATTGACCAATCTTTTTGTTTTTGACTGCGTTTCATCTTTAAAAATAAATTAAATTGAGTTAAATTTTAATACAGATATAGTAAATTATATTAGTTTTTTTAAATGTCAATTGTTGATTGATTGAGTTAATAATTAAATTATTTCACAAATCTTTGTTAAAAAATATCTTAAAAATTTTCAAAAGAAAATTAAAAATTATTAAAGGAAATGGTAAAAGAAGATAGAGAACGTAAGCGCTAATAGAGAGAATAGGACGTTATGAAATCTGAATAGGCTGAAAAGAAAAAGAAACTCTTCAGCTATAGTTCATTCATAGAGTTCTTGAGAAATAATAACTTGAGAGAAACAAACATCATCCTAGGTTAGTCCAGATTCAACTTATTCAATGGTAAACAAATATATATTCATTATTTAGGTTATTCTCAAAACTTTAAAAGCATGATTGAAATCTCATTTAAGACAAGAAAATATTAATTAAGGAGCGAGATATATTAATAGATTGTGTCCTTTAGCAGTTTAATTATCTTTAGCCTTCTGCTACGGCATTTTAATTTTAGGTTTAGTTTATGCTGCTTCATATTATACATGAAAAATAAATAAAAAAACAATTTATTTATAAAAGTACATTATGTATAAAATAAACCTTCTAGGCTAGCATTTTTAAAGTAGCTAACAGAGATAAAGATAGGAATAAAATATATATTGAATTATTAGCTTTTAGCTTCTTACAATCAAATACATTTATATTGATTTAATGATTATTTTAATAAAATAATCTAACAGGAAGACAGTTTGCAGAAATACTAGAAAGACATCACAATGAAATAGTTGAAATACTTAAAGATTACTATGATGATGAATCAGAGGCATTAGAAGGCAAAAAAAGAGTTAATCTTGTTAACTTGTAAAAAAAATTAGTTTTGTGTAGCAAATATGCAAGTTTTGAATATTATTTTTATAAAACTTTAGCCTTATACAAGAACATATTATTGTTAAAGTCGAATAGACAGTATAAAAATCGAAAATAAAAACTATCACTGACATGTACACAGCTAGCAAGGTAGTCTTTCATTTACCTTTAGATTTTTTTGTTTCTTCAATGAAAGCATTAATTTTAGGCTTTACGTTATGCTTGCATTTAAACTGATTTAATATTTTAATTAAATTAACAATTATTTTGGATCAAACGTGGCTAATTGTTTATTTATTTATTTAATATACCTAATAAAAACAGTAATAACAAGTTGAAGAAGATTCTTAAATTATATCTGGATTCTTTGTTTTTAATCCACACATTAAAGTCTAATCCAAAAAAAACTACGTCTATATGATCCTTATTCTTATTGGCATTGCCCTCATCATCCTCTTTCCCGTCTGGCCTATTTCCATCAAAAAGCTTATTTTCTATATCTCTGTAGTCATGCTCTTTGTATTACTTGGTTTGATCTTAGTCAGAACATTTTTATACTTTTTAGTTAGAATTTTCGGATTCGACTTCTATATCTTCCCTAATCTCTTTGCAGTAAATATTGATTATTTCATCAAATCTTCTATTAAATTCTTTATTTATTTAATTAATTAGGATGTAGGATTTTTAGACTCATTCAAGCCTATTATTTAACTTGATTAATGTAATGATAGCAAATTGGAGTTACTTTTTAGATTTGTAGGTTTCTTTATTATGGGTTATGTTATCTATATCTTAAGCATAGAGAGACATTCAGTTAAATGTAAAATTATATGATCATTTTGATGATTAAGCTTTTTTTTCTTCAATTATTATTTATTTATTTTAAAAGAATTCAGTACAGCAACATTTGATGATATCATAGATTGGGGATACCAAAAACTTGAATATGTTTAGGTAATAAAAAGATTTAGAGCCAATTTCCAAATTTAATATTTTAAAATTAAAATTATCTATCTAGCCTGAAGCTCCTCACAATAGTATCTTACATGAAATTGAAAAGGAAGATTTAGAAGAAAGATTAAAGTAACAAAATTAAAATTAAGAGCAACATGGCACATAATTTGATGAACCTCAAAATGATGAGCAACATGGAACATAATTTGATGAACCTCAAAATAATGATAATTGATCTCTTATTTAGATAGATAGCTAGCTCTAAATTCATTAACAAAATTAAACATCATCTTTTATCTTATCAAATTTTATAAATTGTAAATTAAAATGTAGATTTTGTAATTAAATTAAAATTACCTTCTCTAAATTTACAAAAATAAACAGATTTATTTTTTAAATTTGCTAAACTTAATTTTATTCTTAATATAATAGTGAAATAGATTTTTATTTTTTTTCAAATATTAAAATCTATTTACTATAATTAACTTTTTCTTATTCCTTTTTTAATTTCTATAAATTAATCTTTTGTTGATTTTGATTAATTTAAAAATTTTCAGTAAATAGAAGAAATTTAAAATAACTCAAAATATCAGAAAAAGCAATATATAAATAAATATATTTTTATAAAAAATAAAAGGAAGATTAAATTTTTTATTTGAGAAGGTAAAATTAAAAGTAAATTCAATATGTAAACAATACTTTTTAAATTCATAAAGTAATTTGAAATTAGAGTTTAACTATTAGATTGTATAATATTACATTTAAATTAAAGTTAGTTTATTAGTTATTATCAGATATTTCCATAATTATTATTTACTCATTCTTTTATTTATTTTATTAGTTGATTGCTGATTTGATTGGTTTGTTTGTTTGGTTTATCTTCTTCATTAATAAAATTGTTTGTTATTCTACACAAAATTTTCCTTTTTTAAATATCAATTAATTACATCCTTTAAAACTTTTCTTTTTAAAATTAATCTGTTTGAAATAAAATTAAGAAAGTGGTGACAAATTTTCTACATTACTAAGATTATTCATTTTATTGGCTAAGGCTAATTAATTTTGATAGTTAATATGTTGATTGATTGGTTGATTGATTATCTAGTTAGCTAGTTAACTTTTAATGAATTATTTTCTAAATCACTCATCATCTAATTATTAATTAATTACTAATTAATTTTCACACATTATCAATCTAATAATATAATCTTATAATAGGTAATTAATGGTTTTATTAAAATAAGTTAATTTACAAAGATAAAATGAATTTATTTATTTATTTGTTTATTTTTTTTATTTGCATTTGTATTTATTTATTTATAGTTTTTTCATTTTGTGTGAGGTTTGATTGATTGATTGATTTAGTTAAATGGAAAATAATTTAAATTTTAAAGGGCTGTAATTATGCTTCATAATTTTATTTATGCATTAACTTTAATTTATAAGTTTTTTGTTGAAACCTTAATTTATATTATAAATGGAGTGGTTGGTCTTTGGTTTATTTTCTGTTTAAGTTTATTATAATTTGGTTCTAATTTTTTGTAGTAGTTTCTCACTGATAAATTAGATAGTTGATACTAATATTTTATTAATTAAAGTTATTTATTTATTTATTATTTTCAATATTTGTTTCCTGCAGTTCTACCTGATCTTGTTGTTGTAGTCGCTGATGACTAGTTTTAGTTTGAGGCCGAGTTAGAGTTATTGGTATTAGATGAGCCATTTCTCAATTTATTTTTTTCTGGGGTTACACGAAGTTTTGTGCGATAAGAATTAAAGTTGTTATAGCCTGGAGGATGATTTCCTGTCTTTGATCTTGTGTTTCTCTAGTTGACTGTACTCTTACCACGTGTATTTTTCTTATCTTAATCGTCCTCATTTTAATCATCATCTGAATTAAATTCATCATTATTATTATTATTTTCATCATCATTGTTTTCTTCTTGCTCATCTTCAATATCCATTTAAGTTCCACTACGAAGTTTAACATCTGTATTTTAATCGTCATCAATGTTATTAGTTGAAGGTTGCTGATGGAACATGCTTCTTTTGTTCAAGTTTGCTCTTTTACGAGTTCTTGTTTTTTAATAATCTCCATGATTGCTGCCTTCCCAGTCATTATTATTTTCTGATTTATTATCGTTTTCATCTTTTCCTTCTTCATCTTCGTTACTTGGAGCTTTTTGTTTTTAGCCAAACTTGCTTCTTTTTTCATCTGCATTTCTTCTGTTACGACCCTTTTAGTTGCTATTGTGAGTTTCATCATCTTTGTCTTCATCACCATTCTTTTCTTATTCAGCAAGAGCTTGTGCCCTTCTTGTATTGGCACGACGAGTAGTTATTTGATTGCGATTATTAGAGCTGTTTTGTTAATTGTTATTTCCATCATCATCTTCTCCATTGCTATCATCTCCTTCAGCTCCATCGTCATCATTATCATTTCTGTTTTCACTATCTTAGTCTTCATTATCGTCATCTTCTTCTTCATTATTCTATTGTCTTTCTTTCATTTTCTACTAATGCTAGAGCTTGCGCTATTAACTAAGTTTTATTCTTTCCTATTCAGCCTCTTCTTTTTTCTTACGATTGAGTTCACGAATTCTTTACTCTTCTTCATACTTCTCCTTGAATTCTTCGTCAATGCAGCAACGGAATTTATCCAAATCACTTTTAATGAAGTCATCACTCAAGATAAGCTTGACACCTTAAATTTATTTTTAGATTTATATTAAAAGAGATTTTGTATAAAATTTTAATTACCAAAAGCTAGTTCATTAATGAAATATTAAAAGTAATTAAAATTGTGATGAGGATATTGGTGTGTATATTTCTTTCTGCTTGGAAGAATTTCTTGGGATTATTCTTTTGGTTAAAACTTGGATTCTATTCTCTTTTTATAAGGTTAAGATATATCATATTAGTATTCTTTGTATTAGTCATTATTTTTTTATTTAAAATCTCCTGTGTGAGTGCTCATTTTTTCATTATCGCTAGGAACCTGTGAAGTCGAAGCATTTCCTAAAGCTGCTTGTCTTCTCTTTGAAGGAGTTACCTTCTTAGTAGATTGCTTATTCTCAGGCTCATCCCATTATGTTTAGCTTCCAATTTAGTTGGAATTATTTAATCTATTTCTTGTCTTTTTACCCTAGCTTTGGTTTGTTGAATTATTTTAGTTTTAGTTAGAGCTATTTACTTAAATATTTTATACACTTCCAATATTTGTACTACTTCCAGTAGCACCATTTCCCTAAACATTATTTACTTAGGGACTGTTATTAGAAGGATTGTTTTATTTTTTATTTTTCTTTTAATCACATTTCTAGCAGTAATATTTAAAGTCTTTTGATTTGTAAATTTTTTTAATTTTAGCATCATTTCTAAAAGCAGCTTCGCAGTCAACATGATTCTTATAATTTAAAGAAGTTATTTGGCATTGTAAAAAAAAAAGATATAAATAAAAACTGAGAAAAAATTAATTACCCATTTGCTACAGCTCTCGCATCCAACCCACTCTTTGACATCAGCACATGATTCATTATTTTCATAAACTTGTTCGCAGTAATCACAATGATAACCCTTGTTAAAGCACTCAAAGCATTATTGACAGAACCAATAAAATTTACCTTCAGTGCTTTTTGAGTTAGCTTTTTGAAGATTGATAGGAGCTTTTTTGCAAAAATTATTGCTACATACTTTTGGAACAACTTGATTTTGATTTTATTTAGACTAAGTTGTATTAGAGGAGTTATTTGCACTTTTAGAATTACTATTGTTCAAATTGTTATTATTGCTAGATTTTTTATTTTTCTTATCTCCTATTTTTAAGAAACAAATAAATAAATAAATTAAGATATGATAAGATTTTTTCAAGTTAAAATTTGGAAATTATTTATTAATTAATTAATTTGTTTTTGTAGCAAAATTGGTATTTAAATAAAAATTAAAAACTGAATTTGTATTCAAATAAATCTTAATTAGAGTAAATAAAAAGTTATTTTAGTGACAAATAAGTCTTTCAGTCATTTAACTTCTATTTCAATAAAGAGAAAGAAAATATGCAAAATTTATTTGTTCGCTGTTGGAGAAATTGGATTTATTTTCAAATTCAAATAAATATTCACAAGAATATATATAGTAAATTTTGAAAGAGTTTTATGCCTCAAAAATAAAGTGAGAAAGTATAATTAATTAATTAATATTACCTGCTTTAGATTTTGCATCGCTTTTTTCATTATCTTCTTCTTCATTAGATAAGTAACCATCATCTTTTTTAGAAAAATTATTTTTGTTGAAAATTTAAATTATAGAAAAAAAAATAACTAAATGAAATTATAATGGGATTTATTAATTAAATTTTGAATTACTTTTATCTTTTTTATTGCCTTTTTTTCTATTTGCAGTAGATTTTTATCCTTTTTATAATTTCTTGTTTTTTCCTTCATCTTCTTCTTCGTCTTCTTCGTCGTCTCCTTCTTCATCCTCCTCATTTTCTTCAATTATTTCATTATTTTTATTAGCTTCATCTTTTTCTTACTCTTCTATTTCCAAATTTTCTCCTTCTTTATTGTTTTAATCTTCATTGCTTGCTTCATTTATAACAAGCTCGCTTTATGCTTTGTTATTTTTCTTTGTATCTTGCTTTCCTTTTGTGTTATTGTTTAGGACTTGCATTAAAAGATCCTCATTTCTCTTAACGCTATCTTACTAAGGTTTATTTTTACTATTCTAAGTTCCATTACTTTGATTACTTTATTGCTTTTGTGGTTGTATGGGCTCATCATCATCGTCATCAATTACTTATATATCTTACTCCTAGATCATTGTTGACTTAAAATCGTCTGATTTTTTTGGTCTTTTTTTCGTAGGGCTTTCGCTCATGCTTACAGAGTGAGAATCATTTTAGTTTCCTACCTTTTTTGTTTAATTTACGCTATTATAGTTTCTGCTATTAACATCTTCAACTATTGTAATATAATTAATCAGATCAGATTGGTATGCAAAAAATAATATGATAAAATAGCTCTTTTATAATATAAATTTAAAATTTGAATAAAATTTTAAGAAACCATATATTTTTACATACGTCATAAAATCTATCAATATTCATTAAATATTCAGAATATCGAGTCAAATATTTATAATTCCAAAAAATTAAAAAATCCAAAATTTGGTTATCAAAAATGAATTCTATGAAATTAAATAAAAATTGATAAAGCTTTTCATTCATATTTGCTTTTGGGAAGACAGTAGATCAATCAATGTAAATAAGAAGTACGAAGAAGAAATTGGTAAGGGTAATAGCCCTAGAAAAAGATAATAAATTTCTAAAAGCAATAAGGAGGGAAATTAAATTTAGTAAGTAAAAATAGAGTGCGCGTGTGTGTATGTATGCACAAAGAGTTAAGGAGAAATAATCACAAAAAAATTGGAAAATTTTGCATTTATGGGGGATTGTTAAAAATATTATCGATTGATTGATGACTTTATTTTTTGTACTAATTAAGTGGATTGAAATTAAGGATTAATTTAAATTGAATAAGAATAAATTCAGATTTTATTTATTTATTTATTTATTTAATTTCCTTTTGTCTATTTATTTATTTTTTTTTAACTTTTTTCCCCTAAAGCAAATTCAAAATTTTTATTCTTGAGTATCCTGTTACAATCTTTTATGAATGAAGATTGTATATCTATTTCCTACTCAATGAGAAAAGTATTCTTTAAAAAGAAATTTTATTGGGTGTACCTATTGTAATCAAACGATTTATTTTTGCTTTATTGTTGTTTCATAGAAAAATAATTTATCCAGTTTATTTTTGAATAAATTTGTTGGGATTTTCGAAAAATTTTAAATAAATAAACTATTGAATTTGAGATATAGATAAATAGATCTATAAATATTTATTTATTTATTTAGTTTTTACTAAACCAATCTAGCTAGTTTGCTTGTTTATTTGTTTTCTCACCCAAAATTAAGCAATAATTTACTACTTACTTTTGTATTAAAATATCGCGCTATAAAATTTATACAAAATTTTTGGTATAAATTGATTGATTTATTGAAGAGAGTAAATAAATGCATTTTAGAAAAGCAGCTGCTATATTTTTATTTATTTTTTTATATATTCTATTAAAAGCTATTTATTGTTCAAGAGCTAAAATAATTTATTTACCTTTAACTTAATCTAATGCGATGAGTCCGTTTTGGCCTAATACCATGAAGAGTTCCTTCATTCTTTGATCATTCATATCTCCTCCTTTTAGTTGACTGCTTAAAATATTGGCTATGACATTCTATAAAGTTGGATTTTTTTACAATATAGAAGGATCTTCATTTATTTTTTGTATTATCATTTATAAATACTAATTTTGGCTGAATTAAGCTCCAATGTTCTACTGTTGCTACATTTGCTATTGTAAAATATATTCTTACTATTATTGTTACTAAAGCTTTTGCTTCTGAGCTGCTTGGATGCCAGACTCATAGACAACATCTGAATTGTCTTCCAAATTTATTACTTAATTTTCCCTGCCTAGATTGGCTAATTAAAATTAATTTTTTAAAATTCTAGATTTTTATTGAAGTTCTAAATCTTGTTAGTTTAACGAATACTATTATTCTTCGTCTGCTTATTCGTCATCCAAAACTATTTTTTGTTATTGAATCAAATTCTAGGTCAACCCAAGTGCAGCAATCTGCTAAAATGGTTACTTCTATACGCTATTTGTGTTGTTTAAGAGATCATTGATTAGCATGGCTTATCTATTTTATTATGGAATTTATTGGAAACGCTAATCGAGCAACATCATGTTTTGACTATCTGAAATGTCTGGAGATTGAAGCTAATGATGTTATGCTTGTTATTGTTACTACTATTACTACTTCTGCTACTGTATTTACTGTAGAAGTAATTGCTATTGTTATGCGACATACTGCTATTGCAAGTCTGCTACCAGGGCATTCCTATCGAAACCAATGTTCGCAGCATTTAAAGAATTGTTTACGCCTTGTTGCTAATACAATTATTATTATTATTGTTGTTATATTAAATTTGGATAAAGCTGATTTGTTGCAGCGTTTTAAAATTATGGTTACTGCTACTACTGATTGAGCTTTTACTAACTTTGCTATAATTAATACATTAATATTTAATTTCTATCATTAGGTAAAATTTAAGGCTGCACATTATTGCCTAATCCTATCTTAGCAATTTGTTAAATAAGTTGCTATTAGTTAAGTTAATTTAATTATGCTAGAGGTATTCCGAGCTATTATTACTACTACTATCCAATGATCTGCTAATTAATAAGCTATTGTAATTGTTGTTGCTTTTATTATTGCTACTGCATATTCTAATGCTATTGCTACTATTAAAATAATGCTAAAAAATTCGGATTCTGCTGTAATTGCTGTAATAATTGTTCTATTGATTTAAAAATGAAAATATTAATTAAAAAATATATTTTAGTTGATTTATTAGCTATCTATCCTTCTATCCTTTCTTTCTTTCCTCTATCTTACTAATTCATTACTTACTTATTTGTATACTAAATTTTTTATTTAATTAGTTAGTAAATTTCTACCTTGTTTTATTTTCCTAAAACTTCTGCATATCAAAGATAATTTACTTTCATATATAATTTGTTTGCTTATTTAAAGACTATTAATGAATGCTATTTTATTAAGTGCTGATAAGGAGATTAGACAGAGAATTTTTCAACTTTAATTAAGAAAAAGCTTAGCCATAGTTGGTTTGAGTCAAATATTATTTTTATTTCTTTTCATTTGCTAATTTTTTTTTACTCGTATGTTTATTTGCATATAAATTTATATACTAATTTATATTATATCTATATCTACGTACTATTAATTTGAATAAGTATATCCTTATATCTAAAACTCACGTCACGCCTCAAAAAAATTTACAATTAATATAATACAATTTCATCATCAATTAAATTTGTAATATCATCTACAATCGTAATATATTCAAGACTCGGATTTTTACTTATTTTCCATTTTCTACTTATTTTCATTCAGTAAAATTCGCCTTTGTTTTTTTCTAATTTACAATTCTTCATTTCCATATTTATTCTTAAGATTTTTACATAGAGTAGGAAAAAATTTTGTAATATTTAAATATTAATAATTTCTCTTTAAATATCAATCTAAAGTGCAGATAGATAAATATCTTCTATTTCTAACTAATTTGGATTTAATTGTATAAATTTAAAAGAATTGCTTGCTATGAATATATCTCTAAAAATGATGATGATGGAAACAACAGCAACAACAACTAACTCTTTGCTTTCTTTTATCCAAATGACTAAAAAGTTTGCATACTATGGTTAAGACGCAGATCTTTTATTATTTATAAGAAACCAATTAGATCTAATGAAAGCTTTTTTATTTGAATTACGAGCCTCTTTTTGTTGTTTGAATTCTGATCTTTTTTGATTAAGAAATTCTGTTTTTTTATGGATTATCCAATTAATATTAATGGAGATCAGCTTTTTATAATGAGGATTATATAATTATTGTGATGGCAAATTTCGATGATGAAAGTGGACTATTAAATATTAATGAAGAGCTACTATTAATTTAGGTGAAAAATTATATTCGTGAGTAATTAAAATTGGTCTTAACAATAAATCTACAGTATTTATTTAATGAGACGCTAATGGAGTATTAAATATAATAGGATTTGTAAGTATCTAGCTTTTGTTTATGTGGTTATTTTATTAGTCATTAATAGTATTATGAAACGTTCAAGAGAATATTTGCTATGATTGATAATGCTTGCGAGCATGTACTTATATTGTTGGTAATTGCCCAGATGACTAACATTGATAATATTCGATCATGCAATTAATGTTTTTAAAGAAGCGATTAGTAATTTTATTATTAGCATAAATAAAAATAAAGAATATTAATTGTATGTAAGAATCAGTGAATCAAATTAAAGGCTTTTTTGAGAAAGTAAAGTAAAGTAAGGGTAGAGTAGAGTAGAGAGGATAGAGTTAGATAGTAAATATGATTGATAGACAGGCACATCAGTCGATCAAATAAAAGAGAAATAATAAATGTAGATATATTAAATTCTTTTAGAGTGAAATTGTTTCAAATTAAAATACTAAATATAGAGTAAAGACTTACAGGGTAAAAATTTATTGCTCATCTAGAGCTCTTGTAATGTATGTTGATCGTCACTCATTATTTTATGGATCAGATTTTAAATCAAACTGTGTTATGAAATAAATAGAAGTCACTCAGCCAATAAACAGGTAGCGAGAGGTGGATTTGTAATGGTGATGTGATTGGTAGAGCGTGTTGTGTGTCCTTTAGGTCTATAGAATGTATTCTTTTATATAGCTCTTCTTGTTATTTCTTCTTCTCTTCCTTTCTTTCTTTATTCTTCTTATTTTTTTAACTTTTTATAAAGTTCTTTTTTTATATTTATTATTTCTTGAAGTTTTTACTTTTTGAATATTTTATTAAAATAAGTGAGCGTACATTATCAGAAAAGTAAATTAATATCGTAATCATAAAAAGCTAAAAAGGATAAAACTTGATTATAAAAAACTGATAGTTCAGATTAAACCCTATATATTTATTTATTATTTATTTAACAATAGATAATTGAATCTAAACCTACTTTGTTAGCTTTGTCCCTAACAGATAGCTAGATACATGTTTTATTTAAGTCTCCAACTCAAACCAAACCCTCAGAGCAGGATATTTCGATACATATAAGATGGACGGGCTATTTTATAAGGCTAACGTTTTCCTTGACTTGACTTAGAAAGAAACAAAAGAATAATCCAGCTGATAAACAAGCAAACAAACAAAGAAATAAATAAATACTCTAGCAAACAAAAGAAGGAGGGAGTTACGTATCTTTTTAAATAAAGAAAGAAGGTATAATTGTTAATGAATAAAGTGTAAGAAAGAACGAAGAAATGTACATAATCAAAATATTTAAAATGTAATTTAAAAATAAGATTAGGATTACAAAATTATAATTCGATTAAATACAATAATTAAAATAAATTAATAGTATTAAAAGCTATTATTAAAGCAAACTAGCAAGCAAATTGAATAATTTAAATGAATATAATTTAAACCTGTTTAAAAAGTAAGAAATAGACAAAAATCTATTAGGGTACGTACAATTTAATTTAATATTATTTTAATAAGTGGAGTATTTATCTATCGACTTACTTACTCTTTCTTTACACTAAAAACAAAGCAGCAATTCTACTTGCATTATTTATCATTGTTTTTACTTTTCCAATTTTCTAAACTTTCAGCTCAAAGCATAAAATTATCATATTCAACCCCCATTCACTCTTTCCTTTATTAATTCTAGAACAACTACTAATATTCTTTTCTTTCTTTACTTATGCTCATCTGAGCAAGCTCTCTTTGGCTTTATCTCTTTTAAAAAGATCTATTTTTAGATTAATAAATTCTTTTAGTTTGTGTGATAGTGTGGATAAATACTCAATATAAAGCGTCAATCAATAATTTGGTTAGTGCATAGCTTATTTTTTGGTTAAGGCTCTTTAGTATTTATAAATCTATTACTAAAAATATGATATGATATCAGCTTCTCAGGGATTTTGGAAGAAAATATTTTGGTGTTAATAAATTATGCAAGAAGAGCATATTAGAATTGTGCCATTTAACTATGTAGAAAAACTGGTGTTATAAAATTTTAAATAAAAAGTGTAAAAAACATATAGTTTTTCATAATCAATTTTTTATTGCTTTGATCAACTTACTTTTTCTCACTTCAGCTGATTTTATCAGAATTTAATAAAAAAAAAAACAACCCAATTTTAATTTGCTATTCATGCTTAAGACTATTATCTTTATCCACAATATCGACTATATTTTCCCTGTATAAAAATGAATGAAGGATACTTAAATCACTTCTTAGCAGAAGATTTCAGATAGGCGAAGCGAATGCTTTTAGCGAGTATAATATTTTTAAGTGATTCAATGGATTTTCTCTTAGTTTTAGCAACTTAATTTTAGCAAACTGTTTGGGATTTAGGCACACAACACATCTATAATCTTAATGATATTGGATAGTTTGACTTAATAGAAAATTTATTATGATTACGTCTTTTATCTAATACAGTATTATTTGTTATTAAATTAAGCATACATATTTTAGCGAGATATCTTGCTAAAAAAAAAATTAATTTTTATAAATAAAAGTTTGAAATTTATAAGTAATTTATGCAAAATATTCTAATTTAAAATATTTAATAAATTTAAACGTTTCTTTGGTCTAAGAACTATTTCAAATTCTAACAATCATTTAATCTTCTATTCTAAATTTTGCATAGAAGAAATCTATCAAAATTGCTTTTAAATTTGAATAATTATCAAAGAGGGATTAATATTTTCTATAAATCATAATCACCGCCTTTCCATTTTTTATTTAAAATATTAGTGAACTAACGTACTTTCAATTGTTGAAATATATTTAGCAGAATTCAAAATAAAATTAAGTTACTGATTAGAATTCCTTATTTTTTTAGACATAATAAATATCTTTGTTTTTATATAAAATTAATATCCATATGGATAAATTAAAAAAATATATAATAACTATAATCTAATTTGTCATCATAACAAATTATTTCTTAAAGTATTTCGGTTTTTTTTCCTTTTTATTTGATTAAAAATATTTAAAAATTATTATAACTCAATGAATAAATAAATACAAATAAAAAAATAACTTTTTGTATAAATAATTATTAGTAAAGTAACAAATAACAAAATAAATAAATATATATATATCAATCATATTATTTAGAACCAACCAATCAAATGATTCTATATTTTATTAAAAATTTTTGCATCTATTAATTTATTTATTTATTCTTTATACATTTCTAAATAAAGATATATCTGGCTCAATAATTTTCTGTCTCATTTCTTTCATAAATTTATGAAAAAATTTGGATAATTTCTCCCGCATACTTTATTTAAATAATAAGCTATTGGCTCGCTAAAAAATAATATAAAATTAAATAAAATTGCACAAATAGAGATATTTGAAATCAATTCCATTGAAATAAGAATCCAACTACCATAATTAATACTTAAAAGGAAAGGGCTGCATAACTTTTGTTAAGCAAAATAATAGGAATATAAATATAATAGATGTATTTTATGCATTGAAAAAAATCGAATAAATTAATTAAAGTGTCTAAAATAAGATTTATCATTATTTTCATTAATTTTATTTGGAAATAAAAATATCCTTAGTTATTCGCATATGAATCTCTATGTAAGCTAGATTAAGTAAGGTCAATAAAAAATTTTCAAATTATCATTAATTTGAATTTTTTCAAATAAAAACAAACAAACAAACAAATATAATTAAAATCAAATAAAAAAATCAATTAGTATATTTGCATATTTCATATATCTTGAATGATTAATATTACCTAAATATCTGGGCTGAGTTGTACCTTTCTTTGATTGTTCTGCACAATAAATATAGCAAACAGCTAAAATTTGATATTTCTTTTATTTATCTTTTTATTAAATAGCAAGAAAAGTTAGTTTATAAGTCTAATTTATTTAAATTTTTTAAAGTTTTTGTTATAATTTTAATAAAATATTATTTCTATCATCTATCTATGATTATTTACTTAATAATATTGAATTAAAGATATTATTTTTAGCTTTTTAAACTGATATAATTAGATTTTAAAAATTAGCATACAATTTTTATATATTAATTTATGCTTCAAATTCATAAAAAAGTAACATAAGAAGAAATATATAAAATAACTACCTTTAAAAAAAATTATATCTGTAAAATTTAGCTTAGCAAAATAACTTAAAAGTGATTATCTAAAATAAAAGCAAATAGTTTTTGATCAGTTTGAATATTAATTATATTTTAAGATTTTGTAAATCAATTATTTATTACCTTTAATTTAATTTTATTATATACTTTTATATTTAATTCTATTTTTCTCATGTTTAAAATTGAAATTGACCAAAGAATCAATCTATATTTTTCAATCTTAAAAGCATTTTTTTATTATGAATATCATCATTTTTTTGTGACTAATCAAAACTATTCAATTCTATGTCTTTAACATGCATATTATTATTGCGATTAACTTATCAGTTTTAATTTGGCTATTTTAATTGTATTTTTTTTCATCTAAAAACAAATTTTTCATACTTTTTTGCATTTCATTTACTTATTAAATCATTAAATTTTGATATAATTTATTTTTTATATTAAGCACATCATATTTTTAGCTCTCAAATAATGATTTTCCATTTTATTTTTAATTTATTAAAATATTTGCTTTATCTATTTTAAAAAATTTACTTTGTAAAAATAATAGATATAAAAAAATATAATTTAAAAATATTAATAGGCAAAAAGATTATTACTGAATTTTAATGAAATATTATTTTTTTACTTTTTGTGTTTTTTTATGAAAAGAATTAAATAGCTTTTTTTAAAATAACTTTAAAAACATTTAAATTATAATTCTCTTAATTTAAAAATGGATAATTAATGAGAGAAAAATAACAAAAGAATCCTTTTTAAAATGGATTTATTGTGCTTTTTTATATAAAACATAAATAAGGATTAAATTTATTTGCTTTTTATATTTATAAATTTGACAAAATTAGAAATTGCATTCTAAAAACGAAAGATTTAAATTTATTAAGCAAATACTATGATTGTAATGAAATATTTAGTTATACATTTAAATTTGAAACAAACAAATTTTGTTGCATCAACAAATATTTATTTATTTATTTATTTTTTAGTTATTAATGAATTTAAGAGTAATTTACACATATATATTTATTTTCTTTTATGTTTTAATTCCTTGAATAAAAAAGTAATTGTTTGATTTTTTTCAATCTAAAAGCGAATTTTCAGCTTCATTAAAATTTGCTTCTTGTTAATTTTGTTAATTACTTTAACTAACATACTTCTAGTATATCTGGTGATTATTATGGTCGCTAAATATTTGGTTATAGCTTTAGTATTCGTCAGATTAATGAGTAATATTATTATTTTCTTTTGTGAAATCTTAATTTGTTGAAAGATGCTCAAGTGACCCATCTTCAATTTTTTGATCTTCTTAATTTGTATTGAATTTAGGAGAAAAGAATAGATTCTTTCTAAAATCAGATTTATTCTTTGAACGCTCAGTTAAATTAATATTTTCCTCTCCTATCTTAGATTCTATGAAGTTTATGAAATCTCTGCAAGCTTTTAAATTTTTGCTGCCATTTACTCCTATCTAATTAATCAAAATAGGCTGCGAATTTGAGGAATAGATCTAGGATCCTTGGCTTATGCTTTATCTGTTGTCGGTGATTTAGCTTGGTAATTAATGATTATTCTATTGGTAGTCTTAAGCTTAATAATTAATAGAATAATTATTCTCAATCTAAAATTAGTTGCTGTTTTATTCATTAGAAATTTAATTTTACACGTCACAACCTTTTTAAAATAAAAATTGTTATTATTGGAAGGACCTTTATTAATTTTCTTTTTAATCATAGGAATTTTCTTAGTTATAAAAAGAATTATTCTAAAAGGACTCTCTTGTTTAAAGAGCTCCGCACATTTGACTGTAACTCTTTTACACAACTTAAAGCTAGCTGAATTGTGAGTTAGACTATATTGAACTTCTGTTTTCATTTTTCTGCTTTTAGAGGTTTTCATGATTTTGAATGCAGTGAGTAAAAGAATCTGTATGCTTGTTATTGGCATTAGGATTTAAATTACTGAGATAAATTTATTAAATTTCATGTTAAAAATATTATTATTGTTATTGTTATTATTATTTAGGAGTGTAAATCATAGAATTAGTTTAGTTGTTAAAGCCATTGCTTATGTCAGCAAATTTCGAAGTAGAGTTATATTCTTTATTTTGATCTGCTTCGTCATTGAATGAGTTATTCACAGTAAAATTGTTACTGTCTAATTCATATTAGGTATTCTGATTCTCTTAGTTTTTAAAAACTTACTCTCCAAATGTTTGCTATTCATCTAAATCCTCTTAAAGCTAGCTTTATTATTATTCTTTTATAAAAGCAGCCATTAATTTACTTTCTCCACCCTAAAGAGTAAATTAAGAAACATCGACACTATTTAGATAGTCGTTGTTTTTTTATTCTTTTGTAATTAAATTTGATCCATAAGGAGAGCTGTTTGTCTGTAACTAGGGGCTTACTGATCCATTCTTTATTATATCAGAATAAAAGGTGTTATTTCTAGCTTGATTTGCATGAATCTTCTCCAGTATATTCTTATATTTCTCATTACCAGAGCTTTTTGTTGCAGATACTGGTTCTTCATTTATCTGAGCATCCTACTAAGAAAACAAAGTTCTAAAAGCTCCAGTTTATTATTTTTAAGAGTTGGTTTAGCTATTTTTTACAATCAATGAAATTTATGAATCGAAATTATTATGGTTTATTTCATTTACTTAATTTTATTCTGGTAAAGGTTAAAAATCAGCTTAGTTTAACTAATAGAAATTAAAATTTTTGGATTTGCTTTCTTTAGATGTTGTAGAGTTTATTTAATTTTGAATCTAATGTAATTAATTGATATTGTTTTAGTCATTTTAATTTAAACTATTTTAACTTTGATTTCTAATTTGGTTGTTTAAGATTTCATTTTAGAATTATCGAGTTTAGATATTTTAATTTTGTATTTGATTTTATTAATTTAAAAGTTAGTTTTATAATTGATTTTATTAATTTAATAGTTTTAGATTTTGTTAATGCTAAACTTGATTTTACTAATTTTACAGTTGATTTGATTAATTTAATGTTTAATTTTATTAGTTTGAAAGTTGATTTTATTAAATTTATAGTTAATTTTAACAGTTAATTTGTTTGATATTTTGAGCATTCAATCCAGCAATAGGAGTGTCATTTACACTCTATCTTGAATAATACTTGAGTTAATCTCTTTTATTCTTGTTGTAGAGATCTGGAGATTTGTATAGATCTTCTTCCTATTCTTCTGAGGTCTTTATTTAATTACTTTGAACTATTTAGGAAAACTATTAGTTTTGATTGTAATTTTTCAACTGATTAGCAAGATTAGAAATAGATTTAACCATAATTGAGGAAGTTTGAGAAATTGGAAGTATGCTGTTTGTTAAATAGCAAAATTTGTCACTTGTATTTGCAAAATTACAAATGCTTTGAGATTCGTTATTATTTAAATTAGTTTGCTGAATAGTATTTTTTTGATTTTAAATTTAGTTTTCTTCAATAATTTATTAGAAATTATCTTCATTTATTTGTTTGCTGCTAGTTATTTGTTCATTTTATTAATTTTGCTATAATTTTAGTAACTATGAAATACCAATTCGTTGATAAATTTATGACTGCTAAACTTATGTTTTATCTTCTTCTTAATTGAATTCTTGAGATGCATATGATGGCTCGATAGAAATGTTTTGGTACAAACTTTTATTTGACTAGAGAGGTAGTTCCTTCTTTAGATCATTGACTTCATTTAATTGATTGTTAACTTAGTTATTAAATAATTTAGAATTTTTTTTTATCAAAGTGGTTTGATACTATTAAACTTAGAATATCTTTTGAATCTGATTTTCGTTCGACTCTGTAGAAACTTTCATCAAAGGAATAGTTTGTTACTAAAGATCAGCGAAGTATTCATTTATAATTTATATCTTTTATTTATAGTTTTCCATTATCGCATTGAATGAATCTAGTTCAATACTTTACAGTATCGAGTCATGATGAACAAGAATATCACTTGATATTTGATTCAGCTCGCTAAAAATCTCTTTTGCCTCAGAATTCAAGCGAGTGTAAGTGTTTTCATTTTCTATTTTTAGCTTATTAATTTCTGAAAGAACCCAGTTTTTCCTCTCAATTAATTCTCTCTCAATTTTCAAAAAGGTATTTTCAACTAACGAAGCAGATTTTGTGTAAAACTGAAATAGCTACTCTCTTTTGTGGATCATTCTATCCATAATATTCTCGTGTTCAGGTTTCTTTTACAAAATGATGTTTAATAAATGCTACATCTCCTGTTTCATTTTGTTTTAAGTTGTTTCTTTGACAATCTCTTCAATTTTATACCCCTTTGTGGCTAATTCAATTGCACATCTTGAACAAATCGTTGATCTCTCTGAGTTGAAACTCGCTATATATTTTGCCTTATTTTATATAATAAAAAATAGAATTATTAATAAATCCTAAAAATAAATATTCAACAATCAATAAATTAATCGATCATCGATCAGTAATATAATAGAATGAATGAATAAAATATCTAATGATAATTTATTTAAGAATTAAATATTTAGAATACCTTCTTATTAGGATGTGTTTAACATGGATAAAAATTATTTTGATCTGTCAAGTCATCATCATCATTTAAAGTATTTACTCTAGTGTTGACAGAGGATTTATCTGCGGAAGAGTAAGGAAGAGAGTTTGCCTCGGTAGATAACTAATTAGCTTAGGTAGATATCCTTTACAATATTTATTTAGTAAAAGTATCATTATTTTCTAAAAAGGATTTAGCTCTGTCTGTATAGGCTTGCTATTTATTTAAGTTTTCAGCTAATAATTATATGCTATTGCTATCCTTTTGGTTTAGTTTGCTAGCCAATTGAGCAATGAATTGATTCATTTCGCTTTTGTCTTTCATTGTATTACATTTCTATTTAGTATTTTCTTCTTCACTCACTACCTGCATATTTTAATTGCTAATGCAGGATGTTTACCTTGCAGATTTAGGGTGATTTATTAAAGCTATTTTTTTAGGTAGAGTATTTGATTTTCCATTAATTGATTGCTAGCTTAATGAATTAATGATGTTACTATGAATATTTTCTTTATTAACAAATATAGATCCATCTTGGTTGTTAGAGTGTATTAGTGAAACAGTTTGCTTTTAGTTAGTTGTTTGTCCGTTTTATGAACTTATAGAATTACTGTTTCCTTTTTTTGTTTAAAATTTCTACCTCTAAAGTAGAGCACTACTACTTTTTTGTTTAATGATCTTTTAATCTATAGGACTCAAGCTTGTTCTAGTAGTTTTTTAAAGAGGAGCTTTAAATTGGTTGGTTTGGTTTTACTAAACTAAAGAATATGACGGTTGTATTTTGGATTGATTTTAAGCTAATTAGATGCTTAAAGAGTGTTTTTAATTATCTGGTTTTTAGTTATTAAGATTCTCAATCCTCAAAGAAGAATTGGCGTGTTTTACAGACTGAGATCCTAGTGATAAATTCTAAGAGCGTTTGATATCTTTCTTTTGAAGATTAATTGTCCCAAAGTAATGTTGCATGAGGTCCACAGTAGGGATTTATGAAAAAGCTTAATTCTGTCTTTATAATTGGGATGAAATTTATTAAGAGAATTGTTAGGGTAAAGTGCTACTCTTTCCTAGCTGCATTTAATAAGTATATATAATATTTAATATTAATTGCGCTTCTTTGTTAAATCTAAATAATAATACTTGCTTGTTTATTGATTTATTTATTTATTCAGTCAATATTAAATATCCTTATCAAAACAATCATTCATTCATTATCAAATAAAATTTTTGAACCTTTTTTGAATTTGAATTAAATTTTGATCACTAAATATCTTCAAAGCTTTCAATTAAATAATTGACATTCATACTATGATATTTTGATTTCAAGAAGTGCGCAATTTTTTATCTTTATTTTATTTAATTTTTATCTTCTATCCAATATTTCATTCATGTTTTATTTTTTTTAAATCAATAAAAATCTAATTTTTAAAAATATTTTTCATAGATTTTTCTTAATATTAATAAAATATTGTTCATAAAGCAGTATTTTTATAACAACAAAGGTTATAATAGCAAATTTATAAAAAGATTTAAAATTCAGTTAATTTTCATAATTTTTTCTTTTTCTCTATTAAATATTCCTGAAAATTAATTGGATTAAGAAGAAAATAAAAGTTAATTTTTCATTGAAATATAACGATACAAATAAAACATCAATTATTCACTTAGGTTTTCTATTTTCTTTCTTCTGTTTAATTGCTTTAAAATTTAATTTTATATTTTTAAATGAATGAAAATATTCATAAAGTGATTTAAAACAAATTATTTTTAATCATTTTTATCTTTTTCACTTTTGAAAATAAATTGAATTAAAAGAAATGAATTTTAAATTAAGAGGCAAAGATAAATAACTTTCTTTCTACTATTTAATAGTTTTTATATAAAAAAATATTGATAAAGATATTTATAATAAATATATTTTCGTTTAATTTTTATCTTTTTCCCAATTAAAAGTCTTGAAAATTATTTGGATAAAGAAGAAAAAAACTAATTGAATTTTAAATTAAACTGGATATAATTAAAATATTAAATATTTCACTGATATTCTAAATTTTCTTACTGCTTTTAATAGAGTTTTTAAAATCAAATTAATTTATTTTATTAAAAACATTAAATTTGAATTTATATGGATTGCATGTATAATCAATTATGACAACTTTTAAATAAACTAAAATAAATTTAAATTAATTCAAAATAATTTTGTTTTTGTTTACTTTAAAATGAAAAGAATTGAAATTCTAAAAGATCAAAGTTATTAATTAGCAAATACATAAAAAAAATGTTTATCTATATTATATTGTATTAAATATTTTAAATTTTCTATATATTTATTAGTTGACAGAATTAAATAGACTGTAATTTAGTATTTATTTATATATTAATGTATGTAAGTCCAAAAAAGTTCTAGATTGAAACAAAGCTATTGATTATAAATAAATTGTATATTTAAAGCTTTCATCAAAAAATTAATTAATTATTTCTAAAAATTTAAATTATATACAAAATCAATCAATTAATCAAGCATATAAAAATTAGCAAAAATGGAAGAATAATAAAATAGTCAATCTTCAAGCAACCCTCTAGAACATTTCCATAGTGATTTTTTCACTGTTGATGAAATCTCGAAGGCTTTTGATGAAGTTTAGGAAAGATGTTTTAGATACGATGAAGAATGCACTGACTAAGGAATAGCTCCTTACATGAAAACCATAGGAGATTTAAATAAAATTCAACAATCTATTATTCGTCATTCTCTGTTTTCCATCAATGAAGAATTAAACGAAATAGCAACAGAAAATCTCAAGTAATTTAAAATTAGCTTTAAAGTTGTTTAGATAACAAAATTCCTTTTATTATTAGGTATTTGCTCGTTCCATATTATATGGGATATGTCTACTCTAGAATAAATGAAGATAGAAAAAAAAAGTTAGAGTTTTCACAGTTGTTCTTAAGTGAATTTTTAAAGCTATTAAATCACTATGAATTAGTGAATAAGGAAGTAATTCAAATTGCATACATCCTTGTTTTAATTTCATTTTCTTTTAGGTTAAAAAGCAATGGAAAAATTTAAGTGATGATAATAATTATCAAATTACTCGTGATGAGAAGATTGCAACTTATAAGGAACAAAAGAATTTAGAAAACAAATTAAAAGTAGATTTTTAAATAATAAATTAACTAATTAACATAATGATGAATGTTTTTTCATTTAAGAATTTAGAAAAGATCAAAGAAGAATCAGACCGCAGAGAGATTATTACAACACAAATAAACATTTGTATTTACAAGTCTATTGATCTTCTTCGTTCAAATGTATAGGAAGTAGAAATTCTTGATTATAAAGAAAAAATAGAAAATGACCCTAAAGCAAAAGAATAACACGAAAAAATTATGAATAGACCACTTCCTAAGCCAACTGTTACAAAGATAAGCGTAATTATAAATAAATAAATAGATAATCCAAATTAATTTTATTCTAGAATAATATTGAATTAAATTTTGAAAATAATCTTGAAAAAATTTTATAATAAAGAAACCAGATGACAAGAGTGTTCCCTTCATGTTAGAATAAAATAAAGGAAAAGTTGATTACTTGTGTCATGGATGTGCTTACACAATGGGAGAAAAAAGATAGGAGCTAATGTAATAGGTAAATTAAAGACATTCCCTTTTAAGATTTTTTAATCATACAAATTAATAAAAGGTATTTACTCCAGGTACTACTATGCCAACAGTAAGTTTGGACTAATTAGCTGATATAGAAATTGGTAACATGTAAAAAATGAAGGACTCTGAAGAAGCAGCCAAAAAAAGATAATAAGAATAAGAGGATGCTGATTCTGATAGAGACTCTGTTGGAGATGCTAAATAAGAAGAAGCTCGTAGATGGGACGATTGGAAAGACGAAAACGAAAAAGGTGCAGGAAATCGTTTTGGCAAATGAAAACAGAAATATGCTTACATATAATTTTTTTGGATAAAAAATTCATAAATTGATGAATGAGCATTTTATATTATACAAAATCAATCATTTAATATTTTTTCAGTTTTAAATTAAATAAACCTTTTAATTAATAAATTTTTAAATCACAACTTAATTAATTAATCTTTGTATTTTATTTCAAATATTTTTATTGTTTTTTAATCAATTAATAAATTAATTAATTCAAATAAAAAATTAATTTAGATGTTTTTATTTGTACAGCTTTCATGTTTAATGAATATTTTAAGCAAAGAATATTTTATTTATTATTTTAAAAGTATATGTAAAGGGAATAAAAAATGCTTCTTTTTATATTAGATTAAATTAGTTTAAAAGATTTAAAGAGATTTTATTTAATTAAAGATATAAAGATACTAAATATCTATTTATCTTTTGACATTATTTGACTGAATAGGAAAGTATCATTTGAATGAAATGAGCAGAGAATCAAAAAGATAAATAGATAGATAGAGATTATGAAGATTGATAATCACACCTTTGTTTATTTATAAATATATGTATTTATATATAAATATGCATTGATAGATAGATAGATGAGAGAATTGAATTGACAAGGAAAAAAAGATGAGGAGGAGAAAGAATAAAATGATAGAGAGGAATAAAAAGAAATAAAAGAAAGGAAAAACAAACATTGAAATTAATTAATTAATAAATTAAAATAAATAAGAAACTAAAGAAATTAAATAAATTAGGAAATTATTTGACTAAAAGTTAGAATAAAGAGAATGGTTTTTCACTATACAAACTTCGTTTAAGAAACCAACGCATGGTGGTTGAGAAGAGTTAGACCTGTAAGCGATTGTTTAAAAATTTAGCTAGAATAATAACAAATCTTTAAATGCTTAGTTTTTGGGAAAATAAAATATTTTAAGCCTGCAAATTGAAAATAAAAACAGTTTAGATCTAAAAAGAAGCATGATATTTGTTATTTTCTTGTTTAATTTATATGTTTAATTCATAAGTAATATTCTTCAAATTGTAATATCATAGGTTTACTGCACAGTTCTTGCTTACTATGGATGGTGGTTATATGATAGATATTACCTCTTTGGTAAAAATGCCACTCAAGATATTAGAAAAGATACCACTGAGGTTTGGGAAAAGCGTGCCGCCTTAAATAAAAGGTATAATATAACTATCTTTTCATTTTTGTTTTGCTCATATTTTCATCTTATTTCGCATATCAGATTATTACTAGCAAAGCATCAAAATTCAAAAAAACAAGCAACCTCATATCAAATTAATTCATATTTTAAAATATGGCACACAATCATTATAACTCTTCTTATTATAAAATAGAAACTGGGGTTACAACGCTCATTACAAGCCTGAATTAGAAAGATCCATGAAAAAAGTTCTCTATGCTGATCGTAATTCACTAATAAATTATCCAAGATTTTCAATTAGCACAAATGAATAATCATATAAAAAAAATATATTAACAAGAAAAAACAAAGCATTTAGCAATTTAAATTTGATTAATGGAGACTAAGTTGCTTTGTTAAAAGCGAATTGTTTGCATAAATTTGATTAAATATGTCAACATATTGGGAAGACTTATTAAAGATTAAGAAAACTCGTAAAGCAAAGAACTTAATTTATTTGCATATCTTATTTATTGCTTATTGCAAAAAAAAAAAACCTAAAAGATAGACAATATATATTTTTGATAGGCATTCTTCATTCGATTCATATGAAATAATTGATTGATGTTACAAGAAACAACTTAGTCATCCTAAAAAAACAAATAAATACTTTAAAATATCTATCATACCATCTCAAGATTAATATCATTTTTTATTTATTTGAGCTGGAAAAATAAAATACCTTGTTAATATCCATAAATGCTTTTAAAGTTAAATAAAAATCTTACCTAAAATTAATGATAAATATTTTATTTAAGTTATGAAATCAATTAATACATAAGAAACAAACATTATAAATTTTAATCATTTGTGAAAAATACAATTTTAGTTTAAACAAACTGATAAAACCAAATATTTTTAAAAGAAATTTAAAAAATATTTATTTTGTTAACAGAAAAATTAATCATTTATATTTATTAATAAATAAAGCTAATTACAAATTCCCCATTGAATGGCCCGAAAGATATATGGCTGAAACCAAAACCTTGGAATAAGTTATGGACGAAGAAGAAAATTGGGAATACTACAAGTGAGAAAACTGTCACTTGATTTGAGGAAGACACAAAATTCACCAAAACTTGCTTCTTAATAATAGAAAATGTAACTTGGTGAAAAAAAAGCAAGCAATCAATAAAAAGCAAACTTCCTCTAAAATATATAAAAATGATTAGCTAGCTATCAACAAAAGTGGAATTAATATAAATTTAACGATTATTAGCTAGCTATCAAAATATCAGTCAATCTAATTCTAATTTGTAATTTTCAAAAGCCGAGTTAAGTCTAATAGATAAATCATATTTAGAATATTATACAAATAAATTTAAGCTTTTGTGTTCTTCATATGTATTTATCTTTTAAGACATGTATATTTCTCAAATTTACTTATAATATCACCAATCATATTATATCTTGCTCACTACTATTTATCACACTTCAGCATATTCCAAAAATTTAATTCATTTCTTAAAAATAAACTTCAAATAAATAAATTTTTATGTATTAATTACTATTTGTTAATATAGGCTAATAAATTTATCTTTTTTTGGATTTTTAACGTTAACAATTAATTAATTTTTAATCATGTTTTAATTTAATTTTTATTTTAATTTTTTAATGATATTCATAACTTTTTAATCAAATTTTAAAGTTTTTGATGGAAATATTTTCTAAATAAAAAAATTCGATAAAAATTATTTAAATTCAACAAATGGGAAAATAATTCACAAAAATAAGTAAATGATAAAATGGTTTCTATTTTAGGTTAAAAGTGATAAAGTCAGCAAGCATACAGTTTAGTTGAAATAAGCAATTATAAATAAAAAGGAATCATATTTGAATATAAAATTTATAAATAGATATTAAGATTATTTTGATGTGATATGTTGTAGTTTTTAGTATCTATTTTTACTGAAAAAGTGAGAAGAAATTTAAGATTTGAGGGAAGATTTATTTATTTATTTTATTTTGGTTAAGTTAGAGGTATTGTATCATTAATTAATATTTTTAATACTATTTTTTTGTTGTTAAAGGAAGAGAACACTATTTGTTTGTTTATTTATTTTATTTATTTGTTAGGTACTGAATTAGCTTGTGAACCCATTTTTTTATATTACATTATTAATAACTATTAATTAGATAAGTTTGTAATATTTTTAATTGAACTTAAGTAAGATGTTTTTGTGTTTAAACATCTCAGGAAAAATAATTTAAAGCATTTAAATAATCACTCAAATATTTTATTTTATTAATTATTCATTAAAAAGTTGTTGAGAATATTTTTTTTTGAGGGATTAAATGATATTTTTTTATTTCTTATTCATTTCATTCGTTGACATTTTTTTGAACAAAACTCCAATTTTCAATCTTTTTTTTCTAGTTTGGTTAGTTTAAGTCATACTCAGCGTCTTTGAAAATGGTTGCATTTTGGTAGTTGTAATTATTTTATGCTGAGCCATGAATGTCTATGCATTCTAGAATTTCTTCAGGAACAGTTGTCATTCTTTAGTAAAGAGAATTCCAATCCATTTTTTTAAAATAAGGATGAGACTTTACTTCAGTTATAGTTGGTCTCATATCATATTATTTGTGTAGCATTTTCTATTTTACAATTAAAAAAATATTAAATTTTTGAAATATTACTTTTTCTTTGAAACAAAAATCATAATGATAAATTTATTTTTTTTTACTTCTAACAAGTCTTTGCATTAAGGAGAGAAATTTTCATTAAATTATACTGGTTAGCTTTTAATGTTTTCAAACAATGCTGATAGATCTTAGTGATAGAATGGAGGATTTCCTTAATACATTTCATACATTATGCACCCTATACCGTAGATGTCTGTCTTTTTTGTTGCTCCTATCTTAAGCAACTGTTCTGGAGATATGTAGGCAGGTGAACCACAGAATGATTTACATATTTCATTTTCCTTTACATTTTCTCTACTTAAGCCGAAATCTGCTAATTTTATATAGCCGTCTTAGTCTAAGAGTATATTTTCTGGCTTTAAATCACGATATACTACATTCATATTATGAAGATATTCTATAGCTAAAATGACTTAAGCTATGATAAATTTTATAGTTTTTTCCTTCATACCATTTTTTTATGCCAAAATTAAACCGAGATCTCCGCCAGAACAGTACTCTAAAGCCATGTAAATGTAATTCTAAGTCTAATAAAAATAAATGAAATAATTATTTAAAATATATTTTATTCAATCTTACTTGAAAGCTGGCATAAAGATTAATTATAAAAGGATTTCTGCATTTCTTCAATATATTTAGCTCAGTTTGTGCATATTTTAAATAGTTCTTATTGAGCAGTTGGTTCTTTTTTAGAGACTTTATTGCATAAAACATATTTTAATGATTCTTTTTTTATGCTAAAAATACTCTCCCAAAAGCTCCACTGCCAATAATATCAAGAATATCAAAACTGCTTAAGTGTATTTTTTCAGAGTCATTAAAGTATTAAGGATTTAGGTAAGACTTTTTAGATTTGTTTGAAATTAAATCTTCATTTTTTGACTCTTCAATATAATCAAGTTTAAAAATGTCTATCTATTTTTAAGTATTTTGCATCTCCGAAAAAACTGTTGTAGTTGTTTCTTTATTAGCAAGCTTTGGGTTTTAATTTATTTAGTTATTGAATGAGATAGGTTGTAAAATCGGTGAGTATTTGTTTTAAATTGGAGGATTATCTGTAATTCTTTTTTTATCCTCTAAAAAGAATATCTAATCGGGATCTTCAATCATGCTTGTTAGCAAAATACTTCTCTGCAGTTTTTTGTAGTTATTTTAATGCACATAATCTGAGATTTTTCTTTCAACATATTTGCAATACTCCATAGCTTTTTGAAGATGATGTAGCCAAAGTGTCTAAGTGCTCTTGTATTTAAAACCAATGATAATTTCAGAAACATAGGAGATTTTTATATAAAAATAGCTTTTATTCATAAAAAGAGTGGGTGTAACCTCCTAAATAGCTTCTATATCTTTAATTGGATATATATCTCTAAATTAATAATAATTAAAAAAATCACATTAAAATTTGTAAAATTTAATCTTCAAATTACTTTGGTTTCTTAGGAATATCTTTTTCTTTTTCGTAAAAGATCAAAGAGCATATCTCTGGATTAATTTCTAAGCATCTTTCTCTCATGATAAAAGAAAAAACCTATCTATGAACTCTTCCTCTGATCAGAGCTGGTTTTTCAGGTATTTCTTAAAGAAAACTCTTTTATTAAATTGAAAGAAATAAATAAATAAGTATAAAATTAAATATAGGAGAATAGTGAGTAACTTAAAATTAGTAGCAAATTTTTAATTTAAAAATGTGGATTAGCAAAATTAAATCAATTTAAATTAATCTAGCTAGCTTAATATCTCAAGCATAAATTAATCAAAAACGAGATTAGAGAAATTCGAAAAAAAAAAAGATATGTTAATTATTTATTATCTTTTATTTGATATTTTGTGGTAATAAAATTGGGTCCCTCTTTATTAGAAAAAGACTTTTATTTATTGAAGAGATAATGAATTATTTTTAAGTTTGATGAAATATTTGATTTTTATTTAGATGTGGTTTTTAAATTCAACAAATAATAATTTATTTATTTATTTATTTACTTCTTAGAGCAGATTAACTTCTTCTTTACTTAGTTATCTAACTGAATTGCTATTTGAATATGATTCTTGAGTATTTTCAAAGTAGTTTGAAGCCAATTTATTTGTTAGAGTCACTACAGAGCTTCTGTCAGTTGAATTGACTGATGTTTATATGTTATTGCTTATTACATCGTTTTTGGCTGAGCTATAATCTAAAAAATCTTTTGTTGGACTATCATAAGTGGAAAGGGGTCCTTCAGACAAACTATTTAATCTAAATATATCATAATCTCTGCTTCTTGAATTGAGTTGATTATTTTTACTTTAAACATAATTATCGCATAAAGCTCCCCCACCTTAATCTAAAGTCTCTCCTAGATCAAGATTTGAATCATGTAGTCTTTAAAGCTAAAGAATGTTACTAGTTTTGCTACGGCTGGCTATATTATGTTCTTCACCACATGTATATTTTTGCTTCTACAATTATATTTTTTGTAGCTTTTTATAATATCTCTTGTGTATATCCTGTTTATTTGTAAAAATAAATACTCATTATAACTAACTAACTAATACATTCATTATAAGCAACAAATAATAAATTCAAAAATGCACTCAATTTAAAAAACTTTCTATTTCGTTTATTTAGCTTGTTTGAAATTTTCAGATAGTTTAACAATTAAAATAGATAAATTGTTCTAGTTCAAACACAACCTAACTCTTTTAGTCTTCTGTTTAAGAGATTTTTATAAATACATTGATTGAATAAGTAAGATGTGTGCTTGATTTATGAATTCTCACCTCTCTTAGTTTAATCATTTTTTAATATATTTAGTTCTAAAAGATATGTGCTTAGATGTTATTATTTGATTGTTTGATTATTTGATGCAATATTTGCTTATATTCTTTTTTAATTAAAAAGGTAAAAAACTTACTGAAACATTCTTCGTGTAAATCTAAAAAATGGGAGACTCATTTTCAAAAATCTCAGTGAAGTCGATTTGCTGGCTCATTTCAGAGAGCTTTATCTGATTATTAATGAAAAAAGGAAGTTATACAATAATGCAGCTGTGAAATATTTTATATAAAGAATAATTGAAGGCCAATTTATATAATCCAAATAATTGCAGATTTAATGCTAATTACTAGTTTGCCAAATTTTATATATTTTATTATTTAGTCGTTCTTTCTGATCAGAGTAGCATTCTAAATTATTTTTTAAAACTCATCTATGCTCAACACTTTACTTTCTAATCGAACTAGCTCGGTTTTTTGTTGACCCCAACTAGTTGGGTATCGAATAGTCACGTTCATTTAGCTGGTTTATGTATGTATGAGTGAGTAATATTTTGAATTTAAGTAAGTAGTTTGTTTGGATGATTTTGTTATAATTTAATCTTTGATTTCACTTAAATTACAAATATCCTTTTTCTTTATTATCAGCTTAATTGAAATCTTGTTTATATATTTTTTAGATTTTTAATTTTTATCAAGTTAAAGTCAAAAAATATGTAAATTGGTTGATGTTGTTTTTTTGAATTATTAATTAATTAATTCATTCATTTATTATAATCATATCTTTGGTTTCTAATAAATTAGCCAATCAAACAATTTCTAATTTATATTTAGCGCTTGAATTATTAATTCTGCTTCTATTTATTTATTTTTTTATTTATTTTGCTATAATCTTAAAGACTTTATCAATCTTTTTTTATTTTTTAGATATGCCCTTACATTACTACCTTTATTTTATGATTGTGATCTACTATCGTCTTACTTCACTTCTTAAATTTATTATCAACAAATAAATTTTACTTCCCTCTAAATTTAGTCTTCATTTAATTAGTATTTTAGGATATTTAGATTGATGTAACAAATAATATTTTGAAACTATTTTATAATAAATAAATACTTTATTTTTTTTAAACTTTTGAATTTTGAATAATTTAATTATTAAAATACTCTCTTAATTTTTGTAATATTTATAATTTTTCTGATATATCAACCAACATAAAAAGAACATTTAGTAATATTAAGCAATCATAAAAATTTTATTAAATAAATTATATAATAATAAAATTAAAAATTAATTTATTATAATGTCAATCTTCATTAATCAAGGCTTATTTATAATGCCTTTTATAAGGATTTTCTGGATTTTTATTTATTTGAGAAATATAAATTTTGTTTGAATAAAAACTAATTAGTATTTAACAAACATACAGTATTTATATATAAATTTTAATAAAGACATAATATTTTTTTATTTAATTGTTTTATATAATAATCAAATTCCGTTTTTAAGAATTGCTTCAGAAGTTTCAATGATTGTATGATATATTCCTATGTATTACATATCTAATTATTGCAAGCTCTTTTGGTTATCCATGATTAAATATTAGCCACTTTGTCTTAAGGTTTCTTTAAACAGAGGAAAGACTTTAGCTTTTTCTACAAATTCTTCATGAGTTAATTCTTTTTTGTGAATAGTTAAATCTGGTCTTTTTGTTTGATAATACTCGTGTAAAATAGCTGCAATATCTTTAACCCACATGGATTAAGAACATATTATATATCTTTGTCCTTTTGTTACTTAAGATAATGAATCTTAAATAGTTACAACGTGAGCTGCAGCAATATCTCTAACATCAACAATACCAAGGCAAACTGGTTGAGGTATTAACTTGCCATTAAGAAGACTAAAGAATAATAATAAATAATGTTATAGTAGAATAAATTAATTAATAAGAGAGTTACTTGCTAATAATTAATGAACTAGCAGATACTTTTCCTTATAGAGGTGGGCCAAGGACAAGAGTTGGATTTATAACAGTAAGGTTGAGTTTTTCTTTATTTTCTTCGTAGATTTTCCAGGCTTCTTTCTCTGCAAAATATTTAGATTATCCTATTGTATTTAAATATATTACATAAATATATTATTTAGCTTAAAAATTTAATATTTTATTACCATAAAAACCAGCATTTTCGTGATTCTACCAATCATTTTCATTGAAGTAATTTCTTTCATAATTTCCTTCAAAAATTGCTTTACCTGAGCTGGTTAAAACAACTTTCTTAACAGTTTAATGGTGTCTAACACATGCATTTAGAACATATTAGGTTCCTTTTACAGCAGGAACTATCATTTCTTCTGCACTTTTTGCATCATAATAAAAAGGAGATGCTACATGAATTACATATTAGCAACCACTTACAGCTTCATCCCATCCCTTCTCTTCATTCAAATCAGCTGAAACAAAAGTCATATTAGGATGATATTTTTAAGGAATAGCCTCATAGAAATGTTAATATTTTGATTTATCTTGAGCATCTCTAACAGTACCTCTAACTTTGTAATTTAAGTGAAGTAATTAATTAACAATGTGGCTGCTAATATAGCCGCTAGCTCCTGTAACCAAAACAGTGTAGTTACTATTTTTAGCTAATTGTTCAGCCTTTTATTTTTAAGAATATTATTGGATATAGTTTGTGAAATTTATTTACATTTTATGCAAGCTTTTTGATGTTTAAATTGTCCATTTTGAAATATTATTTAAATAGTGTTTTTATGATTAATAAATCCTTTTGAATTTTATTTTATAATAATAAATATAGTGAATAATAAATATAAGAACTCAGATTATTTAAACATATTAAAAGCAATTAAAAATTGTAAGCAATTACAACAAAACATAAAAGAAAAACTCTAGAAAGTTTTTAAAATTTATTTTCTTTAAAGTAATTTTAAAAACTGTAAATAAGAATCAGTGAGAAATGAGTTTATTTATTCTTTTTAACTCTTTAAAATATTTATATTTGAATATTCATTCAACATCAATGCATTTTTAGGAATTCATTATTTTTGTTGATATTTTAATATTCTATTTTCATATTTAAGCAATATATTATCTTGGCTTAAATTATAAATTTATATTAAAATTTCTAAGAAAATTAAACAGAAAAATTCTAGAAATTCAAAGGCCAAAACTTATTAAAAGTATTTAAATAAGTTAAAGATATAATGTATCACAAATTACTATAGCAGTAAAGTCCTTTTTAAGAATAAAATTACTATAATTAGTAAATCAAAAAGAATTAAAAAAAATGAATGTTACATTTTAAGTCTTATAAGATTAAATAAATGAATTTGTTAATTTACAATAATAAAAAATATAAATAAAATTATTTATTTTTATGCAGTTTAGCTTTATAAAATAAAATCTTCAGGATTAAATTTATTATCTTATCCTAAAAAGAATTTTAAAAAATTTGTAAAAAGAGGAATAACTATTATTTTGTTTAAAATATAAATTGATATTAAAATCTGTAAGAACATTTTTTAATTCTAAAAAGAAAAATTCCAGAAATTTTAAGACTATAAGCTGATCAAAAAGGATTAAATAAGTTAAAAATAAGACCTTTCACAAATAACTACATTCACATAAACTTATTTAAGAATAAAATTGCTTAGATGTTTAAACAAACTCATAATTAAAAAGAAAAAAAATAAAAATGTTTAAAGACTTAATAAGTTTGTAATAATTTTAAAATAAATAGTAAAAAATATAAATTAAATAATTTATTTTTATAGTATTAATATCTATAAAACAATAGCTTCAAGAATATATTTATTTATATCTCTATTTTTAAATAAATTTTTAAAAAGAACTATTTAAAAAAATATATTTAAAATATGTTTCATAAATTTATAAATAAAATTATTTTTTTTGAGCATTTTTATTAGATTTAAAAAATAAGAATTAAGATGTTTGTTTACTTCCCAAATTATAAATTATTTTTTATTTAAAAAGATTTAATTTCTAGAATAATTAATTGGGATTTTAAAAATAATTTAATTTAGAGTAAAATATTTCCTTCTGTTTTGATTTTTAATTTAAAATTTAGTTGTTGGTTGAATATTTGTGTGTATTTAAATCAAAAATTTTGCAAAAAGAAAATAAACAAATAAAAAAACAATCAATTAAATTATTAATAACTATTTAATTATTAATAGGTCTATTATTGAAAATAAATAAACTTTTCATAAGTAATACATTGAATGTCAAAAAAAAAGAAAGATAAGAAGGGTCAAGCTAATCCCTTTTAATTGACAGAAGCTGAATAAATAGCTTTGGATACTTTGTAATATGAATAAAAAAATTAAGAAGAAATAAAAGACTAAATCAGAAATTATTTTATTTATTTTATAGCTGAGTTATGGTTATTGTAACTTAAATTATTTTAAATTATCTTAAAAGGGATACCTAAAAATTCAAAACAATTATTGGTCAATACAATCTCAGGGCAAATAAATTGTAAATTTATTTTTAAAATACACAAATTAGAATTATTTTTTATAGGACAGAAGAAGTAGATGAGTTAAAAGAAATTGTTAAGAACATCGATAGGACTAATGTAATGAATTCGATTGAATATTTATTGCTCAATCGTAATGAATAATTTTAAAAATGTAGCTAAAAGATACAAGAAAGAAGGAGAAATAAATAATAAAAAATGAAGATGAAGTAGTATAAGTATAGCATTAAATTGTTGATTAGCAGAATGAATATGGGACAAAAATTTTGAGATTTGATGATGAGAAAGAGCGATTCTTTAGATGTATTTAGATATTATTGATATATTATTATTATAGGATTTTTAACCAAAAACTCAAGAATAAACATATTAAAATAGAGCAAATGATTGATAAAGCAAAGGAAATAGCTGATCTAAAAAAGAAAATTGAAATGTCTATTTAAGAAAAAAATTTTTTACTTGCTTTTCCAGTAAGTTAAATTAAATCTTTTACTATTTTTAATGCAAATATAAACAATAAATACTTTTACTTTATATTTGAAAGCAAAGAGAAAAGGAATATTAGGAAACAATCGTACAGTTAGAGTAAAGTGCAGTAGAAGCCAAAAAGACTCATGCAGATGAAATATAAAAATATGAAAGGAATTTCTAAAAGTAAAGGAAAAAAATAGAAGAAGATTAAAAAGAGGCCATTGAAAAAATCAGATAAGCTGCTAGTATTGTGGCTCAAAAAAGTAAAAAAACAAACAAACAAACAAAAATAATTTAAGGGAATTTAAATTTAACAATTTTTTGATAATATAAATAGAGATAAGAGATGCAGAGTAAACAACAAAAGAAAATATAAAATTAAACTAAGACTTAGAACTTCACAAGAATGAGCTATAGCAATTATAAATTGAAAGAGAACAAATAACTCATTAGAATAATTAGTATAAAAGAAGTCTAGCGTAAAACCATGAAGGACTTACTGAATACTAAACAGTTAATCATAAACAATCTGTTAAAATTAAAAAACTCAAAGAAAAAGTTGAATACTTAAAAGATTTTTTGGAAAAGGTTTCATTTATTTATAATTATTTTGAGGTTAAGATTAGATTTAATCGAATTTATTTTTTATTAGGAAAATAAAAAATTCTAAGATGAAGTTGATTCTTTATAAAAAATTCATTAAAAGACCATAGCTGAAATGGAGTATGAATTGAAATGTAATATTTAAATAAACGAAATCTATTAATTAGATAATAATAAAAAATAAATTATATTAATAGGTTTAAATGAGTAATTAAGGAAAAGATCTAAAGAAATAAGAGATATAAAAGGAGTTTGTTAAATGATTTTAGATCAGAGATCTGACATAGAACAATTCTTTCTTGAAGCCTTAGATTAGGTTAAAGAAGAATAGCATTCTAAATTTTTAATAGGGTAAAAAAGTTTATAAAATGATAGTTAGTAATCTTACTCTTCTTCCAAGATTAAGTTGCCTTCTCTTAATTCAAGGAGCTACAAGGTAAATAATACATAAAACTGTACCAAATTTTTTTATTTTGTATTTGGTTGTTTATAAAAAGCACTCGTTGGTTTATAAAAATAAAATTGATGTTAGCTAATTAGAAGAAGAAGATAAAGACAGGATTTTAAGAATCGTATTTTAAAAAATGAACTCAGGTATTCCACCTAAGCCTTGGAGATAATATTATGATTATAATACAATAAATGATGGAAATATGTAAGAAAGAGATGAAGAAAATGATATAAATGAGTCTAATTCCCGTGTGGATAGATATAGATATGATGAAAACTAAATATAATCTTAGCATAATGATTCTCATCTATAGGATTAATATTAATAATTCGTTAATGACTAATGAGTGAGGATTTTTAAAAATGTGAATCAAAAATAAAATTATATTTAAAGTTAAATTAATTAAATAAATAAATAAATAAATAACGTATGAAATCAGTATAATTAGAAGTAATTGTTTATATAACTTTTTAGTTATTATTCAGTTGGTATCAATCCATCAATAAATCAACTTATTAATCACTCTATTGATCTACATTATTCTAGTATTTATTTTTAAATAAACATAGCCTAAGATAAAACAGTTTATAAAAATTATTCCAGTAATTAATTCTATTTAAATCTAATTTTTATTGATCAATATGAAAACTTTTTGATAAGATTTATTAGTTTTATCTTTTTATTTATTTATCTAATATCCACCAAACCTCTAAAATTAGCCCTCAAAAACAAATAATAAATACTCTTTATATTTGAAAATTGGATAGAAAAAATACATCTTAAAATGGAAATCTATTATATTGATTCTTATAATATTTTTAAAAATTAATAAAGAGAATTTGTTAATAAGCAATTATTTAATAATTTAAAGCAAATCAAAATTTAAAAAATATTTTATAAATGATGAATTTTGATTAAAAATATATTTATTATTCTTAGAGTAACTTGGAAATATCAATAATATTTATGTAAATAATTAAGTAAAATAAAGTTTAGCCTTTTATTAACTATTAATCAAAAATTAATTACTTGAATTGGTTTCTTATTTTAAACTCAATTTTATTTACGAAAATAAAATGTTATTTTAATTAAATTTAATTTCAAACTTATTAATCTACTTTTGCTTATTTTTATTAAAAAGGTTTAACTCTTGAATGAGTTTTAAAGTAGTATTTAATATATGAAAATTAAAAAAATTAAATTAAATCCTTAATTAGAATTCTAATAATATTTTATATTTTTTATGAAATAATTATTAAATAAATTCAACAAAGATGGTTTAATAAATTTTGAAAATAAATGTTTTCAATTTAAAATTTTTTGGTAAATAAATAAATTTGTGTATTTAGTTTATAGAAAATTAAATTTTTCATTTTAAATTTAAAAATTAAAGAATTTAAGTACTTATATACAAGAGTTTTTTTAATTATAAGTAAAAAATAATAGAAATAGATTCAATAAATAGCTAGAGCAACTTATTTGTTAAATGAATTCTCTCAAATTTTTTATAAAATATTAAACTTATTTCAAATTTATCGTTAATTCAAATCTTAAATATGTATTAATAAAATATTTAGTAAAATAATTAAAATCCTTCTTAAAAATATAAATAAAATGAGGAAGGAATTATTTATTCTCTGAATTACAAAAGAAAAATTAAAAAATTTTCTAAATTTTAAGAAAAATTATTTATTATATTTTATATTTGTGAAGTTATTTGAAATAAAGCAGGTATCTAGGTAGGTATTTTTATTTAAAATAAATATCTTTATATTAAATAAATTATTATTCTTTATGATATTTGTTAAGCAAGTTATTGAATTATTCATCTTTCTTTCATTAATTTTATTTACTGAAATCTTCTGAGATCTCAATTTCTTTCTTGAAATTATTTGTAAAAATATCTAAAATATTAAGGATGAATGGATATATATATAGTTTCTGGAATATGTTTTAAAGTATCATAATTTTAATTGTATTTTTTTTAATTCATTCTGATAATTTATGGCTTGTTTGTAGCTTAAATTTCAAATTCATAATTTAAATAAATTCATTTTTTATTATTTACGTGTTAGTTGATACTAAATTATTTTTAAAAGTTAAATTAGGGATTCATCAGAAAGTAATGAATATCCTCATCCGAATGTTTATTTTACATATTCTCCTGATCATTACATTTCATTAAAGATTAATCACTTAAAACTTATAAAAGTACTAAATTAAATATTCAACTTTTAAAAAACTTTTCTTTAAGACATAAATAATTTATTGGTTGAAAAAGATTCTAAGTAGTTAGTTAATTTATAAAATAAATGAATAATTAAAATAGCATTAGAGAAAGGTTGCCTAGCACTATTTAAGTTCAAACAAGCTAAATAAAATCATAATAAGATGATGATGATTTGGTATGTCCTATTTGCAGTTATGTTATATGGGAACCTGTAGGTTGCGCAACTTGTAAGCTACATGTTTGTCTAAAATGTATATAAGATTGGTAGAATAAAGGAAAAACTACTTGCCCTATTTCAGGTTTTATTAAAATAAAATATAATATATTTTTTGTTATTAATTATTATTTAATAATAACATAAAGGATGCAAATAGTTTTAAGATGAAAAGCCACATCCATACTTTTATAAACATTTATCTAGCTTAAAATTAAATTGTTAAAACTAAGAAAAAGGATGCTAGGAAACTATTTTATATGAGCAATATCAAAAACATTTAGAAAAGGAATGCATGTTTGTTGAAGTAAATTGCCCTGACCAAGGATGTGAGGTTGTTCTTTTAAAAAAAGACTTGGAAGAGCATTTAAAAGTTTGTGATTACTTTTTAGTAAAATGCGAATACTGCGAAAATGATTATTTAAGGAAAGACAAAAAGGATCATGAAGAATATGTTTGCGATAGTTTTCCTGTAAAATGTGATAATGAGTAATGCAATGAAATTGTTAAAAGAGCAGAACTTAATAAACACTTGCTGAGTTGTTTATATAAGCTAGATATTTGCAATTATTGTTAATAGGTATACAATTAGACATAAAAACATTTGCATGAGCAGAATTGCAAAGAACGTAAATTAAAATGTAAAGGATGCAAGATTGGATTTAGGCAATTAGAACTTAAAGATCATTAAAAAGAATGTGATTAAATAAAATTGAAATGTAAACTATGTCTATAAGAATTTCCTCAATTCGAATTTAAAGATTTGCACAATAAAGAAACGTGCATGGAACATACAATATTGAGTTTATAAAAAGAAAACTCAATACTCAAAGAACAAAACTAGTAGCTTATGCAATAGTAAAAAACAATATAATCAAAATTAGATTAGATAATGAATGTCAGTCTTTTAAATAGAAACTCTTAAAGTGAAGTTTTAGAATTAGAGTCTTTGATAGAAGAATGTTACTAAAAAATTATGTCAATTTTAGATTAGTAGTAATTTCTAAGTCATTAAAAGAAAAAGCATAGTTGTTCATTCACTGATGTTCGTCTTGCTTTGAAGCACTTTGACTTTTTAAATTATTCTAGCATTCTCTACAATGGATGGGGAAAGTTACACTGCTCTGATTGTTTTAATTATGTAAAAAAAATAGAACCTTTAATAGCTCCCTTACTAGCAACTATTTCTAATTCAGAAAATCAAATTAAAATTTCAAAATATTACCAATTTAATAATAAATAAAATAATGAATGAAATATTAATTGTTTATTTTATAATAATTTTTCGATTAACTAAGAATTTTATATTTATTTATTTATTTACTTACTTAATAAGTAAGTTAAATTATCAATCTAAAAAAGTCAATTAGGGGAAATCCTATTTTTTAATAATATGATTTTAATTAAATATTTATTAATTTATAGCAATAAAAATATTAATTAATTATCATTTTTTATTAAACTAAAACATAGATTTGTAACCAAAATCAAAAAACATAAACTGAACAAAGTTAATAAAAACTTCTTTTAAAAAAATTTTTTATAAATACTATAGGCTCTTATTAATTAACACCCAATTTTTTCTTTAAAAAAATTTTTTTTATTAACACCCAAATCAAGATAAAAAAATAAAATATATTCTTATGAAGATTTAAAAATTTTTCTTAATGAATATAATATCTCCTAGTTAATTAATTAATTAATGCTTTTTTTTAAATATTCAAAAAAAACAAAAATAACAAATTATTATTTATTTTTTATTTTCGAATAGTCAATAATTAGATAAATTAAAAGTAGTTAATGATTTTATTTATCTATTCATTTATGATTTTGCATTAGATGTGCAAGCATAAAATCATTACTTTTTATTATATCTTTTGCTGCCTATTTTTTTCTATTTAGATAATTAATTTAATATGGCTCTGGACCAAATTTACAAGAAAAGTAAAAACTATTTTATCCTTTTATTTCTTAAGCTTATGTAATTTCTTTCCACATTTAATCATACCATTTTAAAATTTCATCATCATATCCTGGATCTATTACTTATATTTGATTAACAGAACCTAGTTTTATTTAAAATATTTTTATAAGCCTAATTTAACTATCATTATTTATAAAAAATAGCTTACCTATTCTTGCATTTACTTGTCTAGTATTTTATTTAATAGTATTGAATGCTTCAAAGAATTCTACATCCTTTTCTCTATCGTACAGCCTTTCACCTATTAAAACCCAATGTGATAAATCAAGATTTAAATAAATATTTGGACAATTCTAAACTACTAGCTAATTTTTATGAAAAAATAAATTTATTTAAGAAAATTAATCCAATCATAAATTCGAAATATTTATTACAATAATAAGGGGATAGATAGATAGACAGACAGATATGTAAGCTATCTATAAAAAAAACTGTATTTACCTTAGTAATATACGGATTATAAAGAGATCTTTGTCTGCAAGTTTCATGATTTATAGGAACATCTAATTATTCTTAAAACTACTAAACTTTAGTAAAAAATTCTAATGTTTAATCTATTGTCCAACAATCGCGCCCAGAATGCACATTTATAACACTTGGATTAATTTTTAAAGCAGTGTCTATTCCTTTTTTGAAAGAATCTAGGTGTGCATTGATGTCACTTGAATAAATAGGATAACCACAAGTATAAATTTCTGCAACATAATCAAATCCATGTCTATTTTTAGTTTTGAAAGGATCAAGTTGATTTCTTTCTATTGAAAATTAAACTGGTATTTCTATACCTTGATAGCCTTTTTCCTTAAGATTTTTAAAGGTATTTCCCCAGTTTCTTTTTTCGCTATTTTAAGCAAAGAAATCCTAAAAATTTCTAATATATTTTCTTTTCATATCTTTTTGATATGTCTTATTTTATTAATTTAAGTATTTTTAATTATTTCTGATACAATCAATAATCCAAACAGAAATAATGTGTACTCATTCTCTCTTCTATATCAGGTATCTTTCTGGAATTTCTGTTTGCAAGTAAAGTGGTATATGATAATAAATAAATAAATAAATAAATAAATAAATAAATAAATACGTTGGTTTATGATAAATAAATAAATAAATTGATCAACAATTAGTTTAAAAGAAGATACTTTTAAAATTTAAAATAATAAAGAGTTGAAATATTTTTTATTTGTTTATTTATAAATGTATTCTGGAATTTAATAATTTAATAATTTACGCCATTCAAATAAAGTATTGTTTTTAATTTTAACTTTATTTACTTTTAAAAGCAAGTTTAATTATATATTTTGTTAAATGTGGATTTTATAAATATTATTAAATCATTAACTTTGTCAATTAAAAAAATAAATGCTATATTTACAGAGTATAAAATTTAGATATTTTAACTGGTTCGCATATTAAAGATATATGCAAGTAAATTTTTATTTTCTATCTTTAAGATAAAGCTTATTCAGTTTATAATATAGTTTATCATCTTAAAATAAAACATTTTATCATAAAAATAATAAAAAAATTAACTTTTTAATATTTTAAAGTGAGACCTAGTAAAACAAATTATTCTGTGTAGTAAATTTTGGTATTAATTAAGTGAAAACTGTCTAAACGGAATACCTAAAGGACCAAAAATTTTACACAAATAGAAAGGTTCTCCTCTACTTATAGAGAGATTTTACAATGCATAAATTATATATATTTATGAGATTATAAATATTTAATTTTTATAGATTAAATTTGAGTACAAAAAAATAATTAAATCTGATAAAGAGATGACTAATATATTTCCAAAGAATATAAAAAATTGCAAAAATATAGCAATTAAAACCCTTTTATCATTTCTAATTTATTTACTAATAATTATTATAAAAGCTTTTAAGTCTGTCATTTAATACTATCCATAACTAAATCAAAATAAAAATAGCTGTACGGATTATAGAACTTAAGAATTGGTGAAACTATTAATTATTGGAATATCTTTTGTACTTTATGATATAGCCAATTATCATTTGTATAAGTTTGCTGCAAATAATAAAAGATAGAAGATATTATTAATAGTTATTCTTTCTATATGGCTTCTTTTGAATATTTTAAATGCGCTATTTTAATACAATATTTATTTATTAGGCTTTTTCAATGGGATGCTTTTGGGAATTCACTATTGCTAATTACTTTCATTTTTATTTAAGTAAATTAGTTAGTTTATCATCGAATGAATATGAAAAATAAATTTAAATATACTTAAATTAAAAGGGAAAATTAACTCTTAGTTAAATTTTTAATGGCATATTACCTCTCATAAACATCAGTTTTAGGCTATAAAATTGACATTTATGAATCACTCCCTTTAATTTACGCATCTGATATAAAAATTTTATCAAGTACTTCAACTTTAAATCCAGGCTTAATCTACTTGATAATGTATTCTGTGATTTTAATAATTTGCTATGTTATCCAAAGAAAAACAGGAATTAAAATATTATTTGATTTCACATAGGTAAACTTTTTTGATCAAAAACTTAATAAATTTTAATAACTTTACAAAAGGAGAAACTAAAATGCAGCAATGAAGAATAAAATACAATTTAAAAAAAGAATTGGACTAAATACTTAACTCCAATATTTGTTATATTATCTCTATTTAGTATAGTGTTTATGAATTCAAATTTAGTCACATAAATTAGAACTTATGGTTGTTATAAAAGCAATATGGTGTTTTCTATAATAACATATTTTATATTCTTAATTCTGATACGGCTAACAATATAATTTGTAACTTGTGAGGATATTTTCAATATTTGTGCTATAACTTCTGCACTTGTTTATTTTGCAACAGATATGATTGATAATTCAGTTTATAGTATTTCTACGTTGAATCTCACCTTAGATTTTATATCAACTGCTTTTACTTCAAGTAATTTATTTATTTATTTATTTATTTATTTATCTATCTATTAATTTGATTTCATAAAAATATAGTTAAACAAACATATTTTAGATATTTTTTAACAAATAAAGTTAGCATAGCGATCATTCCCATTTATTTCCATGAAATAATAAATTTATTTAGTTAATTATTCTATCTTAAGCTATCAATAGGATTCTTTTTGATAAGCATTTTCCTTTAAAATAAATAATTAAACTATATTATAGATTAAAGCTCATGTGAAAATACTCACTTGTAAGGTAACAACATAGTCCAATACACTTATGGTTTATTAAATTTGTTTTCAATAGCATTTATCTATTTATTCATACGCATAATAAATTCAAATAAAAATTAACAAAAATATAAATACTATGAAATCATGTAATTAAATTAATCAAACAACTTGTAATTAAATTAATGAAACAAAATGTAATTAAATTAATGAAAAAAAATGTAATTAAATTAATGAAACAAAATGTAATTAAATTAATGAAAAAAATGTAATTAAAAAAATGTAAATTTGTTTATGCTTTTAATGTATAAAATATATTGAAACTCTCTATTTTAAGTTATTTATTAACTAAAAACAACAACTTAGAATTTATATCTGATTCATTTTGTACTTTTTAGCTTGATCAAATATTTGATAAAAACGACTTTTTAAATTAATTTTTTTGATCAAAATAAACACAAAAAATTTGATAACTTTTGTAGAATTAAATTATATTGTTTTTATTTATTTAGTCTTTCATTAATAATTTCATTTAATAATAAATAGTAATGATTGTATTACGATATTACCCCTAGTCTTAGTTTTCGGATGTCAGGAAATAATTTATTGGGATTATTTAAATAATTCCAAATCCCTCAATGGTCTATAGTTAGGACGGATTAATTGCATTTTGAGGGGTTAAGGTAATTAATTAATTAACTTAACTTTTAAAATCAATAATAAAAATGAGGAATTGTTATATAGTTAAAAATGAAGAAAATATTTTTCAAAATTTAATTTAAAAACAATCGAAAAATATTATTTTAATTTATTCAAGCTGATTTTTTTTACAGAATAATTAATTAGACCATAAGAATAACAAAATGATTAACATTAATTTAAAATACTGAGCTTAACAAAATTATTTTTTTCATATTTATATAATTTTTTTGATTTCAAAGAGGAGAATTTTTATTACACTAAGCCAAGGCAGTCATCATATCTGACCAGAATTATTCCTAATTTATGTCATAGCAAATAGTGCAATTTGGTTATCTACCAGTAGTTCCGTACTCATCAACCACAGTTCTTCCATCACAATATTCACTTTTTGTTTCAATAACAACATTTTTATACTTTGTTTTAAATGCTTCAGGGTTTATTACATAATAAACTGCACAAGGGTCATGAAGAGGGGCATAATCAAAATCATAATTTTATTTATATGACTACAAGAAAAATTATAAAAACTAAACTACACATTCAGAAAACTTTGACTTAAAAGATTAAATTTTAGAAACTACGTTACTGTCTACTTTCACTTTCAAAGTTAGATCAAGTGGACACATTGCCAGAGGAACTTGGGCATTAAAAACAATTCTTGCAGCTTCAGGATCCATATCTTTATTATTAAAAACAAGTATTAATTAATTTATTTTTGATAAAGATTTTTGTAAATTAAAAATAATTTAATTTTACAAATATTAAACTCAGCTGCTGGTGTTGAATTTCCTAAAGTAATAGAACCTCCCATAATAGAAATCTATTCAATATATTACTTAATATCAGGATATATAGTTAAAAGAATAGCTAAGTTTGTAAGAGCGCCTGTTGCAATAAAATAAATTTTTTTGCCTTAGCTTTTTATGACTTCATAAATTTTGTTGAAAACATCATCTCTTATTTCTTTTTGAGAGCTAGCAGGTAAAGTAATTCCAGCCATGCCGTTGCTTCCATGAAAGTCATCTGTGCAAAATTTTCCTCTAGTCAAAGAATTTTCCTAGCCTCTATAGACATTAATGCCTTGTATTCCTGCCATGTAGAGAAGAGAAAGAGCATTTTTTGTAGAATTTTCTACATGGGTATTACCTTAAACTGTAGATATACCTAATTTAATTATAAATTAATAACTTATACAAATAAATGAGGGTACTAACCTAAAAGTTTAAGCTTAGGAGATGTAGCTGCTAAGAATATAGCTATAGCATCATCAGTTCCTGGATCACAGTCTAACCAAACTAACTTTGGTTCTGATTAATTATCCATATTATTTACTAAAATTATTAAAAGTAAATTAAGATACAGAATTTATTTATTTAATTTATTGTTTATAAATTACTTAACACTATTAGTATAAACAATTGTATAAAATGTACCAAACATCTGATTAAATTTATGTTTGAAATAGATCTTCTTTTATAATTACGAAAAAGATACAATATATATTACAACATTCATATTTTATCATAAAAAACTCAGTTTAAAATATTAATTGTTCTAACAATATCAAAAATCTAATTTTTAGTTCTATCTTCATTTGATAGATTTTACTAATAAATCAAGAAAAATATTTAAAGGTGTTTGATCTATGCTTACTATTAATTTATTATCAATAAAAAATTATGAAAATTAAAAACAGAATATTAGAAATTAAATTCATTTAGATAAATGTTTGATATTATTTGAGCATTTACAAATATATTAATTTTATTTGTTTAAGCTTAATCTTTTTTTAAAATAGTTTATTTAAAATCAGTTTCTTAATATATTTTATAAATAGCTTATTTGATTAATATAAAGTATAATATTTAGTTGGGTCAGTATATAGATAGATAATATATTTAAACAAATTTATTTATTCTAAAATATCTTAAAAAAACAACAACAAAAAGTATGTGGAAATTTTTAATTGTAAAAAAATTTAGCTTTAGTAGAACTTGAATAAGTTAGTTATTATAAAAAAATTGAATGATAGATAATCTACATTCTTTTTTTGTTTTTAGATCCATTTTTTATTTTTAGAGTAATTATTTTGAAATAAAATTTTTAAAAACAAGTTAATAATGAATTTAGATAAAATTATCCATATAAAATAATGAGTTGTATCTGATAAAATTTGGGTTATTAAATAGATAATAAAATATTTATGATGTTGAAAATTTAAGAATATGCTAACAAAACTAATATTTATCTTTAAAAAAATTGTTGGGACTAGATACTGCGTAGTAATTTTCCTATCAAATTAATCAATTTCAGCACGCTTTTTGTTTATAAGTTGAATGATTTTAAATAATATTAAATGTTTTAGATTGGAATCAATCAAAATAATATATAAAAAATTATAGATATATAGATAGATATTATTTAATTAACTAATTAATTATTGAAGTTTAAGTTTACAAGTGATTTCTTTTTGATTTATTATAGGATAATTTATATTATTTACAAAGTTAAAAAAGTATATATAGAGATTTTTTATAAAAGTTCCTTCAAAAAAGCAAGCAATTTGTGATGGAAAACATAAATTCAATTTAAAAATAAGCCAAGGACCCTGAAGATTTGAGGAAAAAATAAATCGAGGAGTTTCTTTCATTTGAATATTTTTACAATGGCTTAAATAAGTTAGACACTGATGGAGTTTAAGTGTTTTCTAAGATTATTGATTGTTTGAATAAGGATATCATTAAATTTAAAGAATTAGTTTAATTTATACAAGCAAAACGCTGCATTCCAGATTAGGCAAGAGGAGTTGTATGGAGAATTTTATTGAACTACTTGCCAGAAAACAGAAAATAGTGGATCAATATTATTGAAAATAATTCAAAACACTATGAATAGCTAGTAAATGATTATATTGTAAGCAAGAATAAGAAAAAGAGCGAAAGAAACGATTCAAACACAGACATTTTAAGCGAAAATGACCAAAATAACATAGGTATTCCTAACAGATCTAGTGTAGATAGCAAAATTTAGGATAAAGAAGAAATTAATAAATAAAAGATGAGCAAAAGCACAAATTTATTTGATAATGCACCAACTATTACCTTAAAGAATCCTTTGTTGAAAAATGGAGGAGACTCAAAAAAGAAATTAGAAATTATCGAAAACTGTGTTGACCATCCTTTAAACAGAAAGCAAACAAGCTCGTGGAATACTTATTTCAAAGATTTAGAAATTTGGGATTTAATAGAAAAGGATACAAAAAGAACTAGAGCAGAATTTTACTTATAAAAGAATGAGTAAATACGCTTGTACAACGGATAGGTTGCTAAGCTCTTTAGGAAGTAAAACATGGCATCATTATAAAAGCCAATATCACAAAATAACATTTAGCTGTAAAAAACTTAATTATAAAATGATAATTCTAAAACTTAAGCAAAGCAAGAAGATAATATAGAATTTGAAGAATACAGATACGATGTTATTACTCGTATTCTTTTCCTTTATTATAAGATAACACCAGAAGATGCCAAAGTGAAATATGTATAAGGAATGAATGAAATCATTGGATTAATTTATTAGTGTTTTAGCTAGGACAATTCGCCCTATTTAAGGTCTAAAGCTGAAAGTGATGCATTTTACTGTTTCTGCATTGTAATGACTAAAATAAAGGCTATGTTTAATTTTAATAAAATGGAGAATGAATCTTCCACAATTAAAACAAACTCATCTAAATAGCTTGACTCATATAAAATATATATTGATGCTTTCGTCGAGATGTTTAAAAAAGTAGACGTCTAACTATTCAATTACTTGGCTTAAATTAATGTAGATCCGAGATTGTGCTGTCTGAATTGGATGATAGGATTCTTTTGTTAAAGCTTTGACTCGTAGAAAGCTATGCAAGTATGGGATTGCCTTTTTATCTCTAATGATATTGTTGAATTTATCCCTTTTATTTGTACTTCTATCCTAATTATAAATAGAGATGAACTCATAGATAAATAACATTCAGAAATATTAATGAAATTGTAAAATATATAAGATATAAATTTAGACAAGCTAATGAAAATGGCTTTTAATTTGTATAACGAATATTCTCAAAAGATTAGCTTCGTCAGATGACGAAATAATTTATCAATTAAAAAAGTTAATTAGTTAGTTAATTTGTAGTAAATTTAATAAAAATAATATTTAAATTTAGTAGTTAGTATCTCGATCGATTATCGACTTTAATTGTTATAAAATGCTTTAAGCCTTAAAATTAAATTATTCTTATATATTAAAATTATTTATTCCTATATACTTACTTACATAAATAAATTTCAAAGAAATAAAGCAATCAATTTATTTATTTATTTCATTTTATTATTGCTCACACAATTATCTAAAAATTTAGATTAATTATTTATTCTTAATGCAAATAATACTGTTAAAATCATTTATAGATAGATAATTTTCATTTTCCTTTTAATAATTGATATCCCCAACAAAATATTATTTGTATAAAAAACGATAGAATAAATAAATATAATTTAACAATAATCAGAAACAATAATTAGAATTATTATGCAAGATTAACTAAACTTATTTTATTTATTTATTATGTATATATATAGTACTCTAAGGTACTGCCTTTTTCAAGGCTGCATACACGTATATTAATAAGGTTTATTATTAAGTAGTATGGTTTTCAACTGAATTTAAATATAACACATAATGGGTTTATATTATTTAATCCTTCAACAAGACAGATAGACAGACATTTAAATCAAATATAATGAGCATTTATTTGTTTATTTTTTTTAGTTTTTGTATTACTTTAATTTTATTTACTGGAAAATTTATCTTGGCTTTTATAATAAATAGAATAATTTTGGTTAAAAATATTCCAAATTAATAGAATAAGATTAATTAATTAGTTAGGATTATATATTAATTTTGAGTTAGTTTATTGATTTATTAGTTTTGATTTGAGTTTTGAAAAGTATTTATTAAAAACAATATTTAATATTTTTAATCAAAAAAATGAGTCTTAATAAAATTTATATCTATTGTAAGTATTTATTTTAAAATCATAAAGAGGTAGTTTGTTCAAAATATTAAATCATCTAAAAATTTATTTATTAATTAAATTAATTATAAAAGATAGATAGATATATAAATCAAATATAATGTACATGTGTTTATTTATTTATTTATTTTTAATAATCTTTGTATTACTTTAATTAATTTACAGGAAAATTGATATTGACTTTTAAAATAGAAAGATTTGGTTAAAAATATTCCAAATTAATAGAATAAGATTAATTGATTAATTGATTAATTAGTTAGTTAGTATGGATTATATTAATTTTATTTTTGAGTTTGTAGATAGATTTATTAGTTTTAAATAATAATTTTAAAAAGTTTTGAAATACGTTTATTAAAATGGTTAATTTATTTTTTAAATCATTCATTCATTCATTAATCATCTTCGGTTTAAGTTTTATTAATAAAATCTCCTTGCTCTATAAAATAGCTTTTTACTTTTAGTGTTTAGTTATTTTCCTATTTGAAATTTGTAAGTTCTACTTCTTTATTTTCTTCATACCTGTACTCATTAGGGTAATGATTTTCCAAAAACTTCTTTGTGTCTTCGCTTATGTTTATCCTTCCTAGTTACCCATTAGATTCCATTCTTTTAAATAAGAAGAATAATAGTTCTTTTATAAATCTGCTATGATTAAAATAATATGTTACTTATTTGCAATAACAACATCTTTTCCAAAAATGTCATATCTTACGATGTTTGTACCAATAATACCTCCTAAAACTTTTTCTCCCTTTAATTGAAATAAATTAATAAATAAATAACAAACTAAATAATAATTAATTGTTATTTACCAAGTGTATTCCTATTCTCATATTAACGCTTTTGAAATCTTCGTGCTCTCTTTTAATGTTCTCAATAACTTGAATCATTGAGAATCCCATTTAAATAACATTCTTGCACTCTTCTTGGTATTATCTGTTCTACTTATCGACAATACCAATGACAACATAGCAGTCTTTTAAGAAATGAATTAGAAAATTAAATTAATTTTATCAATAAATTATTTACCTCCAATGGTGTATACTTTATAAACTTTGTGCTTTAAACAAAGCTAATCAAATGAAGTAAATAAGTTTCTCAACATTTTAACTACTTCTGATGGCTATTTGTTGCTCGAATAGCTTGTAAATCCAGCTATATCTGCAAATAATAGTGTGACTTTTTCTAGAGACTCGGATATTTCCTTATATTACTTCTTGTTTTGTAAGAACTAAGTTAATATATGCTTAGGTACTAAATATTTTAGTAGATTGTCCTTTTCAGATTTTTTGATTTCGTGAGCAATTAAATTGTTAAAGTTTTCTATTTTAACGTCCCACCTAACATAGCACTTATAAATTTCAAAGATAACTAAGATGCATATTTTTACCATATCTTCATACGATCCTGTATCATAAAAATTAGCCAACCATAACCCAATAATCACCGAAGCATGAAGGAAAGTTTAGTTAAAGTGGATGAATGAAAATTCCTAAATCATATTTAGCACTATCAAATGCTCAATAAATATGATTCCCAATATACCTTAGTTGGATAAAAATTATCTTGATAGGACGATTGAATTTATATGACTAAACATCGCATAAAGATGCAAGACAATTTTATGTGTTAATACTCTAGAAGCTAGTTTAGGGATAAAAATTATGGCAAATAAGGCCACACCACATTCGATAGCCTTTAAAATTAGTAACAGAATTTATGCTTGTGTGCTCAGCAATTCTAGGTTCAAAAATACCACAATGATAACTAATAAATGAATACTAAACTAAAAGAAATGGCTCTTAAGTCCAAATTATTGAGTAGAGTCTGTCGAAGTACCGAGTTCGAATTTTTTTACAATATCATCGTTCCTGCCATTAAGATATCTCAAAAGATATTGAGACACTTGAAGTAAAGGCTCTGATGAGTATTACCCTTATTCTTTATCTTGCCTTTTTTAATTAGTTAAAACTATCGTGTCTTTCCTAGCTAAGGTATGTCTTTCTCTTTCTTCGAATTTCTTAGTTTCTGGTTCAATTTCTTCATCAAATATTTCCAAAGTATCTAATTTCTATTTCAAAAATAAGTAAGTAAGTAAGTAAGTAAGTAAATAAATAAATAAATAAGTATATTCTTTGTTTCATTTAATCTATTTATTACTTGAATTGCAAGAGTATTTTAAAGGGAATTTCTTGGCTGAATCAACATAGTCCTTGAATATCTCAGTTTTCTTTTGGCTTGGTTGGAGTTTGCACTATTGTTGCTTCCTATTTAAAATTTACCACTCTCGTTGTTTTAATTCTTAGCCTGTTAAAAAGAAGAATTGACTTCGTCATTAGCAACTAACTCGCCAAGTTCATTATTCAAATCTGTAGAACTGACAAATGTTTTATTTTTTTTAGAAGCATTCCTCTAAACAGCACTCTTCCTTGAAATGTTACTTAATTAATTATTAGGTTAGGTGTATTATATTTACTAATTAGAACTAGCTTATTGCTGAATTCCATTATCTAAAGAGTTTCTAAAACTCCTCAAAGACCCACTTTATGCTGATAAATTTTGAGAATGCATAGAAACATTATTCAAATTATTTTTAGAGTGGAATCCTTCGCTATTTTTAGAAAACAGCTATTTATTGTTTAGCGAGTTTTTCTTACTATTCAGTGCATCATTATTAACTAAAATAATAAAATATATTTATTTAATTATTTATTTAATCGTTGTTTATTATAAAAATTACCTTTGATAATTGTATTTCTTATGTTCTCTGCAAGACTAAAAATTTTTAATATTCCTTTTCCTTTAGCTTCAACTTCCTTTTCTAAAAAGAGCCATTCAGTCTTTCCTAGACGACGGTGAGCTTCATATGAAAGAGAAATACGTTTTTCTTTGCACTTAGAGCATACTCTACTAGCAGTATTTACTGTATCTCCAATTAAACTAAATTATGGTTTGTGAGCTCCTATAACACCTGCAATAACTTTTCCATAATGTATTCCGATTTTTACATCAGTTTGTTAATTATTTCCCCAAAAATACTATTTGGCTTTGATTTGCATTTCCTGAGCTGCCAAAACGAGTCTTTCTGTTTCATTCTCAGTAAGAAGCATTTTTTATTGTCTTAATTTTTCTTCTTTAGTCAGTTTCAAACCAGCACAAGCCATATAAATTTTTCCTACAGTCTTTAAAATAAAAAAACTCTTAGCAAAATGATTTAAATTAATTAGTAAATTTTATTATTTTTAATTATAATTTTAAATGATTAGATACTTAGTTAGTTAGTAATTTTGTTTGTCAATAGAATGAAAAATAAAAATAAATTTTACTTCGATTTTTTGTACTCCATACTCAACGCATATTTTATCAAATTATCTATATAAATTGTCTATCCATTTAATTAATTTAGTCTACTCTTCGTTGAGGATACTATCGAAATCACAGATATCCAAGAAAAGGATTGCAACTTCTCCTTAGTCTTCTTCTATGCTTGCATTACCAGCTAATCAATTAATAAATTAATTAATTAGTTAGAATGAATGAATGAATGATATATTTTGCTTAAAAATAAATAATGAATTTTACATGAATTAAATCTTGTTCTAACAAAAGGTGGAAGCAAATTGGCTAAGACATGATCCACTTCGTTTTCTTCGTATTTGATTCTGTTTTTTGTAGAGAAACTAATACGACGAGCCTTTTCTTGCATGTAAAAATACAAAAAGCTATGCAAAACGTAAAAAATATAGGAAATTATAAATAGCAATTAATTTTTGGTTGTGCTTGAAACTCCGTTATTAAATTTAGAGCTCATGCTAATAGAAATCAAAACTCCAATTGTGTTAATTATGCAGACTGAATAAGAGAGAATAATTGGAGGAGGCACACTATCCCAATTGTAAATGGAAATAATAAAAGCACTACCGATCAAATCGATTTCAGTCTTTTTAAAGATAGAATAGAGGCCATAATTTACAATGACAAATGGTAGACAGTAATGATAAATAACGTTAACTAAAGTGGCTGAGTCTATTGAAAAGATTAATGTTTTTTTAAAAACAATAGCAACTGAGACAAAAATTATAATAAACTAAATCAAAATTCTAGAATAAATCAAGAAGGAATTAAATATATAACTAGCTTCATTAGTATCCCCATAACCAGTTAGACCTTAGACTGCTTCAATAATAGTTGAACTCATTAATAATATTGCTATAATTATCATTACAACTGCAAATTTTTAAGTGAAAATTTACATTCTAAATTCTTTATAATTTTTTTCAACCCTTAAATCATTGAATTATAAAGTAAATTTGCTCATATTCGAATAGCTGTCCACTTTTTGTGAAGGATCCAAGACTATTTTAAAAAAAAAAACAAAATTAATTTAATAAAAACTCTGAAAAAAAAAAATTTAAATTGTTTGTTACTTTTTCTTAAAAATGGATCAATTTCTGTTTTTGTAAAAAGTTGTTTCAAAATCTAAGTGAGGAATTGCTAAGAAACTCTGACTTCGTGTACAGTTGATTTCATTTTATCAAAGAAAGTCTTAACTCTCTCAGGATTAAATCTATTAGTGTAGCTATTGAACACTTCCATGAATTATTCAGGAATGAAGTAATATCTGAAAAATTTAGTAAAGAAGTACTCAATAAAATAGATGGTGAGCATAATAAAGATAATAGAAAAAGATTGCAGCAGATTAAACAGATATGAAAAAATGTAAGGCTAGTTAGTTTGTTCTTCAACTACTTTGAAAATAGATGGAAGCAAGGAAATAATTATTTGAGTAAATATGAAGATTGTAGAAAGAACAATGCTTTATTGCATAGGACCAGCCATTACAATAAAAATTAAAACAATGCCCATAACAAATGACATTATTCCCTAAGTGATTTCATAATCAATAAGTTTTCCATCAAGAGTGTAGTTACCCATAAGAGGATTTTCAAGCAACAAAGAAGTTAAGAATGCATGAAAAGTAACAAATAGCATGCACTCCAAGAAATGAGACTTCATCCAGCTATTCTAATTTCTACGAAATTTGTAAAATTCAGGACGTAGTCTTATGAGACAATTTTGTGGATTATTCTTAAAGGAAGAGAGTAAAATATAGAGAGATCCTATTGTTTGACTTGCATAGATATTCAAAGTAATTTAATATCCCTTAACCAGGTCAGATTAGATTTGATAATTGTGCAATTGATAAAAGTAATTTAAAAACATGATGAAAATAATTAATTTAGTATTTGTAACAACCAAATATTGAAGTTTATCGCTGACTTCTATCGAATCATCGAAAATAAAGTCCCTCACTAGAGAAAAGTCTTTCAAAGTAACATCTCCGATGTAGCTTTAACATGTGCTCTAGCCTTTAATTAGGAATGAAAAATTACTCTGATTCATCATTTGACTATCCTTTGATCCATATCCAAAGCTGATCACAGTGGTTTTTGAGTCTTTAGTCTTCATTTAAAAGAATATTTAAAAATAGGTTTTCATAAAAATGTATTTATTTACTTGTTAAATTAAAGAAATTAGAGAAGATTTAGAACTAGGACAAAAATTATATCCAAGTAAATTGTTGCAAACTAAGCACAAAAATTAGAAATGTGCTTTGAGATAGTCATTAGAAAGGATAACTTTTAACGAAGAACCGTCAACTAAAAGTGAAATTTTTTCTAACTTTTCTTAATCGCTTCCTGAGCCAGTTGAAATGTAAGAAGATCCCTTTCTTGAATTATTTAAATTAGACATTCTTCTTTTGTATTGTTCTTTAGTTATTGCACGCATCGATTATCCTTAGCTAACTTTATTTCCACTTTCAGGTTAAAAATTCATTTCTTCTTCTTCAAGAATAAGATTTTGCAACAAGAAAAGGTGGTTTTTTATCTGATTATTTAAAATATTATTTAATTAATTAATTCAAAAAATAGATATTTGTTTGTTACTTAGTATTTTAGTTCTTCAACATTCGATTGATCGATTGTTAAAAAGGTAGTATCGTGGTGAATCATGTTGCTTTTGTATCCAGCTGCTAAAACAGAGCTTTAAGAGTCAGCTGATATTAGCCAATTAACTATTCCTGCAGATTATAAAAGACTGACAAGCTCTTATGTTTTTGGTATCAGTTGCTGAGATAGGCACATAGATCCAAGAAACTCCATTCCTGTAGCGATTTGATCAGTATCTTGCTTCTGATCTAATTCTTTCATATTCTTTTTTGCAAAACATATCATTTTCATTCCTCGAATTTATTAGCTATGCATATCTTTAAGTATAAGGTCTTTTTAAAATTTAGTTAACTAACACCTTGGCAATATTTCTTATGCAGAGCCTTTAACAAATAGCTATAAATCTTTAGGTTCAAATTCAACAAATTATTAAAATTGGTTTTATTAATTTCCGTTGTTTGAAGTAGCATTTTTTTTACTGTTAAATTAAGATAAATTACTAGTAGCTGGGAGTAAAGAAATTAAATGTTTGTCATCTACTTTTACTAATATTCCGAAAAACTTCCTTGATTCATTAGGCAAATAGGTTTATTTGACTTCGTATCTAATTATCTTTTCTTTATATTTAAGATCATAAAATTGCTTATGCTTGTAAAATCCTCCTCTTAAAAATGACAATCCTGATTTCTAGCTTAGTTCAAGTTAAGGTATTTCGTCTTTACTAGTAGGTTCTAATTTATATTTAGAATTATTAGCTTCTTCTTAATAATTAGGTCTATCATCGTTATCATTTTCTTACACTTAATCTAGAATCCTTTCAGCTAATTTTTTAGTTTTTACCTATTTCAAAAAAATAATAAATTATTTAACGATCTTTAATGGTTATTAATATAAAAATATTTATCCAATAAACCAATTAATTAATCAATCAAACAAACAAACAAACATCTTTTAATATTGAAAATCATATTTTTTTCAAAATCTTCTTTTGCAAAATAAATGTTAAAAAGTGCTCATTTAATTTTATTGTTTTTTTGCTGAAAGTATTAACAAAAATATATTGAATTGCAAAGAAAAAATTATTTTGATCAAAAATGGTAAATTACGTTATGACAAAGAGCTAAAGCTTTGAAGAATTCAATTTTTATCATAGATTCCCTTTAGGTTGCATTTTAATTGTCAGTTAATGTTAGTAATTCAGTTAATTTATTTTTATCATCTAGTCTTGGTGGTCTAGTTTAAGGGTAAAAAGGATATAAGTAAAGATCTTTCCACCTAACTATCTCTCCAGTTTGAAACTAGTTTTGTCTATTGTGGTGAAATGATTAGTGAGTTGGATTATTCAATGTTGTCTAAACAAATTAATTTGGAGAGGTGAAAATGTTAAAAGATCTGTTATGATTCAAGTTGCTCGATGGGGCACGCGTTTGTCTAGGAATTACTCCTCCAAAAAAGGACTTATTTATAGTTGATGGAGATGGGGAATTTGCAACATTTCCATAGTTTTTTAAAAAGCTTCCTTTGTCAGAATGCTGATTTCTTAATGAAATTTAAAATTCTTTATTTGGTATCTGGATGTTAAGTGGAGGATGAAGAGTTTTTTATGGAGAATTAACTTTTAAATTAATATTTTCTGTGCTTGTTATGTTGTTTGTATTGTTAGGAATTTGTGAAGAAGCTTTGCGTCTTGGTTTTTATTTAACTACTTGTAAGTAAGAATCATTTTGTTTGCCATTAACTCTACCATTTTAGTTTTAATTTGAACCATTTGTTTGATAACGCTCCTCTGACAAATTCTCGTTTTAAGAGTGATTATTGATGCTCTCTTTATGATTCGAGGTATTTACTTCCAGTCTTTTTAAATTTTTTTAGTTGTTATTTTTACATTTTTTATCTTTATTTTCGATTTCTTATTCAGGAATTTATTCTAGAGGATTTTTGTACTCTTAATCGTCTAAATTACCATTTATATTGATAGTGTGTAAATTTTTTGTAAAATTTAACAATGAGACATTATTTATTTCTTCCATATTTTGTTGGTCTGTTTTTTTATTAATAGGACTTCCAGCATCCAGTTAATCTATTTGAATATTTGCGTTTTTTACAGGAAAAGGTTTTTCTAATTAAAAGGAAGACAATTAATTCTAGCTTTCAATATGAAAATTATTATTGTATGTTTCGTTTTTAACAACTGAGATATTCTTTTTATAAAAAAATAAAATTAATGTGGTTTTTCTATTTAATAGTTGTTACAATATTATTGAATTTATATTACCTTAATAGATTCTTCAGCAATAACTGGACTGCTATTATGAGAACTGTAACCGTTTGGTTTTATGTTAGATTCGTTGTTGAAAATCAGATTGGGTACAGCATCTGCATGCTCAGATGCGTTGTCATGTTTTTGGCTATCTTCATAGCTAGTGTTATCGTTTTTATTTGTCTTAAAGTTAGAAACCATGGTATTGTCTTCTTTAAGTATAGACAATTGTTAATCATTGATATTGTATTAGATATTTTAAAGATTGTGTTTTGTTGATTTTAAACTGTTTAGAGTGTATTAGAGTAAACCATTGAAATTATTAGATTAATTTTATATTGAAACATTTTAGATAGAAGTGTTAAATAAATTAGTATTGCTACTATTTGGGAAAATATTTTATATTATGTTTGCTTGGCTTCTATTAATAGGTGAAGAGTATCCATTCATACTAGTGAATTTGTTTTTGTTATTCCAGTTAAGAGATTCTTTTAAATGATTTAGGTTTAAGCTAATTTTTTCGTACATGCTACTTTAGTCTTCTTATTATGAGGTAGGTTACTTTTTACGTTCGTCTGTTTCATGGTCTTATATTTCACATGTTTCTTTTCTAAATACATTTTTATTTTGCTTTTTTTCATCTCTCTCTGAAGTTTTATTTTTCTGAGATGCCTTTGAATTACTACTTTCGTCATCATCACTGTCATATTCTATATTATTATTACTATTTTCATGTTACTTTCCTAAATCATTTATCTTCAATAGATTGGTATCCACTATTTATTTATTTATTTTATCTATCAATAATCAATAAAATTAAATATTAAAAATACTCTAAGGAAAAGACTATGTTGAAATTTTCTTTTAAGCTTAACTATCTTTGCCATTAACTAAATAAGAATTAACTTAATTAGAGATGCCCTTTTAGAACTGATTGGCTTAATTCATTGGAGAAGGAGAATCTAAATACTCATCTTCTTAAAGATTTTTCAAGCTCTATCTATAATTACTATGATCAAAAGCAGAGTAGAATTTATTATTTATATAAACTCCATTTATAATATCATTCTAATTAATAATAAAATAAGTTGTATTCACTTGCTTGTAAACAATACTATATATATTTGTAATGAAAATTACTTTATCTGGGTGTAAAAATGCCCCACTTAAGCTAAAAACTGCTATATCAACGTGACTAAGATTAGTAATTGCTCCTGAGTTGTTAATTTCTACTTCTTGGTTTTTATTTTTATATTTCTTTTCAATTTAATATTTAATGATATAATAAGAGGCATGCAAAATGGCATAAAGAAGCACAGGAATACCCTAAGAATAAACAGTAATTGATTCTAATAAAGCTACATATTAATCCTTGTTAGTGCTGTTAGCTATAGTTGGTTGAGTTTAGCGGATGTTTTTCCAAAAAATGACACTCTAATAAATAAATAAACAAATAAATAAATAAACAAACAAATAAACAAATAAAAAATAATATATTTTCAGAAAATATGTTTGCTTCATTAAATCTTGATAAAATGTAAATTAAAAAGTAAAATTTCATTAAACAAATAAATGTAAAGAGAATATGATGAAAGAAAAATAAATTAATTTAATTAGTATTAGCTACCAGGAAATTAATAAGAAAATGTAAGTCAATGGTGTAAATATAAATGTGTTTGCAGCCAAATTAAAGAAATGTTACAAATAAATAAATAATTGAAAATTTAAAAATATTTTAAGACTTACAAAAATGGCAAAAGAAATCCAAATTGTTGTCATCTATATAAATCTATTCATGAATTTAAGTAGGTATTGATCTCTTGCTATTTTGACGTGTTTGACCGATAAGACTGTATTTAAGTAACCGTAATCAATAACAATACCTAAAACCCTAATTTGCAAATTTTTAAAATATTTGAATGAGGAATAGATTGATTAATTTTTGAAAAAAATTGGAATTAATTAGATTAAATGGAAATAGAAAACAAAAGAAGATATTTATTTATTTATTACCAGTCGGTATTTTTCAAATAGCTTCCTCTTTGGATTATATTTTAAAAAGAGAGCTTTTCACCTTTCGGATCACTTTCTAATTTAATATATCCTTCAAAAAGTTTTGCCTCTTTTAGGATTGGGTAATACTCTATTTTTCCATTTAGTGTATATTTATATGATTTTAATATAGTTTCAATAGAAATATTTTCTTCATTGGTAGAATCCACAGGTTTAATTTATCTGTAGTCCAAGACTCCATCTATTTCATTCGTTTCTACTATAATTTTTTATTCTTTACTTGCTATAACCAAAATATCTGAAGTACAAATTTCATTTTTTTTTAATAAAATGATGTCTCCTATTTCAACTTTGTCCTGGCTGATATCATTAAAATATGACACTTAACCATATACCAGTTTCTTTTATTTTAGAAATATAAATTTATTTAGTGTATTTTTACTGTTTATTTTTTTCAATTTTATCTATTGGGTATTTTGCTATTTTTTAAATTTTTAAATTTGCTAATTACAAATTTTAAATTAGTAAAATCGGTTTAAAAACTTTTAATCGCATAGTACATAGAGCTTACTAGTTCGATAAATATCCAAATAATCAATATAGATAAACCCTAAGTACACTGCTAACTCCTTTTATTACGAGTGTGTGAATGGATGTTTGTTTGTTTGTTTAAAGCTTACTAAAAAATAAGTTAATTTAATGTATTTTAAAACTTACATGAACAATTTATGTTTATATCTTTGAATCAGAGTTTTGCTTTATTTTGCTTCTGTAGAGCTAAAAATTCTTAAAGCCATGCACAGAAAAATTGAGGATAAGAGGAACAAGCAAATAATATCTGAGTTTTAAATAAATTATATTAGTTATTTATAGTGAATCAAACTATTTATATAGAATAGTTACGCTTGGCTTGTATCTAGCTATTATTCGAATATAACCATTAGGAGAATTATAAAATATATTAGGTTTCCTATCTTGTAAAAGCTAGTGAAAAAGGATGTCATTATAATTTTAAAATACTATATTTAGGAAATAAAAATTATCATTAGCGATTAGTTGTAAAATAAATAGTAAGTAAGTAAATTCATCAAAAAAAGGTAAAACTTATATTTCATTTTAATAAATTTAATTGAGTTTATTACTATTTATTTATTTGATTCCAGCTATCGTCTTATATGAAGCCCTTTATAAATTGTTTTGCCTTCATTAATGTCGAACTTTATATTTATAAAAAGAAGGTATTTTAAATTGTTGCGTTTTTATATAATTAATGAGTATATAATTCATTATAAGTGCACCGAAGTCATAGGTTTTAAAGTAAATTTGCTTTTAACTAAAAGTTTGCTTCATTTTCTTTCCATTTAACACATAATATCAACTATTTAAATCTAATTTAATAGAAGTGCACGCATAAAAACGAATAAACCTATCTGTAGTTAAAATTTGTATTGATTGCTAACTGCATTTGGTTAATTACCATTCTCAACTAATCTTTAGACTTCTTCTTTTTCTTGAATGTGATTGTGTTGAAATCTAACTTTTCATTACTGTTTTCATTGAGCATCTTGTCTTTATCAACCTTTTATATATTGAATATCGATTGCTATATTAAAGTATAAGGACTTAATTTTTATTAAAAGATTAATAATCAAACAAACAATCTAACTAATTAACTAACAAGTAATTATAAAAAAACAAACAAATAAATAAATATTCTGAACTCAAATATTATTTTTCTAAACAATTAATACTGCATAGATTTTACTTTAATCAGTCATTACAAACTAAAAATAATTCAAAATTTCTTTTTCATGGTATATTTTTTATTGGTGGTATTAATAATAGATCTATCAATATTTTTTATTTTCTTTATAGTTACCTTTGTTAATCAAAATCAAAATCGATCAGCTAGCGTTATATTTGCTCAAAGTTTTACTAAATGGTAAGACAAGCCTCATTTTTTCAAAATTTTAAGTTAATTCATAGCTCTGGAAGATTTTTATTTGCAATTTTTAGACTAAAGAATATAATTATAATCAATAAATAATTAAATAAAGTGATAAAATGAATTATTTATGAAATTAAATATTTCCATTTAAAGTCTAAATACTCCTTTACATATTTTTTTAATTTATTGGAATCATAAACATTATTGTTATAAATAGTTTAAATTTAATTAACCTTAGGTGAAAACTAATTTAAAGATAAAGGGTAATATTGAATAGTGAATAATAAATAATTTGATTGCTTAAATGCGTTAGAAATTTATAAAAAAGTAAAAATGAAAAAAAAAATAATTAATTTAATTGACCACAATTTCAAAAATAGATCTTTTTACATTAAAAATATTGAATGGTTTTTCAAAAAATTAATATTTATTGATTGATTAATAATTTTGGAGAATTTTTCTGCTAATGACTAACTTATCAATCGCTTATAGAATGATTTATTAATATTTCTAATAATTTAAATCAAGTTTATTATTTAATTAAACTAGCCAAATATTTTCACTCGTTTTTCTATAAAAAAAAATTAAAATATTTCTAATTTTAAAAAATAAAATTTTGTTTAAAAATCTTTAAAATATTTTATTTAAAAAATAAAATTCAATTGTATTTTTTCTGTTTAGAAACTAAATTAATTAATTAATTATTTAGATTTTTAATAAGGAATAATTCTTATGGTTTGATATTAATTTAGTTTTTGATATTTATAAATTTGATTTCATCAGGTTTTAAGATTTTTTTGTAGTTAAATAGTATTTATTTATAGCAATAAACAATAATGAGTCTCTTTTTCAAGCAAATATTCAGGTTTAGCATGGCATTACCTGAAACTAAAATATATTACCCTGTAGTCAATATTCACACATAAGATTTGCAGTATTACGATTCATGGATAGTAAAATAATAAAATCAGCATTTTTATTTTGCTCTGTCATGTCTACTAATTAATCGATTAAAATTTATTTTTAAAGGGTTAGTAAGCACAAACGAAGGTCAGATTATTAAAACAAAGTGAAACAGAAATAACCCCATAAAACATGAAAGACTTTTTTGTAGATTAAATAAAAACAGATATGTATTCAATGTATAAGCCAAAAGAAGTAGATATTTTTTTGAATATATAAAAACTTATTCTTAATTAGCAGCAAGCACCAATAATAAACTAATAACTTTATTTATAAAATAGATTATTTTTATAGGTATACTCATTTAAATCAAAATAAAATGTTGTATTTGATTCATATTTTACTGTTAAATCAAGGAAGATCTAACGTAGGAAAATCCTCATTAATTAACAGTATTTTTAAGAGAAAAGTTGCCAAAACTTCTAAAAAGCAAGTAGAAATTTCTTCTTACTGAAAAGAATTTACTTGATTATATTAATTTCTTACAATCTATATTAAAAATAGGGAAGCACAAAAAAATTATATTATTATGAATTGGTTGATAATTTGGGTTATATAATTGATCCTCCTGGTTATGGTAAATCAATTCTTTAAATGATATTCAAACTTAATTCTTTAAATAATTATTATAACTTTCATTAAATATATTTTTTTTTTTTAATTCTAAATTAAATTTAAAAAATAAACAAACAAACAAAACACTAAATTTTGAAAGACATTTTTTTTAATTATTATTAACAAATACTTAGAATTAAATCTAAAGTTAATTTTACTCTAAATTTATAGCATTTAGAAGTATTTATATATTAAATTTTACAAAACTTCCAAAAAAAATCTAAAACAATTTAATTTGAAATTGAACTTGTAAAATTTAAAAATAAACAATTCATTTTTAAAATTAATTTTAAAGGTTTTTTGGTTGAGTAAGTTTTATAAAAATAAAACTAAATTTAAAAAAATATGAAACAATTTTGAATTAAATTAGCACAAATTAATTTTATAATATTTTATCTACTTTAATATTGATTAGGATTTGCAAATGTTAATGTTAATGCCAAGAAAAAATGGCAAGGAATGATTTATGATTATATACAGATTTCTTCGAGATTGGCGAGAATTTATCTTTTAATTAATGCAGAGCACGGATTAAAGAAAAATGATATGTCTTTGCTTTCTTAAATTTAAAAATAGAATGTAAATATTTAAATTGTTTTGACAAAAGCTGATAAAGTCCCTGAGAGGGCTTTATACGATACTATGCTTTCAATCGGTATGTAAGTTAAAGGATTCAATAATATTCATCCACTTCTTCATGCTTGTTCAGCAAGGTAAATATTTATCTTGCATTATTAAAATAGACAAAATAAATTAGCCCTTTATCGTTTTTTAACTTCTTATATTATCTAAAAAGGAATGGGTTTGGTATTCCAGAGTTAAGACATTCAATATTTGATTCGTTAGCTCACTTTGAACCAAGAAATATTGACGATAAAGAAGAAGTTCTTCTTAAATTCCTTGAATCCTACAGAGTAAGACCAAAAGAATTCAACGAATTTTATGGAAAAGATGCTTTAAAGCCTGCAAAAGAGTAAAAACAAATAGACTAAAAACCAAAAGAGCTCCCTGGAGCAAAATCAAAAGGAGAGAAATCAGGATAAACAAAAAGAATAAAATTTAAAAGTACAGCAAAACCTAAAGAAATAAAATGATAAAAATAATTGCATGTTATAATTATTATTGTAAATCTACTTTATAAAACTGTAGAATAATAAATAAATAAAAATTATTTTGCTAGTATTTAGAATCAATTAATCAACTTCATTAACAATATAAATTTTTACAAAGTTTAAACTCAAAATAGTAGCCTAAAACTATTGATAATAAATATTAAAAAAAGCAAGGAAGAGAGGGACGGAGGCATCAAAATAAATGCCTATAATTTGTTTGGAGTTTTACATTTTTACATAACTCCATCCAAAATAATTTGATTTGATTTGATTTGATTTTTTAAAGCAAAGCTTTTCAAAACTCTCTCTTTCTAATTGGCATGCAGAAATTATAGAAATGATTATCCAAAAACAAGTCTGCCTTTTACCAGCTTATACCACCCTTTTCAACAGCCTTTGCTGGATTATCAGAACCGGTGTAATGAGGATCCATAATTAGGAATCTGAGTTCTCCTGTTTACTCATTATGGTCGATACCCATTAAAGAAAAGGCTTTAACTCCACCACCAAACATAATAGGAGTACCTTCATTAAGGAAATGCTCTTTGAACTCACTGTTTTAATTTAAAATTGAATTAATAAAAACTCAATAAATAATGTAATTAATTCTATGTTTGTTTATTCATTTATTTACTCAACTTTATTAGGTACTTCTGATCCACTTGAAACATTCACAAATTTACACTCGCATTATACCAATTTTTGAATTACGTATTAAACTTCAAAAGCTCCAATCCATTCACTAGTTCCAATAAAACTACTTGGCTTATCCTGCATAGCTACTAAAATACTCTAAATCTCTTTATGAGTAGGAATAGCAAATTCATCAACATACTTGTTTTCTATAAACCAACTTAAAACGCTTTAAAGAGATCTGTAAGCGCAGCCCCAGCCATCATCATTAAATCCATCTTACATATAATGGTGATAAATATAATTTCCTTGTACTTAATATCTTCTAGCTCCTTCAACTAATAAATAAATATATTTTAAATAAACATAAAGTACTTTGATAAAAAAATAGTTAAATCTTTTATTTATTTTCAAAATTAATTAACTTTAAATTAAATTAAATATTAATTTTTAGAATTAATTACTCTTTCTATTTAATGAATTAAATATTTATTTTAATATGCTTCCAATAATTATAAAAACTATAAATAGTCATAAATTTAAGATTTTCACTCCTCCCCTTAAAATTATAATCAGGCTGGATATAATGGAATTATTTTATTCTAAATTTAGGGGAGATGGTAGTTAATTAATGAGGATTGATAGATAGTATTGCATTTTTTAAATCAAAGATAAATTTATTTAAACCAAAGTGTTTATTTTAAAAAAATTGATAGATGGAAGAATAAACTCAATTAGTTTAATTATTTACCTGCTTTAAGAGGCATGAATTTATGCACATTTCTAATTTTCTCTTTTTTATAGAATCCTATGTTTTTAGTATTTTGAAGACGATCGCAGAAACGGAAAGATGCAAACGAGCTTGGAAGTAAATTTCTCAAATGCAATTATTTTTTAGATTCGATAGTAGGCTCATTACCACTAACATTAATAACTCCTTATGTGCATAATGGAAGATCTAGCAATCCATAAACAAATATGGATTTACCTTCTGTTTAGCGAATTTACTCAAAAAAGTACTAAAGATGATTTTGAATTTCAGCTTCATGGTCAGTAGCATCAGTTTTAACATAAGAAATACAATCAACATAATTATAACTTGAGGTATTTTCTATATTTGATGATAAGGTTATTGTTTGTTGCTTTTCTGGTTAGTAAATTTTGGAGAAAATGCTAACTTCGATAGTTTATACTTTAATTAAGGCTATGCCTTTACCGATTTCATCGATATTCTATATTTTTTATTAATAAATTCAGAAAAAAATATATTAAAAACTTTGAAATCAATAAAATATTTTTATATAATTACCTTTTTATTTTCGGCTTTAAATTATGAAATTAATTTATTCATTTTATCTTGGTTAGTTTCTTTTACTGCTGGTGCTTGAGGTTATTTATTTTATTTTTTGGATTTTCCAGAGGCTTTAGGATCTTCTTTAACTTCTTCTACTTCTTATTATACAATACATTATGAACCTCTTGGAAGAATTACAAAGTCGTTGTTAACTTTAGCAAACATAATGAGGTTAAGAGGCTCAGTCTATGAGGGATATTTGAAATAAGTTGTAAGCATATAATAACTCTTCAAGATATCGTTGGTAGATGAATGCTTTAAAGCACTTACTTTTTATTTAACTCCATCTAAATCTAAACAATCTATCTTTAAAATAAATATTTTTATAGTTTTGATAAAATTTAAATAAAATTTTTAAATAAATTTACTTCCAATTCCTTCATGTAAGGTCTATATTTCTTTGAGTATAAAAACTAAACGATGTTGCTTGCAAATATTTCTTTTGTATATTCTTGTTATTATGCTAACTCTGATTTTATTTAATTCTTGAGGGTATTGAATGCGTTTGATCTAGTAAACTTTTCATCCTGCAAAACAGAAATAATACCATTTACTCTTACACCTCTTGGCAAAATATTAGTCAGATGTATTATTTCTTTTTCTAAGCTTTTTTAAATTTCGGATGAGTTGATTTCTGAATCAGAATTCAACAATTGAACTAATTCTTATGACATATTGAGGATATTTAAGACCTGATTTTAATGGCCATAAAGACACAAAGTCCAATGATAAGTTGCTGAAACTACATTTTCTAACAATCCATCATTGAGTTCAGTCAATCTTTAAGGAATGTCCTAAAATATTTAAAATTCCATGTTGTTTATTTGGTTTAAAGTTATTTTCTAATTATTCTATAAAAATAGCAAAGCCCTTTAATTTTATAAATTTTAATTACAAAAAAGATATACATTCATTATTATCATACAAATTAACACACACGATTGATTGATTCATTAATTAATTAATTGATTATTGATCAAATTTTTAAGAGATACTCATTCATCCTAAAGAAAAAATTTGATATTTATTAAGCAGCCAAATAAAAACCTAGTCAAAAACAAACATAAAAAATAAATATATTTTTAAGATCAATCAAAATAAATGATTAAATTATTTATTTATTTATTTGAATACTATTAAACCTTAATCAACATTAGCAAAAGATTTATCAGATTATCTAAAGTATTAAAATGGATTTAAATTTTGTAAATTAATTTTACATTATAAAAAAAGAATACAAACATATCATAGCATCTAAAGTATTCTAAATGAATATGTATGTGTTTTTTAATTGATTTTAGAAAATTAAAAAATAAAAAAATACTATAAAATTTTAATATTTATTATTTTTAATTTTTTAATTAGTCAATTATAATTTTTGATTTAGTCAATTATAATTTTTTAATTAAATGGCATAAAATTTATAAACTAATTAAAGTATATTTTTATTATTCATAACAGCATCAATAACATTTTATGTTTATTGTATAATTAGTAAAAAATTTGCAAAATCTTAATTCATTTTATAAGTTAATTTTAAATATAATATAAATAGAATGTTTAATTAATTATCAATTTTTTTAAATTTGATTGAAACTCAAAGAATTTTCAAAACTAAATTCATATTATTATCAATTTATATAGTGCGATTTAATACCATTCATTCTTCATTAAGCATTTATTACTTATATTTTAAATTATTTAAATTTAATAATTAAATCACAATTTTTTAGCTTTTATTTGCTTAAAAGTTAAAATATTTCTAAAATTATTTGTTATTTATTTTACAAGTATAAATAATTATTACAAAATTTAGAAAAACAAACAAAAAAGTATGTTCTGAAATGCTTTTGTCAGATTTTTTACAGTTTTTTTTAAAAAATATTTAAAAACAATGGTTTAATTTTATGGTTGTTTGAATTAATTTGTTTGATTATTAAAATAAACTGAAAATATATAATTTGTATTTAAGTTTTTGAAACTTAGGCAAAACATTAATAATGACTTTACTTACAATAAAAACAAATAGATATATTTATATATATATTGCAATCATTATTTTCATAAAAGTTAATATAACTTGAAATAAAAATATTTGCTTACAGTGCTTTTATGAATTATGCTTATTTATTATCTGTCTAATTATCTGCTAACATATTTTTTATTGATATACTATTTTTTTATTGAATGAATAGTACTTTTAGTCATTATAGTATTCAATCAGATTCTTCATCCTCAGCATCTTCGTTTTGACTGTATTCGTCATTTTCTTCGCTATCACTTTCAAATTTAATATGCTCCTTTCTTCTCTTGCAACCAATGACTGTAGCAATTTTTTGATAAATCTTAATTGGTACTATCATAAGGAAAGAAAGTGGACCAATGTATTATTTAATAGCTTCAATTTAATCATTATATTCTAAAATCTTGATATTTTACTCACTTGAATTAGTTTTGTTCTTTTTTTATTTAATTTTTTAATATTCATAACCATTTTCATCTTCATCACAGCTTTCTTCTTCATCTGAATTTTAATCTTCTTCATCCTCATCTTCTTCTTCTTCATTTTCCAAATGGTTTTTATGTTCTGCACTTAAACCATTATTTTTACTTTGTTCTACTAATAAATTCATTTCCTATTCGTTTTTAGCTGCTTCAGAAGGAGGAAACATTTACTTGTAAACATTTTGTTCGTTTTTTTTCATTATCTTAAGCTTTTTGTATATTCTTAAGATATTTATTTTATCAACATCTTTCTAAAATTAATTAAAAATAATTTTTTTCATATTTTTCATTTTATTTGAAATTTACTTTAGCCAATTCTAATGCTTTTTTTAGATAAACAACTGACTAATCATAAAATCTGCAATACATCAACGATTCTCCCTTTTTACAATTTGCTTTTATACTTTGAGGATCAATGCTTAATGCCTTTTAAATATCCAAATAAATCTCGCTATTAAGCCAAATATAAAAAGTTTTACTTTATCACAAACAGCAGATGCATTTTCATATTTCTTTAACTTAATAAGAGTTGTCGCTACATTAGTCAAAAGAGGAAGAATATTTTCTTACTCCATTCTACTTTATATCTTATAAATAACCTTATTTACTGTAATCAATTTAAAATAAATTTATTTTTTACAACTGGGTCTGGGATTTTAAACTCAATACCCATTAATCCCTAAACATAAATATCAGCTGCTTCTTAATATTGCCCTTTCTTAAAAAACCTGTTTCCCTTTATCTTTTGCTAATGAATCCATTCAAATCTTTCTTCCCAAGATAAATCCTATTAGAATATTAAATAAATTTCAACTAAAACTTTAAACTTCTGAAAAATTTTGTTGCAAAATTACTTTTAACATTTTAGCAACCTAATTCATACGATTCTATCGATCTAATTTATCAACCATTTAATCTTTTTTGCTATTTAAACAAATAAAATGAATCTATTTGCATTTATATTTATTTAATTTTCATACATTAATTCAGTATCACCTCTATCCTAATTTTTAACTCTTGCTACTTCTAAACGTTCATCTTTAAATAAGTCGCTTAAGTAGTCTTTAATTGAACTAACTTATTCCATGTCTTCATCATTATCATTGTTTTCCTCTGCTTGCTAGTTTTATTATTATGACTTGCTCATATACTCCAAATTATTTACAGACTAATTTTAAATAAATAAATAATACAAATTGATAAAACGAAATAAATAGAAATTATATTTTGAATAAATAGCAGATATATTTTAAACAAACAAACAAACAAATTTTGTTGTTTATTAAATTTAAGTAAATTAACACAGAATATAATAGTAAAGTTCTTTAAAAAAATTTTAAATTGCTAAATTTAAAAAAACAATATTTAATTTAGTTAGATGAATCTATTCAGAAAAGCTCCTTTTGATAATTTAATTAGAATTATTTAGAAGAAAAAAAAAAATCTTAATTGATAAATAATAAATAAATAATAAAATATTAAAATGCAATCAATTAATAGATTTTATTTCAAAAAGAAAATATTTTTATAAACTAAAGATAAATTAGATAATGTAATTAATGAAAAAAATCAGTAAGATTAAATAAATTATTTAGAATAACAATTTAAAGTAGCTTGTTGATATTGATGGACAGCTAAAAATTATAATTTTGCATTTCTTCTTAGTTTTTAAATTAAAAAATTATTTGAAATTAAAACTAAAAATTTATTTTTTACTTCAATTTTACAACTTTTAGTTTGTTTGATCAGTAAAGTATGGATGGGATCAACGTTTTTTAGGTAATTTAAATCTTAATATTTTATCTTGGTCTATATTTTTTTAAAGTAAAACTGTCATTTATTTTATATCTTTAAATTAATTATTTAAATTATAAAATTTTTGAAAAGAAAGTTAAATGAAATTATTTTAAATATTTATGCTTCTTCATTAGTTAATATAAATATAATTTTAGTAAGTATTTCCAAAAACTAGCTATTTTTAAGAGTTAATGATATATATATATATATATATAAATTTTAATTAGTATGTCCGTCACATTATTTAGCTTAAATTTGCTTACAAAATAAAGTATTTGAAGTACCCTAGCTTCAATTTAATCATTATATTCTAAAATATTGATATTTAGCAGATTGTATTAGTTTTATTCTTTTTTTATTTAATTTTTTAATATTCATAACCATTTTCATTTTCATCTACATCAAATAAAATAAAATTATCTTATTATGGAAGTCTTGGTTTTAGCTATTAAAAAGAAATAGTGGAGAAATTAACAAAAAGAGAATGAATGAATGAATGAATGAATGAATAAAGGTATATTAATTTACTTTTTTTTTTTAAAAAATATTTTATATCCAAAATATTAAAAATTCTTTTCTTATTGAGTGATTTATTATTAATTTATTTTAATAAAAAATACTTCATAAACTTATTAAATAAAATAAAGAATCCCTTTGTTAATTTATTTTTAATAATTTGATAAAGGTATTAATTAATAATCTTTTATTGAAAAATACTTATCACTCCTTTCTTCTATTTTTCTTCTTTTAAAAGAAATAATGAATTTTATGAATTAGTAAAAATTAAAAAATATAAATTTTTTGTAAATACCAATTTTAAAAATTAACATAAATAAAAAAGAATGAAAATTTCTTGATAATATGCTTAACAAAAAGCTTTCATTATTAGAATAAATGAATATATTACCTACCTATTAATATTTAGGTGGACAAAACTAATATATTTGGAAAATAAAAAATGATGATCATGAATGGATGGATGAATGAATGAATGAATGTCTATCTATCAAGTGAGTTAGTTTGAGATAATTTTAGATAGCTTTATTAAATGAGTTAGAAAGCTAATTAACTAACTAACTAACTAAATCTAAATTATTTATGAAGGATACTTAAAGTAAATAAAGAAATGCAAAAGAATAATTCATGATAATAAAGTAATAGATAGATTGAGAAATTTATTTGTATCAATATATAGTGTTGTTTATAAATATTATATAAAAATAAATAAATTTGTTGTAATTAGATAATTTGGCGTTCTTATATTAATATATATGATAGTTGTTAATCAATCATTAAATAGTGATAAAATAGTTGGTTAAATGTGATTATTTCAAGTTTATTATCTTTTAAGCTTTTTTAAAAGCTAAGAAAAAGTATATATAAATTAAGAAAAGGTTTTCAATAATTATTTATTAAAATTAAAATGAGAGGTATATTATATTCTTCGTCATGCTAATCATCATCCAACGAAGATAGATACTTTAAAAGTGATTCTTAACAGTCAATTTAGGATATAGCCTAGGAAGGGTATTTTAAAAGACCGAACCTATCTGAGTCTTCCAGTGAATCTAATTTACATGATTTAGAAATTCGAAAATGTTATAATTCATAAATAAATGAAAAACTTTGGAATCCTACCAAACGAATACAGAAAAAGCAAAATAAAGATGCCTAAAATAAACAAAATTAATATTAGATTAAAAAAATTTAGAACTAGCTAATGGTAGCAAAAAATCATGCAAATTTGCTCTTTAATTCGGGTTTACCAAATACTATAAAAGAGTTATTTATTACTAATGATGTTTATATAGAATTTGACAAAAATATTCCTAATGATATCGGATTTGAGAGATACCGCGCTCTTTAAAATGAATTACGTCCTATTTCAAAAATAAAATATTTGAAAGATAGCAGTTTTCTTGTTTTAGAATTTGATGAGTAGAAAAGAGGAACTTAAAATTTTGATCATATAGTAGAATATTTAAAGTCTATGCAGGACTAGAATTTATATTTTTTGGCTTAATGCCTATCTACATATGGACAAATAATGTCATTTTCTAAATAATTAGAAAATAATATTCCTGTTCACGAGCTGAAGTTGATGTAAATGAGAAACAAGACACAGTTTTAGCAGTATTTAGATAATGACTTACCTTAAATTCTAAATAAACTAGATAAATCTAAATTTTATGTTTATTATGTTTATGACATGACTGAAGGATTTCACAACTAAATCAGAAAATAGTATGGAATGAATGAAAAATTTATTTAACTCTTTGGATCTAGTGTAGAAGAAATTACAAACTTATAAATGAGATAAGGATGGTTCAATTTCACCTAGTTTAATGATAGAAATAGACAGGGCATTGAATACTTCTTAAACACAAAAGCTGTCTATGAGAGCTCATTTAATTTTAATGCAGTTGATATTGGCTTTGAGTATGAAATGGTAACCATTGAAAATATTAAAGTATTAGTTAATTGTTCGCCAACATATAATTTTTGCTTCAGCAAAACAGATTTTAACCCGATTTTTCATAATCAACCTCTGCTTATCGGGTTTACTTATCTATTAGAAATTAATCTACAACCTAATTCTAAAAAAATGATCAGGGATATTAGAATGAAATCTCAAACAAAATAATTTGATCCAAAATAAAACTAATAAAAGTTTTCATATGAAAAGTATGATTAGATAGAAAAAAATATTTACTCAAAAGATTTGTCAGATGAAAGAAATTCATATTATCATTCAAACGTAGAAAAATTTAAAAAAGTCTTTATTGATGGGATTGAGAAAGAAGCTGATAAAGCTAAAAACCAAGAAACAGAACGTGATAAAATTTGTTAATTTGTTGTTATTTAAAAAAAGTGAAAAAATAATACATATACTGGTATTAAAAGCACAAGATAATAATTAGGCTATTAGAAATTAAATTTAATTATAGTCAAATTAATTAATTAATTAAAAAAAAATTTATTAGCTTTTATTAAAATAATTAATTATTTTACTTATATTCTTACTAAATCTATAAATTAATAAATATATATATATATATATTCTAAATGCATGTTTGAAATTCAACTTTAATTCAATTATTAAAAATATTTATTTTTTAAATTTAATTTTGAAATTAATAAACTTTTTTGAATTAAAGATTACTTAAATTGACTAATCTAATATATAAATAAATAAATAGTAATTACTTAAATAAGTTAAATAAATAAATAAACAAATAAATAAATAATTAAGTAATTAAATATTTAAGAATAAAGTACACATCAACTATACATTTTTATATCTAAATACTCTAAATTAGTTAGTTTTTTTTCATTTTCTAAATATTAAATTTAAAATTTTTAACTCTTTCCACACATAATAATGTCATTGTGTTTAATTGGATAAGGACCAATCTCTTCGTTGTACATATTTTAATGGCTATAAACACATTATATATCAGGTTAAATCAAATTAGGTATACTTTAAAATCCAGTAAGATTTATCCAAGTTTTTTCTGTACTGGCTTTTCTTTATTAATTACTATCATCATAGCCATCTCTAATCAGCCATTAATTATTTCTTTTAATTAAAATTAATAAAAATATTTTGTTTGTTTTTTTGCAGCTTTAAACAAATATTTAAAGAAAATATTTATCTATTTATTGACTAAATAAGAGAGAATAACAAACTAAAAATTAATTTCTCTTATAATCAAAATGAAAAATAAAGAAAGACCAAAAATAATTAAATGATTGAATTTGAATTTGAATTTGAAGCTGAAAATGAAAATGATTTTTTGGAATGAAATAATTAATATTGAAAGTAATAAAATATTGATTGATTGATTTTATTTACTTGTAAACTATTTCAGTATTTTTTCGAGAGACATGACGAAATCTAATTTATATATGATTTGTATCTAATCTTCCTATTTTAAATATTCTATTAGGTGCTTAATAGTTGTAGAACAGATAATAAGGTTTTATCTAATGAGGATTAGAATCATCGTATTTGACTAAGGCACGAATATAGGGTCGATAGTTTTAAAATAATAAGGGTTATTTATTTTTTTATTATTTTTCTTCATAAGTTAAACTTTAAAATTCTTTTGATTATTGGTATTTATATCTGTGTTGTTATTATGACTGGGTTAAAAATTCCTTTATTTTTTAGAAAACTTCATTTTTTTACATGGGAGAGAAAAAGTAATCTTCAAACGTGACATTTTTTGTTTACTTTTCAGTGTAATATTTAATTACTTATTATATAACTTTAAAAACTTCAGATTCTTCATCTTCTTCATCCAGGCCGAAATAGCAGCTATTTATTTCTAATTGCCACTTTTTATTTTCTATTTCGTAGTTTAATCTGATTTAATCATAAATACAATTCACAATAATGTCCTCAAACGAGTTCATTTTTTCGTAGTTGTTGATTTACTCAAAATAAATTTAAGAGTTTACTCCTATTGTAATGATCATATGAGAGTAAAGTCGTGTATATTTTTCATGGTGAATAAATACTTTCGTGCCGTTTTAGCTCTTAAAATCAACTAGATAGGCTGCCCTTTCTGGAATTATGAATTTTTTAAGAATTGGTAAAATAAAGCCTAAGTTAAGTATCTATTTGCATATTTTGTAAAGCTGTTTGTACTAAATTAAGTGATTTATATTGCCTTCTTTTACTGCTTTGTTCTAAATTTTTTAATAAGTCATTTCAATAATCTTAACAAATGAATAATAGCTTCCATAAAGCCTTTAATCTTCAAATATATAAGGTCTATACACAATTTTACAATGCATTCTAGATATATCAGTATCAGTTTCATCAGCATTGGGAGTAATATCGTTAGGCCTAATAGTAACAATTTTTCCATTTTAATTAAGAGTTAGGAATTACTGTCTACCAATTGTTAAGTCCTAAGTATTTGTATTTTTAGATGTATCATCTATTCCATAAGCTGAAATAAACCATTTTTTTTCTTCATAATCACTAACTTTCTAAACAAGTATAGACTTGGTATTATATTAGAGATTTTATTACTCATTATTATCTTTTTGAGTCTAATAATATTGTTTACTCTCATCTCTTAGAATATGATTTTAACGATAGTATTAAATTTCATCTTTAAGGTTTTCTAAAGAAGTCTTGGTTCTTATTTTTAATGGGATGTTTTAATAGTTATTACCCTAATAAACATTCATTTTAAAAAAAATAATTTAAAGTCAATCTAATTAAAAAAATATAATCAATCAATCAATCAATCAATCAATCAATCAATATTTCTCTTTTTATTGCTTAAATAGAGCCATCTATTAGAAATATAATATAAAAATAATTTTTATAGTATCATATGCTCTATTAGCTTGACTGATTAATATAAATTTATGCAAATTTACTTATTTAAATTGCTTTAAAATGTCTGGATGCTTTTTATTGATAATTTAAAATAATTCTTCATCATCGATTAATTTTTTTAAATAATTTTCTTCTATATTTATGGTTTCTGGATTCTAAACACCATTGAATTTGTCCTAATAATTATTTCAAAATTATTTTAAAAAAACTGATGAGATAAAATAATTAATTAATTAATTACCACAATAATTTCATTTCTACTTGTTTGTTAAAATTGATTTTTTCCTTTTTATAGAGTTTAATCTGTTTATAAATTCTCATTTTAATCATATATTTTATCCTCTTTATAATGAGTTTATTAATGTTCTTATCCTTCTTCTTCGTCTTCATCGCCACTATGATGCATATCTCTGACTTCAGCATTCATCTATATAAATAATTTATTGAAAATTTTAATTTATTTCTTAAAGTTTTAATTTATTTTACATTGTTAAAATAATCATAATATTATTCCATATTCTCACAAATTAGTAAATAAATAAATAAATTCTTTTCTTTTTTTTTATCAATTATTAAATTATAATATAATTTGATTAAAAAAAAATTTAAGTGATATTTAAAAAAAAGATGTTTTCACCATAAAATTAATATTTTAATATTTGATTAAACAACAAAAAACATATATTTTTATCTTTTTGTCATTTAACTAAAAATGATTTCATTTTTTTGTTCTTAATAGAAAAATAATAAATAAGAAAAATATAAACTATTTCAAGTTCTATTTTAAAATGTGAACCAGCTCTCTTAAACATTAAGTCAATTTATTAATATTTAATTTTATTTCTTATGTTGAAGAAATTTGATTCTTTTTCTAATATTAAAAAGTTAAAGCTTTAAAATTATTAATAGAATACAATCTATATAAATTTTATATATTAACTTTTTATAAATTCTATTTATTTTTTTTATTTAATTATTTTTTTTTTTTGATTAATTAATTAAAAGATAATCCTTTTCTTTTATTTGCTAATTTAATACAAATGTTTTTACCAAAAAAAGTAAATTAATATATAAAATTAATAAACTGTATTTTTTGGCTATGTTTTTTAAATAAAAAAAATACTTTAGATTCTATTCTCTATTAACAAAATTTTTGATAGATTCACCAAAACTGATCTGATTAAGAATTTTTATCAATAATTATTTTAGAATTTTAAGACTATGATCACAGAAAATCGCCAAAAAATAATTTCATCTCTTTTGGTTTTTACCAATTTGAAAAATCCTCTAATATTTATTACCTATTTATTAAAAATATATTTTCTTTTTTGGATTTTAATAATTTTATTCTCAATCTACTAAGCAATAAAAACAATAAATATATTTATTTTTTATGTTTATTATCTTTAATCAAGTTTTATTTTTATAAAAATGAATTTTTTGATTAAACATAGAATAAAATAATTCTTTAAAAAATAATAAATAAATAAATAAAAAATTTGACCAAAAACGATAGAAATAAAGATTTCTCATGTTTGTACTTATTTATTTATTTTACATAATTAATTTTTTTTTTTCAATCAAATTTATAAACTGAAAGATTTAATTAATTATTTTTGAAAGTAATTCTAAATATTTTAGTTAGATGTTGAGTTTTATCTAAAAGTCGTTCTTCACCACCTTAAAGCAAGCCCAATTACTACAGTTGAAAGCCTTTTAGCAGAGGCTTAACTCAATGGTTGCATAGAATCTTTCACCCCTTCCTTTGGAAGAGAAAAAAAGCATGCAGACAATTGTTGGCAATTTCTTTGCAGATTTTTAAGAGCTAGAAATTTTTAGAAGTAAAGACTTAATTTAAACTGATGACAAAACAAATACTCCAACTAACTCTTGGGTTTAGTTGAACATCCCTATCACTTCAAACGAAGTAGTCTAGAGCACAATGTTTCGTTTTGTAAATCAACATTTCATTTAATTCAAATATATTAATTAGATCAATAGTAATATTAAACACATTGTATTGTTTTTAATATTACTATTGATCAGTTATTCTTTTTTGTTTACTTACTTACTTACTTAAATAAATAAATTAATAGGATAACCAAATTAGAATAGGAAGATTATTGGAGTTTTTAGATTTGTTTGCAGGTTATATTGGCTACAAACACTGTCAATTAGATAAATTTGCTTAAAAACTCACATTGGTAACTGCTTGTGTTGACAATGTAGAATTCTACTCTGATCTCTCTACTTAAAAAGATATTTACCTCAAAGGATATGTCACTTATGTCGGAAGAACTTCAATCGAAGTCAAGATTGATATGTATTAACCTAGCGATAAGGGCGAAGAAGATTTAGTAGGCACCTCTTATTTCTTGATGGTGGCTCGTAACTCCTAAGATCACTCAAAAAGGTTAATAAATAAATATAATACGATATTTGCTTTTTTTTTTGGATAGCTTTTAAGTTTATAATTAAAATTACTCCTTTAAATTAAATTAGATTTAATTACAATAAATTTAATTTAGATATGCATTTCAAGTTAAACAAATTATCATTTTATTTTAATATAAATTTCTAGTGTAGAAGTACCTAAATTATCATTCGAAAATGAATTTAACAAAGACGCTTGCTTGTACAGAGAATAAATTGGATTCCAAAACTAGAAAGCAAGAAAATTGAAATCTTAAATGTCTTTCCAAACTGCTGAGCCAGGCAACTAAGAATCAAAGTTATTACACTCATTCTTCATAAACCCATAGAATTATTTGAAACATCTGCCTATTCAAGATACTAAGATAGAAAGCATATAATTGATGCAATATCAAGTAAAAAAAAATTATTCCCTCTCTTTAAAATAAATTCCAAATAAAATATTTATTCTCAAAAAAAGTACAGAAATATTCACATGAAAATATTTGGAGGTTTCTTAATGAGAAGATTAATTGAAATTGGATGGGTATGCGGCCATCTACATATAAAAGGAGTAGAAAGTCCTAAAATGGTTTATTTAAGTGACATTTAATTCCACTACCCAGTTGAAATAGGTTCTATGGTTTCATTTAAGTCACATGTATGTTATACTTAAAATAATTTCATGGATGTTAAAATACAAGCTGAAGTTATTAACCCAAAAAATAGATCATTAAATTAAAAAACTACTGAAATGCATTTAATTCTTGAGTGTAAAAACGACGTTCCTCCCGTCTATCCTCAGCAATATGATCATGGTATTATGTATTTAGAGGGAAAAAGAGTTTTAGAGTCATTTTTATCAGATTTATGAAATGAGCTAATAAATAAATAAATACAATTACTTACTTGCTTATACTTCTTTTTCCATTTATTAATAAATATTTTTTAAAATAAATAAATAAATAAATAAATAATTACTGTGTGTTTTCACTATGAATAAAACAACCGATATAAAAAACAAAAAGACATTTTTTTCAAACAATCTTTAATTGTTAACAAAAGATTTATAAAACAACTTCCAAAAAATATATCAATCAGAAATATATAAGTTTTTTCATACTTTAATAAATTAATTGTTCAGTAAGTAAACTGTTTTTGTAACATTTTACATATTTTATTTTAATTTTCTATTGACTCAAATGAATTTAATGTTTATTAAAATTACAAATATCAAAAAAAAAGTACATAAACATTTTCTTATCTTAATTAATTATTTTTGTTATATTAAGCATTTTTTAACACTTTTGTTGATTCAAAAAAATAAAACTTTATTTATTACTATTAAATATAATACTAATTTAGAATATTTTTGAAATTATTCACAAAAAATATTTTAATTTTAAAAATCATGCAGAGTATATTCAAATCCAGATGCTTTTTATATAATAAATATATATATTTTTTTTTTAAGTTTTATTGATTTTAGATTTTATAAGACTTAAAAGTAAAAAAATAGGATTGATTTTATTTTTTCAATACTTTTCGAGAAATTTAAATGAAATAAAAATAGTTAGGTTTAGAATTAAATTTGCGAAAAAATCTGCTTATTTTGAACAATAAAATATGTTTTCAATCCATTTAAAAAAATACTGTAGAATATTCAAAAGTTTGAAAATTTACTAGAAAGAAAGTGTAGAAAATACAAGTCGTAAAAATTCGGAAACTTTTTCTATATTAAGAAATACTGTAAATAAATATAAAAATTCAATAAAACTTAAAATATTTTTCAGTAGTTGGCTAATCAGATATTTTTTTTAATTTTTTTGCTTTAATTTTGTTTATAAAATTTGAATTTTATGGCTTTTTATTCAAAAATACTATTATAATTAATTATTAATTTATTATTTTTAAATGATTTTATTCCTTTATTATTAATTTATATACTACAAATCCTCATATGTGATTATTTATTTGAATATACCAATGTCTGAAAATTTATAATTGAAGAAACATTAATTTTCTGTTTATTTATTTAAAATATAGACTTTAATATAAAAGCTTATGGTATATTCTGTGAATATTAATTACTTTATACAGAATTTGATTGTAATTTACTCTGATAGGTGTTTGTTTTGCTTAATTGTTTTATTTATGTAAATTATTAATTATTTAATTTATTTGGTTTGAAAATGAATAAAAAATTAAAATATTGGAAATAGGAATGAAAATAATAAATAGGGTATAAAATAGAGCTTAAATAAGTATTAAATTAGTAATTTGAGTTTATATATTTTATTATATCAAAATATTTTATTATTGATTGATTGATTATATCATTAAAATTATTTATTTATTTATTCTTAAGAAGAAGAAGAAGAAACCTTTTTTTATTTATTTATTTACTTAATTATTAACAATTATTTATAGGAATTTCTTTTCTTTTTAAGCTTGTTTTTTATTCATTTGATTGTTAGTCTAGCTAGTCTTTGGTAGTGATTGAAAGTAAAGCCTTTTCATAGAAGTATAACTACTTAGTGATCGTTTTCATATAAGGGTTGATTAGAGTGTGTGTTTACTTAAATATTATTAATAGATTCATTTCTTTGTTAAAGTTCTCTTAATCTAAGATTTGAAATAGCCTCAATTCTATTTTTTTCATGGATTTGAATACACAGCACATATATCCCTAATGGAATTATTGAAATCAATATCAGAGGATCTAAAAGAAATCCTAGGATGAAAGCTAAAAAACCTCCAAGTAAAATAATAAATTTTTTGAACAAAGAATTAGTGTGCATATTGATATACATATACCTATTCATAATTTCGAAATATCCATAGAGAGCTAAAATAGGTCCACTGAAAATAATAGCAAAAGGAAGTAGTATTATAACAGCTATTAGAGTAAAGAATCTGAGAAGATATATTTTCCACATTTGCATATTTTTCACTGTAAATCTTTCACTTTATAGGAAAGGACATCCAAACGGATTTAAAGGCATCATATGTATTTTAGTGTAAGTGTTTCCACAAAGCCAACACCATTGATACTAACAAATCGAGCTTATTTATTTTTTTTAACATTATTTGAATTTAGATTAATTAAAAATTAATTGCATTTTATTCATATTTTAAATTAAATAATTAAGATTAATTTTACCAAGTCATATGATTACAACCTTGTACTTTCTGTACTAGTGATTTGCATTTGTTGCATCTTTAAATATCTCGTGAATCAGTAAGGTCTTCTATTTCTTTTTCTAGTAGATCTTCACAGGATATACCTTGGTGCTCTATTCTATTGCATTAACAGCAGATAACAATTTTGCAAGAATCACATTTTGCATTTTTTTGATCTTTATCTTTTAGCGAGATAATTTGATCACAATTTGGCGTGGGGCAAAATCTTTTTAAAGGATCTTTGTTGATGAGAGTGTTTCTAAGAAAGATTTTATACTTTTTGTAGAGAGATGCAGTAGTATGATCAATGATAGTTTACTCAGATAGTGTACAAGAGCAATGAGGACATTTTAAGTTTTCAATTTTAGATATCATAATCTCTTCAGATAAATAAGTTCTAAAACATTCAATGCATATTTCATGGTTTTAGTTATTAAAATAGAGCATACTACTTTCGTCTACTTGATTATAGCAAATCTAACAAGTCATAGTTCTTTTCCTTAAAGGAGACCTCGGACTCATTTAAACTTAAAATGTGTTAAGTTGTAAGGTCTATTAATTAAGTAAATTCATGTTTACGTCTTTTTCTGACTAAGAAAGCATTTCTTTTATATCTGCATTTTCTAGGCAATCTTGTTAAGAGAGTTCGCGAATATATTGTCTTATTGAAAGAGCAGTATTGATGTTTTCTAAGCTATTTTTTGCATGCATTCTTTTTGAACTTAGGCATATTTCACAGATATCATCGTTGATGTTGCTTCGAGGCAAAAAAAAGTGCAAATGCTGGTTTTCTTCATCTGTTGTAAAGAAAGAAAGTGTTTCTTCCATACTCATACAATTTTCACTTACTAGAATAAAAAACGCAATTTCGCTTTTAACTTTCATTTCTTTTAAATTCTTATACAATTCGTACTAAACAGGTTTCAATTTAAGCTATTTTATTAAATTCTATGATCTTGTTAACTAATTCTATTTATCAATATATGGTTAAAGCTAGTTTAAATTCTAATTAATACTGCGATCATCTTTTAAACTCCCTTTTTCTTTTTAGATTGACTCTTAAGATTCTGATAAAAGAGATTTGTAGTGAATTCTAAATGTCTAATTTTATTAACCGGGTATAACCTGTAAAGATTATTGCTGCTATTGATTATGCTGCACAAAACCAGGCAATTAGCTATTTGAAAAGCTATAAAGTGGAAACTTTATATCTTATTACATTTAATTGGGTTTTTGCATCAAATTATGGGAACTTTCTACATTAGTCTCATCTTTTGTTTAACCTGCTAATCTATTATTATTAATGTTGTTGTTATTATTAGGGTTGCTGAAAAATCTATTCTCTCCACTTTCTGCTATAATCTCTGAAAAGGATGTGTTTTCATTAAACTCTCCGTTTCCCACTTTGCCTGAAGCTTTTTATGAATGCAGTTTGTTATGCAGAAATAGTTAATTACTCATATTTAATTTAAGTAACTAAATTTTGCTATCCCGATTTTTGTTTCTGATATTTCTTGATTTAAATCTTTAAAATCTAAATAATAAATCGCATAATAACTTTTTGCTGACTATCAAAATTTATAATTGCAGAACCACAAGATTAGTTGGTGATACTAAAAGCACTTAAACTATTATTTGCATAAAAAATTATAATATGATTAATCATTCATTCCTATTGTCAAAAATTTTTTATTATTTTAAACTGAGAATAATTTTCCATCTTGGTAATAAAAATTTATTTTTTATTATCTATCTAAAATGTTGCTATAAAATATTTATTTATTTTTTTTATAAAACAAATTAAATTAAATAAAATAAATAAATTAACTCGATTTTTAGTTAAAATTGATTATCATTTTTTAATAAAATAAATTGATTAACATTTTTAATAAAATAAATTAACTCCTTTTTTAGTAAAAATTGATTATTAACAAATGAGTTATTTTTTATTTAAAAGAAAATGCATTTATTTGTAAAATATATATTTTATTTTTATTCAATCTCAAGATTTTTTGAATTTAATTTACATCAATTTAAATTTTTTATAAAAAGTGAAAATTAAATCGTATTAAAAAAAATTGTTTTAAAAAATTAAGTTTAATTCTTAATTAAAATATGTTTGTTCAAAAAATTTGAATTAGAATTTTTAAAAAAATGGTAGAAGAAAGTTGAACAAATAATTTGGAATGAATTATTTATTAAATCTGATATTGAAGAAAATAAAATGTGAAGGAAGATATAAAAATGGAGGAAGGGCTGTTTTGATAAATTTTGTAAAAAAAAGATTGAAAAATGAAGACTCTTGTTTTTGTTTGAAAAAAAATTAATTAAATGAATAAATAAATAATCAAGTGAATAAGTAGATGAAGGAAAGCGAAGCAAAGAATATGATTGCAAATGCATTAGAAGAATATGAAGAGTGCAAGCAAATAAATAAGAAGAATGAAAGGGGATGAAAAAAAGAGATTGAAGAGAAGGGTGAAATAAATTAAAAAAGAAGGAAGGAGAAAAATACGATTAATAAGATAAAAAAAGGATAATTAAAAATTTTGATATAAAAGATAAATTAAAAAGATAATAAGAAGAAGGATTAAAAACATAATAATTAAAGATGACTCACAGTTACGGTTATAGAAGACAAACTAGAAAGAAATTCGCTAAGGCCTACAAGACCAAGGGTCACGTTAGAATTTCCAGATATCTCACTACCTACAAGGTCGGTGAATACGTTGATATCATGGTTGATGGTTCTCAACACAAGGGTATGCCCTACAAATTATACCACGGAAGAACTGGTAAGGTTTTCAACGTTAACCCCAGATCCATCGGTGTTATTGTCCACAGAATCGTCAATGGTAGATATATTGAAAAGAGACTCCATGTTAAAATTGAACACGTTAGACCTTCCAACGTCAAAACCGCTCTCTCCAAGAGATATTAAGCTAACGATTAAGCTAAGGCTGAAGGTAACAAGGCTGGTAAGAGAGTCTCCACCAAGAGAAACCCCGGCCAACCTTTGGAAGCTGTCCAAGTCCAAGGTGCCGTTAACTTCTAACACCCCAAGGTCTTCAGAGAAATTTTCTGAGCGCAATGTAACATACTAATAAGATAGTAATTTAATAAATAAAGTTTTTGCAAGTTTACATTACTATTGAAAGATCATCTCTCAATTCTATAAGCTATAGGTTTAATAATGGAAATTTACTTTGTTATGATTTATACGTTTATATTTATGCTCAATATATTTCCATATTTAAAAGTATTTAAACTAAATTATTTTCTTATATTTTTCATATTTTAATTCTCTTTATCTACTGACCACAGCAAGCAAGAAAGCAAGCAAACTATATAGCTAACCAAATTAATCAACCAACCAGTCTTCTACTAAAATAAGCAATATAGCCGAATTCTCTGAAACTCTCAGCATAATACCACTAATTCCTATTCTTCTCTCTCTAAAAAATACAAATAATGCATAATAAATCAACTAAATAATAGGACTCTTGATTTTTATTAATAAACAAATTCAGACCAAATATGTCAAATAAGCACAAAAATATATAAATAAACTAATTAGCAGCTTATAGCAGATAAATCGAAAACGAACAAATAGATACTTAAATATATATTAGCAGCTATTATTTAAAGTAGGAATTGCAAAATAAAAACAAAATGATCAATCGAGTTTATTAGAATATAAATGCCACTTATTAAGGTTACTTTTAATAGCATCATATATATTAGTGAATTTGAACGAAGCCAGCAAGCTCAAATAAACTCATAAATTATAAAAAAGGGAGTAAGTATTTTGATCAATAAGCAAGAATAAAAAGTTTGCAGATTATCTATCTATCTATCAATCAATCATTATAAATAAAGAAGGGAAATTTTATTAAATGCACATTCAGTGCTCATCCATCTTTTTTTACTCTTGTTTGAAAAATCAATTAAAATTTTAAATCCACTACAAATTAAAGTTCATAAAATTGAATATCCAAAAGCTGTATTTTATAAATTTAAATTTTTGGTAATTTTGAGAGAGAAGGATATAATGTTGGCTGGTTGGTGATAGTTGTGTCAGTTATTTTTAGTATTTGGTGGTCTAAGTAAACAAAAAGACATAATTAGTTTGTATAAAGTTTTTATATTTCAAATAATTATAATCACTAAAAAAGAAATAAATAAATAAACAAACAAACAAACAAATATCTTTGTGAAGCCAAAAATAAATTAAAATTTGCATCTAATATATTATTAAGATATATTCATACATATATTAAATCATATCTTAATTAATTAATTTACTCAAAATCTTTTTTTTTGCAAATTTCTATTGATGAAATTTATCTGACTGTGAATCTATCCAAAATATAGCAAATTCATATATCAAATCAAAATTTACTATTTTCAATACATTTTTCTGTTCACAGGCAAATAAATCGAAATTATTTTTGCAAATATTCTTAAAAATAATTTAATTTTTAAAATTTAAAATAAATATTTTAAAATTGTTAAAAATTTTAATGTTTTTTATGCTTTTGATAATAAATATTTGAAAAAAAAGTTTTAAATATTTCAAAATAAAAATTCTTTATTTGAAATTTATTAGTATAAATCATTTATTAAGTTGAAATAGCACAAAAAATGTAAGATAGATATCATGGATCGATCTATCTTGTAGTAAAGTAAAAAGCAATGAAAATTATTATTTAAACTTATTTAAAACCTTGAAAAAATTCAATTTTAAAAACTCTTAATTTTACTTATCATAATAGATAGAACTTAAGAAATAAATAAATATTATATATATTTGTTAAAAATATCTTCCTAAAAATAAACTTCCTTTAGTTGACTTCAATAATTTAAGCTCAAATGAAAATTATTTATCAACCTTTATTAATTAATTTAGATAAAAAGATAAACAGTATTTATTAATAGTCCTTTTAGTAATTTAAAGAAATCTAAAAAGTTATTTTATAATATCAAATATTCATTTTAAAATTAGAAATATAAAAATAAAATAAATTATTTAAATTAGTTTCACTTTCTTTAATCATTTGGTGTGTAAAACAAAACTAAAAAATTTAATTTTTAGATTAGTTTTTGTTGATTTAAATAATTTCAAATAAAAGTTTTTATATATTTTTTTGAATATATTATTCTATGTTATCATAAAAGTATTTATTTATATATATTAGTTAGTTGTATTAATTATTTTATTGAAAAAAATAAACTCAAAAAATTTCAATAAATATAAAATATTTATTATTTTCATCTATTTTTAAATCAATTAATATCATTTTCTTTTAAGCATTAGTTAGTTTATGGGTTATTATTCATTTTTTATTTCTTAAAATTAAATTAAAAGTGTATTTACATTTATTAAAATAATATACTAATATTTTTAATATATGTAACAAGTTATTATTTATTCAAGTCTATTTCAAATTACTTTTTTAAACAATAAATAAATTTGATATTCGATTCAATTTCGATAGAATTTTTTGAATTAAAATTGTAATAAACTAGAATTAATTAAACTATTTAAAAAAATATGTTCAATAAAATGCATTTTGATAAAAAATTAATTTAATTTAATTAGATTAGACTGAAGTAATTTAAAAAATAAACGGGCATTAAGTAGAATCAAAAATTTACTTATGATGAAAAGATGATAAATAAGTTTACTTACTTGTAGAATATAAAATGTAAATACAAATACTGAATTAGATTTAAATATATTAGATGTAGCTATAAATATATGAAAAATAATGTTGTGTTTATCTTTTTGTAGCTTTAGAAAGTAGCAGCTATCACATAAATTTTTTTATAGTTAATTATAACTCAGATCTACTAGGTTACCAATATTCAAGCTAAATAAAAGAATTCAGTTTCAATCTAAAGGCAAAAGAATTATTTTATTTGGTAACAAACTCAGATAGATATATTATTATCATTTATGCATATAATTACGTATGGTTGGATAGCAAAATATTTTTTTAATATTTAGAATTTTAAAGACTAGTTCATTTTTCATGGATGATTATATATAGTGCTCCAGTTTTATTTATTTATTTATTTAATTCTAAAAAATAAATTGTGCAAATAACGATCTTTACTAATCTTTAACATATCTTTTTGTGACTGGCTGACTGACTGACAAAATATATATTATCTGAGGGATTGACTGATTAGGGTTTTTTATGCTATTTTATAGTTACATCTAGATATATTTTAAAAAGAGTAATTTTTATCATCTTGGATGAGTCCTATCTCGATTTAAAAAAAATAAATGACTGATTTTGAAAATCATTCATTAAATATTAAGGGTTAGATTGGTATTTTCATTCACTTTTTGCCATCAACTGCTTCAATAAGAGCCATTGTTTTTTCTTCAGAAATCATGCTGTATTCATAAACTTTCTTATCTCCTTCAACTTTTTATTTGAGAACAACTAATTCAATATTCTTGCAACCACTTTAAACAACTTCTAAGAGGACACGGCAGGCTAATTCAAGACACTTTTCTTCGGCTAAGTACTCTTCTTAGTAATTCTTTTCAAGGTTTTCCATAACAGTCTTTCTGTGCTTTCCTAATGCGACAGCCTTCCATTCAGTGCAAGCACCACTGGGATCTGTCTAGAATAAACGAGGTTGTCCCTTGCTATCGAAACCACCTACAAGGGTAGAGATACCGAATGGTCTTGCACCACTCTTTTATGTATACTTTTACTAAACACTAGCAATATATCTTGCAATATAATTGATCGGAACCCTATCATCGTAATTCAAACTATAGCTTTAACATTCTACTTTTGCAATGTTGGTAAGAATACGAGCATCAGGAGTCAAACCAGAGTAGCAGATGCAAGTAGCGTCATCCAAACGTTAAACCTTACGAATGGTTCTGGTTTCTTACAAAATTGTGGTTGGGTTCTTTTCAACACCCATGACTATGCAATCAGTACCTCTAATACCGATTGAACATAAACCCTAGTTGACTGCAGCCATAGCATATTCAACCTAGAACAAGTTACCTATTTTACCAAAAACTGTAATTGCAGTATCGTAAGACATCTATATTATGCTTTTTAACTTTTTTTTTGCCTAAAATCTTAACTTTTGAGTTAATGATGTTGATTCTTTTCTTTATTTGTTTCTTTTTGCTTTGTTATAAATAACTAAATGATTATTTATTAATCTTTTTCTTCTTTTTCACTTTTTTAAAATAAATAAATTTTCTGTCTGTCTTTTATTTGCAAATCCGATAAAAACAATAAATAAATTAATTAATTTATATTAAATAAATAAATAGAAATATAGGTAGTAAATCAAGAATCTCTTTGATATCAAGCAAGAATCATATTATAATTTCAAAATATTTGATCTGATTGCCTTTCTATTTATCTGTGTATCAATCAATATGTATTCATTTCAATTGAATGCAAATCCTCTTATTTTTTAAAAATAAATAAAAAAGATATTCATTTTGTGTTTCCTTTTCTTATTTATATTATCTTTAAATATCAATGAAATATCAAACAAAAACTGTAGAATATCTATCTATTCAGCCCTCTTTTATTTACAAGAGATCAGAGAACAATCCTTCTGATATTTCTATTAACATATCTTATTTTAACTAATCTAAGCTAATGCAAATAAGCAATAATAATCAAGGCATACATACATATAAATTCATTTATTTTTTCGTATTTGCAAATTGACAAAACAATAAATCAATCATTTAATCACATTCATACAAAATAATCATTTTCATTTATTGTTTATTACCTTTGTTGAATTTATTTTAAACTAAAACGAAGAAAGCCAGTAATATTTTTATTTATTTATTTAATTGAATCCATATTTTAAATTAATTCAAAAATTTAATTTAACAAAACAAAATTAAAAAATAAATTTAAATAATACATAAAATTTATTAAATTGCTATTTTTTTACTTGGCAAATATATTTTAAAAAGTAAATATTGGTAGTATAACATTTACTATTTTAAATTAAAAGATCCCTTTTGCTCTTTTGGAATGAATAATCAATTTAAGATATTTATTTAAAATATTCAAGGCAACTTAAAAAATAATTTAAAAAAAATAAGCAAATGCTGAATTACTTATTTTTTCAAATAAATAAAATATCAACCCAAATTTTATTTAATAATTAAAACATGCTGAATTTCTACATTAAATATTTTTGCTAAGTTAAAAATAAACAATCGATTTTTTAAGATTGAGATTTTCTTTACCAATAAATATACAAATTCAAATATTTTTTTCAAATTTAACTGATAAAAATAAAAATTAAAAATAAGAAAAAGGAATTCCATAAAAATAAAAAATATATTATTTATTTAGTTAGTTAGTTAGTTTATTTAGTATTAATCAATCTATTTGTTTATCTATTTATACATAATTACTATTTCACATTTTTTATAATAATAAATTTAAATATTTTTGATTTATTTTAAAAAATAATAAAAAGTAAGTTTATTTATTTTAAGTTTTAAAAAAAATATTATCTTGTATATTAAATAAATCACTCCTTTCTTTCTTCGAAAAATCCTTCAGTATCGATGGGTTATAGTATAAAACCACAATGTGAAGGAATATCAAGTACTAGATGGAAAGGTCTAAAAATTAGAGTATTAACTTTTTCATTAATAACCTTTATTTTATTGTGACCAATTCTTGCTCTGCCAGCAAAATTAGCCTTTGAATTAGTTAATTAATTAATTAATTTTTAATAATTGTTTATTTTTAAAATGTATTTTACATCGTCAGTACTAAATATTATATTGTGTTCGGAGTTCCACTTTGTTCCTATTTTGAAGTTACTCTAACTCTATTCATTTAAATTAAAGACAAATATCAAATCTGCTCTTTCAAAAACTAAAATTCCATCAGATTTTTGTGTAACACTCTTCTCTTTCATTGAAAGTATTTGATGTGTTTCTTCCAATTTTAATAAATTCCTATCAAATTCTAATAATTCTTTGTAGGGACTTATTCCTAATAAATCTGATCTAAAGTACTCCTCAGATGATCCAAACTCATTACCATATCTGTTTAAGTAGCTCTAATTCATTATTTATGATTATAATTAAAATTCTATTGCTTTTATTCTAATAATCTTACATCGCCTCCATATGAAATAACAATCATTCTTGCTATTTTGTGCAACGAGAGGTGCTTTTGGACTTCACCATCTTATAATTATTAGATTTTATGCTTTATGTTCTATGATAGATAAAAAAATAAATAAATTCGTGTAAAAAAGATAAATTAATTTTATATACCTTTAAGATGATATCTGATGACTTATAGCAAAGAGAAGAAATAACCTTTTCTTCATTGAGTCTTTAGTCTAACAAAGAGATTAATTTATTAAAATCAACTTTATTTGATTCACACAAGTAATTGGCGAACTCATCAGCTGCTTTAATAGATATTCTGTAATCAAAGCCGATACCTCCTTATTCTAATGGGAAGCACAAAGAAGGATAATCTGACTCATCTTCTGCAAATGTTACTGCATTAGAATTGATTTTGTGAACTGTTTCATTTGCTAACTAAAGATAAACTAAACCATCAATCGAGCTGTTTTCACCAAAATATTCATCCAAATTACCAGAAAACTTGAATTGACCTTCAATGATATTAATTATTTATTTATTTAAATTACATTGACACAATTTATTTTAAAAAATATACCATGATGTTTATAGATTATTGATGGTACATCAACAAATCTAAAACCGTCAATTTTATATTCATTCAAAAAGTATCCCAAATTAGATAGTAATAATCTCTAAGTTTCCCATTTTGCAAAATTAAATAATCTTCCCCCATGTTAAGGATGGATTCCTTATTCTCCATCAATAAAATAGCTGAAGTGACTTCCATCCCATTGATTGAAGCCCTTTTCAGGTGAAGCATGACTTTTTTATTTTATAAATATTTATTTAATGAATGATAATTTATTTAATAATTATTAATTAATAATAAAAAATGATAAAGTTTATTGAAAAATCAATGCCTTTAAATTTAAAATTAAAATTTTTCAAGAAAACCTAGCTAGAATTATTGTATAGCATTATGATTAATTAGTTAAAATTAAATTATGTTTTTTGATAACTATTAAATTAACTATATATTTACACTTTTTGCTAATATTATTTTGGCTATCTCTAAACCTTATTTATTTGATCTAATTAATATTAGTGTTTTTATCAAATTCTTTTTAGAATTACCTACATTTTTCAATAATCTTTCATAATTTGCGAAAGAAAATATTTCACAATAATTTAATACCTTTGAATATGATTCATTTTTTTATAATCTCTCTTATATTTTTATTTTTGTAATTTATATTTTAATTGAATCTTTTAATTAGAACAATCTATTTTATTATTATTTTTTTGCTTTAATAGATAGATGTGCTTGCTTTTCTTATCTTAAACTTTTATCTTAATTGAATGAAGAATTTAAAACTCTAATCTATTTAATTAAATTGACTAAAATGGCTTTTTTCAAAGGAATAAAGGCTTTCTATCTATTTTGATAAATGCTAATGCTATATTACGTTTAAACAATATCCATGGTGACATACAAGCCAACTTCGTGAGCCTTATCAACCAATTATTTAAGATCGTCTGGAGTACCTGCTGAAGAATTGATTGAATAAGGATTTACAACTGAATAAGTAGATCCAACAGATTCATGCTCTTATAATCCTACCAAAAGAATTGTGTTATATCCTAAATCTTTTATACGTTATAGCTCATTTTAGGCAAATTCTTTGTATGTGTAGTTTCTTTTTTCAGGACCTTGCTTTCCTATTTCAGCTCTGTAAATTTTAAAAACTCTAGGCTTATGGGGATGAATGTGCTAGAAGGCATATTTTTGAGGAGGATTCCAAAATATTTCACAAAATTCATCGTCTTTTTTGTTAACATCTAATTTTTTAATATATCTTGCACCAATAGGAACTCTATAAAGATATTAATTTTTAGAAGTTCTAACATATGCACAAATTCTACTGCCATGCTCAATCACAACTCCTATTATTATTTTTTATAATTATGAAATTAACATTTTTATAATTGTCTCAACAAGCTTATATTAACTAACTAAATACTCTTTCTATTTTCCTTTTTCAACAATTTTTTTCCCCTAAAAAATAAAAATCAGATTTATTTGCTAGAAAAAATTCATTGCTAAATAGAAAAAATTAATTTAAAAAAATGAAATGTAATTTCATAGGATTTTGATTTTCAGCCAAAAATATTTTTATTGCTGTAAGCGCTGTAATTATTTGAATAGTTTGAAGTTTAAAAGGAATTTCAAAGATATTGAAAGAAGTAGAATAAAATTAAAGAACACAATAAAATCTTTTAGGGAAAATAGATTAGAATTTAAAAAGTATTAGCTAATTTAAAAGCATATTTGAGGAATTTTGTTGAATTAATAACTTTACCTTCAGGTAGATTTAGGTTCCAAATACCTGTGCCATCGTTAACTAAAGGATACTATTTAGTTGCCCAATTATTAAAATCTCCTGTAAGATAAACTTCAATTGCCTGAGGTGCATATTCCTTATAAGAAAAACCTGTTGGAGTTGCTTGGACACCGAACTACTCATACTGTTAAGCGAAAGTTTCTAGAGAATAATCGCTTTTAAATATCTAATTAATGCATTCCATAAAACTTAACTATCTTTATTCGAAATGAGGCAAGTAATTAGCGAGTTGTGGGCTTTCATCAAAAATCTTGAAATTCTTAACATTGAATTCATAATCAAGAGAGCTACTGCTCTTGGAAATAGGACAGAATGTGGATCTCTTCTTTATCAATTTACGAGATCCTGTTTTTTAGGCTAAAGAGTCACCGGAGTCAATGTACATTCAAAAATTATAATTCTAACTAGCTTTTCTATATTCAATTTAAAAAACTATCTAATTTATTTTAAGAATTTATTTATTTATTTTTTAATTTATTTCTTATTGTTTTATTGTTGTAATACAAAAAGATTGATTTGATCTTTGTTTTTATATAATCTTTAATCACTTCTTAAACTAATAGTTATTATATTCTTTTTTCCGCTAAAAAGTGTACTTAGGATAGATACTACAAACGTAATTCTTCTTCTTTTTCAATCAAAAAAAATAAAGTATTATTATGATTTTAAATCAAATACAAACATAATATTCTTTCCTTTACCTGATATTTTTAAAATTTGATTATAAAAATTATAATTAATTAATTTGAGGTAATCTAAATAATTTGCATTGTTAATTACTAGTCTGATAAATTGATTACTCCTTTATATAAATGAATTTGTATGTAAACATTTAAATTCTAATAAAATATCAATATAGAAATATATTCAAGACAGATAGATATTATATGCATAAAGAAATAAATATTATATTATTGCAAAATTCTATCATTAATTTTTTGATTTTTAAAATAGTTAAATAGATAAACAATGAATGAATTGATGGATGGATGGATAAAGCTTACAAATAAAATAAAGATAATATTTTTAAAAAGATAGTAATCTAATATCATTTTATTGATGTAATTAGATTTACTTTTAAATTTATCACTATTTGATTTGGTGTTACTAATAAGATTAAAATATTTTTAAAATTATATTTAGCACATTTTATTCGAATTACTAAAAAAAATAAACTTTAAAATATCCTTGTTACTTTTAAAAAGTTATCTAAAGTGCTATCTGATAATATGCAAAAACCCCAATTAAAACAAAAAAAATATGCTTTTTTTTCTTTTAAACTTAAAAATAACAAATTTAATAATCAAAGTTAGTCTAATTTCTACTCAAAATTAAACATTAATTTTGGTAAAACTAAAATCTTGATTATTGGCATTTATATAAATACAAAATTAATCAAATTACAGTTTTATGCATTATTTTTTCTTTAAATTTTTAGAAAATTTAGTTTTTAACATTAGAAAACACTTACTACTTCAAAAAAAAAGATAATACAAGCAACAACTTAGTTTTATATTAAAATTAATTTACTATTTATTACATATTTTCATAAACTACGTCAAGTAAAAGATAAATTAAATATCTTAAGTATAACTTTTATCATTGATTTTCTTTTTTGTTATTATTTTTGATTTTTTTAAATTATACAGCTTATTTGTTAAGAAATATCTATTTTAAAAAAATATGAGAATATGTGAATAAAACTTTTATTTATTACAAAATATGATAAATATAAATTATTTTATTTATTTATTATTCAGATTCAATAGAAACTCCAAATATACAACAGTTCTAACCAAAAATTTTAATCAAGTTAAAGAGTTACAATATTTATTATCAAGAAGAATTCTTTTTTTTATTTTTAAAAAAGTCTTCCAACAAGAAGCAAGCCCTAATAATATTAATATAACCACAAACTAAGATTTGACTGTATTAATAAATATAAATGATAGTGAAAAAAAAATTTTAGAGTTTTTCAATTTAAATAGATTGAAATTAATAAAAAAAATTTACTTTATTGCTTTTAATTAATTAGGACTTCTTTACTAAATTTTGAGAGAATAAATAAATATTCTTTATAAAAAAAATGTATATAATTTAAGAGTATTTAGAATACCTTTTAACCTTAAAAAAAGTATTCTATTTAAACTTTTTATTGGGAATTTTTTTTATAGGTTAAAATTAAAATATATTTTTTAATTTTTGCTAATAGTATAGCATACTTTTTCCTAAAAAAATGCTTTGTAATTTTATTATTAAATAACTTTCACTTAAAAAGTTAATTTTTGTTTGTTTGTTTGTTTGTTTGTTTATTAAATCTTTACAACTGACTTAATTTTTAATAAATTTAGTTAATTAAATACGCAACTAAAAGTCACCAAAGTAGAAGAAATCAGATAATAAGAGCAACAGAGTGAAAACATTTTTTTAGAAGTAAATAGATAGTATGGAGTGTTTAGAGCATATTGGATTTAAAGTAGAATACGTGTGCATAGATAATGAGTGTAAAAATAAATTTTAATGCAGTTAGTGCTTTTAGTAAGACTAGAATCATAATTTAGTTAAATATATGGAATTTTACTAATTTCTAGTAGACTATTGCCACAATTCTTAATCAAAATACACTATGGAGCAAATAAGTCAGTACATACATGGAAAATCTCTTGAAAAAAAGCTTTATTTTTTCAATATGAAAAAACTTAAACCTGAAGAGGATTTCCATGAGCTTTACATTAAGAAACTCTGTTAGAATTTTGACTAATTTAGCAATGAGCTTCAGTAAATAGTGTTAAATGCTAAAAATGACCTGGTTTCAAGATACTAAAGATAGGTAGAAGAATAATTTGACAAATAGGTACTAAATTTTTAGCTTTATCAAAGGAGGGGCTGCTAGCTAATCATTAATTAAATACAAAAGAGTAACACATAGCATGCTAATGAAAATTTACAAAAACTTCACACTGGTTAATATGAAGTTTCTTTTGCTAAAAAGGCGTTATTTGAATCTTATTATGAAATCAGAGATCAACTTGAATAAACTATTAACTAATGTCGTTTGTATTTATAAAAGTTGATAAAGTAAATTGTTGTTCTTTCCGATAAAAGGATTATAGATAAATAAAATGAAGTATTATAGTCAATAAGCTAAAGATTAGGAAACAAGGCAGATATTTAACATAAGAGAGCTAATATTCAAGTAAGATTGTTGAGTAGTGAAATTAGTAAAAACTAAAGTCAATCGCCTTCTAATAATATTTTGAATTAACAAAACAAGCTTAACCCTATTTCAACAAATACAAGTTAATTATTAAATAAGCAAATAAGTTAGTTAAATCAAAAAAGCTTAACCCAAAGAAGTTAAATTCTGAGTAAATCTCCAATCAGCTAAGCCGCTAATATAAGCAGTATGTACTTTTCACCATAAAATAAAAGTAATTTATTTATACATTCAAAAATCAATATTAAAAGTTTTAAAAATGATTTAAAATAATTTAAAAATAAATTTTAATATTTTAAAAAGATTAAGAATCAAAGTAGGATTTGTCTTTCTCATCAACTTATTACAACTCTATGGGATTTCAATAAATTTCGAGGCCTTTATCAAGCAAAACTAAATATAATTTTCTTTTAAAAGATAGTATATTCTAAAGAGATAGGAGTATTTCACAAAAGAACCCTAAGTCTACTTTTAGTGAAATCAATTACCAAGCTACTAATACTTCAGTGGAAAGTGATAAAAAACCAGATAAGCTTACAAAAAAATTAATTAAAATGGGATTTATGGCCAAGAAAAAACAAGGGCAGTAGATTTCTGACGAGGAATCCTCAAGTGATTCGAGCTAAGAAAGCTAAGCGGCAGACGGGGAAGAGAAAAGTGAACAGTAAAAAATTTTACCTCAAGGGAGCTTAAAGAGTATAATTTATTAAAACGTGAGCAACCCTAATTTACTTAGTTATTACACTCTTTAAGATATTCCCGTCAATGTGATCAGTTTAAGTTCAAACACATTTTTAGTTACATGCCCTAAATCTATGCAGCTTAAATCTTTTAAAATGGAGGAAAATAATAAAATTGCTCTCAAAACTGTTTTTTCTTGCAATAATTTGCTGCACATGTAAAAATCTTTGATTAGTGGTCTTTTTTATTTGTATGGGTCAATTAAGACTCCTAAAGGTGAAAACGTAAATGTAATTAAGCTTTATTAGTTATCAGAACAAGGACTACCTATTGAAATAATTGAAATGAGAGATTTTCAGAGAGAAGAATTAGAGACATTGCTGCCTTTTGATGAATATACCTAACTTTCTAATAAAATAATGCCAAATTTTAATCCATACGATAATTTAAATTCGAATCTTGCTATTAATTATATGCAATTTGTTGGGATATTTCAGGAAAGTAAAGGTTTTCGAACATTTAAACTTTGGGAAATGCAACTTAAAAATGGAAATATAAAAAATACTTAAATTTCTTGCATTAACAGCTTCTAAATTGAGATAGGAAACGAACAAATTGGTTGGGCCAATTTATATAAGAAAAAACAATACATAATTTTTACAAGTAATACTATCTTTAAAATTAGCTACTTGAAGCTTTAAAAAGATGGACAAGATTAATATTAGCATTACATATAAAAAAGAGTTTTTAAATTTGTCAACTACAAGCATAGCAGAGCAGAGAGAGATAGACTGATTTCGTGTTGCCTCACTGGTTAAGACACTATCCTAGTTTGTACTAAATAGGCTACATTTTATCTATTAGATTTAAAAAATTTAGAAGTAATATCAATAGTTGATTATTGTAGCAAATGTGTTATTACCAGAAATATAGAAATCATATCATGCTAATGTCCTTATATAATAGATGAATGTGATACAAATCTACCTAATTTAGTACGTCTTATAACACAAACTTCTAAATTTTCAAATAAAATTTATTTGTATGATGTTGTTCAGCAAAGAAATGTTATGGAGTCACCAATCATCTAAAACCCCATACTTTTTTGTCTCTACTAAAAAGGCTCCATTGAAATTGATCTTAAAAATAAATTAAATAACATGACTTTATTAATCATTGAGGAAAATTATGAAAATTAACCAGAAAATAATAATCAGAAATCAACTGCTAACTTTAAAAATTCTAATTTGATCAAATAACCTTAAAAAACAGATACAACACTTTTAAATTTTTACAAACCTCTAAAAGAAGTACCAAGATAGTTGATTTAATCAGCATCAAGCTTTTAAAAATTAAATCAAATGCAAACTTCAGAGTCACTAAAAGAATGAGTCAAAAAATAAATAAATAAATAAATAAATAAATAAATAAATAAATAAATAAATAAATATAAAATAATATGGATGAATCTTTTAATAGCGATATATCAAATGTATATTTCCAAAAAATGCTTGCTATTTTACAAATTTATAATAATTGTAGAAAGGTTAAATGTATATTTTCCAATAATTTTGAATTATTTTACCTATTTACTCTTTATTTTTAGTTTTATTTACAAAAAAATTTAATTAAAGTTAATTTATTTTTTTAAGAATAAATATCTGAAATGTCATATTATATTAATTAATTAATTTGGCCTTTTCTTTTTCCATTTTTAAACATTTTTGATTTTTTTAAATAAAATTTGTTTTTGATAATTAAATATTTAAAATTTAAAAGCATGCTTTCAAATAAACAAATTCAATACTCATTTTCTAAAATTTAAGTAATTTAAAATTTTAATTTTATTTGAAAAAACAAAATTATAAAATTATTAATTAAAAAAGATGAAATAGTAACTTTGAAGCTTTTTTAAAAATTTGCTTTATTTTTTTAACTAATAAATATTAAAATAATAAATCTTTATAAACATAATCAAAATCAAATTATGAAATGTTTTATTTAAAAAATACAAATAACTATTTTATTTATTTATTTTAGATAGATTTAATTTGATTCATTCAATAAAATAAGAATATTGAAAAAAATTATCAATCTTTTTAAAAATTAACATAATTTTACTAACAAATAAATTTATTAAATATTCAAAGACACAAACTATAAATTTTTAAAATGTACAAAAAAATCTTATTGTGAAATAATATTTGATTAATTCTTTAAATATTTCAAATAATAAATAAATAACAGATAGATAAATAGTAAGATAAAATATATAAAAATTATTTAAATCAATTTGAAACAAATAAATCAAATTTAAATTTGAACTATTAATATATAAATATATTTTAGAAATACAGTTTTAAATTAATATTGAAAATATATGTTTGTTTTAATTGTTAATGAATCAATTTATATTATTTTAGTATGAAAGAATATTATAAACTAGATATAAGGTATTTAAGTAAATAACTAACTTTAACCATATTGATTGATATTTTTTAGGCATTAATATTTTTAAATCTGCTAATCAATCCCTATAGACATTTTAAAACATCAATTTCATATATGAAGTAAGTAGTTAATTTATTTAAATATTTTTATAAATTTATTAATTAATTAATCAATCAATCAATTACTGTTTGATTTTTCATCTTTATTTTAGTTTTATTTTGAAATTACTACTTTCTTATTCAAGATTTACTTTTGTTATTATTCATGATGATATTTTACTGCAATAATTCCAAGTGTACCAGTTGTTAGTAAGAAACTAAAAATGTACAAAAGCATCAAGGAGGAATTGATCATCCATCTTCTTGCTCTTCTTGAGGTCATCACTTAAGCACCCATAAAGATGCTGGAAGCAATAAATATTTTTAGGAGTTTTTTATTATCTATATTTGATAGATTACCCATCTTTTTTAGTTCCATAATGTTATGGAAGAGGTTTAAAATAGATCTTGCAGAGCTGATTAAGTTCGGTTTATTTGTAATGTTGGCTCCTTGCTCTGGATTATGTTTTATTTGTATGAATTTTTAATAGTTTTCTTTAATTTTATTTCTAAAGAGCTCAAGCTTATCCCATTTATCAGCAATTTTAGGTTTTAATTTTTAGCTGCTGGAGGGCGATTTAGATATATCTTCTGAAGAGCTTATTATTTAAGCAGAGCTAGAGGCTATCAATTTAGTTTTCGGTAACTCTTCGTCACTCAAAGCTCCCTTTTAAGTTAAAAATAAAATAATTATAAAAATTAAAATAAATTGAGAATATTTTTATCGAATTAATTTTCATTGTAGTTATTAATCGTTAATTAAAATTTGTTTATTAAAATAGAGTGAATAACTAACTAACTAACTTTATTATCTTTTTATAAACAAATCAATGTTTGATTGTTTTGGAAATTATTAAGTCATTATAATTCAATCAGAGGATTGATTGGTGTTACAAATTCTAATTACTGAAAATTAAATTTTAATTATTTTCGGTAAGCTGATTGTTTGTTTCCATAAGTGTATATATATAGTTTAGTTATTTAATTAATTAATATATGACATATATTTCTAATATCTGACGACATTGTAGTATTTTATCTGTTTAGATAATTAGATATTCAATAAAAAAATAAGTAAAATATTTACGCGATTGTGGAAGATATCATAGAAATTCTAGGAGCTTGAATTGAGCAAATGCTCATCTTCAGAACTTGTGGATTGATGCAAAGAGTGGTTTGACCATCTTACGTTTTTTTAAGCTTTATTATCTTAAGATTTAATAAATGTGTTAGGTTCATTTTATGATAGCTTAAAAAGATTATTGTTAAAAGAAAATTCGTGTTAAGCGTTCTTATTTAAGGATCTTATTGGCTATCTTCTTTCTAAACTTGAATCACGCTTTTCATCAATAGTGATTTCTTTAAGAGAAGCATTTCTTTACTACTTGTTTGAGTATTGAGTATTGTTGTTGTTATTATTGTTTGTTTTATATTAATAGTCATTTTAGTAAACTTTATCTTAGTAGTCATTACCTTAAATTAAAGCACTCAATGGATGTTTAGGAGCATGAGGAGCAATAAATATGTTGTTATCTAGATTACGATGGATGTTATAGTATAAATCGTCCTCTGCTTAAAATTTGGTGGATTTAGTTGTGTTAGTCGAGCCTAGGCTATCTTGGTCTTCATTATCTTCATCGATGTATCTTTATTTGAGATATGGTAAATTTGTATTATCCATGTTATTGCTTTCGACCTCTTAATTTTGTTAAGGCATAATAGCAGATTGCATAAAATTAGGTAAAAAATTAATTAATCCTTTAGTCATGATAGCTCTCTTTGCAGAATCTGGTAATTCCTACAAAGCACAAGCTGCTTCTTCAGGAGAGATGTTTTAAACAAACGGCTTTAAGAAAGCCTTAATGTAAAGAGATATTTTGGGGATGTACCAAATATCACATAACAAATCGAAAATAGATCTGTCAAGTAAATGAACTTAAAGTGTGCGTGGAAGAAGACTTATAAAACCTCTTTCTTACAATTTAAAGTATTAAATGCGTAGAAGCTGAACTAAAGAAGCTAAAATAAGCGTTAATGTGACTATTGTCGTCCAATTAAATTACAAAAATAAAAATATTATCAGCGATAAAGCTGCAGTGTATTTAAAAGTTTCTGGTTTTTTACTAACTTCTTTTAATCTTGCAATCATATTTAATTATCAATTAATAAATCAGATCAATAATATATTATGAGGATAAATATAGGGATAGCTTCTAGCCTAAACTTGTACTAAATTTATATAATTCTGTAAGGATTTGTAAGTTTTCTGATGAGTTATTTTCGATATTTATTATATTTCTCGCTCTTAACTTAAATAGGGAAGATAGGTCTGCGTAATTTTACCTTTTTGAAAATTTTAGTTTTCACTTAACCCTATAATGAATTATTTAATAAATTAATTAATTAATTGCTTAGTTGGAGATAATAGTATTATTAAAATTTTTGATCTTACAATATTATTATAATTATTTCCTTCCCTTTGCATTCATCTTAATTAATTTTCATTCTCTTATGAAATACATCATAGATCAATTCAAAATTACAAATTATTTGGTTTCTTTCTTTATCATTTCCTTTGTTTTCCAAACTTTTTTTCATTATTTTTTTTCTCTCTTCCTTTGTCTATATAGATTGGTTTGATTTTATTGATGACTTGCTTGCTTGCTTGTTTGCTACTGCTCTATTTTAGATTTTTTAACTTTGCAAATCAATAATCTAAAAAAGCATAAATTTTTCAATCATTTTTATATAAATTTATAATAAAGCTTACCTTTTTTTGTTAATGTTTGAGTATCTCATTTACAAAATTAAATTTATAACAATTGGCTACTTTGCTTGATACAAAATTCATAGAAATATTATCTATCTATCTATCTCTTTTTTAATTTCATTTTTTTTAGCAGAATTTTAAAATGATAGCATAAAAATAAATTGTAGAATATTCATAAAATACAAAGATAAAACTGGAAATTATTTTATAATAATAATTGGTAATTCAAAACAATCTTGATTGTATTGAAAGTTATCAAAATCAGTAAAAATTGGAATAAAAAAGTTAGTTGTTTTTTTATTGAGAAACAAGTGAAATGTTTAGTATTATAATTACGTATTAAGCGTCGTAACACTCTTAATTATAATTCAGTTCAAATTCTATATCAAATCTTAATTACAAAAATTAATTACATCACTTGAATTCATAAAAAAATAATTACTATTTTTAATATTCTAAATTACTTTCAAATTAGTTTTAATCAGTTTTATTTTTCTATTATTTATACTAACTATATTTAACATTTTATTTTTTACAAAATATTTTGAGAAATCAAATTTAAATTTCTAACTTTAACTAAATATTTATTAAAATATTTGCAATTTAAATTAAAGTTAAATAAATTATTCTAGATATCATATCTTCTAAATAATAAATTCTAAACTTGTTGATTAAATATAATTAATAATGTAAATAAATATCTTATTCTGTTAAGATATTATTAAAAATTTATAATATTTATAAATAAAAATATAAAATTAATTAAAAATAATTTAAGCATATTTCATTTTCAATTAAATCAAGTTTATATATTTATTTAAAAAAGTTTAGAAGATATATACACATATTTATTTAGAATAAAAAATGGTTAATAATATAAACACAGCTAAATTTGTATTTAAATAAAAAAAATATGCTAAATAACCAAAAAAATAGCCTAAATTTAGGTTAGAATCCATAATTATCTCACTGAATCAATTTAAAAACATTTCAACTAATCAAATTTTTGTAAATTAATTGCTTAATTGTAAACATATTTTAATTAATTTAATCATTTAAGAATTTTATCATAAATTGTTAATTTTCTCAAGATATTTTATTTAGATATTTATCAATAAATATTAATGACATTTTTATTTAAATATGTACTCGAATTGTTACTAAATGTGAAAAATATCGATCGTTTTCTTAATTAAAATATATCATAATTTAATTAAAATTGTTTATAATACTGATTAATATAATTCTCAGTAATTAGCCATTACATAAATTTTACATAGTAAGTTATTTTCTTAGATTGGTTTAAAACAAGTTTTCTAATTTTGAAAAATGAGATCAAGAAATATAATTAATTAAATTTTAAATAATGTTTATTTGTGTGTACTGAAATATAATTTGTTGTTTGTTTATTTTGATGTATTTATTACTTGTTATTATTGATATTTTTAAAATTTTTAAAAAAAAGATCAAAAAATTTTTATTAAAAAAGATTTCTTTTTTAAAAACATCAAATAATCAAAAAAACAACTTTATTGGCCGATATTAAGTATTTTTTTGCTTTTAGAATTGTTTTGAATATAGAAGAAAGAATTATTAAATTACAAGCAAGCAAACAAGCAATTTAGCACGCACTTCATAGGAAATAATTAATCAAAATGTTCTAATAGAATTAGCAGTCATAAAATTAGTAAGCATAGAACTTAATGCATATTTAGTTGAATGGTAATACCTAGCTTGGGTTAGGCGCCTTACAAACAATTAATGTCAAACCAATAAAGCTTCAAAGTCGCGCTCAATCATTAAACCCCAATTTAAGAATAAGTATTTGCAATTTATTTTTGAAAGCATTTGAATTTAATACTGTTTTTTCAACTATTTGAAATACTAGGTGAAAGAAACAAATAGACAACTTAAACCAGCAGCAACAGACAAAATATTTCAAATAAATCTCCAAATAACTTGCAAACTTCTAAGAGCGGAGGCCTCCAAACTCAAAACGCTAATTAAAAATTATCAAGTTCAAGTGCACCTAAGAAAATATCTGGCAACTTTAGTTCAAGAGTAATTTACAGAGCTAAAACTAAAAATGAAGACGAAATAATTAAGAAATAGTCATCGCAGACATCGATATCCACAAATGGATAGGAAAAGAAAGGAGAAATTATTCGTTTTGCCACTGAGTCATAAATTAATAACGAAAACTCTACTCCTAATAGTAAAATTTAGCTCCCTCCAATATAAGAAAAAAATAGCTATAAATTTTATATTAACTCTCAGAGCAGCAACAACTAAGTAAGCCAAGATCAAAGTCCTCCTTTATAAGGGCTACAGGCTTTTAATATAAATAAAAACAAAGAAAATTAATTCACTAAGAAAAGACATTTCGACTTTTTAGAGCGCACAAAAGTGAAAAATTAAAGTGAAGAAACTGATCTTTTAAAAATGCATCGCTACTTTAGATGCAAAGTATCTAATTTAATAACTGGTTCGGGTAAAAAATAGTATTATCTATAATATTTAAAAGATATGAAGGACTTAATGACTAAAGTAAAGCAGTATGAGAGGGTAATTAATTTCTTTTTTTGGTTTTTAAATTATTTAAAGTATTCTATTCAAAATAAAAACAGGTAGCAAAACAAAATCTATTTATCAATGATGTAATGAACAAGCTAAAGAAAATTGTGGCCACTAGGGCTAAGTATAAATATAAGGAAAAGATTGACTTTACTCGTTCTATTATCATGAGAACGCTGGGATGTAAAAAAAATTTATATAAATAATTTTTTTTCATAAAAATATGGATCGAAATCTAGCAATTTAAATTTAAAATATTTAACCTTAATATCCTCTTCACAATAAGTATTTCAATACGTCAACAAAAAAACATTTTTACTATGCAACAAAATATACTTTTAAAAAGATTTTTAATTTAAAATTTTTAAAAATTAAATAAATAATTTGAAAGCAATTCTTAAATTAATTAATTAATGAATTTAGCAAAATTTAGCTAAAAATATTGAATTTAATAAATTTAAATAAATAAATAAAATTTTTTTAGGATTTAGCACAATCAAATAATTTTACATTAAATTTATTTTAAATGATTTATTTGGACTGTTTGAAAAACAATTTTTAATATGGTTTTATTTTAGATGAATCTAGGTAAATTATTTAGTAACTTAAAGAGAATATGGCATTAGAAGAATAAGAGTATGAAGATTTAGAAGATGATGCTGACAGAGAGTATGAAGAGTTAAAGAAGAAATAAGAATAACAAGCTCTTGATAAAAACTAAAAGAAAGAGCTTATTTCATCTGAAATAATTGCTAACTGGAAGAAAATGAGAGGGTATTAACCAAATCAGAAGGTTTTCATATGCATAGGTCAATATACTGACCTCAAGAATTACTTAAAAGAACAAGGATGGATTGAAAATCCTAATCCAGAGAGTCTTGTTTTTGATTTAAAGTGGGTTACAAAAAAGAAGGATGTTGACAAAGATCTCCTACTTGATTAGTAAATCACAAATCACTTCTAGAAGAATCATAATTTGACTTCTAAAAATGGAATAGCTTTAAATCTAAGAAATCTTATTTGGTACGATAGCGTAGATATCGATACATTTTATCCTCGTTGCTTTGATCTTAGTGATGTTTAGGAATTTGAAGACTTTATTGAAGAATTCAAATTCACCTAAGCAGAAAGCATTCTCAAACAATACGTTGAAAATAAACTTGTTATTGATCAGAAAGCTAAGTAGTACGAAAAATATCTTAGATTGAAAATTCTTCTTGCTTGTGTTGCTTTAAAGAGAAGAACATTCTCAATTGAAAAGAAAATTTCTCTGATTGTAATTCATATACTTACTTTAAAATCAATCATAAAATATATATATTTATCAATAAATATTTATTAAAAGTCTGTGAATACTTTGCCAATTATATCACCTGAAGAGTGGAGTGTCCTAAATAGATAAGATAATAATTATTTGTTTTTAGAACAAAATCCTGATGTTTATCACAGGCTAAGTCAGATTATAACTAGAGAAATGGATAGCGAAGAGTCGAATGCTGTTGATTTGTCAAAACTTGCTCAAAAATATCTAGAGGCTTCAAAGGAATATGACCCCTAATATGACTTGAATGAAAAGAACCTTTGGATTGTCAAGCCTGCTGGGCTTTCTAGAGGAAGAGGTATTAGAGCATTTGACTAGCTTGAACCTCTATTAAATTATATCATGGGCAAAGATGTTATGTGGGTAGCTCAAAAATACATGGAAAACCCTTTAACAATTCATAAAAAAAAGGTAAACTATTTAAAAATTTAAAAAATAAATTTTATTTAAAATAAATATAACTAGTTTGATATTAGACAATGGGTGTTAGTCACTGAATGGAATCCTCTGACAATATACTTTTATGATACATGCTATATTAGAATATGCTTTGATGAATATGATCCAAGTGATTTGTAGAATAAATTTGCTCATTTAGCTAACAATTGTATATCTAAACATGCAGATAACTTTGAAGAGAAAGTCAATGACACTATGATGTACTTGGAAGATTTCGTTGAATACATTAAAGTATTTATTTTTAAATTTATAGAAGTGAAATTTTATGATGAAATAATTATTTTATAGAAAATAGAAGGAAAAGATATGTTTTACTCAAAGATATAGAAAGAAATGATGAATATTGCTATTAACTCTATTAAGAGTTGTAAGGATAGCATTGAACCCAGAAGAAATTCTCTTGAACTCTACGGATATGATTTTATGGTTGATCAAAACTACAACACTTGGTTATTAGAAATCAACTCCAGTCCTTCCATGGAATATTCAACAGTAAATAAATAAATAAATATTTTATTTTATATTAAAAACTTAAAAAATATTTTTGCATAAAAAGCCTGTAACAACGAAATTAGTTAAAATGGGGTTAGAAGATACAGCTAAAGTTATCCATCATCACTTTGTAGAAGGTGAAAAGAGATTTAACAAAAATATTGAATATGGTCTATGGAAAAATATCTATAGAGAATAAAAATGAAATAAGAATAATTAAAAAAATTGACTTGTATTTTATAACTAACTAACATATTTATTATTAATTTATCTACGATTTATAATAATATTTTTTATTAATAATAGTATTCATTTACAATTTTATTCAATTTATTATTTTTTAAAGCTCAATTATAAGATTTATTTTTTAAGTTCTAAACATAACTAAAGCAAATATTTAAATTGGAGTGAGAAAAGTATTAAAATAAATTTATATTGATTAATACGATTACAATTTATTATTTTTTAAATGCTCAATTATAAGATTTATTTTTTAAGTTCTAAACATAACTAAAGCAAACATTTAAATTAGAGAGAGATAAATACTAAAATAAATTTATATTGTTAATTAATACGATTACAATTTATTATTTTTTAAATGCTCAATTATAAGATTTATTTTTTAAGTTCTAAACATAACTAAAGCAAATATTTAAATTAGAGCGAGATAAATACTAAAATAAATTTTTATTGATTAATATTTATCGATTAAAAAAAAAAATTAATTATTTATAATATAAATTGATGAGTAAATTAAATTATTTGACAACATCTAAAGCGAATATTTACAAGATTATTTTAAATAATAAGTGATATATGATAAAAGGAATCTATTTATATCACAATATTTTAGTTATTGAACCTACTCCAATAGTATTCATTTTTTCTCTTAAAACAACTCTACCAAATGATTTGAAATTACTAAATAACTCCATACAGTTTTCTTTTTCTATGCAAACTTCAACAATTGCACATTCATTATTTCTTATGCACCTTAATAAAATTAAAATTGTTAAATTGTTAAAATTAAAAAATAATCTTCAATTTACTTGGGATTCTTTTTTGTTATTTATCCGTTTGCTTTATCAAGTATTGCTGTGATCTTTTTTATATAGCCTGGACACTTTGCAGTATTAATATACATAACTATTTAAGCACCCTTCAGGATAGGATAGCTCAATTCAAAAGCTGAGAGCTCTACTTCGAATATTCTAGAAATAGGAATTGGGTGTTCAATCGAGCATAAAACATCACCAGATCTAATTTAGTTATTTAAAAATATTTATAATAAAATAAATAAAATATTTTTTATAACCTTATTTCGCAGTCCTCTTTATGAACAATATGGACATCTATATTTTCTCCTACTTTAGCATATTTAACCTTAACATTTTCTCTATTGATTTCTAATTAATTATTCAGAAATTATTTACTTATTTATAATACCATTCATTTTTAAAAGATATTACCTTTAACTGTAACTACCAATCCTTAGGGCATAATTAATGCTTTTGATTTCTCAAAAATTACACCACCTTCTACTTTTCCTTAAATAATAAGACCCTTATTCTTTTAGTAGAAAGAATTATAAATATTAAGTCTCAATGGAGTATTGACAGGTCTTGTAGGGACAGGAAGAGTATCTGTTATTTTAATTAAATATTAAATTTTTTTCCATTAATTAATTATTTACCTAATAATTCCATAAGACATTTTCCTTCGTACCAACCTGCTTCAGGTAATTTAGATTTCTCAACTATATTTTCTGCATAGAAAGCAGAGATAGGAACAAATATCAAATTATCTTCGGAATAACCGATAGATGTTAAGAATCTAGTTAACTCTAATTTGATGTATTCAAATCTATTTCTATCCCAATTAACAGTGTCCATTTTGTTAATGAGGACAATTAATCTTTGAACTCCTAATTACTTTACAAGGAAAGCATGTTCTTTTGTTTAGCCTCCGAATTCAAATCCTCTTTCAAAAGCTTGTAAACTACCTTCAATAACTAGTAAAGCATAATCAGCCTTTGTTAAAGTTATAACATTAATTTAAATAAACCGCATTTAAATAAATAAAAATCTAAATTGATTGTTAATTTACTTAGGTAACACCTTAAATCATGTTAGGAACAAAATCTTTATGACCAGGAGCATCAAGGAAAGTGATATTTTTATTCTTTGTTTAAATTACTTTGTAACCAATATCAATTGTAATACCTCTTTAGCGCTCTGCTTCAAATTCATCGTTAACCCATGCAAATTTGAAAGATTCTTTTCCTATATTTTTTGATTCTTTTTCATTTTTATGAGCTAATTTCTAGTCAATAACTTTCTTTAAGTGACACAAATGTCCTACTAATGTGCTTTTTCCTGAATCTACATGACCAACTATGACTAAATTCATATTTTTTACATTTTCCTGTTCAATTTTTATTTATTAATATTGAAATTTTAATATTTTTCATCAAAATATTAATGATAATAAGCTTTTTATCAAAGCATCAAAAAAAGAATGCCAATATGCTGCCTTTTTTAAAACAGAAGATAGCAACTTTAAATTCCAAGATTAAAGCAGATTCGCATACAAAATAATTTATTTTAATTACTTCTTTTTTATCTGCTTCGATGTCATATTCAACGCTAGGATATGCTTAGTTAAATTTCACTACATCTCTTTCTATTTTTATATATTCTCCTGCTTTACTCTTATCAGAAGGAGCTGTAGTTGCTCCGCTCGTAGAAGCTGCTGTTACAGAAGAACTTGCTTACTTTGTAAGTTAAGCAGCTTGATCGTTATTAGATTTACCTTATTAGTTTTAATTCTACTGTTTTTTAACTAGCACATTTCCTCCTGTTGGTTATTTTTTCTCTTCTGTAACTTTATTCTACTTCTATTCTCTTTTTTTCTTGAGATCATCTAATGCATCGTAAACATCATCTTCCACCCAATTATGCTTATCTAAAATTCTAACAACTTCCTTCTTTGTGAACTAATTCTTATAATGGAAAATGATATCTTCAATGATTTCCTCATCCTCTTTTGATAAATATTACAAAAAATTAATTTTGAATCTTAATCAAATATCATAAATTATTGAGGAGTTAATAGAATAATTCTAATTTTTATTTCTCCTTTTTTGCAGCCTAAAACTAATCTAAAATTCATATACCTGAATTGAATTATTCGTCATCTTCTGAATGGTAATGGTCATCTATACCTTCAGCCGCTATTTGTTTCATCTTAGTATTTCTAGACATTTTGAATAAATTTTGCTATCAATTTAGTAAGAAAAATAAATCTGATCCTTTATTTAATAAAAATTTGATATCTTTTTAATATTTTTGCATAAAAATAAGATGAAATAATTAACTAATAAATCAATCAGAAAAGACTATTTATATTCATCATTTGTTAAAAAATAATATAATAAATTCTTCTTTTATTTACATAAAGAAACTGGCTACCTACCTTCGATCAAAACCAATATAAAATAGACACTTAAGTAGAAAAAATATATCAAAACTTTGTGTATAATATGTGCCATTAAATATTTTTAAACATCATATCTTAATTAATTATTGATAAAATAAAATATCAAGAAAAACTTTAAATGAATATTTGCAATTTGTATTATTAAAAGATGAATTTTTTATTAAATCTAATATTATCTGTTATTTTAAATGAATTAAAGTAATTAAGTAATAAAAATAATTCTGTTTTTTTTAAGTAAAAAAATTTTTTCTTATTCATATAAATTTTATAGATTGGTTAGTGATGGATATCTCAAAAAAAAAAAAAGAAAAATTATTTTTCAAAATTAAATGATTTTTTTCATAACAAAAAACATCAAATAATTATTTTGAAAGTCTTTTCACATAAAGAGTAGAGTACATTCTTAAATAGAAAAAAACCAAAAATATTAAAAAATGAAATATTTGAATACAAAAAATAAAAAATAGCATATTTATCTAAAATTTATTTTTTTTGTTGTTTAAATTTAAAGATATTTTATTAAAGATAATGAATTTAGATTATGAATTTAATTAAATTTTGTTACAGCCTTTTTTCTGAAAATTATGATAAAAAGAAAATAAATTTAAATTTAAATTTTCGAAACTTATTATTTAATTTAATTTGACTGAATATTTTTGTTTAATAAATATCTAAATTAAAAATTAATTTGAATTTCTCTGCTAATTATTTATTTTTTTTAATTTTGCTTTTCTTTTCTTTTGTTTTATTTTATTTTTTATTTTATATGTTCTTTTTTAATCTAATATCTCATCTGTTTAATCTTGTTTTTCTGTTTTTATTTTAATTGGTTATTTTTTATTAATTTGTTTATTTTTATTTATCTGCTTATTTATTTATTTATTTATTTATTTAATTCTTTTATTTTATTTTATTTTTATTTATTTTTATTTATTTATTTTCTTTTTATTTATTTTAATCTTTCTTGATAGTCCACCACTTTAAAATATCTTTTTCTTCTGTGTGTCTCCATGTCATGTCTCAGTTCCTAGTAAAAAATACTTTTTATATATTGATGCGAAAGTAATAGACATCATCTGGGCTGTCTTGCAAATTATGGATAATTTGTTTTGTTTTAGACGGTGAATGTAGACATTTTGAAAAAACAACCGCTAATTAATTATATTAATTAATTGCGATAATTTGCTTTAATCTTCATGAAAATGAATATTTATGCCTGAGTAGTTTTGGGCCGGATTTAAAAACTTAGGGAGATCTAACCCTTTATTTATTGTATTAAAAACTTTGGTAACCTCTTTCATCCCCACAACGAAGAGGTTAGACATAAATATACATTTTCGTATGAATTGTTAAAAATATTCACCTTGCCACCGATTCTTATTTCCTTTCTTTTTTGATTTTTTTTTTTAATTAAATTATTATAAGCTTTTTTCTGAACAGAGAGTACTTTTTTTCCTCTTGAAATAAATTAAATTTAAAAATAGTTAAGAGGTAAAAAGAAAGTAATTCAAAATTTCAAAAATTCTTCTTAAATTATAAAAAAAAGAAATTTAATGAATGAAATTCTATTATAAATTAAAAAAAACATTTTTTTATATTACAATATAATAAATTACTTTTATTGTTAGAAGAAGAAGAAGAAAAAAAAAAGTATTTTTTTATTTGAATTTTTGAGAAAATAAAAGTTAAAAAAATGTAAAATCGAGTATAAGTTGATTAAAAGAGGTAAAATTTGCATCGTTTTTTAATTAAAAATAAAAGTCATTAATATCGTTTACAATCAAAGAAAGCATTTACTTTATATAATTCTCAATTACACTTCTTAAAGGTAACGAAATTAGTTGATAATATTACATATTTACTAATATATAATTAAAAATTATTACCTTAAAAACAAATTATATATCACAAGTATAAATATGAGGTGTTTCTTAATAATTTAATATAAATCTTAATCTCGTTTACATTTTATAAATGTTGCAATGTAAATATAAGAAATATAATAATAATAGTTTTTACTATTTCTTTTATTGAAGAAACTATCTCCAAAAATGAATATTTTATATTTGTCTAGTCCTATTAAAAACAAGAAAAAAAAAATTATAAAATAGCTTTATAAAATTTATTTATTCTGAATAGTCATAATAAAGTAAGTAAGATACTTACTCTATTTATAACAATCTAATATATTTTAAAAAATCCTATTTGTTAGTTTTTAAATCAACCATTAATCTTATTAATGAATTAAATATACTGTAAAATAGATAAGCTAGATTAGGATACCTTTTTAAAAATCATCGAATTTTTCTAAAAATAGTATATTCAATTATTTTTTTGATGTTGCTCTAAATTATAAAGGCCTAGCTTAAGATAGAGCAATTTACTAAAGGTATTGCTTTAAATCTTTTAAAGAGGTTCCATAAATTAAGATAATGAAACTTAATATCTTTAAGTTATAATAATTTCACTTTAAAAATAGGGCAAATAAATAGGTAAAATATTTTAAAATCCAATTTTAAAGGTTTTTATGATTTCCATTTGAATTTATTATTTTATTAAAATCTTGATTAATCTTTTTTTCTAATTAAAGGTAAAATTTAATTTGATAAAAATGTATTAAGTTATTATAAATTCTTATTCATAAAAAAAATTATCTGCTGTTTAGTTAGTATCTATCCTTTTACTCCAAACTAAACCTTTATTATTTCAATAGTTAAAATATAAAGCAAGCACTTAGTTAATGTTTCAATTTTAGAATCTTCCTCCCTTTAAATATTTATGATTTTTAATTTTATTAAATTGTTTTCAGCTTCATGAATATAGTCTAACAAAAAGTTCTGTACTAAGCTCTTAAAGATTGTTATAAAGTTAAAAGAACTATCTGGCATATCTGGTTGTTATTTTGAGTAATATAAAGATTTGATACAGATGTGTCTTTAAAATTTTTTAGTGACCCACTGACTATTTAAGTCTTTTTTAATTTATTGTCTGTGAGAGCTGTGAATATATTAATAATTTCATTTTTCGAGCAAAGCACAATTTAACTTGGAAAATCTTTTTGTTAGATTTATTTTACAAAAATATTTTCTCTATCTGAAGTATAAAAAAAAAATTCAGAACACTAATGTTTCTCCAGCTTTTACCATTTTATTTATTTTTAAATAATTTATAGTAATTCAGACATCATTAGGATTTACTGTTGTCAAGGTTATTAATTTTATAAAATTTAGATTAAAAAATACGACTGCAATTAACATATTATTAATAAAACAAAATTCTGATCAAACCTTAATATTTCTTTTGATAACGGGTAAGTAAAATATAAGTAACACCATAAATTATTTTAGTAACTTTTAATAAAACTTTCTAAATATTTAATTTACTTGCATCATAGTGCTTTTGTATTATTTAAAAAAAAAAATATTCTAAATGTTTATTATAGAGTGGCTTTTTAAGAAATAATATTTAGAATAATATGAATCCATCCATCATAAGATTACAGAAATAATTAATTGTTTATAAAGTATATTTATTTATTTGTTTATAAATTAATTAATTATAATAATTAAAATAGTTGATTTTTGTTTTTTGATTACTTATAATTGATAATATTCATATGTTGGTAGTAGGATTTTAATCATAAATTAATTCATTTTATATAAAATTCTGAGTGGCTGGCATATTAATTGTGAGTAAATTAAATTAAATTGAAATTTATATTTTTCTCTAAGTTTGAAATTTCTGTCAATTACTCCATTGAAATATTGAAATAGAATCTAAACAAATAACACAAACAGTTGATTTTTTTAAAAATTAATAATTCTTTAATAAAATTTTAATGGCCTCAGTAATTTGCAATTCAAAAATTTCCAAATAAATACAAATACAAAAACCAAATTGATTGTGAAAAATCATATAAATAATTTAATAAACAAAAATTAAATAAAAAATATTTAAAATGATTAGACATCCTACTATTCTAAAATCTTAGGTCGAAGGTGATCTAACTATTAAATAAGTTGAATTTCTCAGACTAAAAAGGCTTACTTTTTATTTAGTTACTATTTTTTCATTTGGTATATCCTCGATTGTGTGCTATTTCAATATCAATTTGAAAAAATATTTCTTCTATTCAACGCAAAATTGTATTGAAACTTCAACTCACGTACTAGTTCAAACAACAAACGACAAGTTTTAAATTGAGAAATTAAATAGCTAAATAAAGGACAGAACATTATAAACATATTTTTTAAATAGAAAAATAAAATACTTTTATGATCAAAGTGAGCATTCATTCTAAGCTCTTTAGTTAGAAATCGAGGGTAAAAAGATATCTGAAATCGCCAAGAGCTCGCCATAAGACCCTCAAGAAATCGAATAAAAGTAATTAATTAATTAATTTACTATTTTTTATGATTATTTCATTCAAAGAAGAATTGTAGGAAAAATAAGTTTTAAATAATGGAAAAGATATTTTTTTTGGCAAATATAAAATGAAGAATGAATTTAATTTTTTTTAACATTAGGATATAGCTTTTTGGAAAAAGCTTTATAGAAATTAAAGTTCCTTCATACTTTGAATATATGGGTTCATAGATGTTTCAACCTATGAATTTTATTTTCTATTTTGGATAGCTTGTTTTACTGCTTTAGCTTTTTTACTCCTTCTTTGCCATAGCTTTAAGTGCATAAATTATCATTATGTCTATTATTTATATTTTTGTTAGAAAGACTAAATAGTAACTTAAAGAAGCTTGTATGCATGATTTATAAGTTTAAGTTCAAAGGTCAAATGGTATTCAAACTGTTTCTTCAACCGAGTTGGTACCAGGAGATATAATTATCATAAACCAAAACATAACTCTTCCTTTTGATTGCATTCTTTTAGAGGGATAGATGTAAGTTAACGAAGCAAATATAACAGGTAAATTAAAAAAATTAAAACAAAGTTTTACAAATTAATTAACATTCTTCTTGTTCTTTTTCTTCAAAATTTAGAAAATTTTAATTTTGGTTTTATTTATGTTAAAGATATCTTTTAATTTAATATTAAATAAAATAGGTGAAAGTATTCCTGTGATAAAGAGCCCACTACCTTCAAATTCTGACTTAACATTCAAGTAAATTTTATTCCATATAATTAATTACACTTAATTAATATCACTTTTTATAGGTATGAAAATTAAAAATCTTAGGTATTACTTGAAGGAACTTCAATTATAAAATTAGAAATGGATTCAGCTAAAGCTCTAGTAGTTAGAACAAGCCTAAGTAGTTTTAAAGGATAAATTATTAGAGCCTTGCTTTATCCTAAGCCTTTTGATAAGCGCTTTGTTTTACAAGGCGCTAAGTTTAGCTTACTGATGGTACTATTCTGTTCTATTGCTTTCTTCTGTGTCCTTTACTAATACTACAATATTAATCTTTCTAATTGGTAAATAACGCTTAGATATCGTAATTAAATTTTGTTTGCATTTTTTTGGATTTTTATATTTATTTATTTAATTGAAATCTAATATATAATAAATAGTTGACATGATTCAGTTTTGCGTACCACCAGCAGTTCCTATTATCATTAATGCTATGATATTTTTTGGTTTAATGAGGTTAAAAACTAAAAATATATTGGGATCAGATCCTATGAAGTAAATATAGGCAGGACGTATCTAGGTAAATAAATAAATACCTTGTTATCAATAGTTAAAAGTTTTATTTTTTTAAAATTATTAAGACAATTTGCTTTGACAAAACAGGAACGCTTACTGAAAATTTTGTGGAAATAATCGGGTATTCTCTTCCTTAGCATGAAAATTTAACAATCGTGGGTAAAGATGAGAATTCTCATTCAAACGAAATTATTGATAAAATACTTGGGATTTGCCACTAAGCTTCTGCTTCGGATGACCAAGAAACAATTGTAGGAGATCCGATTGATATTTAAATGGTTTAGTTCAGTGGATGGACCATAGGTCATGACTAAGAAAAAAAGCTACCTTTTGCATCAAAAAAGGATAATAAACTCTACTCTCTATTAGTTAATGAATTTCATTCGGAATTTCAGTCTATGAGTGTGGTGAGTTAAGATACATAGAAAAATAAATATTATCTTTTTATTAAAGGCTCTCCTGAAGTCATTATATCTAGATGCCACTCTTAAGAATAAAAGGAAGCCTATCTTCAGAAACTACATTAATTTGCTGTTAAAGGTTATAGAGTTTTAGGTTTAGGATATAAGGAACTTTCTTTCGATAATTTGGAGAATTTTATCAAAATGCAGCGCTCAGACTAGGAAAAAGATATTTGCTTTTCAGGATTTTTGATATTCAAGAATAATCTTAAAAAGGACACAAAGTAGGTTATTGAAGAGCTTAAATAAGCTGAATTAAAAATCAAGATAATATCTGGAGATAATCCTATTACTACGATAAAGATAGCAGAAGAGTGTTCAATTTTAAAAGACACAAATAGCATAATTTTATTAGATCATGCTAAATAATAATCTGAATTTTTAAATATTTATGAAATAAATGAAGAAGGTCATAAAACCGAGATTACATTTCAAGGAAACTAAGAATAAATAGTAATTAATTAATTGAATAAATCATATTCTTTTAAAATTTAATCATTATTATTATTTTTTAAACAAAGCTACAACAATAAATTAGTTTTTGTGTGGATTCTATTAAGCAAAATAAAAGTTTTTGTATGACAGGTAGTGCATAAAGCTTTTTCTAAGATCGTCTTTAAATTCCTAAAGAGCATGCATAAGGTGCAATTCAGCAATAATCAAATTAAAAGCTAGAATCTTTTTACAAATTATTGATTCTGCATTCTTAAATATTTGCAAGAACATCTCCTGAATAGAAGGCTTTGGTTGTAAAATAAGTTAAAGAATTGGGATAAAATGTTTGTATGGTTGGAGATGGTGCAAATGACTGCTCTGCAATAAGAGAAGCTGATATAGGTATTTCTTTTTCTGATGCAGATGGACAGTTTTCTGCCCCATACATTTCTAAATATCCTTCAATAGGTAATTTAAATTATTTTATTTAAAAAGTAATTGTTAAATCTTTTTTTAAAAATATTTAATAAGAATGTGTTAAATAAATACTTTTGGAAGGTAGGGCTGTTCTCTAAACTAGCAGAGAAATATTTAAAGGATACATTTAAATTGGTATATTAAGATTTATGTGTTTTTTGGCTTTAAGTTACTTTTATAGTGGTCTTGGAGATTTTTAGATGACTTGGTAAGGCTATATCTTTGGATACACCATGAATTATATTTTATATGGCTTGAGTAAGCCTGTCAAAAACCTCTAGAAAATAACTATTGATGATGACTTTTTTGGAATCCACACCCTTATTTCCATGGTTTTTTCATTATTGGTGTTTAGTTGCCAGTTTGTTGTTATTTTAAATATACTTTAAGATAGTCCTAATTACATACCTACTACATAACTTTAAAGTAATGGGCATTTAGCTATAATAGGGCAGGAAAATACTCTCATGTTCATAGCTGTCTTAGTGAATTATCTTTACATTTATTTATCTAATTATAGAAGCTCACCTATCAAGCAACCTATTTTTAAAAATTACTTATTTTTCATCTCAGTCTTACTGTAAGCTTTATACGCTAACATCATAATATTTACAGATAAAATTAACGTATCATCTATGAACTTAAAGCCTATATATGATAATGATGCAGAAATCAAGATTTTCTTTAGTCTCCATGGATTTGGAATGATAATTTACTTATTCGATTTCATATTCACTAAAAATCTATTCTCTAAAGCCTATCAAAAGAAGTATCAAAACAAATAATAACAAATAACATTTAATTTGTATTAAAAATTATAAATCTGATAATAAAATGGAATATTTTCGTATTTTTTTGATAAATGTTGAGCTAAAAAGTAAATTTAATGTATTATTTAAAATTAATTATTGGAAAAATAGCTTATTTATTTTAATAAAGATTTTAATTAAAAAATAAAAAATTAACTAATTTTTTAAAAATTTATTTTTGACTTTCAATTAAAAGCAAATTAAAATTTATTAAAAAAATATTTTTAATTATTATTTTGATTGAAAAAAGTAGCAATTACTTTTGTTGACATTTTTTGTTTTTATTTTTCTTGTATTTTAAAATAAAATTCTATGATATTTAGACTTCAATGGGTATTGATATATTGATAATAAATACTCATTACTCATAACTAATAGCTTTTCAATTTAATAATTAATATTATAGCAGTATTAATTTAATTTAATGTGATTATATTCAATTTATTGAAAGTGTATTAACTAATTATTACTAAAAAACCACTTTACTTGTTTAGCATATGTAGGATTATTATGAATAAAATGATGAAACAACATAGTTTTTTGAATAAGAGAAACAAAAAAGCAACTAGAATTCTCCTAAGATAATTTATCGGTATTAAATTCACTTCAAAATATGTCAATTAAATATTTTTTTATCATTTAGGCGCAGATTCAGCTCTAATAATGCATAATTATGTGATTTTATAGAAATATGTAATAATGAAGATGGAAAAATATTTAATGATATGAATTTGAAAGAGGGATATATTAAAATTAAAAATGCTCAGGTGAACAATAGAATTTATGCTAAATCTGTAACAAAAAGGAGAACTCCAATCAGTTTTAAAGTGCGAGGTAGCTCTTGCCAAAAATAGAGGGAAGAGGATTAGCAAAATTTACAATTAAATCAGAATTATGCTTATATGAAGTAAGATAAAGATAATTATTTGTAAGCTGAGATAAACAATTAGAATGGCTAGAAACAAGAACTCTGCAATATACAAACTAATGGGGCTTCTAAAAAGCTAGCAGTTTCTCCGATTCAGTTTGATTAAGAGGAATAGAAAGATTATAAAACGAATTTTTCAAACAGATTCAAAGCACACTCACCCAATAAAGCTATTGCAAATTCTTTTGTTTTTAAAAGTATTTATTCCTTACATTCCAAATAAAATATTAACTAACTAACTAACTACTCATATTCTTAATATAACTAAAATATTTAAATTATTATCTTAGTTCAGCATGATTAAGTTAAGAATTAAGCTCGTGCTAATTTGGAAACGTCTTTCAAGTCAAACACTGAAACTTTAAGATAGAATCGTGTCAAAAATAAAGTCATCGACTCATCATTTTTAACTGGGAAAAGAGAAGGAAATTTAGGATATAACTCAACTGCAACTACTACAAGTTTCGCTAATGGACGCATAAAGAATTCAGCCACTCCAATTATAGATGTGAACGATGTTAATGCTATAGATCAAAAAGCGATACAAAGTATTAATCCTAAGACTCTTCCTTTTTTAAGTAGCGATAGAGGTATAAATTAGAATAATCATTTTCATTTCGGTGAATTTAAAATCAGCACTTCTAAGGCAACTGAGCTATTTTAAAACAATATTCTGCCAAAAACCCAAAAATAGTCTGGAAATAACAGTAATAACAACTAGATATCCTAGAGCGTAACGGCTACTATAACTTACAATAGTAAAGATAATAACTAAGGAAACACCAATAAACTAAGCAATCTCAACAGAACAAAAAATAATACAATATGCACAAATCAAAATATTATCTACAAACACAATAGATATTCCTCAAATACTCCGTCTAAAAGAGTAAAAGGAGTATTAATCAATTCCGTTCTAAGTGAAAATTAATCAAACAAGGAGACTTTACAAGCAAGTAATAGGAATAGCCAGATTCGTAAACGATAGCAAATAATATAAAAATAAAATAATATTCTTGCAAATAGTATTTAGCATATTTATTCTAATTTAGAAGAAAATGCTGGTTAATTATCAAAGAATCGGAGAATAAACAATACAACTAATTTTGATTCAACTAATTTTTAAACAAATGAAAATTCAGAAAAAGCAAAGTAAAATCAAGCAAGTAACCCCATTCAGTAAGCAATTAACAAATAATAATTTAACAAGATTTTTGTGAATTTTTCAAAGCTGAGGAGAGAAGGATAGGATCTAGGCAAGGGATTTCTAGGATCCATTTTAACAAATGCTCCAAAACACCCAATATATAATCAAATTAGCCAGAGGCAAAAGAATAGTTTGAATGTAGAAAGTAGAATTATTAAAAAAGAAAAAGATCCTAACTAGAATTAACATTGCAACGAAGATGATTTGTAATATCCTAAAAATAGCAATAAAGCATTAGAGATGGTTGAATCTCTGGTATAAAAAATAAATTCTTAATTAAATGATCTCTAAGTTAATTTAAGTATCATGAAATCCTCAAATAAAATTTTGCTTGATGCAATTGAATAAAAGGAGAGCACTGAGATATTTCATCAAATTGAAAAATATACTGATACTACTACTGCTACTTCTTCTTCTTCCTCTAAATAAATATCAAAAATACAAATTAATAAATTAATTCCCCTAATGAAACAATGCTTCGATTCTACATATGATTTAAGTGACCCTTCAACAATTGCATTCTTGCAAACGGATAACGAAGATTCTGAGCAAGAAGACAAAAACAGCTCACGTGAAACAAAAAATGAAATAAAATAAAATTATAATAAATGAGGAGAAACAATTAATAATGTAGAATATTTTGCTCACTTTGTAAAAGTCTCTACCAATAAAATCCTGAAGAAGTATATTAGATTTATTCTAGAGATGCGAATAAAATAAAATTAAATAGTACTCTTATGTAGCAGATTAATATCAAAAAAATTGCATCATCAAAATTGAAGCTAGAAATAGTTAGTAAATATTTAAGAGTAGCAAAATATTTCTGACGATGTTAAATTAATAATATAAATTGTACATAAAAAATACATGCATTATTTGAATTTGAAACTATATAACTAAATAACTCATTCCTATTATTAATAATGATAACAAGATTCTGAATATATTATAAAATTATATTATTTTTACTAAATTAATCTTTGTACTTAGTTTTATAAATTTATTGTAAATGAAAACAGCTATGTTGGCTCATTTAATTTTGAATCCTTCAGCTATATTTTGGAACTTTCCTTATTTCTTTCTTTTTTTATTTCTTAACTTTTTACATTAATTTTCTTTTAATTCAATTTTTCAAGTAAGTATAGATATGCAATTACTTGAAATTCTATTCAATTTGTTTAGAATTCTTAGTTTTAATAAACAGTCCATCAGGAAACAAATAAAAACCAATAACACGCACTTTTGGACTCTTTAAGAAAATATCTTTTTAAATATCTCTCACCTTATATCCGATATAAATAATAAATTAAATAAAAACATTAAAAATCTTCAAAATCATAAAAAGTACATATTTATTTTATAACGTTAAAAAAATGCTCTTCACTAAAAGTATAGCTAAGTTCTCCTCAGCAGCTAATGTAACAAACAAATTCCTTCATTTATAAAACATAAATCTGCTTTTAGAATAGAAAAATAATTCAGAATTAGATAATTCAAACAATTCGTGATTATAATAATTTGTTAATAAATTAAACAGGTTAAAAACTTCGCAGTCGTTGGTGCTGGTCAAATGGGTACTGGTATTGCAATCGTTGCCAACAAGATTGGTGGTTTGAATGTCAAGATTGTTGACTCCACTGAAAAGGCTCTCTCTGGCAGCAGAAAGTTCACTGAAAGCTGGTGTGACAAGGAAATTGCTAAAAATCGTATGACCAGCGAAGAAAAGCACTAAATGCTCTCTCGTTTCTCTTACTTCACAAAGCTTGAAGATTTAAACGATGCTGACTTTGTTGTCGAAGTAATTCCACATAATTAATGGTTTTAATATTAAACTTATCACTTCATATATTATTATAATTTTAGGCTGTCACAGAAAAGTTTGAAGTCAAGAAAAATATCTTCACCACTTTGGATCAAATTACCAAGCCTGATACTATTTTGGCTTCCAACACCTCCTCCATTTCTTTGACCAAAATTGCTGCAACCACCAAGCGTCCTGAAAAGGTTATTGGTATGCACTTCATGAACCCCGTCCCAGTCATGAAGCTCATTGAAATCATTAAAGGTCTTCAAACTTCCGATGAAACTCTTTAAACCACCTTAGAGTAAGTTAGATCTTTATCTTTTTAAATGTTAAAATATTTTTTGATAAAGCTTATCTCATAAATTGGGTAAGACCACTGTTTTGGCTAATGATATTCCGGGTTTCATCCTTAACAGAACTTTAATGCCATACATCAACGAAGCTGTTTATGCTTTGTTTGAAGGTGTAGCTACTGTTGCTGATATTGATTAGGCCATGAAGCTTGGTACTAACGTTCCTATGGGTCCCCTCACTTTGGCTGATTTCATCGGTTTGGACACGTAAAATAAAATTATTTTTTTCAATTATTTTTCAAGATTTTTTCATATTTTAAATAGCTGTTTATTGATCATGTAAGTCTTACATACTGAATTGGGTGATTCTAAGTACAGACCTTGCCCCTTGCTCGTTAACTACGTTAATGCTGGCTACTTAGGAAAGAAGAGTGGTAGAGGTTTCTACAAATACTGATCTATTTTAATATTTATTAACAAATATATATATGCCTTTTTATTCTAAGCGACAAACAACATTATTACGAGAAATAAATTTAATATTTGCTAAAACTTCGAAAGAAGTGAATTAATTCATTTATTGTAAATTAGAATATTTATGGTGTATGTATCAATGTATTCATTTTATTACTAAAATATTTTTTCACTACCAATCAAATTTCACTTAAATTAATTAATTAATTAAATATATACTTGAATTAAATTATATAAATATAAATATATATTTGAGTGTGTTTTAATTTTGTAGTTTTTAATAAAAGCTATATTTTTTTTTTTGACCAAAATAATAAAAGTGACTGCTATAAATTAAAAATTTTAATTAAAAATGCCATAAGATTTTTCTTAGAATTATGGAGAGTAAATTATTTTGATTTCTTAAGAATAATTTAATCAAATAATTGATATTACTCTAATTTCTTTTAAAAGATCGTAAAATATTAATTTAATAAAAAATTATGATAGTATGATTTTTTAGAATCTAATCAATTAAAGTTTTTATCTATTCCTAATTTTAAATTATTATTGTAAGTGGGCAAATTGTAATATATGGTTGAGGTGTAGTTAATCAAGTAGTCAAAATCTACTCTATAGGAAAAAAAAGTAGTTAATAAATATATTTCTATGTAATTATAGTATAAGGTGAATTTGCATTAGATTTACTCTCATCCATCCAAATATATAATAAATATCATATAACCATAGATTGCAAAATTTATATTGTGATCCTAGATTATTTGAAAAAATCTTGAAAAAAGTGTAAGGATGTATTTTTTGGTTGCTTTTAATTTGCTTATGGAATCCGTAATATTGAATTAATAATTTTTTAGATATAGATTTAATTAAATCTTAACAAAAAGATTAAATTGGTATCAAATAAATAGTTAATGGATGCATATGTAAATAAGATAAATGGTGGAAGAGGTACTGTCTTCCACTAAGGCATCAAAGCTTCAATAAGATAAACGATGAGTAAGGACATATCTAACCTATCTCTTGAGTAAAAGAAGCAAGTAAATTGCTTTAAATATTGTAAAAATATTATTCTTTTCTTTAAATAACTTTTTTCTATTTAGAACATGTATGTATGTGGTGCAGATAAAAGTTATTAAAGGAAAATAGTTTTTTTCATTTAAAAAACAATCATAAACATTTTTGAATATTAAGTTAACAGCAAATATTCTTTAGTTGGATCTAAAAGATAGAAAAGAGGATGAAATTAATGTGTTGAAGCAGCTAACTGAACATTTAGATTTTTTTATAAAGATTAACTCTAAGAAAATTAACTAAGAGACAAAATTACATGAAAAATGCTGCAGAAGATTAAAATATGAGAGCTACTAGAAAGGAGAAACTGTTATTGAATATGGTAATCAATTAGCTAATTTCTATGCATTTTATTTATTTTATTTTAATATATATTTTTAGGTGCAAAAGCTGATAAATTTTTTATCATACTAAGTGGACAAGTATCCATCTTTCTTATAAAATCTTAAGAAGCTTTAGATATTGAAGAACATTAATTAAAGACTGGTAAGAAACTTAATGCTTGGAATGGAGGTCTGCTTAACATTAACGATGAGGAAGAATAAGATGAGATAAACTCTCCATCAAGCAGTGTGGCATCGAGCAATAACAATAATAGGAGGGAATCATATTAAATGGCTAATTCTCCTTTATAAAGAAAGTATTCACAAAGATTATCAATAGTCAGAGATAGTCCTAAAATGAATGGCTAATAAGAAGATAAAAACTTATTACAAATTAATAATATAAGCTAATTAGATAACAATAATAATGATGATTCACCTATGTAATTAGAAAAGATAACAGAGAAATCTAAATTCTCAAATTATAGCCCGCCTCTGAATAGAGATAAAATTTAAAACGCAAGCTTTAGAATTAAATTAAATTTTGATGATTAGATTTAAGAACTTGTGCACGAGGAAAACACGAACAAATTGGATTCTAAAACGGGGGAATAAGAAGAATAAATTTAGTAAAATAATAATTATCAATAAAATAGCGAAAATGATTAAATAGACAATAATGGTGAGTAGAATATTTAGAAGATTAACACATAGCTCTAAAAGAGACAAATGAATCAACTTTTTCTGAAAGTTGATGCGAGTAACCAAAATAAATTTAGAAGTTCAAGCGAAATAGTAGCAAACAATATTTTAAATCACAGTAATTCTAGTCCTTAATCTTTGACTTATTCTCGTACTATTTCAAGAATGACTATGCTTTAGTAGGCAATCAAAAATAATGCTGAAGTTGGTTCCATTTTCAAGAAAAAAATTAACAGTGAAAGTATTACAGAAATGAGATAAAGATTAAATTAAATGAGTGCCTCATAAGATCTAATTTCTCCTTCATCTTCTTCCCATACAATCAGCAATCTTGGAACACCTTCTAAATTATCTTCTTCTTACCAAAAAAGTAGCTAGCTGTAAAATAGAAACGATATTTTCACATTTTTAGAAGATGAAAAATTATAGCAAATAAAATCACAAGTTAATTAGAGTGGTAAAAATATTACAAAAAAAACAAGGCTTGGAAAATTAATAGATTTTTATAAAAATTACGATCTTTTTGGTAGTCTTTAATTATCTGAAATTTAAAATGCTGAAAAATATTTTACAGATTCAGGAATTTTCAAGTATGAATATCGTGATATTATGAAAGCAGGAAACACCTTTGGTGAGCTAGGTATTTTAGAAGGTAAACCAAGAAGTGCGTTAATTATATGCTCAGAAGACAGTGAGTTTGCTATCATGGAAAAAGAAGATTACAGCGAATTGTTAGCTGAGAGAGACAGAAAGAAATTACTCAAAAAATTCGAATTCCTAAAATAAAAAATGTTTCCAGAGCTGACAAATGATGGAATAAAAAAAATATTTTACTCTTTTCAAAAAAGGATCATTTAAAAAAATGAAGTTTTATTTCAAGAGGGTGACAAAGCAAATGGAATTTTTATAATAAAGCACGGAGAAGTTAATCTTTCATAGAGATAAAAAGTAGAATAACAAATACCTAATTAAAGAGATATTTTAGCTAGCGAATCTTGTTTAAACACAGCCACTGATTCTCCAGCTCCCATTTATCAAAAGAAAAAATCTCTTCTTTATAAACCATAAAAATTTACTCAAAAAACAGTAATAAATTTATATTTTATTAAAATAAAATATTTTAGCAAGCAAATATTCCTTGAAAATTATATATATATATAAATTGATAATATTAAAAATATTTTAATTTTTTACTTTAAAAAAATAGTTTGCCGTTATAAGTAGTGGAGAATATTTTGGAGAAGAAGACCTGTTAATTAAAGAAAATAAATAAATTAGGACATTTACAGCTACTTGTTCATCTCTTACAGGATCAGTTTACTATATTGAAGCAAATGTAGATTTTTTGATAATGATATTAATAAATTAAAAATATTTTGAATAACTAATTAATTTAATAGGTTTTTTTAAAGTTCATCAAATAAAAACCAACTTCTTTTCTTGTGATACAAAAAAGATTAAACTAAAAGCTGCAATGGAGAACAGAATAAAAAGAAAAATGGAATGAACAGAAGAAAAAGTTCAGTTTTATTGATAGTTTTTAGTAAATCGAAGAAGCTAAAATTAAGCAGATAATTAGAAAAAACGTTCCTAAGAGAAGTTCTATGATTGAATTAAAAAGTTAATCTTCTTCAACTGTATTTGATACTCCATCAACAACAACACCATCGAGAAGGACTACAACAATCAGTTTAAGATAGCCCAATTCATCCTCTTTTACTTTATCAAACATTGAAGGATCTTTAACTTAAATACCAATTGTAAACAGAGATTTACAAACTCTCTAAACTCCCCAAGCTAAAATAAGTACAAATAATGCTGTCTGTAGTATTAACATGGATAAAATCTGGGAAGGTAACTTACATCTTTTTTTAATATATAAATTTATTTATTTATTTACTAAATATTATTAGAAAAATCAAATGACGGATCACCTAAAAATTCTCATCTCAATTCTGAAAATCTTATTGGTGATAAAGCTAAATCTTATATTTAAAATTACCCTTAAAATAAAATGTATTGAATTTTTTTTTTAAATTAATTCTTACATTTAAAAATTTATTTATTTATTTATTTATGCTTTTAGGGTCACTGAAGAATCTTAGAGAATTTAAAATTCGCCTTTTTACAAATAACAAAGAAATTCAGAAATAAATTTACAATGTATCAGGTCAAAAACTCCTAAATTGTCAGCTATTCACTCCAGCATATTAGAAAATACCTTTTCTCCTCTTAATAAATTATCTAAATAAACTAGCAGTGAGATCAAAAGTTAATTATAAACACATGTTTAAGATATCGAAGGCCTTAGAAAGTCGGTGAATTTATCTAAAAATAATTGGTAAAGTGTGAAAAAGACTAGATAAACTTATTCAAATTATGAAATAAATAACTCATAGGATCTAAAAATTAAATTGAATTTCTAAAGACAGGCTTCTATACAATTAAAAACTTAGTATTAAAGCTCTTAAAGCTCATTAGCCTAATTTTAATCAACATCAAATTTATAAACATCTGACTAACTTTATTCATAAACGTTTTTATAAAGATAAACAACTTCAAATTCTAATTCTGAAAGTCCTATTAAAAAGAGTATCAGCGATAACTAACTAAAACTTCTTGGCTTCTCTTAAGTAGCTAGTAATAGTACAAATAATAATTAGCTATATTTGTATTCATAAGGAGTAGATATAAATAAAGAATAAAAGAAACTCCCACAAATATCAAGTCCTCAATTTAAGACTGATCACTAATTATAAATGGAGAATCAAGAATAAAAAAAATTAGCAATAGAAAAAAAGAAACTTGATATCATTAAAAAAACATAATTTTTTGAATATAAATAGCAGTTGCAAAAAAAAGAAGCTTTATATGACAGTCATAACATTTAAGACCTTTCTGATAAAAAAGGCTTTTAAAATAATGGACTTCACATTGAAATAATTTAACCAAGTTCTTTATCTATAAGAAGCAACTCATAAACAAGCTCACCTTAAAGAAAAAAAGTTATCAGTTTGATAAGAAATAATGGTTTTGTAAAAAATATTATCAAAAAAGTTTAAGGAAAATCTGATCAAATAGATTCTATCTTAAGGATAGATGAGCTTTAACAATCCAGCCTAAGAGATTAGGATTAAATCAAAACAGAATTAAGCAACAAATTTTAAGAAAGATCTTTGATTACTGAGTTAGATGAAAAAAAGAAAAACCTACAAAGATATCAGTTGATAAGTCCTTTGTCAAAATAAGATAAAATAATTTATCCAACAACTCATCTTGAGCAATTTTAAATTAAGAAATAATTTTAATAAGAAAATTCAATAGAAAATAAGATATAAAACTCTAATCAATCTGTATAAAAAAGCTAATCTTTACCAAAAAGTAATGGATAATTTTAAAAAATAGAATTTTACTAAAAACTTAAGTAAAATCTTTTATAAAATCAATAAAAAACAATTTAAATTAAATTATAATAATAACAATAGCAATAATAAAATAACGAATCTCCAAATAATTTTATTGTATAAAACTATTCAAAATTAAACTAAATTTAGCATATAAATTGATAATAATTAATTACTATTTTAATTAAAAACATAATATATATTTATTGAATCTTCACTATAAAAATATATCTATAAATTCATTTATAAAACTATGTTTGAATTTAACTAAAATATTCTTAATGAGTTATCTCAAATTATTTAAAATAAATGTTAATATTTTAATAAATTGAGTAAAATTAAATATTAAATTAATTAATAACAATTATTGTTTATAAATATTTATTTAAAATATATAATAGGTCATTATATTTATTCAAAATAAATAAATAAATCTTTACTATCAAACAAATATTTCAAATATAATTTTTTTTTTGAATTCCAATTTAAATATTCTTAAGAAGATAATCTAAAATTACTTATTCAAATTTAAATTTTTATTTGTTATTGTATAAATCTATTCAAAATTAAACTAAATTTAGCACATAAATTGAAAATAATTAATTACTATTTTAATTAAAAACATAATATATATTTATTGAATCTTCAAATATAAAAATATATGTATAAATTCATTTATAAAACTATGTTTGAATTTAACTAATATATTCTTAAAGAGTTAATAAATTAAGTAAAATTAAATATTAAATTAATTAATAATAATTATTGTTTATAAATATATAATAGGTCATTATATTTTTTAAAATAAATAAATGATCTTTACTATCAAACAACTATTTCAAAAATATTTTTTTTTTTGAATTCCAATTAAAATATTCTTAAGAAGATAATCTAAAAATTACATATTGAAATTTAAATATTTCTTTTTTATTGTATAAATCTACTCAGATAAGTTAAACTTAGCTTATAATCGATATTAATTATAATATACAAATTTAATTAAAATAATGTTTATTTAAAACAAATAATATATTCTTCAATAAAGGACTATAAAAAATATAAAAATTTATAAGCATATACTATCATAGTAAGCCAATATATTTTTGAGAAAATAATCTCAAATTATTTGTAAAAAAATTATTTTTAACTTAATAAATATAATAAAATTAATTTAAATTTAGTTTATAAATTGATAGTAATTAATTAACTAATCTTTGAAAATTTCAATCAAAATTTAATGTTTATAGAAAATAATTCAATTTTCACAATTAAATTATAAAAAATATATCATTTTAAAACATGTTTTTGATTTTTAACCAAAATATTCTAAATAAAATTTCAAAAATTATTTTATTAAGATAAATTCTTCTAAAAATACAATAATAACTTTCTAGTAAATTTAATAAAATACTAATTTTATAACTTAAAAGTTAGAAATATATAATTGATCATGAAACATTAAGAGTTTTTATATTTTGTGATATGTTCAAACAACTTAGAAACTTACTAATCTTCTAGGCTTACTTAGTAAGTATTTGATTCTTAGTATTTCGAATTCATTTAACTTTTTTAAACTAATTTTTTATTTAAAAATAACTAAAAATATTTTTTTAATTTTACTTAAGAGAAACTTTGATGAAATTTAAATATTTCTTCTTAGAACATTCCTTAAAGATAAAGTCAAAGCCTTCATAATTAATACTATTATATCTTTAAATTAGTTTTTTTATTTTTCTTATCAAAAGGTTAAATATTTTTTACCTCAAATCTAAATCTAAAAATTTTAGAAAATCAAATTTTTAAATTGTTTAACTAAACAGCTCAGCAATTAAATTTCCTAAACTATTATTGCTAAAAATATATATTATTAATAGTACTTTTTTTACAATATTACGCTAAATGGAGAGTTAAAAATGAGATATTTCTGCACAATGATAATTTTTCAAAAAAATCTGCAGCATTATTCAAGTCATTCTAGCTTTAATTTTTATTTAATTGTATTACTTTTTTTAGTCAAATAAATAAAAATTAACTACTTCAGAAATAATTCGAGTCTTTTTAAAGATTCACATTTACTCAAGCAAGATCCTAGAAAATTTAGATCTTTAGTCTATAAAACGTTTCCACTAAACAAACATTTATTAATTAATAAAAAAATGGTTAAAATTTCATTTTAAATAAAATTGTGATACTTCAACCATATTTAAGCAATTTAAAGATTCATAGTTTGTATTTCTCCTATTGAATTATAATTGTAATTGTATCCTATTTGATTTTTACTATTTAAAATTAAGTAAAAGTAATTTTTTAAATAATTTTACCTAATCTAATATCTTAGTTTTTACAAATGTGAGCATTTAGCAATTTATGAAACTATATTAACTGCCCCTTATGTTTTTATACTATTGCAACTGTATTATTTAAAAATTAAATATAAAATAAAATATTTAATATAATAATTTACTTCAAATTAAGCAATAGGTTATTTAATTAGGAGCATTTTCCTATGCCTCTTCCAACTTCGATAGCACAGTCAGTATCTAACTAGCAAAAGCTGACAGTAAAAGTAAAAATAAAAAATAAAAATTAATTAGTTAATTATAAATTTAACCTTAAGTTTAGAGAAAGATCCAAAAGATTAATGCAAGATGATATTATATTCTTTAAGTTCTAAGCAGCAGGAAAGTTTACATTGCAATAGCTAAATAAATAAAAAATAGTTATATTAAATTTGAAATAAAATTTAATTACCTTTTGTCAACTTTAATAACTTTAGCCAAATGATAATTTCCTTAATTTAACTATGTTAGTTAATATGTTATAATTTTACATCAAATTTTTAAGTCATTAGATCAATAAAATTTATCCTCAAAGTAAAAATCAAATAAAATTATTTTCATTTAAGATTATTAACTAATAACTATTTGAATATTTGAATAAGGTAAAGATTTAAAATTACTTAGTAAGTATAAAAAACTTATTCATTCTCGTCAAGATCTAATTAATTTTCTTTATCTTTTAAAGAAAATTTACTTTATTTTTGCTATTTTTGTTTGAAAATAATTATTACCTTAATTGAGGTTTTTTAGTTTTACCTACTCCATTTTATGAATTTTCTTTTTTAGTACTTTTTGCAAAATAAATACAAAAATAACTTAAATTATTTGTTACAAAATAAAATAAAAAAATTACAATAAACCTTATAATTAAATTTGATTTATATTAAATTAAAGAATTTATTAAATAGCTTTTTATTTTTTTAAAATACATTTTTAATTAAATTAATTTTTTATTTATTTGGTCTACTTTTGATGTGCTATTTATTTTTGTTATATATTATTTTTGATTATTTGCTAAGATGAATTCATTTTTAATGAAAGCAAATTGTTAAATTTATTTACAAAAAACATTAAGTTCTTATGAAATAATATAGATTAGCTTTAAACCAACAACTTTTAATAATTGGTTAAGTTTAATAAATAAAGTGGCATAAGAGTTTTATTTTTATTTACTTTATAAACAGAATACTCTTAAAATAAGCGATTATTTGTTTATTAGTAAAGTAAGTAAGTAGATAATTTAGCATTAGAGGGTATTTTAAGATGGCATGGAAATATCCTAATAATAAAGATTAAATAAAGAAGTATAGAGAATCAATTTCTTACTTACCATTTACTTTAAGGGAAGATACTCATTGTTCTCCGTTTTACAACTTTGAGAAAAAATAAACTAATATTCCTAATATAAAACCATTAGAATTTCAAGCGGATGAGCTATTTAAAAAGGAAAGTTACAGATTATAGTTGGTAGCTGAATCAAATAATATAGAAAGCAGCTAGTTATAAAGTATGCTATCTGGCAAAAGCTTATCCTCTGATTCTGAAGGTAGAATACTATTATTTAAATGATCTTATATTAAATTGACAATTCTACTTTATGAAAATTGTAATTAATTTACAGATTAATCATAAAGTAGGATAAACTTATTCCAATTAATAAATCAATTTTTGAATGTATTTTGTTATCTTAATTTTTCAGAGGAATTAAAGAGCGAAGAATTGTTGGAGATGAGAGAAAAAGCTAAGGAGAAAGGTAGGAGAAAGGCTGAGATATTTTAAAGTTTTCAATTTGGATTACAATTAGAAGATATGTTTAACAATAATTTAAGTTCTTTGGCTAAAAATATAAACGAAAATCAGAGATCTCCTTAAAAAACAGATTTTAACTTTAACAATATAAGAAGTGGGTTATTAGATGAGATAGATAAAGTGAAAGGAATGATAGATAATCATAAAAATTTTGATGATGGTTACAAGTCAGGTGACAATTTTATTAATACAGATTAGGGTAATGAAGAAAATTAAGATAAAGACAAAAGAAATAAAAAATAGTTAAAAATTTCGAAGTAGAATAAGAATAAAAATGCTTCCAAAGATCAAAAGGAGCTATTAGATTTATCTATTCAAGGTTTATCGCCAACAAAAATAAAAGATGCTAAAAGTGAATTGAATAATTAAATTGTAAACTAGAAAGATGAAAAATCAAACTTACCAAATCAGTAGGATGAAGACAATATAAGCAGTGAGAACTTAAATGATTATTTAAATCACAATATCATATAAAGAGGAGTCAATAGAAAAAAAGGGCTAAGATAGATTTTTATTTTATACAAAAAATTTAAAGGAAATTTCTATAGCATACAAATTGAAATATTCTACATTCCGATTTATTTAAGTATTACTGACAATTTAGAGTTAGTCCAGGATTTCTTTTTATGGAAAGACTACTTATCGAAATGGATGAAGTTAAGAGGAAAAATTATTGAAAATATTTTCACATCTAATGGCTTTAGGATTATGAACTTAAACTAAATTAAGCCAGTTGAAAATATTCTAATTATACAAGGTAAATTTTAATATAAATTAACATATTATTTAAATATCTAAAAATTAAAATATAGACTAAGATTGTTCACTTGAATTCTGGCACGATTTTTAGATCTATCATAATATTTCGTTAACCACAAATGAATAAAGATATTTTGCAGATTATCTAAATAATCTTCAGACGAGAGAAGAAATTTATAAATCTTTAATAAGTCCTTCTCTGTTATAAAAAATATTAAGAACATACGCTGCTGAAAAAACTCCAAATACAAGTTTAATAAATACTTCTACTACTTAAAAGTTAAATTAAAGCAAAGGCTTCTTGCCTTAAATAAATTAAAAAATGCAATTACAATAAGTGCAATAAGACTAAATAAATGAAGGTTAGCTTCAAAATTAAAACACTAGCTCAAAAAAATAGATGAATTAATCTAGGATGCTGAGTAGAAATTCTTAATCTACAAAAGAGTTAACCTAAATATAAAAAGAGAAAATAGATTTAGTTGATCTATACTCTCAATATTAAAATATAATGATTTCTAGTTTAGGTAAAAAAATAAAAGAACCAAATAAAGTTTAATCCATTTCTCAAGGAGCAATACTAAGACAATTTAATGGAGTTAAAATGAAAATCTTATAGCAAAGCTTTCCTTATCTAGCAAAATAAAAATAAATAGAAGAAAGACTTAAAAATTCTCCATACAAATTTCCAATATTTTAAGCCTAAAATAACCAGGATAATTTATCTAATAATGCTGATAATGCTAAAATATGATTAAAATAAATAATATTTTTAACATAATATAAAATATAAAAATAATAATTATCTTTTCATTTATTAAAAATATTCATATTTATTTATTAACTTACTTAATTACTTCCATTTTCACAAAAATATTCAGCATTTATACCAAAAAAATTAATGAGATATTTTTTTTTATATATTAATATGATTGTTTAAAACTAATTTAGTCAATATTTAGGCAAATCTTTGGATTTATTTTTCAAAAAATCAATAATTCAATCGCTACTGATAAATGATTATAAACGTAATTTCATAAATATGAAATATTTTGAAGACAATATAACAGTAATTAAAATGATTATTGTAATTTATATATTAAAAAGAATCAATTAAAATTTTAAAAACCTATTTTTATTTTTAAAAAAGTTTTTTTTTAATTTAAAAGTAAGTATTTCAATAAGTTAATATTAAAAAAATGCATTTTATACTAATTAGATTTTTAATCTTATTTCACTATTGAATACTAAAACAAAAGAATTAATACACTAATTAAAGTTTTTATCTTCTACTTGTTATGCTATTCTAATTTATTCTCACTTTAAGGAAGATATTATTTTTGAAGAAAGAATTTATTTTTACATACAACTATTTTTTCTCATAAGAAATTTCAATAAAATTTATAGTTTTAATCAGAATATCTGACTATTTTTAAATTGCCATCTGATCTTTCCTAACTATTGGTCTTTAATATTATCAATCGAAAGATTTTATTTCAAAAGATCTTAAATAAAAATCTGATTTAAGAGTTTGTAGCAGAAACTAATAAAAAAAATTTATTATAAATAACAAATTTAGAAAATAAATATCAAAGCATAATTTAAAAGCTTAAAAATCTAGCAAATGGACGTAGAAAACAGTCAATACTTTTTGAGTTAATAATTTGCAGTTCACACTTAAGGTGCTCGTTGCGTTGATGTGAATAATAATGTGTTAATTAGCGGTTCAACAGATAAAACTGTCAAAATTTATTCTTTTATAGATAATAAATATGAAATGATATCCGATGTTAATTTCTTTGATGACTATGTCTACTCTGTCAAGGTTAATCTCAAAGGAGATGGTAATTTATTGATAATTCTCCTAAAGAATTTATAAAAATGTCATAGAATTTAAGTTTTAAGGAAATTTTAAATTATATTATAGGATTTTTCGTAGGTTCTAAAGATACTCACATTTACGTTTTAGATATAACTGGCAGTCCTTCTACAACTTTATCTGGCCATACAGGACCAGTAAATTAATATATTCTGAATACTTTTGATCAAAGAAAGCTACTATTTTCGAATATGCAAAATAATCGAATTTATTAGTTGATATTAGGATTAAAAATTATTTATTTTCTTTTAAACATAGCAACAAATATATAATAAATTTAAATATTAATTCTAAAATATAGATTTTTTATATGATTTTGTTAAAAATAGGTTTGTAGTTTTTCCCAAATAGACAACGATACTTTAGTTAGCGGAAGTTGGGATGGAACTGCAAGAATTTGGGATCTTAGAGAAGGCAAAGAAGTTAGAAAGTTTGAAGGTCACTCCCATGCAGTTACTGTATTGGGTGTTATGCATTTAGACTTATTAGTTACAGGTTCTTAAGATAAGAATCTTAACTTTTTCAGAATCAGCACAGGTGAAAAGATTAGAACAGTTAAAGAAGCTCATACTGATATTATTAGACAAATAGCTTTTATTGAAGATGTTGGTTTTTTGAGTGCTTCAAATGATGAATTATTAAAATTATGGACATTTGATGGTGATTTGATGTAATAATTAACTGGACACACTGCTTTCGTATTTACATGCGCTTGTTTAAGTTTTGGAAAATATGTTTCTGGAAGTGATGACTAATCTATCAAAATATGGAATGATTCAACTAACATCCAATCTATTTTGCATCCAGGTACTGTTTGGAGTGTAACAGTTAATAATAGAAACCATGACATTATCACTGCTTGCTCTGATGGTTCAGTTAGAGTTTTTACAACTGATCCTTCAAGAAAAGCACCAGCTATAGAAATTGAAGATTTTGAGAAAAATGCTACTGTTTCTAATGCCAAAGGTCCCTAAGGACTTCCTCCCGATGAGTTAGCAAAGCTTCCTGATGTAAGCTAATTAAATTAATTCCAAGGAAAGAAAGAAGGCGAGCTTAAAATTTTCAAAAACGGAGGAGTTCCTGAAGCATATTCATGGAAATAAGCAGAATAAAGATGGGAAAAAATTGGTGAAGTTTTGTCAAGTAAAATACTTGATTTTATTGTTTTTTTCTCAATATTTTTTTAAAAAAAGCTATTCCTAAAAAAACTTATCACGGAGATGAATTTTTCGCCGCAGGAGATTATGATTATATTTTTGATGTAGAAGATGATAGCGGATTCACAAAGAGCATTCCTTTTAATGAAGGTGATAATCCTATGGAAGCAGCAGAAAAATATTGTGCAAGAGAAGGTATTTTTATTTGAATCATATCAAATTATATTAGATCAAATTTTCAAGAACTGATTCCTTAGTGTAGTGGTTATCACGTCAGTCTAACACACTGAAGGTCCCGAGTTCAAACCTCGGAGGAATCATTTTTTTATTTTATTAAAAATTTATATGCAATTTTAAAATTAAGTCAATTAGAAAAAGCTATTTAAATAAAAATTATATTCATTAATTAAAACCTTTTTCTTAATTAATTTTTAGATTAGAAAAATAAATAAAATATTTAAACATAAAAAATAAATTTAAATTAAAAAAAAATATGATTTTAGCCTAATGTTTTTTAAAAAATTTTTAAAACTTAAGCAAAATAATTCAATGAGAAAATTCAAATTAATCTAAAATTTAATTTATTTAGATAATAAAAAGAATGCATTTAATATTTAAATCTATTTTGATGTTAATATTTTTTAAAAATAAAACTATTTCTTCAAAAAAAAGAAATATTTTCTTAAAAAATGTTTTATTGAATTTTTTTCAAATTATTTGATTATTTTAATTTATTTATTATTTAAATAATAGGAATAAGTAGAGCAAATATTGAGCAAATTAGATAATTCTTAATGAAAAATACTAAATATCATTAAAATTAGGGCAATTAAAAAAAACCATAGTAAAATATTTATGCATAGCAATAGGTTTAGTAATAGAATAAGTCTAGCATTTACTTCCCTCTCAATCAATTTTAATATTATGAATAAAAGAATTTGGAGGGATTAAAAAAGAAGGTGCTTGAATTTAACGAAGCATTAAAGGCTGAAAACCATCCTCTTCACTTGGTGGAAAAGCAAGTAATTTATTTCAACACAATGATTGACATGCTTGAAAAGACAAATATGTATCATACTTCTCGTCTCAACTACAATGAAATGGAAGTATTTACAGTCAAGCTGATTAACTGGCCAAAGTAATATATGCTTCCTATATTTGACTTATTCCGTATATTCGCTCTTCACCCTTAATCTGATGCTCTCTTTAGTGGTGTAGACTCTGGGCTTCATTATTTTACAGTTATTTGCGGAGGTTTGATGTCTGAAGAAAATAACGATGTCACCAAAAATGTTATCTTAAAGATTCTTGTCAACTTATTTAACCAAACTTCAGGACGTTATGGAATCTACAAGCACCATAAGTTTATAATTGAGTGTATTCAGAGATTAAGAGATAACTAGAATGCTAATTTGCAAACTACATTAGCTACTCTTATGTTTAACATCTCTGCTGAATACATCAACAACTAGAATCACTCTGTTGACGCTGTTACTGCTTATGTTAATGAAATAATTTTCTTGATCTAAAAAGAAAAAAATGCTGAAAATCTATTAAAGTATTTAATTGCTTGTGGTAATTTTGCTTTAAAATCTGCCAACACAGCTAAACCACTTATTAAAATTGGTTTATCTTTTTACTAACCTTAGATCAATGATGCTAAAATAAATGAATGCTTAAACGATTTAAAGAGCATTCTATGATTAAATTAATAAATATTATTTATATTTGACATTTTATTGAATCGTATTTCATATTTATTATTCTCACCAATAACTAACACAAAATTAATATAAGATCTTCTTTATATAACTGACTTATTTTCATTTATATCTTATTTAGCTAATTAGCGAAAAATTCTCCTATTTATTTTTCTTAATTTGCTTTATAAAAGTTTAAAATATTTTTATTTTTAAGAATAAAAAACCAAGCTTTTATAAAAAATTTTATTCAATAACTTTTGTTTTAATATAAAATCTTGTATTGGAAAGGAAAAACATCTAAATTGTTTAGTAAAACATTGCAAACAGTTTTAAAAAAATTTTATTTTAGACTAGAGAGTTAGTTTTAAAATTATCAACATCTGTCTAACTATATTAATTAAATGTTTAAAATTAAAAAATTTTTTTATTTATTACAATAAATTTTTTAAATATTTGATCTTGTAGAAAATATGTTATCAATAAGTTTAATAATAATATGTGTTCAAAGAGAAAATCACTTTTTTTTAATGATAATCCTATAAGAAATGTTTTTTACGTTTAAGAAATTGATTTTTAAAATTTAGATATTTTTATTTAATAATTAAAAATATTTATTTTTTAAAATTGTGATCTAAAATTATAAAAAAATATATTTTTTGTAGATTTTGAAAGTAAATATAAAGTTTATTTAATTTTAATTTTATATAAATTATTTCAAAAATCTATATCATTTTTTTTTCTAACATAGTTGACAAATATAAATACTAATTTTTATTTTACATTGTAAAATGAATTGATTATTCTTGTAAAAAATGGGAGGAAAATAATTTTAAACTTTACTTTTCATATAAAAAGATTCTATTATTTTACAATTTAAAAACAAAATAAAATATTGACATTAATAAGTTAGGTCTAATTTTATCTATTTTTTACTATTAATTTACAGTAAATTTTAATTTTTAATTTATAATTCCTGCATAAATAGTAATTTCTTAGTATAATTGAATGTAAAGACTTTAACAAAAGACTTACTATCAAGTTTGTTTATTTAAAATTATTTGATTTTAATTAAGTAAATTCATATTTATTTTTTAACTTAGTAGAATTATGGTACACTCTGGTGATGATCAATTCTTCTCATACTGTTAAATAACTCTTCTTAGGATAAAATTTAATTTTCAACCATTTAATTCTAGCTATCTTTGCTACCTTAAATTATAGAATCACCATGATTATTTTTAACCAAATCCTAAGATTATTTTTATTAATTTTAAATCTGATTTTATTATTTCTAATCTTCGTTTTTATTTATAAATTTCATTTGATTTGAATTATCTTGTGTGCAAGAGGATTCATTTTTCTTAGAATCTTTAAATGATTAATATCTGCTCTTTATTTGGTTTTTAAATTACTAAATAATTTTAGAAGTGCTTTCATTCTTTTAGACTTCTTAAATTTATTTTTATATTGCAAGACTCTCAGTCAATTTACTAAATATTTCTTCCTTTTTTGCTTTATTCATTTTTAAAATGGTCAGTTCAGTTTTCCAATCAAAATACCTGCTATACTTTGGATTAAGCTAATTTATTTATAAAATATTAAAAATTACATATTTAATATAACTAAATTACCATAATGTCATAGCTTAAGCTTCCACTGACAGGTTTTTCTGAATAATCTAAATCTAAGTTTTCATCAAGTTTGTTTTTGATAACTTAATCAATATCTTTTTTCTTATTTATAAATCTTTATTTTCTAATATCAGAAACTTCTTTTTCTATATAATATTCTTAAAGCAATGAAAGCTCTTGCAACTATCTTATTGAGTAAACTAAAATAAAATGATTTAAATAGTTTGAAAAAAAAACTATCTTACTTTGATATATAGATTGGGAGTCAAATGGTTAATTCTTGATTTGTGAATCTTCATTTAATTTAACTTTACGTTAAATTTTATATTTACTGATATAGCTCAGGTACTTTAAGAATCTTTTAATTCTTCTTCTTAAATAGTAGCAAGAAAATAAAACTGCATAAGTGATGGTGCTTATTTTCATAAAATATGAACCTTATGATTAAAAGTTTTAAGGTGCAAAAGTAGGTATCCGATTAATTTTATTTTACTAATTAAATTAAGAGTAATTCAAATCTGTGTTTTACAGATATACTTCAAAAAATATTCTTTTGTTCACATAAGTCATTACCAAAAATAGAAGGCTTGTTAGAATTGCATAAAAATTGAAAGCCATGAAAGCATTAGATATTTTACTGTTGTACTAATAAGATTCTTTCCTGCAATGCCTAAATACTTTATTTAATTTTTTTAATAATTATTAGCTAAAAATAGGATTTACTGTAATATTTTTCAAAGTATATGTGAAATGTCAAGAACAAAAAAGTGATAAAATAGAAAAACGGCATTCCAAATCCAAAGAACATAGATACACATAAATATTCAAAAACATCAGAGTAAGAATTAGCAATTTCAAACTCAGGACCTTAATGCATATTTATGTAATCAAAATTTGTTTTTTAAAAAGTCTCTGTTTTTTTCTTTTTGCATTTATGATCTATGAGTAATCGAATCCTATTTTTTAAAATAAATATAAATTAATTTTGCTTAAAAATAAACTTAAGATGATTGATTACATTTTAAATAACAGAAATAATTATTTTAAAAAAATAAAAATCATTTTTAAAAAATTTAATTAAAAAAGTGAATAAATAAATAAATAATTTACTTTCTGTAAATTAAATAGATGATATTGTAAATAATGTAAAGGGCTATTTTTATGAGATAGTGAATGCAAAAGAACATTCCTACATTCCTAAACCACTCAGGTGAAAAATCAATATAGTTTCCAAAATTACTGTTGCTTTAACTATTCTCTCCATTTAAAGAGAATTTATTTACAACGTAGTACATTCCAATCTAATTAAAAAAATGTTTAATTAAAATAATTTGCTTAAATTAATCTTACGTTTGTTCCTATTTTAAATAAAGATAATAGCTAAAAAAGAGAAATATCTTTAGATATTCTATCTGATACTTTATAACTTTTGACACACAACTTAATTAATTTAGTTGATAACACGCATGATATATTGACTATCAGCATTATTAAGAAAGGATATAATTTTTTTAATTATGTCGCCTTGTAAATTTGTAAACAGGTTTCATTATTTGAAAACTCATTGTTTGAACAAAAACAATACACTTAATTTGGATCTAGAGGTTACTAAAGTAGTACACTTTCATTATCTGACCTGTGTCCAAAGCAATTTAAAGTAGGAGAAAAAATATTGAATATTTGCCTTAAAACATCTCCATACTTTATTAGTAAAATTGCTATTTATAATTCAATATATTAGTAAAATTAATCCTTAAAGAATCAATCTTACTTATTAAGCTCAAAATAAGAGGTATCAAGAGAGTAACTATTAAGCATAATGTTGACATAAGTTATCCAACAAAGAGATTTTACCAAATTAATACATCTGGACTTGCAGATTTGAGTATGAACAAAACATTCTACTTCAAGTGAAATTTTGAAAATTAAAATTTTTTTGAGCAGCATTATATAAAAAGATATAGAAATTATTTTAAGTAATACCCAACCATGGTTTCTTACATAATAAAAATTGCTCTATCTCGCTAATGCTTTGCCTCAAATGTTACAAAAGCTTTAGATGAATGTGAATATTTATTAAATTCGATTTTACTAATTTATTCTTTAAGTTTCTCGATATTTGATTTCTTTTTAATAATATCCATTAAGTCATTATAGCATTCTTTCTTTGTTTTAGGATTGTTAACAAAATCAAATATTTTTCTTAGCTAATCTATTTATATTTTATAGATTCCATTTCCTAATCCCAACTTATCAGGATCATATTTGTTTATAAATCTAATCACTTTATTTTTCATACTTTCTTAATACTTTTTAAGAACTAAGTCTCTTTAAATAAAACATTCAGGAAGAGCCATTTTGACATCAATTATTTTAATTTCTTTTTATGAGTTTTCTTAAGTGTATTCGTTCAAAGTCTATTGATTTATGTAGTTTATATTTAATTAATTTCTTGTCAATTTGTGTAATATTTTGTGACTTTCAATTTACGCAATAAATTTTGATCAAAATTAATTTTAAGTAAAATTTTTCTAATTGAAATTTTAGAAGTGTAAGTAAGCTGACTTAAAACTAATTAAGATAATTTTAATTCATTGAATAAGAAAATTAATTTCAAATTACTCTTTAGAGATGCAACCAAAGTAGTTCTTGAGTCCAATTAAAGTGCATCTTAGGTATGCTTTAAATTTCTAGTGTATACTTTTAAACCAGTGTAATTTTCTTTTTTATTCTATTCTTAATCCTCTTATTGATAAACAACTGGCTGTTATTTAATAATATTTAAATTTTTGAAACTATAATTAATTAATTAATACTGAATGAAGAATAACAAACAAAGTATTATTCCAAAAGTCTATAAAAGAATAACAGCAACAGATGCTTGATAGTTAGATGTAGGGATACCAAAAATATCCACATTTTAATTTCTACAAGGAGCAGAAATGAACATATTTTACTGTTTAAGATTATTCACACAACTATCATTAAGATCAAACATATTTAAAACCTCAATTGAGCTTATTTAGCAAGCATTTTTATTTTAGCATCTACTGTAAATGTTTTTAAATGTTGTTTAAGTATTTATATCACTTTTCAAGCAGTCAACTTCAACTTTTTCTAATTATATGAACTCACAACCGTAAAAGCTTGAAGTATCTTAAGGACTTGCTATAATAAATAATATTTATTGGTAAATTAAGAAATATATTTCCGAATTAAAATACATACTTAATCCTATTTGAGCAAATTAAAAGTCTAAAACTCCTTGTGAGCATTTTAAATCTATTGTCTAATCTAATGATTTATTCACAATCAGCATGTCACATTGCCAAAATTCTTAATAATTTTTATAGATGAAAAGCTTAAAGTTAACAATTATATACTAATTTAATAGTTTTACTGTAGCCAATACCTGCTATTGTAGGGTAAAGTAAGAACACTTAGAAGTCATTTATGTATTCGTATTTTTAGTCTTTACTAACTTTAATTTTTGGAAAAGTATTTTTGAGATTAAATATTTTTGAAAAATTTAAAGTAAATAAAATTACTTTTTGCACAAATATAAAATGAAGGTAAACCCAAGATAAATAATATAAAAAATAAGCACAAGAAGCTTTTGATTTGATTGAGATACAATAGACTTGAAAGTGAAAGCTAATCTGTATCGTTATTTTTTGATCTCCAGCAAAAAAAGTTAGTTTCTATTTTAGCTGAGCAAATCGATTCTAAAAGTCTATACCTTCTTTATTTATTTAACTTTGGGTCGTTTTTTAAGTAATGCTTCTATTTAATCTATTTATTACATTCATTTAAGTCAACTTTCAATTGCTACTAAGATAAATCTACATCTAGCTATAAAAATAATTAGGTTCTAATCAGCTAAATTCTAAAAATCATACATCTAATTACTAAAATGCTTCTCCCTAGTAAGTCATACTTCTCAGTTTAAATTGGTCAAGGGATTAAACTCTTTATATCTCATGAAGTATATCCCTGTGTGTTTACAAACTTTTAGAAGTTAAATTTACATGTAAATAAAAATAATTAATTATTTACTTCTCCTTCTCAGGTTATAGCTAAAAATTCAAATCATTTCCATATTATATTGCACCTTTTAGAGTATCATTTTCTTAAAGATTTCTGCTTTGAGATTTACACTTTTCTTCCTCTAAATGTATTTCAATCTTATCAGATTCCTGTACAGTAAATTACTTGTGCGTATTCCCTATTTATTTAAAGTAAATATATGTGTTGTATGCTAATAAAAATAATAATGAGAGAATACTTATTTCAGAATAGCATGACTCTTAATCTTCTTCATCTATACATTTTTGTCTTAGTTTAACTAAAATAGCCATTCACTGACTGTATTCACTTTGACTTTTAATTAATTAATTAAATATCTATTTATTAATTGAATTATTAGTTAATTAATTAATCAATTAATATATTCTTAAATAAAATATATACTTTATTTAATTTCGAAATACATTATTAAATAATCAGGTAGGTATATTTATTTCCTTGCAATATTCTAGCTAATTCGATATCATTAGTATTCATTAAAATATAATTTACTGCTATCTGATTTTTAAAGTAATTCTTCACTAATTTCATTTATATTATTGTCATATGAACTATGATAAAATATTCCACAATTTATTTCTATATTTATCTATTTTAAAAACACAAACAAATCTATTTTGCATACAGATACATTTAAATAATTTTTATTCTAATTATTATATATGGATTTTCAATAATAACTAATTACTATTCTTTTTATATTTCAATTTTTTTAATAATTTATTTAGGAAGCTTTTCTATAAATATGCAATTTTTTATAAATTATTTGAAAAAAATATGATAAAGAAACTAATAAAATAATAAATATCAAATTTAATACTGTGGTTTCTCAAAACCTATAACTTACTTTTAATCATCAAAAATTTACTATATTTGAAATTAAAAATGAAGATTTAAAAAATTACTGAAGATGAGATAAGTGGTTACAATAGATAGATAAATAAATAAATATTAAATTCAAAATCATTTTACTTTTTATACAAAATTCTCATTTATTTTCATATATATTTGTTTCCTCGCTGCTGCTTTGATTTTTCTGCTTTAATAGGTTTAGATACTTTATAAATTAATATTATGCGTACTAAAATTATGGACCTTTATTTTGTGGAATTTTTTCATTTATAATATGTGAATTTGCTATAAAGGTTGATAAAAAAATTAAAAAATAGAAAGTGTAAAATTAGCTTAAAATCATAAAAATTAAATGAAATATCACCATCTGTATGTATGTACCTACATAGTTCGTGATATTATAATTACAGGATTAGCAATATTAATGAAGATATTTGTAGTTAATTTGTGAAAGATATTAATATATTTATAATTTTTTATTAAATAAAATCAATTAAGTTTATTTAAATTTATCTAATTAATATTAAGCAAACTCATATTTTTAATAGTATTTTAATCGAATTATAGGACAGTATGGTGATGATCAATTTTTTTTATACTTTTAAACAGATTTTCATAAGACAAAATTTCATTATCAATAATTTCATTTTGGATGTCTTTAATAGCTTAAATTGTTAAGTCATCTTCATTATAATTTTTAACTTGATTCTATTATTTTTCTTATTACTATGTTTCATTTTATTACTTTTCATCTTCACTTTTACTTACTAAGTATATTCTATTTTAATTATTTTCTGTTTAATTGGTTATTTCACTTTTTTTAGAGTCTTTAAAAGATTAAAATCTATTATTTATTTGTCTTTTTAATTACTAAATAATTTTACAAGCACTTTAATTATTTTAGACTACTTAAATTTATTTTTTTACAGCAACACTTTGAGTTAATTAACTACAAATTTCTTCTTTCCTTGCTTTATTCACTTTAAAAATAATCAAGTCAGTTTTCCAATCGAAATACCTGCTATAATTTTGATTCAACTAATTTATTAATTTAATTTAATTTATAAAAATAAAATTTATAATAAAATTAAATTACCATAATATCATAGTTTAAACATCCACTCACAGGTTTTTCTGAATAATCTAAATCTAAGTTTTCACCAAGTTTAATTTCTTTTACTAAATCAATTTCTTTTTTCTTATCTATAAATCTTTACTTTCTAATATCAGAAACCTCTTTTTCAATATAATATTCTTAAAGTAATGAAAGTTCTTGTAACTATCTTATTGAATAAACTAAAATAAAATTAAATTATTTAAATAGCCTGATGATTAATTGATTTAGTTACATTAATAGAGAGGTTTATAATTAAAAGGTAGTTTTTTTATTTGAGAGTCATCATTAGATTTAGCCTTTCGTTTAGCATCATATTTGCTAATGTAGCTTAGGTATTGAAAGAAAGTTTTTATTTTTTCTCTAAAATAAAAGCAAAAAAATAAAATTGTATAAGTGTAGGTGCTTATTTTTATAAAATATGAGCCTTATGATTAGAAGCCTTAATCGTTAAAAACAGGAATCTGATTAGTTTAATCTTATGATTTAAATTAAGAGTTATCCAAATCAGTATTTTCTAAATATATCTCATAAAATATTCTTTTATTGAGATACGTCAAAGTTAAAAATAGAAGGCCAGTTAAAATAGCATAAAATTAAAACACCATAAAATTTTCAGATATTTAACTGTTGTATTAATATGATTCTTTCCTGCAATGCCTAAATACTAATATTAAATTATTTTTATAATTAATTATAACTCAAAAAAAGAATTTACTGTAATATTTTTCAAAGCCTATGTGAAACACCAAGAACAGAAATGTAATGAAATAGAAAAATGGCATTCCAAATCCTAAAATCATTGATACAAATATATATTCGAAAACTTCAGAGTAAGAACAAGCAATTTAAAATTCAGGTCCTTAATGCAGGTGTATATAATCAAAATTTGTTTTTTAATATGTTTGAGCTTTTTTCTTTTAGCACTTATGATCTATCAGCAATCTAATCCTATTTATTTTTCAAAATAAAAAGAAAGAAATTAATTTATTAATTATTAAAATTTAAAGCAAAAAATAATTAATAATTTTTAAAATAAATAAATAAAAATGTTTTAGAATTTAAAAAATTAGATAAAAAACCTACTTTCGATAGATTAATGAGGTCATATTTTAAATAATATAAAGGGATATTCTGATAAGATAGTGGATACAAAAGAACATTCCTACATTCCTGTACCATTCAGGTGAAAAATCTACATAATTGCCAAAACCATTTTTATCTTAATTATTATTTTTATTTGCTGGTAATTTATTTACAAAGTAATATATTCCCAACTATTTATAAAATAAAAAAACTTTTTAAATATTAATTAATAATTTGCTTAAATTTTACATTTGTTAGTATTTTAATAAAAACTAATAACTAAAACAGGACATTATCTTTATTAATTTTATTCTATAGATTTGATTTTTTGACACACAATTTTACTAATTTGACCACTAAAATGTGCGCTATATTGACTATCAATATTATAAAAAAAGGATATAACTTTTTTAATTAAGTCACTTAGTATATTTAGAAACAGTTTTAATCATCTGAAAATGCATTGTTTGAACAAAAACAATACACCTAGTTTAGATCTAAAGGCTATTAAAATAATACATTTTAATTAGCAGACCTGTATTAATAGCAATTTATTGTTGGAGAAATCATTTTAAAAAATATTCTAAGATTATCCGCATATCTTATTATTATAACAGCTATTTATTTATGATAGAATATATAATTGTTAAATAATTTTCTTTGAATTAAAAAATATTACCAAATAAGAGGAAAATAAATGGTACCAAGAAATAAACAAATAAACGTAATAATTAAGTGAATAATCCAACAAAAAGGTTTTTCCAAATTAATACATCCGGACTTACAGGTTTGCTTATTATCAAGACATTCTATTTCAAATGAAATTTAGAAAATTAAAACTTTTTTGAGCAGCATTATATGAAAAAATATAGAAACGACTTTAAGACATATCCCACCATTGTTTCTTGTATTATAAAAAATGCTCTATCGCGCTAGTTCTTAGTTTCAAATGTTACGAAAGCTTTTGATGGATGTGAATATTTATCAAATTCTATTTTACTAATTTATTCTTTAAGTTTCTCAATTTTTTATTTTTTATCAATGATATCCATTAAATCTTTATAACATTTTTTCTTTGTTTTAGGATTGCTAATAATATCAAATATTTTTCTCAATAAATCTATCTATATTTTATTGATTCCTTACCCTAATTTCAAGCTATCAGGATCGTATTCATTTATGAATCTAATAACTTTATTTTCTATCCTCTCTGTGTATTTTTTAAGAATTAAGTCTCTTTAAATTAAGCATTCAGGAAGAGCCATTTAGATGTCTATTATTTTAATTTCTTTTTCTTATTTTTTTTATGTATATTCATTCAAACCCTATTTTTTTAATATTTTTAATTCATTTTTTCTAATTGAGTATTGTCAATTTCTATTTAAGACAGACAATAAATTTTGATAAAAAATTAATTATATGTATAATTTTTCTTAAATTACTCTCTATAGATGCAACCAGAGTAGTTCTTGAGTCCAATTAAAGTGCATCTTAGGTATATTTTAGATTTCTAGAGTAAACTTTTAAACCATTGTAATTTTCTTTTTGATTCTATTCTTAATCCTCTTATTGATAAACAACTGGCTGTTATTTAATAATAATTCGAAATTTTAGAGTAGAATTGAATAAATAGTAAATACTGAATGAAGAAGAGCAAACATAGTATTATTCCAAAAGTCTGTAAAAGAATAACTGCAACAGATGCTTAATAGTTAGATGTAGGAATACCAAAAATATCCACATTTTAATTTCTACAAGGAACAGAGATGAACATATTTTGTTATTAAATATTGTTATCACATTATGCATCAACTTTAAAGAAGGTTAAAATCTCATCCGAGTTTATCTAGCAAATGTTTTTATACTAGCATCTACTATAAATATTTTTAAATGATGTTTAATTATTTACATCACTTTTCAAGCAGTCAACTTAAACTTTTTACAATTCGATAAATTCACAACCATAAATACTCTAAGTATCTTATGGAATTGCTTTTATAATATTTATTTATTTGTAAATATGAAATATATTTCAGAAATAGAATACATACTTAATCCTATTTGAACATATTAAAAGTCTAAAACTCCTTAAGAGCATTTTAAATCTATTGTCTAATCTAATGTTTTATTCATGATAAACATATCACATTACCAAAACTCTTTTTATTTTATATCAAAAGTAGAAGTTAAAAATTTTATAAAAAACTATCAGTTTTACTGTAACCAATACCAGCTATTGTTGGATAAAGAAAGGGCGATTAGAAATCATTAATATATTCATAATTTAGATCTTTACTAACTTTAGTTATTAGAAAATTATTTTTGAGAATAAATAATTTAAAAAATTTTCCAATAAAATAAATTAATTACTTTTTGCACAAATATAAAATGAAGGTAAACTCAAAATAAAAAGTAGAAAAAATAAGCATAAGAAGCTTTTGATTTGATTAAGATACAATAGACTTGAAAGTGAAAGCTAATCAGTATCGTTATTTTTTGATCTCCAGCAAAAAAAATTAGTTTCTATTTTAGTTGAACATATGGATTCTAAAAGTCTATATCTTCTTTATTTATTTAACTTTAGGTCGCTCTTTAAGTAGTGCTTCTATTTAATCTATTTATTACATTCTTTTATATCAACTTTCAATTGCTACTATGATAAATGTATATCTATCTTTAAAAATAATTTAGCTCCAATTTGCTAACTTCTAAAAATCATACATCTAATTACTAAAATGCATCTCCTTAGTCATTAATGTTTTTCAGCTTATCTTGATATAGTGATTAAGCTCTATGTATCCCATTAAGTATATCTCTTTAATTTTGCAGACTTTTTAAAAGTTAATTTTACTTTAAAATGTAAATGATTTACTATTTACTTCTCCTTTTCAGGTTATAGCTAAAAATTCAAACAATTTTCTTATTTTATATTGCTACTGAGACTAACATTTTATTAGTGATTTATGCCATTAGACTTAAATTATTAACTCTCTAAATGTATTTCAATCTAATCAGATTCCTATATAATCAATTACTTGTGCTTATTACCTATTTGTTAAAATAAAATGTTTTGTATGATAAGTTACTTAATAAAATACTTACTTAATTCAGAACAGCATGATACTTAATCTTCTACATCTATACATTTTGGCTTTAACTTAACAAAAAAAGCCATTAATTATCTCTTACTTTTTAACTATTTGTTATTTAATTAATCAATTAATTACTTCTTAAATAATATCCTTTATTTATTTATTTTAGAAAAAAAAAAATTAAAAAACAATGAGGCATACTTCCTTGTATTATTTTAGCAAAAATAGTATTTATTAAAAAGTTAATTACTTCTATCTGATTTTTTATGTAATTTACCATTAAATTAATTTATAATATTGTTTGTTTTTGTAAGTTTGATAAAATATTCCACAATCAATTTTGTAGTATTTATTATTTGTTATATTAAATTTATTTTAATTTTTAAGTGGAAATAAATAAATAAACTATACAAAATGATACATTTAAATAATTTCTGTTTTGTAGTCTTTACTAATTGTTATTTATTTCATTTTAGAAATGAAAAAATATAAAGAGAAAGTAAACAATTATTTATCGTAGTTCCTTAAAAACTGTAACTATCAAACTAGAAATGAGTTAAAAGTTGCAAAAAAAAATTTAGTTTAATTTTTTTACACATAACAAATCTTGAGCTTAGAAAGTTTGGAGAGATTTGATTTATTTTGGATTTTAATTAATTAAATTCAATTTTTTACAACAATAGAATAATTTTAAAACTGTTGAGTAAGTTTTAAATAAATTGTTTGTTCTTTTTTTATACAAATTAATTTAAAATTTTAAAAATCTATTAAAATCTAATTGGGTTAATTTATTTTTTTGACACAAGAAATTAATTATTATTAAATTGCATTTTTATTTTGTGTTTAATGATAAAAATGATTTTAAATAATTAGAATTTACATATAAAATAATTTTATATTGTAGAACTATATTATTACAGGATTTGCTAATCCACCAAAAGGAGTAAAATTATTAAAGTTTGTTTGATTATCCCATCTACATTAGCAATCAAGTATTAGAAGAAGCTTTATAAGCTTTAATTTTCTAGGCAAGATAATTATAATATTATCTAGCAATAGAATATGTTTCAATAACTATAAAATCGTAGCCTGCTAAATTTATACATCCAAAGCAATTAACTTCACGTTTGTTTTATATATTGATAAGTAATATATATTATATATTTTTTATTTAGTAAGCAATAATTTTAATTAAAATATATTAATAAAGAGTTTATTTAAAACTTGATGTAAATTATTTTTAATAATTTTAACAAAATTAATTCTTACATTTTATACTTATTTACAAAATTGATTGTTTATAATTTTAATAAATCAGAGATAAATTTTAATTTGCTTTACTCACATAAAAGATTTTGTTATAGTGATTACTATAATTATTGAGAATTTAAAAATAAATAAGAAAATTATATTTATTAATTTATTTATCTGGATAGTAAAGTTTTATTTTTTTAAGTAAATTTGAAAAATTTATTAATTAAGATATTTATTTATAATTTTCATTTTTTACAATCAATTAGGTTTATTTACATTTAATTCATTAGCCTAAAGCAAAGTCAAATTTTTTTAAAAAAATTAATAGAATTATGGGACAGTATTGTGATGATCGATTCTTTTTATACTATTAACTAGATCTTCTGAAGATAATATTTAAATATCAATTATTTCATTTTGGATATCTTTAATACCTTAAAATGTTAAATCCCCATTATGATTTTTAATCTAATTCTATTATTTTTCTTATTATTGCTTATCATTTTCACTCTTACTAACTAATTTTATTTGATTTAAATTATCTTCTGTATAATTGGTTGTTTCATTTTTTTTAGAATCTTTAAAAGATTAATATCTACTATTTATTTGTCTTTTGAATTACTAAATAACTCGAAAAGCGCTCTATTTATTCTAGACTCCTTAAATTTATTTTTTTACTGCAACACTTTGAGTTAATTTACTACATATTTCTTCTTTTTTTACTTTATTCATTTTAAAAATAATCAAGTCAGTTTTCCAATCGAAATACCTGCTATAATTTGGGTTGACCTAAGTTAATCATTAAAATTATAAAATAAAATTTATATTATAATTAAATTACCATAATATCATAACTTAAACATCCACTCACAGGTTTTTCTGAATAATCTAAATCTAAGTTTTCATCAAGTTTGCTTTTTATTACTTAGTCAATTTCTTTTTTCTTATTTATAAATCTTTATTTTCTTATATCAGAAACCTCTTTTTCAATATAATATTCTTAAAGTTATGAAAGCTCTTGCAACTATCTTATTGAATAAACTAAAATAAAATAAAATTATTGAAATAGCATGATGATTTATTGATTAATTTAGTTACGTTGATAGAGAGGTTTATAGTTAAAAGGTAATTTTTTTATTTAAGAGTCATTATTGAAAGCCTTACGCTTAGCATCATATTTGCTAATGTAGCTTAGGTATTAATACATACTTATAATTTTTTCTCTAAAATAAAAGCATAGAAATAAAATTAAATAAGTGTAAGTGCTTATTTTTATAAAATATGAGCCTTCTGGTTAGAAGTTCTAAGGGTTAAAAATAGGAATTGCATTATCTTAATCTTATTAGTCATTAACTTAAGAGTTATTAGCATCAGTATTTTCTAAATATATCTCATAAAATATTCTTTTATTGAGAAATGTCAAAGATAAAAATAGAAGGCTAGCTAAAATAGCATAAAATTAATACACCATGAAATTTTAAGAGATTTAACTATTGTACTAATATGATTCTTTCCTACAATGCCTAAATACTAATATTAAAAGGTTTTTATAATTAATTATAACTCAAAAAAATGTACTGTAATATTTTTCAAAGTATATGTGAAACACCAAGAAAAGAAATGTAATGAAATAGAAAAACGGTATTCCAAATCCTAATACCATTGTAACGAATATATATTCGAAAACTTCAGAGTAAGAGCAAGCAATTTAAAATTCAGGTCCTTAATGGAGGTGTATATAATCAAAATTTGTTTTTTAATAAGTCTGAGCTTTTTTCTTTTTGCACTTATGATCTATGTGCAATCTAATCCTATTTTTCAAAATAAAAACAATGAATTATTGATGATATTTAAAATAAATAAAAAGATTTTACAATTAAAAATAAATAAATTACTTTCTATAAATTATTTAGGTAATGTTTTAAATAATATAAAGACATATTTTTATAAGATAGTGAATACAAAAGAACATTCCAACATTCCTGTACCACTCAGGTGAAAAATCTACATAATTACCAAAACTATTATTTTAAGTTTTACCTTAGTTTAATGGTAATTTATTTATCAAGTAATACAATACTACCTATTTAAAAAAACTATTAAATTAAAATAATTTGCTTAAATTTTACATTATTTAGTATTTTGATAAAAACTAATAACTAAAACAGCAGAACATCTTTTTCAATTTTATTCTATAGCTTTAATTTTTTGACACAATATTTAGTTAATTTGACTAATAAGACCTGCGCTATGTTTAATATAAGCATTATAAAAAAAGGATATAACTTTTTCAATTAAGCCATTTAGAAAATTTATAAACAAATTTATTCATCTGAAAATGCATTGGTTGAACAAAAACAATACACTTAGTCTAAATCTTAAGGATCTTAAGATAATACACTTTAATTAACTGATCTGTATTCATAGCAATTTACTGTTGGAGAAATCATATTAAACACTTTTCTAAGATTATCTCCTTATTTGATTATTAAAATCACTATTTATATTTTAACAATATATTTATGAAATTAATTTTTGTTGTATCAATTAATATTACTGAATATGATGAAAATTAATAGTACCAAGGTATATATTAGGGAATGTAATGATTAACTGATTATTCCAACAAAGAGGTTTTTCCAAATTAATACATCTGGACTTACAGGTTTAACTATTATCAAGACATTCTATTTCAAATGAAATTTAGAAAATTAAAACTTTTTGGAGCAGCATTATATAAAAAAATATAGAAATTATTTTATATATGCTCCAACCATTGTTTCTTATATTATAAAAAATGCTCTATCGCGCTAGTTCTTAGTTTCAAATGTTACAAAAGCTTTTGATGGATGTGAATATTTATCAAATTCTATTTTACTAATTTGTTCTTTAAGTTTCTCAATTTTTTATTTGCTATTCACAATATCCATTAAATCTTTATAACATTTTTTCTTAGTTTTAGGATTGCTAACAAAATCAAATATTTTTCTCAGCTAATCTATTTATATTCTATTGATTCCTTACCCTAATTTGAAGCTATCTGGATCATATTAGTTTATGAATCTAATAACTTTATTTTATATTTTTTCTATTTATTATTTAAGAATTAAGTCTCTTTAAATTAAGCATTCAGGAAGAGCCATTTAGATGTCTATTATTTTAATTTCTTGCTCTTATTTTTATTAAGTATATTCATTCAAACCCTATTATGTTAATATTTTTAATTCGTTTATTAATAATTTTGTAATTAAAATATTATCAATTTTTATTAAAGAAAATAAATAAATTTTGATAAAAATTAATTTTTTGTAAAATATTTCTTAAATTACTCTTTATAAATGCAACCAGAGTAGTTCTTGAGTCCAATTAAAATGCATTTTAGGAATATTTTAAACTTCTAGAGAATGCTTTTAAACCAATGCAATTTTATTTTTTATTCTTTTCCTAATCGTCTTATTGATAAAACACTGACTGTTATTTAATAATATTTAGATATAATAATAAAATAAATAATTAATACTGTAAGAAGAATAACAAAAAAAGTATTATTCCAAAAGTCTGTAATAGAATAATTGTAATTGATGCGTGGTAATTAGATATTGGAATTCCAAAAATATCCACATTTTAATTTCTACAAGGAACAGAGATAAACATATTTTGTTATTAAATATTATTATCGCAATCTGTATCATCTTTAAAGAAGGTTAAAATCTCAATCGAGCTTATCTAGCAAGCATTTTTATACTAGCATCTATTATAAATGTTATTATAGGATGTTGAATTATTTATATCAATTTTCAAGCAGTCTACTTAAACTTTTTACAATTCGATAAATTCACAACCTTAAATACTCTAGGTGTCATCAGGATTTGCTTTAATAATAAATAGTTATATGTAAATATCGAATTTATTTCAGAAATAGAATACATACTTAATCCTATTTGAGCAAACTTAAAATCTAAAATACCTTAAGAGCACTTTAAATCAATTGTCTAATCTGATGTTTTATTAGCAATAAACATGTCACATTACCAAAATTCTTTTTATTTTTTATGAACAATAAAAGTTAAAAATTTTATAAAAACTTAATAGCTTTACTGTAACCGATACCTGCTATTGTTGGGTAAAGAAAGAACGATTAGAAATCATTAATATATTCATAATGTAGGTCTTTACTAACTTTAATTATCAGAAAATTATTTTTGAGAATCAGTAATTTTAACAATTTTCAAATAAAATAAATTACTTTTTGCACAAATATAAAATGTTGGTAAACTCAAAATAAAAAGTATAAAAAATAAGCATAGTAAGCTTTTTATTTGGTTGAGATACAATAGACTTTAAAGTGAAAGCTAATCAGTATCGTTATTTTTTGATCTCCAGCAAAAGAAATTAGTTTCTATTTTAGCTGAACAAATAGACTCTAAAAGTCTATATCTTCTTTATTTATTTAACTTTGGGTCGTTCTTTAAGTAGTAATTATATTTGATCTATTTATTACATTCTTATATATCAACCTTCAATTGCTACTAAGATAAATCAATATCTAGCTTTAAAAATAAATTTGTTCTAATTTGCTAAATTCTAAAAATCATACATCTAATTACTCAGACACATCCCCCTAGTCATTAATGTTTTTCAGCTTATCTTGATATTAATGTGATTAAACTCTATGTATCCCATTAATCACCTCTCCTTAATTTTGCAAGCTTTTTAAAAGTTAATATTTCTTTAAAATATTAATTTTCTACTAATTAATTACTTCTCCTTTTCAGATTGAATCTAAGAGTTCAAATAGTTTTCTTATTTTATGCTGCCTTTGAAAGTATCATTTTATTGCTGATTTATGCCATTAGACTTTAATGATTTACTCTCTAATTGTATGTCAATCTAATCAGAATCCTATATAGTTAATTACTTGTGCGTATTTCCTATTTGTTTAAAATAAATGTATTACATTGTATGATAAGAAAATTAATTCATCATATACTTAATTCAGAACAGCATGAATCTTAATCTTCTAAATCAATACATTTTTGTTTTAACTTAACTAAAAGAGCCATTAATTAATTATCTCTTATTTTTTAGTAATTTATTATTTAATTAGTTAATTAATCAATCAATTAATCATTCTTAACTAATGTCCTTAATTTAATTTAGAAAAAAAAGTAAAAAAACAATAAAGTTTAATTCTTTGTTTTATTTTAGCAAAAAAGATAATATTTAATAAAAAGTAAATTACTTCTATTTAATTCTTAAAGTAATTTACCATTTAATTCATTTGTATAAAGTTATTTGTAAGTATGATTAAATATTCCACAATTTTGTTGTATTATTTATTTTTTTTACATTAAATTTATTTTAATTTTTAAAAGCAAATAGATAAATTTTACAAAAAGATATTTTTAAATAATTTTCCATTTGATTTGGAAAAATTAAATTATTACTTTTGATTTCATATTAGAATTTTATTTTTTATTTATTCAATCATTTTTAGTTTAGCCTATATTTATAAATATTACATTTTACAAAATTATTTGACAAAAATATAAAAGAGAAACTAAAAATAAAATAAAAAATTACTTACTGTAGAACCTCATATACTTACTGTAACCTACAAACTAAAAATAGTTAAAAGTTACAAAATTAAAATAATTTCTTAATAAAATCAAGCTTATTTGAAAATTCACAAACTAATCTAAGAATAAGAGGTATAAGAGAATATCTGTTCTATATCTATTAATATCCCTGAATTTTAAATGCTCAGCTTAATCTAATAATTAATGAGAATTTAAAATTTTTCTAAAATAGTAAAATCTTTTATAGAAGAAATTAATTATTTATTTATTTTATTATAGTTTTTATTGTACTTTAATTTAGCTATAAAATAACTTTTTTAATGGAGATATAAATATTAAAAATGTTAAATAACATATTTAGGAATAATATCTCTAATAATTGGTAAAATCATAAAATACCTTCGACATCATTATCATAGCAAGCAATTAAATGGTATGTTAAATTAATTTATAAATTGAAAAAGTTAGGATTTATGAAAGAGAAATAAAATTAAAGAAATAACATTAATATTCGTTAATACTAAGAAAACCAGAATGATTTTAAAAAATTTAAGAATACTTGCTGAACAGAAAAAAGAATAAACTCGTTTGATATATAATATTTTCTTCCAAATAAAGGATAGATATTAGAAAATTATTACTAATTAAAATAACACAAACTAGGTAAAATATTCCTTATTAATTAATAAATTAATTTGTCTCTTTAAAGATAGTAGGCATAATTTTAAGATTGATAATTTTGATTTATTAAAAGTAGAAACCATATTCAATGAATCAAAATAAAAAAAAGAAATTATTTATCCTAGCAGATCATTCAATAAAAAGAAGAATATTATGAAATGAGAAACCCTACATATGATTTATGAAAAATCATAAAAAATTCAAAATTGAATTAAAGGAATGAAAAACTACATAAAAAAAAACAAATAATAGTTTTTTAGAATTTATTTTAGTTTGTTTTATATATTGATAAGTATGAAATAATATATTTTATATATTTATTTATCTTGTAAGCAGTCAATTAAATTTAAATATATAAATAAAGAGTTTTTTGAAAACTAAATACAAATTATTTTTAACAATTTTAACAAAATTAATTCTTACATTTTATTCTTATTTACATTGATTATCATTTAAAAAAATTAGAGATAAAATTTAATTTACTTTACTCACACAAAAGATTTTGTTATGGTGATTATTAAAATTATCTGAGAATTTAAAAATAAATTAGAAAATTATATTTATTAATGTATTTATCAGGATAGTAAAGTTATTATATTTTTTTGTAGTAAAATTGAAAAAGTTATTAATTAAGATATTTATTTATAATTTTCATTTTGTATAATCAATTAGGTTTATTTACATTTAATTCATTAGCCTAAAGCAAAGTCATATTTTTTTAAAAAGTTTAATAGAATTATGGAACAGTATGGTGATGATCGATTCTTTTTATACTATTAACTAGATCTTCTTGAGATAAAATTTAAATATCAATTATTTCATTTTGGATATCTTTAATACCTTAAAATGTTAAATCGCCACTATAATTATTAATCTAACTCTATTATTTTTCTTATTATTATATTTCATTTTATTAATTTTCATCTTCACTTTTACTAACTAATTTTATTCGATTTAAATTATCTTCTGTGTAATTGGTTGTTTCATTTTTTTTAGAATCTTTAAAAGATTAATATCTACTATTTATTTGTCTTTTGAATTACTAAATAACACTAAAATCGTTCTATTTATTTTAGACTACTTAAATTTATTTTTTTACAGCACCACTTTGAGTTAATTTACTACATATTTCTTCTTTTTTTGCTTTATTCATTTTAAAAATAATCAATTCAGTTTTCCAATCGAAATACCTGCTATAATTTGGGTTGACCTAAGTTAATAATTAAATTTATAAAATAAAATAAAATTTATATTATAATTAAATTACCATAATATCATAACTTAAACATCCACTCACAGGTTTTTCGGAATAATCTAAATCTAAGCTTTCTTCAAGTTTGCTTTTTATTACTTAGTCAATTTCTTTTTTCTTATTTATAAATCTTTATTTTCTTATATCAGAAACCTCTTTTTCAATATAATATTCTTAAAGTTATGAAAGCTCTTGCAACTATCTTATTGAATAAACTAAAATAAAATAAAATTATTGAAATAGCATGATGATTTATTGATTAATTTAGTTACGTTGATAGAGAGGTTTATAGTTAAAAGGTAATTTTTTTATTTGAGAGTCATTATTGAAAGCCTTGCGCTTAGCATCATATTTGCTAATGTAGCTTAGGTATTCATACATACTTATAATTCTTTCTCTAAAATAAAAGCATAGAAATAAAATTATATAAGTGTATGTGCTTATTTATATAAAATATGAGCCTTCTGATTAGAGGCTCTAAGGGTTAAAAATAGGAATTGCATTATCTTAATCTTATTAGTCATTAACTTAAGAGTTATTAGCTTCAGTATTTTCTAAATATATCTCATAAAATATTCTTTTATTGAGAAATGTCAAAGATAAAAATAGAAGGCTAGCTAATATAGCATAAAATTAATACACCATGAAATTTTAAGAGATTTAACTGTTGTACTAATATGATTCTTTCCTGCAATGCCTAAATACTGATATTAAATGGTTTTTATATTAATAAACTCAATAAAAAATGTACTTTAATATTTTTCAAAGTATATGTGAAACACCAAGAAAAGAAATGTAATGAAATAGAAAAATGGTATTCCAAATCCTAATACCATTGTAACGAATATATATTCGAAAACTTCAGAGTAAGAGCAAGCAATTTAAAATTCAGGTCCTTAATGGAGGTGTATATAATCAAAATTTGTTTTTTAATAAGTCTGAGCTTTTTTCTTTTTGCACTTATGATCTATGTGCAATCTAATCCTATTTTACAAAATAATAAGAATGAAAGAAATAAATTATTTAAATTTAAAGCATAATATTATTGATGGTATTTAAAATAAATAAAAGCATTTAAAATTAAAAATAAATAAATTACTTTCGATAAATTATTTAGGTAATGTTTTAAATAAAATAAAAGGATATTTTTATAAGATAGTGAATGCAAAAGAACATTCCAACATTCCTGTACCACTCAGGTGAAAAATTTACATAATTACCATAACCGTTATTTTAAATTTTATCTTTCTATAAAGGAGTTTTATTTATAAAGTAATACAATGCTACCTATTTAAAAAAATCTATTAAATTAAAATAATTTGCTTAAATTTTACATTATTTAGAATTTTGATAAAAACTAATAACCAAAACAGAAGAACATCTTTTTCAATTTTATTTTATAGCTTGAATTTTTTGACACAGTATTTAATGTATTAGATCAATAAAATTTGCACTATATTGACTATCAGCATTATAATAAAAGGTAAATACTTTTTCAATTAAGTCACTTAATATATTTATAAACAATTTTCATCATCTGAAAATGCATTGTTTGAACAAAAACAATACACTTAGTTTAAATCTTAAGGATCTTAAAATAATACACTTTAATTAACTGATCTGTATTCATAGCAATTTATTGTTGGAGAAATCATATTAAACACTTTTTTAAGATTATCTCCATATCTGATTATAGAAAATGCTTTTTATATTTTAATAATATATTTATGAAATTAATCTTTGTTGTATCAATTAATATTACTGAATATGATGAAAATTAATAGTACCAAGAAATATATTAGGGAATGTAATAATGAAGTGATTATTCCAAAAAAGAGGTTTTTCCAAATTAATACATCTGGACTTACAGGTTTAACTATTATCAAGACATTCTATTTCAAATGAAATTTAGAAAATTAAAACTTTTTGGAGCAGAATTATATAAAAAAATATAGAAATTATTTTATATATGCTCCAACTATTGTTTCTTATATTATAAAAAATGCTCTATCGCGCTAGTTCTTAGTTTCAAATGTTACAAAAGCTTTCGATGGATGTGAATATTTATCTAATTCTATTTTATTAATTTGTTCTTTAAGTTTCTCAATTTTTTATTTGCTATTCACAATATCCATTAAATCTTTATAACATTTTTTCTTTGTTTTAGGATTGTTAACAAAATCAAATATTTTTCTCAACTAATCTATTTATATTCTATTGATTCCTTACCCTAATTTCAAGTTATCCATATCATATTAATTTATGAATCTAATAATTTTATTTTCTATTTTTTCTGTTTATTTTTTAAGAATTAAGTCTCTCTAAATTAAACATTCAGGAAGAACCATTTAGATGTCTATTATTTTAATTTATTATTCTTATTTTTATTAAGTGTATTCATTTAAACCCTTTTATTTTAATATTTTTAATTTGTTTCTTGATAATTGTGTATTAAATAAAATATTATCAATTTCTATTAAACGCAATAAATAAATTTTGAGTAAAAATTTTATTTAATTACTCTTTAGAGATGCAACCAGAGCAGTTCTTGAGTCCAATTAAAATGCATTTTAGGTATATTTTAAACTTCTAGAGTATACTTTTAAACTACTGTAATTTTATTTTTTGTTCTTTTCCTAATCCTCTTATTGATAAAGCACTGGCTGTTATTTAATAATATTTAGATATGACAATAAATTAAATAATTAATACTGAAAGAAGAATAGCAAATAAAGTATTATTCCAAATGTCTGTAGAAGAATAATTGTAACAGATGCATGATAATTAGATATAGGAATACCAAAAATATCAACATTTTAATTTCTACAAGGAACAGAGATGAACATATTTTGTTATTAAATATTATTATCGCAATCTGCATCATCTTTAAAGAAGGTTAAAATCTCATTCGAGCTTATCTAGCAAGCATTTTTATACTAGCATCTATTATAAATGTTATTATAGGATGTAGAATTATTTATATCACTTTTCAAACAATCTACTTAAACTTTTTACAATTCGATAAATTCACATCCTTAAATACTCTAGGTGTCATCAGGATTAGCTTTAATAATAAATATTTATTTGTAAATATCGAATATATTACAAAAATATAATACATACTTAATCCTATTTGAGCAAACTGTAAGTCTAAAATACCTTAAGAGCACTTTAAATCAATTGTCTAATCTGATGTTTTATTAGCAATAAACATGTCACATTACCAAAACTCTTTTTATTTAAATCAAAAGTAGAAGATAAATATTGTATAAGAATTTAATAGTTTTACTGTAACCGATACCTGCTATTGTTGGGTAAAGAAAGAACGATTAGAAATCATTAATATATTCATAATGTAGGTCTTTACTAACTTTAATTATAAGAAAATTATTTTTGAGAATCAGTAATTTTATCAATATTGAAATAAAATAAATTACTTTTTGCACAAATATAAAATGTTGGTAAACTCAAAATAAAAAGTATGAAAAATAAGCATAGTAAGTTTTTTATTTGGTTGAGATACAATAGACTTTAAAGTGAAAGCTAATCAGTATCGTTATTTTTTGATCTCCAGCAAAAGAAATTAGTTTCTATTTTAGCTGAACAAATAGACTCTAAAAGTTTATATCTTCTTTATTTATTTAACTTTGGGTCGCTCTTTAAGTAGTGCTTCTATTTAATCTATTTATTACATTCTTATATGTCAACCTTCAATTGCTACTTTGATAAGTCAATATCTAGCTTTAAAAATCATTTAATTCTAATTTGCTAAATTCTAAAAATCATACATCTAATTACTAAGACATATCTCCCTAGTCATTAATGTTTTTCTGATTATCTTGATATTAAAGTGATTAAACTCTATGCGTCCCATTAAGCATATCATTTTAATTTTGCATACTTTTTAAAAGTTAATATTTCTTTAAAATATAAATTTTCTATGAATTACTTCTCTTTTTCAGATTGAATCTAAGAGTTCAAATAACTTTCTTATTTTACCATTCCATTGAAAGTGTTATTTTATTGATGATTTATGCCATTAGAATTAAATGATTAACTATCTAATTGTATTTCAATCTAATCAGAATCCTATATAGTTAATTACTTGTGGGTATTTCCTATTTGTTTAAAATAAATGTTTTGCATTATATGATAAGAAAATTAATTCATCATATACTTAATTCAGAACAGCATGAATCTTAATCTTCTAAATCAATACATTTTTGTTTTAACTTAACTAAAATAGCCATTAATTAATTATCTCTTAATTTTTAGTTATTTATTATTTAATTAGTTAATCAATCAATTAATAAATCTAAAATAATGTCCTTAATTTAATTTAGGAACAAAAAATTAAAAAACAAGCAAGCAAGCGTACTTCTTTGTATTATTTTAGCAAAAAAGATAATATTTAATAAAAGTAAATTACTTCTATTTAATTTTTTAAAGTAATTTACCATTTAATTCATAAATATTAAGTTATTTGTAAGTATGATTAAATATTCCACTATTTTGTTGTATTATTTATTTTTTTTTATATTAAATTTATTTTAATTATTATATGCAAATAGATTAATTTTACAAAAAGATATTTTTAAATAATTTTCCATCTAATTTGGAAGGGTTACCCATTGCTATTGTTGAGCATATTATATAAATATTACATTTTTTATAAAATTATTTAGACAAAAATATAAAAGAGAAGCTAAAAATAAAGTAAAAAATTACTTATCGTAGAACCTTATACACTGTAAGTAAAAAACTAAAAATTAGTCAAAAGTTACAAAAATTTGAAAGTTTAATTTTTTTACACATAATGTAACCTTGAGTTTCACAAGTTTAATTTTGGATTTTAATTGAGTGATTTCAACTTTTTACCATAATAATGCTTAAAATATTAAGAGGTAGTTAGTTTAAAATTTCTTTTTTTTAATAATTAAATTTTAAATTACAAAAATTTATTATAATTAATTTAAAATTATTAATTTATAGTTAAAAAATAAAGTAATTAATTAATATTTTATAGATAGCTGCTATAATTAATAAAATCTTTCTATAAATATAAATTTTTATATTTTTATTTTCGAATTTCATATTTATTTTTAGATCATAGAACTTACTTATTATTTTGCATTTTTGTTTTGTGTTTAATTATAAAAACCGTTTTAAATAATTAGAATTTATATATAAAATAATTTTATTTATAATATTTATAATTGATATTTCATAACTTTAGGAAAGCCCTACTTGAAAAGTTACTAAAATAATTGTTTTATGTGTCTGGCCTCCAATCAACATCTGTGTTAGTGCAGCATATTTGTACATCATTGTAGAACTACTTCATTACAGGATTTGCGAATCCACCAAAAGGAGTAAAGTCATTAAAATTAGTTTGATTATCCCATCTAGGATACCAGAGCTGCAAATCTGAAAAAACAGTAGTATTGCACATAATAGGCCAATAGTGCTAGGAAGCATACAACCCAATTCTATCTTTACTAATGTAATTTTCAGTAGTATTTATCATAGCTTATAAGAATTCAATGTTTTGTGTGCAATTTGCAAAAAACAAATTTTCATTCTCAATATCAAGCCAAACATTATTAAATAATGACATAGTTTCATTAGCGATCAAGTATTAGAAGAAACTATTTATTTGTTCAGCAGGATCTCTAGTTGTGTCAGGGAAAATATACAGATCGACTTCTAAGGAAGCGTTATAAGCTGATTTAATATTCTAAGCAAGATAATTGTTAAATTATTTAGCAGATGAATATATTTCAATAACCACAAAATCGTAGCCAGATTACTTTGTACATCCAAAGCAATTTACTTCTCCTTCCCACACACTTATGTCATATCCAAGCTTAGCATTTACTACTAAAAGCAAAACGAAAATAAAAAATCCCTTTTACAAATAATTACTCATCAGCCTAATTTTTTGAATTTAATTATTACAAAATGAATATATTATTTAGATAAGAATCTCAATTAAGAGTAACTAACTAATCTCTTTAATTTAGATTTTATTTATTAAGGAAAACTCGAAAGCCAATTTATAAAATTCTGAAAGACTCTAAAAATAAATATATTTGTTTATTTGTTTTATATGCTTAAAAAAATTTGATCTTTTTATATGAAACCAAATAAATAAAAAAATAAACCCTTACAAATATTAACTTACTTTTATAAATTTCCAATTTGTTATTTCTAAATTATCTTAACCATAGATTCAATCGATTGAGTATCTTTGAAAAATTAATTAGTAACATAAAAACAATTTTGAATAATGAAATAGTTGACTTTATCAAATCAAAAAATAATAACTTTTAATGAATTTAAAAAAATAAATAAAACTATTTTAATTTTTTTACTTTCGATATTTATTAAAAAAAAAATAATATTTTACAATTAATTTATTTAAAATAATGAATGATTGTAAATATATCTATTTAAGCTATTAAATATATTCAAAATTAATTAATTTTGTTTTTTTGATTACTTTTTAAAATCGATTCTTTATAAATATTTATTATACTAGATTGCTTATGTGTTAGTTTACATTTTCTCTCTCTAATTAATAAAACTTGGCTTTTTATATTTTTTTTTCTTTCATGGGAAATAATAAATTAAAAAAAGCTAATATTATTTATTTTATTTTGAAAATCATTTTTAAAATATTCATATATAATATTAACGCACATATAAAAGATTTTGATTATTAAATAATTTACTGAATATGCGTATAAACAATTACTTTATAAAACATGAGAACTATTGAATATCAAATTTTTACAATCATTTAAAAATTAATTTAATTATTCTTAATTTGATTATGGTAATTATTTTATTAATAATAGTAATTAAAGATTTTTTTTTTGAAAGATAGATTAACACTATAATTTATTATATTTTAATTATTAATAATCTATACCACGATATTTGCTAACAAATTATTATTTGAAAATCAATTTTTAATTTTACACTCATTTAAAAATTAAATTTATTGAAGCTTAAAAATAAATTATTATTTACTTGCTTTCTTATTTTGATTGTGATATTTATTTGAAAAAATAAAAAAATAAAGATTTATTTTTTAAAGATTAGTGGTAATTATAATTTACTATTGGTTAATTTAATTATTATGGTATTTGTTAAAATAATAATTATTTTTATTCTTATTTCTTTGAATAGTAATCATATTTGTTCATTTGTTTAGATTTATCTCACATTTAATTAATTTACATTCGTATTTCTAACTTAATAGAACTATGGCAAAGTTTAATGATGATCGACTCTACTTGAATAAAGCTGTTCTTAAGATAAAATTTAATCTTCTAGAATTATATTCTAACTATCTTTGCTAATTTAAATTATCGAGTCGCTTTTAGCACTTTTTGCAATATTCATCTATTCTTATTTCTATTCGATTTAATTTTATTATTTCTAATCTTCAATTTTAAAAACAAATTTGATTTGATTTGAATTATCTTGTGTGTAAGTTGTTTCATTTTTCTTTAAATCTTTAAACGACTAATACCTGCTCTTTATTTGCTTTTTGTATTACTAAATAAGCTTACATGCGCTTTCTTTATTTTAGATTCCTTAAATCTATTTTTTTATTGCTAGACTTTCAGTTAATTTACTAAATATTTCTTCCTTTTTTGCTTTGTTCATTTTAAAAATACTTAGTTCAGTTTTCCAATCAAAATACCTGCTACAATTTTGGTTGAGCTAATTTAATAATTAAATTAGTAAAATAAAATAATCTATTTAATTAAGTTACTATAATATCATAATTTAAGCTTCCACTTACAGGCTTTTCTGAATAATCTAAATCTAAATTTTCATCAAGTTTCTGTTTTATTACTTAGTCAATATCTTTTTTCTTATTAATAAATCTTTATTTTCTGATATCAGAAACTTCTCTTTCTGTATAATAGTCTTGAAGCAATGAAAGCTCTTTTAACTATCTTATTGAATAAACTAAAAAAAATTATTTTAATAGTTTAAAAGTTTAAAGATCAATTTCTTACGTTAATAAAGAGATTTGTAGTCAAAAGGGTATTTCTAGATTCGATAATCACAATTTTGAACCTTGCGTTTAATCTTATACTTACTGATATAGCTGAGATATTTAAAGAAGCTTTTAATTTTTTATCTAAAATAATAGCATACAAATAAAATTGCATAAGTGTATGTGCTTATTTTCATAAAGTATGAGCCTTTTGATTAGAAGTTTTAAGGGGTAAAAGTAGGAAGTTGGTTCACTTTATTTTATTCATTAAATTATGAGTTATACAGATCTGTGTTTTGCAAATATATTTCAAAAAATATTCTCTTATTCACATATGTCATTGCCAAAAATAGAAAGCTTGTAAGAATGGCATAAAAATAAAACGACATGAAAGCATTAGAGATTTTACTGTTGTACTGATAGGATTCTTTTCTACAATGCCTAAAAACTTTATTAAATTATGTTAACAAAATTAAAAGTAAAAATTATTTATTTAATTAACTAATTAATTTCTTACTGTAATATTTCTCAAAGCACAAGTGTAAAATCAAAAACAAAAAAGTGATGAAATAGAAAAATGGCATTCCAAATCCAAAAAACATAGATACACATAAATATTCTAAAACTTGAGAGTAAGAATTAGCAATTTCGAATTCAGGCCCTTAATGCATTTTTATGTAGTCAAAGTTAGTTTTTTAGAAGGTAATATTTTTTTTCTTTTTGCATTTACGGTCTATGAGTAGTCTAACTCTATTATTTATTTATTTAATGTTAAAATAGAAATAGATTTATAAAAATAATGTAAATCATATTTGAATATTTTATATTTTATAAATTTAGCTTTGAAATTATAGATTAGAAGTTAATTAATTTATTTGTTTGTTTGTAAATAATCTATTATAAAGAAAGGAAGAAAATTAAAAAGAAATATTTACTTTCTATAAACTAAATAAACGATATTCTCAATAAGATAAAGCGCTATTTTAATAAGGTAATATATAACAAAGAACATTCCAACATTTCTGTACCATTCAGGCGAAAAATCAATATAATTTCCAAAAGTTGCTTGAATTTAATCGTTATTTTTAAAAGGAAATTTGTTCAATATGTAATAAATTCCAATCTAATTTATAAAATTATTTTAGTCAATATATTAATTATAAAGCTTAAATTTACGTTTATTCCAATTTTAAACAATGAGAGAATCTAAAACAGGACAATTTCTTTAGAAATTTTATCAGAAACTGTGTATTTATTCACAAAGTATTTCGCTAATTTAACTGAAAGTATACACAAAATATTGACTATAAGCATTATAAAATAAGGGAATAATCTTTTTAATTTTGCTGCTTCGTATATCATTGAGCAGCTATCTACCTCTGGAATAGAGTTGTTTGAGCAAAAACATAGTACTTGGTTCGGATCTTAGGGATGTTTATTGAGTATGCTTTTATCATCAAATCTGTATTCATAACAATTAATTGTAGGAGAAAGCAAAAGAAATAATGTTCTGATAAAATCTCCAAAGTTTATTAGAAAAAATCCTGTTTTTTATTTAAAACTTTAAAAATTAATTAACTTTTCAATTAATAGTTCTTACCCAAAGCACATAGGATAATAGGTATTATAAGATACATCACTAACTAAAAAGTTGATAAAAACTCTCCAACAAATACATTTTACCAAATTAGTATATCTGGGCTTACAGTCTTTTATACTAATAAAACATTTTACCTCAAATGAAACTTAGAAAATTAATACTTTTTTGAAAAGCATTATATAAATATATATAGAAATTATTTTATAAAATATCCAACTAACGTTTCCTACATAATTAAAATTGCCCTATCTCGCTAGTGCTTTGTCTCAAATGTTACAAAAGCTTTCGAAGAGTGCTTATATTTATTGTATTCAATTTTATTTATTTATTCTTTAATTTTCTCTATCTTAGATTTTTTTTCAATAATGTTTAGTAGATCTTTATAGCATTTCTGTTTAATTTTTGGGTCTAATACCGAATCAAATATTTTTCTTAGTTAATCAATTTATATTATTTTGATTCCATTACCATAATCTGAGTTATTCGGATCATAACTATTTATAAATCTTATTACTTTGTTTTTCATACTTTCATAGTGTTTCTTCATAATTAAGTCTCTTTTAATTATACATTCAGGAAGAGCCATTTAAATATCAATTATTTTAATTTCTCTTTAGGATTTGTTTTCATTGTATTCATCTAGATTCTATTAATTAATTAATTAATTAATTGATTAATAATTTAATAAAAACATTTAATTATTTTCTTTTTAAACAGAGTAACAAATTATACTTATAAATCTTACTAATAAATTTTGATCAAATTTGATTTAAATTAATTGTTAAGATTTATTATTGTTTTAATGTAAGCAAAAAAAAAATATCAAATTAATTAAAATCCATAATCAATAGAAACAATAAAACAAACAAATTAGATATTTAATTTACTTTTTAAAGGTGTAACCAGAGTAGTTCTTAAGTCCAGTTAAAGTGCATTTTAGGTATATTTTCAATCTCTATTGAGAATTTTTAAATCATTGTAATTTTGTTTTTTATTCTTTTCTTAATTTTATTATTGACATACAATTGGCTGTTTTTATAAAAATAAATTTAGATATTTCAATGCACTAAAAAATAAAAAATATACTGAATGAAGAAAATCAAGCAAATTATGATTCCAATTGTTTATAAAAGAACAACTGCAATAGATGCTTGATAGTTAGTTGTAGGAATTCCAAAAATATCTACATTTTAATTTCTGCATGGAACTGAAATGAAAATGTTTTATGACTAAACACTAGAATCACAGCCATTTTTAACATCAAACAAGTTTAAAAGTTCATTTGAGTTTATTTTACATGTACTTTTATTCTAACATCTACTATAAATGTTTTTAAAAGAAACCAAAGTGCTTAAATCACTTTTTAAGCATCCAATTTCAATTTTCTATAATTCAATAAATTCACAGCCATAAAAACTCGGAGTATCTTAAAGACTAGCTAATATTTAATATAATTTTGATTTTAAATAAATAAATTAAAAAAGATTTTAAAAATTACTTAATCCTATTTGAGCAAATTAAAAATCTAAAGTACCATATGGGCATTTTAAATCAGCAGTTTAACTTAAAGTCTTATTCCCTGTAATCATGTCACATTACCAAAATTCTTGATGTTTTATTGATAAAAATGAATAAGTAAAGTATTTAATATAAATTTGATAATTTACTATAGCCAATTCCTGCTATTGTAGGGTAAAGTAAGAAGGCTTAAAAGTCATTTATGTATTCATAGTTTAGGCCTTTACTAACTTATTGTTTAACCAAAAAGGGATTTTCAAAATTATAATTTTAATTTTCTGTAAATTAATTTACTTCTCGAACAAATATAAAATGAAGGCAAGCCTAAAATAAACAGTAGAAAAAATAAACATATGAAACTCTTTATTTGATTGAGGTACAATAAACTTGAAAGGGAAAGCTAATCTGTGTCGTTATTTTTAGATCTCCAGCAAAAAAAATTTGTTTCTATTTTAGTTTAATAAATTGACTCAAAAAGCTTATATCTTCTTTATTTATTTAACTTTGGATCATTTCTCAAGTAGTATTTCTGTTTTATCTGTTTATTACATTCTTATATATCAACTTTCAATTGTTGCTGTGATAAATCTATATTTAACTTTAAAAAATAATTAACAAATGCGCATATATATGCCAAAAAATTCTACATCTAATTATTAATAAATATCTCCCTATTCAGTAGTTCTCTGCAAGTTATTTTCATTGAGTGATTAAATTCTTTGTATTTCATCAAATATATCTTTTTGTGTTTGCTATCTTTAGAAAGTAAAAATTAAATTGAAAGTAAATGTTTTAATACTTACTACTATGAATTATTATCAAGTTCTATATTCAGAACATTTCCTTATTATAAAGTATCTATACATTTGTCATTTTATTTAGGATTTCTTCCTTCAGATTTGAGTTATACACAATCAAGATGTATTTCTATATGATCAGAATTCAATTCAGATTTTTAATCTTTTATTAAAATAAGTTTATTTTTTAGAAGGATAGTTATTGAAATAAATGTACTTACTGCTTTCAGATTAATAAGAATTTTGATCCTCTTCATCTATATATTTTTATTTTAGCTTTACTAAAGCAGTCATAAAGTATGATATTTTATTAAACCACTTAATGTATATTTAATATGTTATTATCTATTTGATATTAAAATAAGATTATGTATGTATAATCAGAATAATTAATCAAATTTTTTGTTATAATCTAGTAAATTTTAATTAGTATTGGCAAAAGTACAGTAATAGTCATACGATGTAGAATTCTGTTTTTGATATAAAAGTAAATTTGTATGAATTACATTAATATTATTTATTTGTAATATTTTAATTTCTAAAATAAATAAATACTTCATAAAAAAATAAATAGATTCACTCAATCAATCAATATACTTCTATTATATTATTTTTGTTTGAATTATTTTTCTTATTAATTTAAGCAAGCAATTTTAAATAAATATGAGACACTGTTTAAGAATTAAATGAAGTAAAATTAGATCAAATATTTTAAGTTAAAAAAAAACAATTTGAATTAATTAAGTAAACCAAAATAAATCTATACAACCATTGATAAGTTTTTGAGCCAGTTTTGTTTGTTAATAATATATACCAAGAGTATATTATATTTTATTTATTATTTTTTTATTAAATAGGGGATATTAAAATTATATATGCAAATTTAGAAAAGAAACTTGCAAAATATTAAAAAATTGACTCAAATTTAAAGATATAAGGTAAATGATTAATCAAAAATATTTTTCTCATTAAATAAAAATGTATCATCAAACAAAAACACTATAATTTAAATTATTTAATTTTATCAAAAAACATTGAAATAAAATTTAAAATTTATATTTTAAATAATTAACTCTTTTTGTATTTTATTATAATCTTTAAGTAAATACTATCAAGCAATTATATTAAATTTAAATTAAAATTAATATTTCTTTAACAGATTTCTTTTTAAAAAAACTTTTGGATTTATAATTTTTAAAAATTTGAAAATGGAATTTAATAAAATGATTGATTTTTTAGTTAAATCTTATTTATTTATTTATTTATTTATTTATTTATTTTTACTTCTAATTTTTTGTGTATTTTTTTAATGATTAATATTAAAATAATATAAGATATATTTTAAAATTATTTGTTATTTAAGTTATGAAATAATAGTTTATATTTAAATTTTTAGCATTAGGTCTTATTTTATTTAACCTATCTGATAAGTAGAATTATAACTTACTCTGTTAAAAAATTTATCAATTAATTGAGTTATCAACAAACTAATTACTGAAGATGTTTTTGTGCTTCCTTTGATTTAAAAAAAATATATGAAATCCTTACTTTTATATATGAAATTTAAAGAAAGAATTTCTTTTTAATAATAGTAGAAGCAAATAAATAAATAATAATGCTTTTTAAATTATTTTTAATTTTGTTTGAAATTCTAGTAAAGGTGTAGAGCCAGACAATTAGCTTTGTGTTTTCTAGCCTTCCTATGAAGACAATAGATTTTAGTGGTGATAATGGGATAGGAACTAATTTTAAAATTGCCTTACATGCTAATCTAATATTTGCATCTTTAGGTGAAAGAGGATGTATGGTAGTTGATGGATAAAATTACACTAAAATATATGAATATAAAAGCAATTAATTTCTAAGCGCTATTGGAGTGACATCAGATGCAAAATATGTTTTTTTAAGCTAAAATAACTCTCTTGCAATGTTTGAATTTGTTAATAAAAAAGAATTTGTATTTTAATCATCCGCATCATTTAATAATTGTGTTATTTTAGATATTATTGTCAGCTCTAATAATAGATTTGCATTTATTGCAGGCGAAAAAGGTATTTTAGCTGTTTATAATATTGCTGATCCATCAAGGATTTTTAGGGTTGCTGAGTTGTAAACTGCTGCAACATTGATAAATCGAATAAATTTTTCAAAAGATGAAAAATTCTTGTTTTTAGGAAATAATGAGCTTGGTTTTAATTTAATAAAACTAGATTTTAATTAATTAAATGGGTAGGAAAACTCAGTTATTTTAAAACTAGTTGGTAATGCAATACCTTACTGGAAAATATTTCAATGCATTCCAACATAAGACTTGAAGTATGTTTATTGCACTGATTACTGGTATGGAGTTTACATTGCAACATTAGATGATATTATTAACTAACCAGAATCTAATTATCCTGTTTAAATCCATTTTAAGCTTAGGTCATGGCCTCTAAATTCTATAAACCCTTTAGTTTTTTCAATTGAGCTATTTAATGATGACCAATATTTGCTTGTTTCTGTTAGATCTTTAGGTATTTTCATATTCGATATAAGAGATAGAGAAAATTTAATCCTTTATCAGAAAATATATGTTCCTGGCTAACCAGTTTAATTGAGTATTTCCCCTATTGATGGCAATATTATATATGCCAACAAAATTCAACTTAACATTTACAAGCAGACTGTTCCAAACTTGAATAACAGAAATCCGAATTTGTTTAACAATCATCAGTCAATGATTGTTTAATATTATCCTTAGGTTTTTTACAGATGGCGTTGCTATTTAAGTAGAGATAATTAATACTATTATGGGACTTAAGATTTTATGGGATTAGTTATTGCACATATTCCTAATAGTAACCCTTACAATATTTAATTCAAGTTATTAATACCTGCTATTCCTCCGAATTTTACTGAGGCCACAACTGTGACTAAAAATAAGAAATTTATTTTTTAGGCTGTTTAAGAAAATGGGTGTACTTTAAAAATTCATGATATTTCAGATTTAAATAATGTAAAGATTGTTTAGTGTCTTACTATAAATGAGCCTACATAGCATGCAGAAGAATAAGCAATATCAGATGATGAGACCATCCTTGTTTTAAGTTATGATGATGGGATTCTTATTATTGATGTTAGCATTCCATCTTAAGCTGAAATACTTTCATATTGGAAAATGGAGGGATTGATGATAGGAAACCTGGCTGGAGTTATGATCACGAAGGACAAAAAATGGGTTTTAGGTACAGCGAGAGGTTATGGCGTTTGTGCTTTAAACATAGAAGACCCCAAAAACCCTATATATACAGACTCAATAAATACTTAAGGAGGTGAAGGAATCAAAGCTTCTCCTTACAATCACACTCTAGCCTATTTACTAGATGGATATAGAGGAGTGGCTGTGATAGACTTGTCTTACTTGCCGAATTTGAAAATCATAAGCAGAATCTAACTCAGAGGTTGGACAAATGATTTAACTGTTTTCACAAACGATCAATTTTTATTAGTCTCTACTATGGATGACGGATAGTTAACATTGATCAACTCCTCTAATCCAAAAAATTTATATATAATAAGTATGTTTTAATAAGGAGATGAGAGCTCATAGTCTTCTTGCTTTACTTCAGATTTCAAGTATGCTTTTATAAATAACGAATTTGGTACAAGAATTATGCCTTTAACAAGTTAAATTATCCTTCATACTTAAATTAGTTAGTCTATTTTCAATGAAGATAATTTGGTTTCTTCATAAGTTAGCCTTGGTTCAGAAGATATTTTGTATGTTGGATAAAATATAATATTTGATTTTATTCCTATCTATTAAAAGGAAGGAATGGTTATATCAAAAATATTGTACTATGATTAAAGTACTCTTGAGTTACAAGAGTTGCCCTCTTGGATAAATGTTTTTAACAACAATTTCAGCATAAAATTTTAAGTCTCTAAGGAAAGCCTTAGATCTAATGTTTTACAACCAGTTTAAAATACTATTCTAGTAAAATCAGCTTTGTAGCTAAATGCCAACAGTTTTATTTATAATTAAGATGGCTTCTAGACTAATATAACCTTAGCTGACAAAATATTTAAAATTGTAAGTGATAAATTTCACTTTTTAGATGAAAATGGTTTTGTTACAGATATATTTTGCTATAATTCAAATATTACATTAACAGATTTAAATTTATAAGACTCAAATCTGCTTGAATTCATTTAAAAGTAGGTAAAAATCACACTCTAATTTGCTGTATTTTTCAATCCAGTAGTATTTTTAACACAAAACTCATTGCTTTTTGATTAAGACAACAAAATATAAATGATTAAAACTCCCTCTCAAAATTTAAAGATATCAATATCATTTATAAACAACTAAGGGAATAACTGTGTTTTTGTGAATATCCCTTATAGTGGTTGTATATAAGAATTAAGTTCTGATTAATCAACTATTTAAATATCAGGTTCTACTTTAAATATTAACAATGTACTTTTTCATCAAGTGATATACCATTGTAAATATCATGAAAATAATATTTATAATAATTAGATAGGTTTTTAAATTGTAGATAATTTAAATTACGACTATATTAACTAATTTAATGTTACAAAATCTACTTTCTTGAAGTAGCTTAAAGATATTTCAATTAATACAAAAATGCCATCATTGTAGCAATAATTTGAAAATAAATATTAAAATTCTGAAATTCCTATTGAGACTGATATTAATTTTTCATTTGAAAACAGCTACTTCATATAACCTTAGTCAAATTTCTTGCCAATAACTTATTCCTTATATTATTATGACAGTACTAATGATAATTATACTTTGGTTAACTCTAATTATTGGATAAAATTAGAAGCCACTTAACTTAAATTTTATGGATTTGCATCATCTAATATGTTTTAAACTGTTTAATAATTAAAAATTGTAGCTTCAAATGGTTATGTTGAATGTAGCGATTTTCTAAAAATTAACATTAATTTAGTATCCTTTCTTTATACCTTAAATATAATTTTAAGAGCTTTTGGCATTATTATAGGATTTTTTGGATTATATAAATTTAAGAGCTTTATATGCAATACATTAATTAACGATAAAGTTTTATATTCAGATGAAACTGCAGTAATTAATCAGCCTTTTTTCAAATAAATAACAATTATTGGCGATGACTTTGAAATAGCCAAGTTACTTTTTAATCAATTTAAGAGAAAATTTTTCAAAGGAAAAATTTAATTTGTAAATAGACCCTGTAGGGAAAATATTAAAACAACTCAAGAATCCCAAAACAGTTATCCAAACTAAGATGCAATAAGATAAAGCTAATTATCTAATAATAACAACAATAATAATACTAACAATATTAGCAGCTTTAATAATAATATCAATAGTAATAATGCAGTAAGATAACAATAATAGAATATGTAAAATAGTTTATTTAGTACTTTTCAAACTAAACATGAATAAACACACAATAGTTTTACAATTTCAAAATCTGCATCACAACAAGGAAATCTAAAATCTATGTTGGCTATTAATTAAAAAAAGAACAAATTATTTTAAAAAAAGACAAAAAAGATATTAAAAAATCTATAACATAGCATTAGCAAAACTTCAAATGACGATAATGAGATTAATTAAGAATAAACTCAAAAGGTAAAATAGTTTTAGAATCGATACATTTGTGAAAAAAAGAGGGTTATAAAGATTGACCTATTGATACATGACATGAAATTTAACAAAATATCAATAACTTATTAAAAAAGGGAATATTCTATAAATTCGCTGAAACCTATTCTGGATAATAAGAATAGTGTATTTTATAATTGCATGAAATCGATAGTTTGTCGATATTTAATTTCATAAGACACTAAGACTTTAAAACTATATAAATATTTAAAAGAATATGCTAAAGTTTATTCTAAATTTTCTCCAAATGATTGGTATAAATACTACTTTGATTTAGCATACTACTCATCATCATCCTTTAACAAAATTTCCACTTTAGCAAATTTAAATATTTAAGAAAACAAATAACAGTAAGATTGTAATGATAATAATCCATAATAAAACAAGAAACATATTTAAGAAGCTGAAGAAGATGATATTTTTAAAAATCCTCTCCCAATTCTTAAAGTAAGAGAAAAACTTATCTGTCAAATTCTTTATTAAAATGGTTTTATATCAGATAACAAAAAAGGAATAGACTAAATTATAGAAAAAGATATAAATCCATACCTCTTGAAAAATGTATTGCTATCAGACGCAATGGGATTATAAGATTTAAAAATGAAGAGCTTACTGCCTTCATTAGGAGAGTCAATACATTGTTTTCCTCACTAAGTTAAAACAATCTAAGCTTCTTATCTGATTCCTTCATAAAATTACTGTTTTTAAAGAAAAAATTATAAAAACTATTAACCTTTTTCTCTTGAGACGAAGCTACCCAAATGGCTGAATGTAAAATGTATTAAGAATGCTCTAGTATTGTTTGGAACTCCAAAACTTTCTGATGAAAAAGTGATACTCGTTAAAATCATTAATCAATCTAACATAATAATTAGAAAATTTAGAATATGTCTGCTTGAAGAAATAAACAATTCTTTTACTAAATTAGATAAAGTTAAAAAGTAAACTTTAGTACAACCTGTATATGCAAGCTACTTTCATGAAATAAAAAAATCTCTCAAAGGTAAAATAATTTATTTTAAATAAAACAAAATTCAAATTAAATTTAATAATTAGAAATAGATGCTGAATATGAAGAAAAAACATAAAACGATTTTTCTGAAAAAAACTCAGAAATTGAACCTTAATAAGCACAAGATGTTGATGTTCCTAATAAGATTGGATGCTAACTTTTTTAAAGAAATTTCTATTCTGATTAATTAATTCAAAATAAAATAGAAGAAAATGATATTAAATTCAAGCAATTAGCTTAATCTTTTTTTCTCCCGACTGATCCAGACTAAAAAATTGAATTTTAAAATATTGAAAAGGAAGTTAATTAGAAGTTACCAACAAAGCAATTTTTAGACTTTATTTAAACTGAAGTTTTACAAGCAAGCTAAGCAATCGATCCAATTCATAGCTTTTAGCCAAAAGTATTAGAGTTAAATAACTCTGATTACATATAAGATTGTTCTTAACTTGCATTTAAGCAAAACTCTTAAACAAATTAATAAAATTTAAATTTTACTGATGGTATACCGTCCGAAAAATAACTTCCATCCTTTCATTTTTGATTTAAATTAGTTTCATATAAATTTATAAAGAGTTGTTGTTTATATGTTTTTATATATCTAATTACGTAAAAATTATTATTTTAGTTATTTTCCTTTAAATTAATAATTGAATTAAATATTAATTTAAAAATATCATAAAATTTACAGATTTAATTTTTTAAATAGTTGCTTTTTATCTGATAAAATTGATACTATTTATTCCATATTAATTTTGATTATCGTTTTCCCTCTACATTAGAGTATAAAAATTCTTATGACTCACTCATAAATGAGTAAAAGAAAATGTATAATTTACCTAATATCAAGTTGCAATTATGAATTTATTTTTAAAAAAATATCCCAAATCTCAATTTAAAATAAATTATAAAATTAAAAGTATAATTTTCAGAGATTCCATCACTACTAATAATCTAATACTTATTACCTACTTTGATCTTAAGAATAAAATGCACTCATATAATTAAAAATAATATAAAAGGAAGAAGATTATTAAACTCTATTTACTCTATTGTAATTTTAATTTTAAGGTTACGAACAGAATTAATGAGAATCGAAGATATGTTGATATATTTTTAAAAATGAATTTTATTATTTACATTAGATCAATAAAATATAATAATTTTTACAAATTTAAAATTTATATCAGATAGAGAGATAAAAGAAAATTAAAAATAAAATGGTTAATTTTATTTTCAAGAATACTTTTTAAATGTTTTTCTATTAAAATAACAGTTCTTATTTTATTTAAAAAACTTCAAAAAATTCACTTTTTCATTATTTAAAAATCAGAACATTTTATTTACTGCATATTTCCATCTAAAAGTTCTGGACATATGTCAATTATTTCTTCATCTTTAGGAGTAGTTTAACTGTATTCTTAGTTATCTTAATTTATTTAATTATCTTCTAAAATAATATCCAAATTTGATTTCTTATTTGAGAAAATCTATTTTTCAAAATAAAAACAACTATTTTCATAATTTAACTTTAGTTCTTTTTGCCATCTGAAATACTTAGAATAATTAGAGCTTAGCTATTAAAAAGACAAAAAATAATTGATTTTTACTATAATTAAAAAATTTTACTTTGTAATCATATGAATAATTTCCAATAAAAGTAAGCTGAGGTGGGTTTTGCTCGATTTAATTTAGATATTCATTTAATATTTATTTTTTTTCAATAAGTTTATTCTTCATATATAAGCATGGTTACTCAAAAGTTAGAGTATAATCTAATAAAAGCAATTCTTTTTCTATTTAGTCTCTTTCCATAACTTTTTAAATATTAATTTAAAATTTTAATGAAATTTAAATAAATTAATTTATTTTTATTACACTCGTAAAATTTATTATTCTTGATTATACTTTTCTTTTCGGATTTTGAATTAGACTTACGACAGAACCATTTATAAGCATCTAGCGGTTTAAACATTAATTTTAAAAAATATGTAACTATTATTAAAGAAGCTCCCAAACTAATTGGAACAAAATAAATAGATTGCTAAGTAAAGACATCGATGACAGCATTATATGATTAATTACTAAGATCTTACAAATCATAAAACAAAGCAGGGTTATTAAATGTTAAAATATAAGTAAACCTATGTATAATTAAGCTATAATAGAGCATATACTAAAAGTAATTGGCCATTTACTAATCAAGTGGTATAGATTTTCTGCAAAATTTAAATACTATTTCATATATATTTAATAATTAAATTGGTCAATTTTTTTGAAAGAAATAAATATTACGCATTATTTTATCAGTGTAAAAGCTAAATAAAAAGTATAAAAATACTCCTAAATATAGCAATGGCATTCCTGCACCATAGGTCATCATCAAAAACAAGACTTCCAAATGTTATGCATATCTGTACTAGATACTAAATTTAGGACCTTTTCTTATTCTTATCCATTAATTATTACTTTTACATCTTGTTATGTTTGAATCTAAAGTACATTTTTAATCTATCCAAATTATAAACCTTTTAAAAATTACAAATTAGAAATTTCAAAAATAGTAGAAAATAATTAAATACTTTTTATAAACATAGATCATCAATTTTCCAAAAGGTACACTAAATGCTTTAGACAATATGCCAATAGTAAATATTATTCCAACATTTCTATACCACTCCGGATTAAAACTAATATATTATCCTGAAGATAGAACTTATGAAATAAATCCACCTTAAGATTAAGCAAACTAAGAAAAATAACCGCTTTGCTCCATATTAACCAAATAAACAATAAATGCCTTGCATTAATTAATAATTTTAAAATTATATTTTGAGTATTTCATTTTAATAATTAAAAATAAATAAAAAATATTTACTGCATTTCCTCTAAACTTTTAAATTAAAAAAAAGTTAATTTTTAAAAATATTGCTAACTAATTTATCAATTAACTTTGAATTTTTAACAATTTATATTTGATTTTGCAAGTTTAGAGGTAATACAGTACTTACTTTTATTAAATAATAAATTTAAATTAAAGTACTTACAGAGTTAATGAACGAAAATAAGAATATTTTATTAATTGTTGAGTTCATTTGGTTATTTATAAATTTATATTTTTCAAATTTTGACAAAGTTTTGTAGATTTATTTAATGATGTAATTTATAAATAAAAGAGCAAAAACTATGGCAATTGGCATTGCTAACTGAGCCAAGTAATTTTTATACCAATCACTGCAGATCGAACTTAAGCTACTCTAAAATTTATATTAAAATTCCTATTACCAGCAAAAGCACTCAATTTTTATCATCCTATCATATTAGTAAGTACTATCTGAAAAATTCTCGACATCTTCTTTTTTAATATTTTTTAGTTTTTTATCTTCACAATTTACCGAAGGATACTTAATTGTCAGCTAAAGTTAAAAGTAGTCGAAAATAGCTAACACCAAAAAAGCTTAATAAATTAAAATAAAATTTATTTTTTTAATCATTAAGAAAGTGTTTTTACTTCCAATTAATATAGCTACTGTAATAGCAAGGGAAAATAATTTCCTGCAAGATCTATTTAAAACAGTGTAATATAAATTTGACCAATTAATACTTTCCGAGGCAACAGTTTTTTCAACTAAAAGTACACTTTAGTTGAAATGAAGTTTATTTTTAGTGAAATTAGGATCTTTATGAAATATGTTATAAAATAAATAATAAAAATGATAATAAACTGCTGTAATAAAAGAGCTGCTTAATAGTTTAAAAGCACGCTGCTTTTACTCCATTGTTTCAAAAGTGACCCATGCAAAATTTATTGCATTTTTTCTCTAAATCATTTCAAAGCTCTTGGCTTTTAATTTTTGTATATTCAATTTTAATTATGTAATTTTTTATAAATCAATTTTTGCTTTAGATTTTGATTCTGAATCAATAATTTATTCTTATAGTTACAATAAATAGTTAATAGTAATATGTTTTTTTTGTTAACTATTAGTTAATAAGTCATATTTTTTTATGAATTACATAATTGATTTCTCTAAATATCGAGACTATTATCCTATTTTCTTCTAAATGTTCATTTACGTTTATCTTACTCCAAGCTTTATATCTATTATTTTAATCTGTTCTTATTGCAATTCTACACATTTTTCATCCAAATACTTGCAAATTAAAAAAATTTAACATAAAAAATTAAATCAATATTTTTTTAAAAAAATTACAGTTTGAAGATGTTGCCAAAGTCTAGAAACCAAAACATTTTACTCAATATTTGGAAGATTTTTAACTAAAATAGTAAAATTTTTAGCCAAACAGTTATTTATAGTTATTTAATCGGCTGTTCTTTAATTATTTCTCTTCATACTAAGATAAAAAATAAGTTTTAGCTAATTAAAAAATTTAACTGATTTTAACTTACAAATAGATATATAGAAAAAATATGTAGAATATAGCAATGTCAACAGACAAGATAAAAATAGATAGACTCCTTTTTGATATTTTTATTGAACCAAATTCCATTTCTGAATTTTCGCAAGGCATAGATATATAAATAGAATTTAATTATACTGCATCTAAGCATTCATTTTAGAAAGATTATTCAATCATTTCCTAAAAATCTATCTCACAATAGTTTTTACCTTAGCATTTAGATTAAAAGTACTACTTTGGATTTAAGTTACATTCAATAAAAACATTTTCCATTTGAGCAAATTAGCAGCCATAAAAATTTGTAGTATTTGTGGGCTACACTTTAAAGAAATTTATTAATTGTCAAGGATAAATAAATATAAATGAAAATTTCAATTTACTTAAGCCAAATTGCAAGTAATTAACATCGAATTATCCACTCTTACACTCAAACAAAGTATCCTTCTCTTTTTATAAATCTAAGATATTTCCCATTTTACAAACCCACACATCTATTAAAAATTTGATAAAAAATTAATTAATAATTCCAATATTCTTAAATTACATAAGATGTTAAATAAATTAATTAATTATATTTTACTATTAGAAAAAATAATATATTTTTTTTAAATTAAAACTATGAAAAGCTGTGAAATATGTTATTGTATATATACTTTTGCTAACCTTAATTTAATATTGTTGCAAATTTAAAATTAAATTTATTAAGGAATATTTTTAGTTGAAAAAATTATTGGATAAATTTAAATAATTCTAAATTACCATATCCCCAAGCCCCAGCAAGTGTATGGGCTATGTAACTACTATAATTATTTTACTTGGTCATTTCAGTATTTTTGGCAGCTTTTTTGAAGAATATATTTTAAAATTGAATAAAAATCAAATAAAAATTACTTTAAGTATATAAATACAACACAGGTATTTATAAAAGAAAAAAGAAAAATGTTAAAATCATCAAACCCTTCAGCTGCTTAAAATAAATACTTATAGCAATTCCGTGAAGATCTAAATCAGATTTTTTCTTAGAATTAAAACATAAAAAATTTGTTCCAACATTAGTTGAAAGCGATTCGCATAAAGTATATTGTTTCTGCATATTATTTTCTAATAAGCGTTGTGGATGCATGTTTATTAATTTTTATTAGCATTCTTTGATATTTACTTATTCCTTCTTACTTTAATAATCTATATTTAACTTATGTTATTAATTTATAATTAAATTTTAAGCAAACTAACATTTAATGATGATTTACTTCTACATTTGTAAACATTTAAATTGTAGGCATCTACTCAATGATTAAAGCAGTACTTTTGAAATTAAAAGATATTTAAACTCTTATAAAATTAAAATATTTATATTTTAATATGTTTTAAGCTTTTTTACTTTTGTTTTTATCTATTTTCTGTAAAATAATTCTAGTTGGAATTTGTTTTTTTAGAGTTTGATGAGAGAATTTATATAAATGTATTGGCAGGGCTTAGTTTTATTCCTTCAAAGTCAGTCTCTTTAGAAAAATCAATATCTAATTAATCACTTTGACCTTTCATAACTGTAAAATAAGAAATTTTAGTTATTGTTTTATGTTACAAATAGTATCTAAATATTTTTACAATTACAATCTTCTGAAAAATCACCTTCATGCTTAACAGGTTGCTAAAATTATGAAATCTAATTGGAATGCATGCACAAAATCTTTTTATAAGATCAATTCTTAAAATAAGCATAGCATAAAAAATTAAAATAAATGTTAATAAATTTCAATTTAAAATATTTTTAGATCTAAAACTTACTTTAATTCCCTTTCCTTTCTTCGTTTACAAAAAATGCAATTTACTGAAAATCTTAAAAATTGTGAGTAAAATTGATTAAAATTTAATTAATTTTGTTTTCCTATCTTTTTAGAGTATGTGATTATTATTATAGACATTTTAAAATTCAATATATTAACTTGGTTATTTGCATATAAATCAAATAACCTAAAATAGTCTATTATTAGCTATTTAAAATTAAAATAGAAAACGTATCTTATTTATTTATCTATCTATGCGTTTGTAATTAATTGGTTTTATTATTTTTTACTTGAATTACAAAGCTTTGATTATTTCTTGATATAAAAGGTATTTTTATGTAAATCGAAATTCAACCACTCATTCTTACATTAATTGGTTAATTAATTAATTAAAAAATAGATTTTATAACTTTAAATATTTATTAATATGAAAAAAGTAAACGATTAAAATCACAAAATTTCTTACAAACAAATATTAAAGAGAATTTCATTATTTTAAGTGAAATTTTTATTAGATGGGCATTACATTTATTTGTCCATCAAGGCTTTCTAAGTCTTAGCAATAATCTACTTGCTATTAATATTTAATTTATTTGCTAATATTTTAAGTAATTTCTTATTAATTTTCTTATTTTGAACATATTTAATTTTAGCTCGTTTTGGTTACATTTTAAAAGTTGGAATTTTCGTTTGGCAAGATTTGTAATTATTATTAACATTTTAATATATTAGAATCATACTTAAAATCTTCTTATTTGCGCATACTGTCTAAGCTAAGCTAAATTATATCTTGTTTTGGTTTTGAGTTTATTTATCTCATCTAATTTGAGTCTTAACAATTTAAATTGTCATTTGATAAAAAAAAACTAATTTCTTATTTAGAACTAACAGGATTGTTTGATTCTGCTTTTGCTGTATTTTGGAATGTATTAAGAAAAGTTGTCCTAAATAAAGAATTTTATTTTTTAGATGATTTTAATGTTTTTTTTATACTTTGATATTATGTTTATAAGCTGCTAGTGAAGCCAATAATATCTTGGTAGTCTTAATTTTTTTTTCCATTATTTTTCCATCTACTAATAGTTTACTACTTTTTAATTATCTTTTTTTAATCTTATTAATTACTTAAGGCAGTTGATTTATTTATATGAGAAGACTATTCTTTCTAATAAGAAGTAGAATTCATTAGTTTAATTACTGATTATGAGTATTCAAGCTTCCATATTTTTAAATCATTTTACCATCTTAATTTATTTTGGAAGGAGCTGTTAAGCTTTTATTAAAATAACTTAAATAAATAAAATTGAAATAATATTTACTTTATAGTCATATGAATAATTCCCAACAAACGTCATCAAAGGAGGAAATTTTTCTATATTATTAAGAAAACTTTGCAAAGTTTCTTTCTTTTACATCAAAATTTATTTTAAATACTGATCAGGTTAATTATAAAATAATGAATAATCTATCAGATTTATTTCTGTTTCAAGTTGCTCTTAATCCATGACTTGTTTTACAAAAATAATTTAATTAATATTTATAGAATAAAATAAATAGTAATTTACATTCATAAAATTTGTTGCTTTTAATGATGCTTTTTTTCTCTGATTTAGAGTTTGATTTTTTGAAGAATAACTTATATAAATTTAAAACTTTGAGAGCTAATCTACCTAAATAAATTACAAGAATCATAAAACAGCCAGAATAAATAGCCATCATATAAGGATTATTTAGATTTACTTAAAAAACTTCACCCATTATATATTTGTCATAATAAGTGCTATACATATCATAGAATAGTTAAGGATTTAAAAATGTATTACTACTTGATATTAAATGAAAGTAGAAACTAAAATATAAAATAATCTGAAAGTGAGAAGCCATTTATCCATCGAAAGATCTTGATTTTCTGCAAAATTTAAAAACTAATTTGATTAAAACAAATACTCAGTTAAGTTGAATAATAAAATAAATTATTTATTTATCTTTTTTACTTAAAAATTTATCAGAATAGAATGTGAAAACGAAATATAAAGTAGAGGCTAAATATATTAGCGGTATTCCTGCTCCAAAAGTCATCATAAAAAACAAAACAACTAAATGTTAAGCATATCTATACTGAATACTAAATTTTGGACCTTATCTAAGTTTAAGCCATTACTGATCATTTTTGCATCTAGTTTTTTTTTTATCAAATGAGCATTTCTAATCAATAAAAAATATGAACCTATTTTTTTTAAAGTGAATATTTTTAATTTAAATAAACAAATTACTAATTCTATATAAAATTTTCAGTCAGTCTGTGTTTTAGATTTTCTGATTTTCAAATTTCCAGTCTTGTGAAAACAAAATAAATATCTTAAAAATAAAATTTATACATGCAAAATTATATTAATATTTAAAAAAAAGAAAAATTCAAAGGTAGAATTAAATATATTATCTAAAAAGAAAGAAAATTCAGATGTTTATTAGTCTGGCTGGTTGGTCTTTTACAAAATTTTATTCAACCATTTTTTGAAAGAAATAAAATACAAAAAAATAATACTCTTTAAATAGATTTTATTTATGTTTTAAACTTATAAAAATGGTTCATTCAATCAATTTTCATAAAATTGATTTGAAAATGAAATTTATTTTCTTGGTTTTCAAAATTTGAAATTCGATTTAATAAATTAATTAATTACCTTTTATAGTAGTAAAAGAATATTTTCCCTATAGGAACACTTAACGATTTAGAAATTAAAGTAATTATAAATATGATCCCAATATTTCTATACCATTCAGGGTTATAACTATAAAATTAACCTGAACCAAAAACTTTTTGCATAAAATTTTCCTGACTAGAATCGGAATATTAAGGAGGAGTCTATTTCTAATTTGTTTAGTAAATTATATACACCTATAAAAATATTGTGAATTTAAATTAGAATATTTTTTAAACTAAAAAGATACCTACCTAATTAATGAATGAAACAACAAATATTTTATCAATTTAAGAATTCATTTGGCTATTTAAAAACTTATATTTCTCAAATTTAGATAGTTTAGTTAGTATCTTTTATATTAAGAAGTTGACTATTATCAAAGATACGACTATACCTATAGGAAGAAACAAGTTAGATATGTAATTTTGGTACCAATCATTGCATATAGAATATAAGCTTGACTACAATTTATATTGATAATTTTGTAACCAGCAAAAACACTCTATTTTTACCATTTTTTCATATTATGGGGTACCTTGGGGAATATTCTCAACATCTTCCTTACTTATTCCTTAAAATTGAGAAGTATTGCAATTTACAGATGGGTATTATACAGTCAAGAATTTCTACACAGATTTGATAATTCCTACTGCCACAAAAGCTTATTTTTTAATTTAAAATACAATTAATGAATAAAGGTAATTTTTATTAATACTTTACATGCAATCAGTATGGTACTTGAAATAATTAATGAAAAAATTTTCCTAAATATTTTATTTGTGTTTGAGTAATAGAGATTTTTCCAGTTTATGTTATCGGGAGTAACTGTTTTCTCAATTTGCAAAACTCTTTAATGGAAATGAACTGTATCTTTATTAAATTACTCATTTTTCTTTAAACAATTGTAAAGAAAATAATAGATTTTATAAAAATAAATAATAATTATTGATCGATTTAACATTTTAAAAGCTCTTTATTTTTAATCCATTGTTTCAAATGTCACCCAACCAAAGTTTATTTTATTTTTTTCTAAAGACATTTCAAAATCTTTCATTTTAAATTCCTAAAGATCACTTTTAACTTTAATAATTTTTTATAAATCAATATTCGCTATAGCCTTTACTTCAAGGTTATCTATTAGATCATATATAGTTCTTAAGTGATTAATTGTTACATTCTGCTCTTATTTCAATTAACTATTTTATGGGTCATATTTTCTAACATATTTAAATATTAATTTTTCTAATGTTCTTGAAAGCTTTGCTATTCTCATTTAATATTTTATTTGTGTATATTAATATCCTAATTTAATGTCAATAATCTTAATTTCGCTATCTCTCTTTAATGCACATTATTTATCTAGGTACTAATAAAAATATATTGATTTATTTATATTCAATTATTTTTTACATTTTATAGATGCTCCCATAACCTTGAAGTTAATAAATTTTATTCTAAATTAGGCAAATTCATCACTAAAATAGTAAAGTTCTCTGCCATGCAGTTATTTATTGTTATCTAATGAGCAATACTAATGTTTGTTCTTTTCATCCTTTACAAAATTGTTAAATTTTTCATAAATTATTCAGAATGTAATTTACGCAAAAACTGAAATTAAAAAGACATAAAAAATGACAATATCAACTATTATTATAAATATTGATAAGTTCATTTTAGAAATTTGAAAAGATCCAAAATCCATGTATGAATTTTTGCAAGGCATTGAAATAAATATCTAGTATGATTGCAACATAGATTTGCATGAATCAGTGCTCTAGAAATATTCTTAAATTATATCATTGTAGTTTATCAAACATTCTTTTTGATTTTAGCATTTATTTTCTAAATATTTCTATGAAATTTTGTTGCATTCTGTGATTAAATTTTCTATTTACGCAAATTAACATCCATAGTAGTTTGTACTATTAGAAGGAAACACTTAAAAAAAAATATTCTCATAACTTTTTTAAATGAAAATAAATTTTACTTAAACCAACTACAGAAAACTTAACATCAAACTATCCAGTCTAGCATTGAAAAATACTTTCGCTTTTACTTAATAAGTCTTAATAATTTCCCATTTCGCATTACCAAACATCTATTAATATAAAATTGTAGTTAAAAAAAACTATCATAAAGTTTAATTTACCATAACCCCAAACACCAGCAAATGTGTAAGCAAAGTAACTGCTATAGCTATTGAATTTAGTCATATTGCTGTTAATGGCAGCTATTTTTAAAAACAAAAATTAATATCTTTAATCAAATTAAGTACTTACTTTGTACATATAGATAAGTAACAGGTATTGAAAGTAAAAAGTAGCAAAAACAAAGAAGAATCAATCCCTTTAACTGCTTAAAATAAATACTAATAGCAATCCCTTATTAATCCAAATCAGATTTTCTTTTAGAAATGAAATAACAGCAACTAAATCCCACATATGTATGACATAAAGACTCACAAGTAGTATAGTATCTTTGTTGCTTGTCTCCTGCAACTTTAAGTAAGTGCATTTATTTTAATTTTTCATAGCATTCTTCAAAATTCACTTGATCCTTTTTTCTTTATTCAACCAAGTTTACCTTGTTTAAATTGAAATCAATCAATTTCTTAATTTAAGTATTTTTATACAAATATATTTACTTCTACTTTCTAAAAAACATCAACCTTAGACATTTAAACATCTAAAATCTAAGGTTATTTAGGTAGTTAGTCATCACAATTTCTAAATTTTTGTTAATTATTCTAATATCAACTTAATATTTATTTTAAAAGTATATAAAATAGTTTTATTTTACATTTTTTGTTAACAATAATCATCAGTTGCACAAATGTTTTTTGGATTCTAGCTACTTTATAAGTTTTGATTGAGACTGATTATTTATTTGTCAGAATCTTCAGTTTACTTTTCTTTCTTTCTCAATTCGTCCAGCTAAATATCCTTTGATATTGAAGTTAGTTTTCCTATTTATGTTTAATTTAAAATTTCATTTTTTATAAAAATAAATTGTACTTTATTAATCATCAAAATCACTGTCTCCAATATTTTATTTACATTTCTCTATTGTTATTTAAGTACTTTATTTCATTAGCTTTACTTAAAATTATTTTTTAAGTGAATCAAAAAGCAAACTAATTACTAATGATGTGTAATTTTATAATTTGCTTTATATATTTTAAAATATCGATAAATATAAAATGTTCTATTAATTATTACCTTTTGAAAACAATATCAATTTTAACTTGTTTTCTAATTAGGAAAGTTTATTACTAAAAAAGAATAAGATTATTCTTGCTTATATCAAAAAATATAAGATAAAAAAATTTATTTTAATGCATATTTACAATTTAATTATTAGAAATAATTTTAATTTAAATAATTAAAACTTTTATTAAAATTTACTTATTTAGTATTATCTTTTTTTAAATTAATTTAATAGATTTATTCTATTTAAAAAATTTTAATATTTTTTTTGTAAAACATAAATACACTGTTAATTGCAGAAAATACATAACAAAAATTTATTAATTACATTCTAATTTTTAAATATATTTTTCACTAATTATGTTGAAAATGAAATAGTTAATTTAGGTATATTTACCATTTAATTTCAATATTAATATTTTATATAAATCATAATTTAATGCTGAGAACTTAACTTGGTAATCTTTAGATTTTTCCATCTATAGAATCTACATCAAATAGAAATTTAGATTATTCTTAGTAATTATCAACTGACTTTATTTCAGATAGCACTTCTTTGGAGATATGGATTATCTGCCTATTTTCTTTTTCAGAAATAGTTTATAAATCTGTTTCTATTTTTAATTCTTCTTAATTAGGTAATACATTATATAGAACAATATCATCATATTATTAACTAAATTTTAAAAATGGATTTTATTTGTTTTGACTATTTACTCCTTGATACCCTTTTTCACCTTGGAATTAAAATATTTCTTTGGATACAGGACTACTAACTATTATTTAATTTGATTCTTTTATATGGTTCAAATTATCGTTTGTTTAGAAAGCACTAAGTTCATTTTTAGAGTGAATAGGTACACTTAAGTTTTCAATTTTTGTAGTATTTTAGAGAGTCTGATTGAATGTACTTCTTAGGATTAGTTTATCTGTTTTTGAACTCTTTAAAGTTTTTCTCATACTAGTATACTAAGTTTTTAAGCTCTTATTATAAAACTATATATCTTATGTCTCTTGCTTTTTAATATCATTATTTTACCATCTGCTAAACGTTTACTACTTTATAAATTATTTATTTTAGCTTTCCTAACTACCTGCTGCATTATTATTTTAGTTAGACTTAGTTTATAGAGAACTGTCTTTCTTGTAGTCAGATGAATTAATTAGTTAAATCAAAGATTAAGTTTACTCAAGCTTCCATATTTTTAAATCTTTTTCCCATCTAAGCTTTCCTTGAAAAGTTTCATTTATCTATTAGTTAATTTATTTTTATGTTAAGTTTTTTTCGAAATAAATTTTACTTTATAATCATAAGAGTAATTTCCTAAAAATGTGAGTAGAGGAGGATGTTAGTCTATCTAATTAAGATAATTTTACAAAATGTCTTTTTTCTCTATTAGCCTTTATTTCAAGTAAGTATCAGGTTAGTTGTAATAAAATGAATATTCTATTAATTAAATCTCTGTTTAAATTTATTCTTTTACCATAACTAATTAATAGTAAAATAAATATTAAATATTAATCGTTTAAAAAATATTTAAAATAAATAATAACTTACATTCATAAAATTTGTTTAATTTAATTATACTCTTTTTTTCAGATTCTGAATTACGTTTTTTGCAAAATACTTTATAAATTTCTAAAGGCTTTAGAGTTATCTTTAAAGTATATATAAAAACGATAGCTGCACTTCCAATAGAGATAGGAGCTAAAAATGGGTTTGAAAAATTAATAGCTAAATCCAATCCAACTTTATTCTATAAGTAAAATTTACTGAAGAAATCAAAAAATATTTAGATATCGAAAAAAGTATTCATGCAAGACAAATAATGAAGCAAAAAGCTAAAATATAAGAGGTTTTTAAAATGCTAAGCCATTTAGTTATCTAGCGGTTTTGATTTTCTGCAAAATTTGAATACTAAATAATTTTGATTGTAATTTTATTTAATAAACTTTTTAAAATAATTTATTTTTACCTAAAAATTTATCAGAATAGAATGAAAATATAAAGTAAAATAGGGATGCAAAATAAATTAAAGGCATTCCATTTCCGAACGTCATCATAAAGAATAGAACTACTAAGTGTTAAGCATATCTGTATTATATATTAAATTTAGGACCTTACCTCAACTTAAGCCATTCTTTATTATTTTTGCATTTAGTTTTATTTTAATCGCATGTGCAGCTTTAATCAAAAAAGTATACAACTCTTGATATTATAAAATATATTTAAATTAAATATATTTTTCATGCATAATTAATTAATTAACTACCTTTTATAGTAATAGAAAAAAATTTTCCCTAATGGATTACTGAGTGCTTTAGAAAGTAAGCTGATCGAAAATATAATACCTACATTTCTATACCATTCAGGATTAAAAGCATAGTACTGACCTGAGGCAAATACTTTTTACATGAAATTATCATAATTAGTATTAGAGTTGTTAGAATTGTAATTCATATTGGTTAAAAATACAATAAGGGCCTTTTAATTTAATTAAATTTAGAAAATTTTTTAAATACTTATATTTTGATTGTTTAAATAAATATTTACTGTGTTTATGAAAGAGACAAGAAAGATCTTATTTATTGTTGAGTTCATCTAGTTATTTAAAAACTTTTCCTTCTCAAACTTAGATAATTTAGAAAGTATTTTTTGTATAACAAAGTTAACTATGAAGAGTACAATAACGATTCCAATAGGAAGGAAAAGTTTTGATAAATAGTTTTGATACCAATCATTACAGATAGAGTACAAACTGGATTGTAAATGATATTAATAGTTTTTTAACCAACAAAAACACTCTATTAAAACTAATCTGTCATAATCTGATGTATCTTAAGAAATATGTTCAATATCCTCTTTTGTTATTGCTTAAAACTATGATGTGTTACAATTAACTGATGGATATTAAATTGTTAAAAATTTAGGTAGTGATTTTATAATCCCTATTGCAACAAAAGCTTTTTTAAGTTTAAAAAGAAAATATTTCAATAAAAAAATTTTATTGGTAGAATAAAAAGAATTATTTACATCCCACTAAAATAATTATTGACACAATAAATGAAAAAAGTTGTCTAAAAAATCTATTTGTAAATGAGTAATATAAATTTTTCCAATTAATGCTATCAGGAGTTACAGTCTTTTCAATTACAAGTACTTTTTAGCAAAAGTGAATTTTATGACTATTAAAATCTTAATTTTTACTAAATAAATTTCTGATAGCATAATAAATTTTGTAAAAATAAACAGTAATAATTGAGCGAGACAAAAACCTAAAAGCTCTCTGCTTCTAATCCATTGTTTCAAAAGTTACCCAAGCAAAATTAATACCATTTTTTTATTAAGACATATCAAAGTCTTTCATTTTCAATTCCTAAATATCAGCCTTTAGTTTAATTATTTTTTATAAATCTATATTCGCCTTCGATTTTAATTTAAGATCTTCTATCAATTCGTAAATGGCTCTCAAATGGTTAATTGTTACATTCTATTCAAACTTCAATTTGCAATTTTCTTTGTCATATTTTTTCACAAACTTAAAGATATGCTTTTCAATATGCTTTGATAGCTTGCAAATTTTCTTTTAATATTTTATCTGAGTGAATTTCAAACCCAATTTTATGTCAATTATTTTAATTTAATCCTAATTTTTTTGCTTACTCTTATAATCAAGATACTTTTTAATTAAAAAATAAAAATATTTTATTTAAACAATAAAATTTATTTGAAAATTAATTTCAATATTAAATTTTAAACAAAATTATAAAAAAATATTTATTTATAAAATTATTTTTTTTTACATTTTAGAGATGCTCCCATAACTTAGATACTAGCTAATCTTATTATATATCAGGTAAATTTTTTATTAAAATAGTAAAATTCTCAGCCATGCAGTTATTTATTGTAATTTAATCAGAGATTTTTTTGTTGCTTTTTTTCATACTAATTTAATTTATTTAAAAATATGAAGGAAATTTAAAAAATCAATTTACGAATAAACAGCTATTAAAAATATAAAAAATATAACAGTGTCAACCATAACTATGAATATTGATAAGCTAAATTTAGAAATCTAAAGAGATCCAATATTCATATAAGAATTTCTGCAAGGTAAGGAAATAAAAATCTAAAAAGTTTTTAGCATTTCTGTACATTCATCTGTTTTTTAAAATGCTGTTTGAATAAACTCATTATAGTCAATATTGCACTAAGGCTAGTTTTAGCATTTTTCACTTAAATACTAATAAGGATCACTATTACATTTAGGTATAATATTTTCAAATTAAGTGAATTAGCAACCATAATAATTTGTGCTGTTTGATGGTTATACTATTTTCAAAAAAATAAATAATAAATAAATAAAGTTGTTAATTTAAAGTAATATTACCTAATCCAACTCTATAAAAATTTACATCTAATGTTCCAGTTTAACAAATTATATAATTGTCTTTTAATTGTTTTAAATCCTGATAATTTCCCATCAAGCAAGACCAAACATCTATTTCAATAAAATATAATTATTACTTTTTTTAAATATTAACAAATAAAATACTAAAGACATATTAATTATATATACCATATCCCCAAGTTCCTACAAATGTATATGCAAGGTAACTACTGTAACTTTCAAGTTTAGTCATATTACTATTTATTGCAGCTTTTTTTTTGTTATTTGGTTTGTTTTTAATCTAAAAATGTTAAAAGTAATTTTACTTTGTATATAAAGATACATGACAGGTGTTGAGAGAATGAAAAATAAAAAAGAAAGGAGTATTAATCCTTTAAGTTATTTAAAATAAATACTGATGGCAATTCCTTGCTAATCAAGATCTGATTTCTTTTTAGATATAATAAAGCAACAACTAAATCCAACATATGTTGAACAAAGTGATTGACAAGTTGTGTATGGAACAAGCTATTTATTTTCTAATTAATGACACATATGCATGAATTTAAGTTTTTCTTTACATTCTTCAACATTAACTGAATTATTTTTACCTTATTCTTCTAAATTAATCTAATAATAAAAGCAACTTGAATATTATTGAATATATATATTAATAAATAATTTTAGAACTATTATTACTTCTACTTTCTAAAAAACCTCCACTTTTGGCATCACTACGTTTAAAACTAGAGTGTTCTTCTTTTAAAGATAAGCTTATTCCCTTAATCATCAAATAAAATTTATAAGCTTTAAAATGATCTAGAAATACATAGTAGAATTTACATTTATCCCTCATTTTCTTCTTAATTATAATTATCAATTATAAAAGAGCTTTTATTTTAATTGATATCTATATGGATATCTTATTTATTATCATTATTGCTGAGAATATTATTATTTTAATCCAGATTATCAGCTTTTTCTAGTTTTTTGGATTCCTGATCTATTGTTTTTGATTCATTTTTAAGAGAAAAAATCATTTCTTTGTCATCTTTAGAAAATTTATTTAATTTGAAAAATATAAAGATAAATAAAATTACCTTCTTGCTCCTCAAAAATTTAGTCACCTAAATTTTTTTTAACTTATTATAAAAGTATATTGCCATTTTTCAACATAGTGATTTAAAAATAAAGCAGATATTCAAGATTTCTATTGTAAATTCGGAAAATCAAAGTTTATAATTAATTACTAAACAGTTAAATAATTTTCTATCTATTGATTAAAACTCAGTATTAATATTATACAAACTATAAGATTCAATATTTAATTAAAATTTATTGATAATCAGTAATGATTAACAAAAATTTATGATTCTTTCACTTTAACAAATAAATTTTTGATTAGGTGATCTTCATATTAAAATTTTTATGAGAAGATACTTATTTAAAAAATAGACAATTTGAAATTAAAAAAAGACCTTTTAATATTTCTTTCTAATTTTTTATTTCATAATAATTTATCAGATATTGCATATCTCTTTCTATATTTTGTATTTTAATTTAAAATTCATTTATTTATTTTAAAGTATGACAAAAAATATTGAATTCGGTATATTTATTTTTATAGATTTAGCAATTCAATTTTTTAATAATATTTATTATAACAAAACTCTCATTAAAATAATTTAATTTTTATTAAGTTTAATCCTTGTAATAATTTAATATAGATTGGAGTATATATATATTATTTATTTAAATATTTTCTACTAACAAAAAAAAAATTCAATTTCTTAAAAAATATAATTGAGTGACAAAAAAATTTTTATTTTTAAAAAAATGAAACAATAATTTGAAAAAATACATTAATTAATAAGTATAAACTGTATATATAAAGGTAATTCTATTAAAATATGATAGAAAGATTATAATTTTATCTAAAAAAATCAAAAAATAGTAATTAATTAAATTAAAATAGAAGTAAAATACTGTTTTATTCTGATAATAAATTTAAAATAAATTAATGTATATAAATATTCAATCTTACTTAAAATAAAAAAATACATTTCAATTAAAATAAACAATCCAAAAAATATTGATTAATTCTTGTTTTATTTTAACTTAGATTTTTTATTATTCAAGTAAGTTATTTTACAATTTTTAAAAATTTTATACTAAATTTTCAGAGATATGATTATGCTCAATCTGATTATGGTTGTGCTTGCTTCAAAATATTATAGTTTTATATTTAAACATTATCTAATACGCTTGCTATAAATAACTTATTACTCTTTAAATTCATATTTTGATTTGGTTGGAGTAAGGTTTTTGATGGAGGGTGATTCCATCATCTAAAGTAGAATAATTTTCTTACATATTACTTTCTTATTTTTTATGTTTTAAATCGTCATTTATTTTTAAATTAGAATTATCTTCTTGTAAGCTATCTAATTATGAGTTATATTTAACTAATTTTATTTAATATTATAAATAGATTACTACTTTTTTCATAAAATAGCTAAATCAAACAAATTATGAGTTCTTGCTTGCTTTTAGAATTTAATTCTTATTCACTTTAAACAATTGATTGTTTTTATTTTTCATCATTATTGTAGGTTGATTTTATGAATTTAAATTAAAAATAATAATTCATTTGAGTATCTGTTTAGATTAATATTTTAGTTAGAATTTACATTTACATTTTGATTAGAATTTATATCTATATTTTAGTTTGTATTTATATTTACTGAAATTTATTTAGTTACTTTGACCATTATATTTATGGGAATTACTTTTTTTGATCTTAAATATTTATTTATGTATTTTATGCTGTGATTTTAAATTTTTATTATTATTTTATATATATCTTAGAAATATTTGTATTCCTTACTGCAATTTTTGAAAAATTCAAATAAAAATTATTATTATTTTAGTGCTAATAGCTAGTTAGAAAAAATTTTTTTAAATAAATTTTGTAAAACCTTGTAAACTTACTCTGAAGGCAAAAAATAAATATATAACAATAATTTAAAATTTATATTCTGATTTTTAATTATAATTTTTATTAAATATTTTGAAAACCAAATAAGTATTCTGAGGATATATATATATTTTGCTTAAATATAAATAATTTATATAAATCATAATTTAATGTTGAGGTTTTGTAATCTTTAGATTTTGCCATCTAAAGAATCTAAATCAAATAGAAATTTAGATTATTCTTAATAATTATCAACTGACCTTATTTCAGATAACACTTCTTTGGAGATATGAATTATCTGCTTATTTTCTTTTTCCTAAATTTATAAATTTGTTTCGATTTTATGATCATCTTGGTTAGACAATACATTATATAGAATAATTTCTTCATCTTATTAGCTCTATTTAAAAAATGCATTTTATTTGCTTTGGCCATTTACTCCTTGGAGTCCTTTTTCACCTTGGAGTTAAAAGATTTCTTTAGACACAGGACTACTAACTATTACTTAATTTGATTCTTTTACATGGTTCAAATTATCATTTGTTTAGGAAGCACTAATTAAGTTGTTAGAGTTAATAGGTAAACTTAAGTTTTCAATTTTTATAGTATTTTAGAGAGTCTAATTGAATGAACTTCTTAGGATTAGTTTATCTGTTTTCATACTTTTTAAAGTTTTTCTCATACGAGTATACTAAGTTTTTAAGCTCTTATTATATAACTAAATATCTTATATTTCTTACTTTTTAATATCATTATTTTACCATCTGTTAAATGTTTGCTACTTTATAAATTATTTATTTTAGCTTTCCTAACTACCTTCTACGTTATTATTTTAATTAGACTTAATTTATGGTAAACTACTTTTCTTGCAGTCAGATGAATTAATTGGTTAAATATGAGATTAAGTTTACTCAAGCTTCCATATTTTTAAATCTTTTTCCCATCTAAGCTTTCCTAGAAAAGTTTCATTTATCTATTAGTTAATTTATGTTTATGTTAAGTTTTTTTCGAAATAAATTTTACTTTATAATCATAAGAGTAATTTCCTAAAAATGTGAGTAGAGGAGGATGTTAGTCTATCTAATTAAGATAATTTTACAAAATGTCTTTTTTCTCTATTAGCCTTTATTTCAAGTAAGTATCAGGTTAGTTGTAATAAAATGAATATTCTATTAATTAAATCTCTGTTTAAATTTATCCTTTTTCCATAACTAATTAATAGTTAAGTAAATATTAAATATTAATCGTTTAAAAAATATTTAAAATAAATAATAACTTACATTCATAAAATTTATTTGATTTAATTATACTTTTTTTTTCAGATTCTGAATTACGTTTTTTGCAAAATACTTTATAAATTTGTAAAGGTTTTAGGGTTATCCTTAAAATATATATTATAATTATAGCTATACATCCAATAGAGATAGGAGCTAAAAATGGGTTTTACCAATTAATAACTTTACTCAATGCACCACCTTTAGTTATTATTAAATATTTACTGCAGAAATCAAAAAATATTTAGACATTGAATAAAGTATTAATGGATGTCTAGTAATGAAGCAAAAAGCTTAAATATAAGAGGTTTTTAAAGTGCTAAGCCATTTAGTTATCTAGAGGTTTTGATTTTCTGCAAAATTTGAAGACTAAATTATTTTATTTGTAATTTTATTTAATAAATTTTTAAAAATAATTTATTTTTACCTAAAAATTTATCAGAATAGAATGAAAATATAAAGTAAAACAGGGAAGCAAAATAAACTAAAGGCATTCCATTTCCTAGTGCCATCATAAAGAATAGAACTACTAAATGCTAAGCATATCTGTATTAAATATTAAATTTAGGACCTTACCTCAACTTAAGCCATTCTTTATTATTTTTGCATTTAGTTTTATTTTGGTTCCAAGTACATCTTTAATCAAAAAAGTATAGAACTCTTTAAATTATAAAATATTTTTAAATTAAATATATTTTTCATTTGTATTTAATTAACTAACTAACTACCTTTTATAGTAATAGAAAAAAATTTTTCCTAATGGAAGACCAAATGCTTTAGTAAGCAAGCTGATCGAAAATATAATACCTACATTTCTATACCATTCCGGATTAAATGCATAGTATAGACCTGAATCAAATGCTTTTTACATGAAATTATGATAGGTAGTATTAGAGTTGTTAGAGCTGAAATTCATATTTGTGAAGAACACAATAAGGGCCTATTAATTTAATTAAATTAAGAAAGCTATTTTAATGTTTATATTTTAGTTTTTACTGTGTTTATGAAAGAGACAAGAAAGATCTTATCTATAGTTGAGTTCATTTAGTTATTTAAAAACTTTTCCTTCTCAAATTTAGATAATTTAGTAAGTATTTTTTGTATAACATAGTTAACTATGAAGAGTACAACAACGATTCCAATAGGAAGAAAAATTTTTGATAAATAGTTTTTATACCAATCATTGCAAATAGAGTACAAATTCGATTGTAAATGATATTAATAGTTTTTTAACCAACAAAAACACTCTATTAAAACAAATCTGTCATAATCTGATGTATCTTAAGAAATATGTTCTATATCCTCTTTTGTTATTGTTTAATATTTTTTTGTGTTACAATTAACTGATGGATATTAAACTGTAAAATATGTAGGTAACGATTTTAGAATCCCGACAACAACAAAAGCTTTTTTATTTTTAAAAAGAAAATATTTCTATAAAAAAATTTTTTTTGGTTTAATAAAAAGAATTATTTACATCCCACTAAAATAATTGCAGACACAACAAATGAAAAAAATTTTCTGAACAATCTATTTGTAAAAGAGTAATATAAATTTTTCCAATTAATGCTATCAGGAGTAACAGTTTTTTCAATTATAAGTACTTTTTGGTAAAAGTGAATTTTATGCTTATTAAAATTTTAATTTTTACTAAATAAATTTCGGATAGCATAATAAATTTTATAAAAATAAACAGTAATAATTTAGCGAGCCAAAAGCCTAAAAGCTCTCTGCTTCTAATCCATTGTTTCAAAAGTTACCCAAGCAAAATCAATACCGTTTTTTTATTAAGACATATTAAAGTCTTTCATTTTCAATTCCTAAATATCAGCCTTTAGTTTAATTATTTTTTGTAAATCTATATTTGCCATTGATTTTAATTTAAGATCTTCTATCAATTCATAAATAGCTCTCAAATGATTAATTGTTATATTTTATTCAAACTTCAATTTACAATTTTCTTTGTCATATTTTTTCACAAACTTAAATATATGCTTTTCAATATGCTTTGATAGTTTGCAAATTTTCTTTTAATATTTTATCTGAGTGAAATTCAAACCCAATTTAATGTCAATTATTTTAATTTAATCCTAATTTTTTTACTTGCTCTTATAATCAAGATACTTGTTCATTAAAAAATAAAAATATATTATTTAAACAATAAAATTTATTTGAAAATTTTTAATATAATAGGAATTAAATATTTTAAAAATTGAATTTGAACATAATTATTTAAAAATATTTAGATAAAAAATTATTTATTTTTTGTTTACATTTTAAAGATGTTCCCATAGCTTTGACACTAGCTAATCTTATTATATATTAGGTAAATTTTTTATTAAAATAGTAAAATTCTCAGCCATGCAGTTATTTATTGTAATTTAATCAGAGATCTTTTTGTTGCTTTTATTCATACTAATTTAGTTTATTTAAAATTATGAAGGAAATTTAAAAAATCAATTTACGAATAAACAGCTATTAAAAATATAAAAAATATAACAGTGTCAACCATGACTATGAATATTGATAAAGTAAATTTAGAAATCTAAAGAGATCCAATATTCATATAAGAATTTTTGCATGGTAAAGAAATAAAAATCTAATAAGTTTTTAGCATTTTTGTGCATTCATCTGTTTATAAAAATGCCGTTTGAACCAACTCATTATAATCAATATAGCACGAAGATTAGTTTTAGCATTTTTCACTTAAATATTTATAAGGATCATAATTACATTTAGGTATAGTACTTTCAAATTAAGTGAATTAGCAACCATAATAATTTGTAATGTTTGTTGGATACACTATTTTCAAAATAATAAATAAAGAAATAAAAATATTCCTTAAAAGAAAAATTACCTAATCCAAATTAATAAAAATTTGCGTCTAATGTTCCAGTTTAACAAATTAAATAATTGTCATTTGATTGAATTAAATCCTGATGATTTCCAATTAAACAAGCCCAAACATCTATTTTAAATAAAATATTTTTATTGAATATTAAATAATAAAATGGTAAAGAGATATATATTATACCATATCCCCAAGTTCCTACAAATGTATATGCAAGGTAACTACTGTAACTTTCAAGTTTAGTCATATTACTATTTATTGCAGCTTTTATATTATTTATTCTGTTTTAAATCTAAAATATCTAAATCTAATTTTACTTTGTATATAGAGATACATGACAGGTGTTGAGAGAATAAAAAATAAAAAAGAAAGGAGTATTAATCCTTTAAGTTATTTAAAATAAATACTGACAGCAATTCCTTGCTAATCAAGATCTGATTTCTTTTTAGATATAATAAAGCAACAACTAAATCCAACATATGTTGAACAAAGTGATTGACAAGTTGTGTATGGAACAAGCTATTTATTTTCTAATTAATGACACATATGCATTAATTTGAGTTTTTCTTTACATTCTTCAACATTAACTGAGTTATTTTTGCCTTATTCTTATAAATTAATCTAATAATAAAAGCAATTTGAATATTAGTGAATATATATATTAATAAATAATTTTAGAACTATTATTACTTCTACTTTCTAAAAAACTTCCACTTTCGGCATCACTGCGTTTAAAACTAGTGTGTTCTTCTTTTAAAGATAAAGTTAATCTCTTAATCATAAAATAAGATTTATAAGCTTTAAAATGATCTTGTAATAAATAGTAGAATTTACATTTATTATTTACTTTATTCTTAATTTTAATTATAAATTATAAATGAGCTATTATTTTAGTTGATATCTATTTGGATAGCTTAGTTATTATCATGATTGATATGAATATCCTAATTTTAAACAAAATTACAAGCTTTTTCTACTTTTTTGGATTCTTGATCAATTGTTTTTGATTCATTGTGAATAGAAAAAATCATTTCTTGGCTATCTAAAGAAAAGTTATTTATTTGTAAAATTGAAAGATAGTGAAATTTACCTTCATGCTTATCAAAAAATTAATCACCTAGGTTCTTTTTAACTTATTAGAAAAGTGTGTTGTCATTTTAAAACATAGAAATTTAACAATAAGAAGATTTAAAAAGAGATTATATTGTTAAAAATAAATTTCTACTTTGCAAATTTGGAAAACAATACAAATTATTAATTACTAAACAGTTAAATTATTTTTTATCTCAAAATTAACATTATACAAACTTTAATATTCAATTTTGATTAAAATTTATTGATAATCAGTAATTACTAATAGAATATATGACTCTTTCTATATAAAAAATAAAATGTTCTTTCTTAAGGTAATCTTCTTATTTATTTTGTTAGACAAGATATGAGAATAATGCTAGTAAAATGATAATTCTTCTAACTATTCTTCATTTAGCTTATTAAATTATTTTTCATCTGATTTTTAGAAATCTTCCTAATTTTATGAGGTTAAAGTAAATTATATTTTATTGGTTCTTCTTTTTAGATTAATTATTTATATTTATCAAAGAAACATTAACAGATATATTAAATAATAAGGATAAAAAATAATTTATTTCTTTAATATTATCCTTTTTAAAAAATAATTTTTATGTTAATATCACCCTAATTCAATGGTAGATAAGGTATATATAATGGTGATTCTATTTAAATATGACAGAAGGATTATAATTTTATCTCAAAAATAAAAAAATAATAATTAATTAATTAATTAAATTGAAATAGAAGTAAATTATTGTTTCCATCTGATAATTAGTTTAAAATAAATTACTATTTACAAACATTGAATATTTTTTAAAATAAACAAATATATTTTAATTAAAATAAGGAATATAATAATATTAATTAATTTTGTTTTATTCAAATTTACATTTTTCTTTATTCAAGCAATTTTAAGTTATTTACATTTTTAAAAGTTTTATGGTGAATTTTCAGATATAGGATTATGATCAATTCGATCATAGTGGGGCTTCTAAGTATATAATTCGATATTTTACTAAATTTATCTAACACACTTACTATAAATCACTTATTATCTTTTAAACTCATAATTTTATTAGGAAAGAATAAGGTTTCTGATGGAGAGTGATTTCATCAACAGAAGTAGAATCATTTTCTTATTAACTAAATTACATATTATTTTCTTTTCTTTTATGTTCTAAATCGTCATTTATTTCTAAATTTGAATTATCTTCTTGTATGCCATCTTAATTAGGAGTTATGTTTAACTGGTTTTATTTAATATTATAAATAGATTGCTACTTTTTTCCTAAAATAGCTAAATCAAATATTGAGGGCTTGCTCTTAGAATTTAATTCCTATTCGCTTTAAACAACTGATTAATTTTATTTTTCATTATGATTGTAGATTGATTTTATGTATTTAGGTTAAAAAAAGTATAACTCATTTGAGTCTCTATTTAGATTAATATTTTAGTTAGAATTTATATTTATATTTTGATTAGAATTTAAATTTATGTTTTTGTTTGAATTTATATTTTCGAAAATTTAGTTACTTTGACCAGCATTTTTAGCTACTGATCTGTTATTTAAAAAGAAAATTATGTCTTTTGTATTATTTTTATCTGCATATATTGATGTGGGTGGGGATTGCTTTTTTTGATCTTTTATATTTTATTTTAGTATTGAATGCTGTGATTTTAAATTTTTATTATAATCTTTTATTTCTTAGAAATATTTTTATTACTTCTCTACAATTTTTGAAGATTCAAATAAAATTTATTTTTATTTCAAAGCTAAAATCTAGTTAGAAAGTATATGAGAACCTAATTTTTAATCGCTTGAATTCTCTCTTTGATTTGTTTAAGCATTCGATTACTTATTCAAAGCTTTTGATTATTCTAAACGCCATATTTTTAAATCTTGATACCATCTTAATTTATCTTTGAATTTTTTACTCAACTATTTATTTTAAAAGTTTAAATAATAATAATAATAATATACTGTATGTATCAAAGTTTGTTAGTTTGTTAGTTTATTTGTTTATTTTTTTAATATTAAAATTAAAAACCTCTTAATCTAAAATTTAACTTTATAAAAGGGGATTTTAAAAGAGAGAATTTATAGTATTTAAATTTTCAAGATAAATTATTAAGTGAAAAGTAAGCTTTTGATTACTTTGTAATCGTAGGAATAAGATCCTAGAAATGTCATCTTTGGCTCTTAGTTATCTCTTTATGCTAATTGTAATTCTAACTATTCTAATCTTTAAATCATTTTCTAAACTAAATAAGTGTCTTTAGAGTTAACATAAATAGTGTAATCAGCAATATCTAATTCTGTTATGATTTATTCCTTAGATAAAACTGTTTATTTATTTATTTTTTAAATATTATTGTTAAATTTATCAATTTAGTTTTTCTAAATAAATTTTATACATTCATAAAAAGAATTATTTTTGATTCTACTGTTTTTCTCAGAAGCAGGAGTTTTTTTTCTAGTAAAAGCAGTGATAATTGTAAAAGGATTAATACAAAAGCTAAGTATATAGGTTAATATGATGATAACTATGCCAAAGTATTAGGGTATAAGATATCTATTGTCTACAATATTATAAATAAAAGGCTCTTACTCAGATGTAGATTTGTCTAAACTTTTTTTATCTTAAATGTCATAAAAAAGCAAAGGACTACCAAAAGTAAAGGAGCTTACAACCCAATGAAGAAAGAAGCTGAAATAAAGAATTTTTTGAAAAAGCTAAGACATTTATTCGTCTGAAGGTTTGGGGATTCTGCATACACTGAATACTATTTAAATAAATGAAAAATCATTTAAAAAATAAGAAGCAGGATAAATATAAATTTGATTGCTTACTCAAGTATCTGTCAGCCATTAGTGTAAATAAAAAATACAAAAAAGTTATAAAATACATAAGAGGTATGCCTGATCCAAAAACCATCATTAAGTATAAAACTTCTAAACTTTATGCATATCTGATTTCTAAATTGAATTTTGGACCTCTCCTTAATTTTATAAATTCCTAATTACTCTTGCATTTTGTAGCTCTTATATTGGCTGTATAGCCTTAATCTCTCCATATTTCAAACCTTTTATTAAATTTTAACTTTCTTTTACTTTATTTGATAATAAAATTAATACTTACTTTTTATATGCATAATAGAACAGTTTTTCTAAAGGAACAAAAAAGCATTTAGTAATTATTGTGATTGCATAAATAACTCCAACATTTCTGTACCACTCTGAATTTAAATCATAGTATTATCCATTAGCAAATACCTGTACCATAAACTATGACTAGTCTTAATCTACATTTTATTATGATCTATTAATAAAATAAACCACTAAAACCTAATTATTTAAACAAATTTATTATATAGATATAAGTTATCAGTTAAAAGATTTACTGAATTGATGAATGAAATAGTAAATAGTTTTAGGATAATAGAATTTTTCCTTTTATTTTAATAGACTTATTTCTCCAAATTCGTAAATGAAGTATATATTTTTTTAAATATCCAATTCACAAAAAAAACAACGAAAACAATACCAACAGGTATTGATAGCTTCTCAATGTAATTTATAAACCAATCTCTGCAAACAGACTTTAAATTTGTGTCTTGATTGAATTGGTAATTGCTTTTCCAGCAAAAACACTGAATATAAGCCTTTTTTTGATAATCAGGTATGGTATCAGGTAAATTTTGAATATATTTAAGAGTAAGGTTAGAAAAAAAGGAAGAATAGCAGTTTGCTTAAGGATAATCATCAGTGAGCAATCTATCTAATGATCTTAATATTGCAATACCTATGAAGGCTATTTTTATAATATTATAAAATAAATGTATGTTTTACCGAATATTCAATAAACTATAAATTAATTACAAATAACAACTATAGCTATTGATGCTATTATTAAAAACAGCATTCTAAAGAAAATATTAATTTTAGAATAATAAAGATTTTGCCAAATTATGCTATCTGGAGAATAAGGTGTTTCAAGGACTAACACTTTTCTCATAAAGTGAAGCTATTTTATTTAATCATTATCACTTTTTTTTTCTTTTTGGAATCTCTCTTGAAACTTATAAATTATCGTATAATAGATATATTTTATTTTAGATGTCTATAAAATATTCCATGCTTATTATTTTTGCTCCATAGTTTCAAATGTCACCCAAGCGTAATCAATTTTATTTTTTTTTTAATTAAACTCAAAATCTTTTGTTCTCAAGGAAAAAAGTTCCTGTTTTAAGTTTATTATTTTTTGTAAATCTAAATTAGCTTTTTCTTTCATGTCAATATCTTAAATGAGCTCATAGATTGCTCTCAAATGATTTATTGTAACATTAATCAGGTCTTTAAGTTTTTAATTTTATTTACCATATTCCTATAGAAAGAACTGAATTAATCTTTCTAATTTTCCTTATATTTTTCCTTACTAAACTTAGCATTTAATTTATCTGTATCTGTAACCAAGCTTAATATCAATAATCTTTATGGGCTATTTATTATTTGTTTAGCAATACTAATCTAAATACTTTTATTTTGATTAATTCAATATTTAGTTATTCTATTTTTTAAAATTACATTTTATAGATGTTCCCATAATTTTGAGGCAAGAAATTTTTGTTCTATGTCAGGGAGATTCCTGATTAAAATGCTAAAATGCTCGGGCATACAATTATTCATCGTTATTTAATTTATTGTGAGCTAATCACTGTATGTCAGTCTATATTTTAAATGTTAAAAACCTAATATAATTTTATAAATATAGAAATGATATTAAAAATCAAATGCAAATTACGAAAAAACAGCAATCAAGAATATAAAAAATATTATATTATCAGCAATAACACAATATATTGAAAGGTCTGATTTTTAAATCTTAAAAGAACCAAAATCTACACTAGAATTTGCACACGGAAATGATAAATATATCTAATTTTGAAGAAAAAACTGTTTACACTTAGCATCCTATTTAAAGCTTTTCTGTATCATTTCACTAAAATCTATCTAACACTGAGTTTTATTATTACATAATTCAGTAAAATATTTTTCAGGGCTCGAAAGGCAATTCTCATCAATATTCTCAACTTAAGCAAATTCACATCCTAAAAAATTTTCAGAGTTACTTTAATCAACTGTATTTATTTTCATATAAAATCATATAAGTAAAGTTCTTTAAAATTAAAATTAAGTTAATTTTTCAAAAATCTAAATTAATTTTTTAATAATGAAAAACATCATTAATTAATTATTTTAAAATTCATAGTTTTTTAATATTAATATTTTTTAATTAGAAAAATATTAAGTGTGAAATATTTTAACTAATTCCAAATCTCATAAAGGTTGTATCAAATACTCCTGTATCACATTGTAATTTTCCACTGTCAAACTTATTTAAGCTCTCAAAAGTACCCATTTTACACTCCCATACATCTATTAATAATCAAATATTTGAAATATAAGCAAAATAATAAATTATATTTTTCAGTTCTATTTTTTTTACCATATTTACTCAATATTTCCCCTTTTATTAACTTTAAAAAAAATATAACGATATGGCTATTTGAAGAAAAGCAATTTATGTCAAATTTTTTTCAGCACTATTATCTTATTATTAGCATATATGATATATAATTTAATATTTAATAGTAACAAAAACTTTCTTATTAACATTTTTTTAGCATCAATATATCTCTATTTGTAAAGAAAAAACTAAATTTATAATTCCTAAAAAGGGATTTAGTTGATAATTTTTTATTATTATTTAGAGGCAAATATTTAGAAGAATACAGTTTTAAAATATGCATGAGTCAAAATTTACCATATCCCCAAGCTCCTGCAAATGTGTAAGCCAGAAAACTGCTATAGTTATTGATGGTTGACATATCTCCTTTCGAAGCAGCTTATATTTTTTTAATTAAATTAATATTAACAATAATATTTCATTTTTATTTTTAACAAAACAAATACATACCCATAGAATAAAAAACAATTGTTGGAATAGATATGAGCATAAATAACAGAGTAAGCCATACTAATCCTTTCAGTTGTCTAAAATAAATATTGATAGCTATTCCAAGATTGTTTAAACTCGATTTCTCTTATGAAGAGTAAAAGCATCCACTACATCCAACTTTTGTGTTGCAATTAGATTTACAGAAGTTATAGTCAAGTTTTTAGTCTTCTTCAGTTTTATATTAAATGTGCATTTTTTTAAGCTTCAAAAAACATTCATCAATATTAACTTTCTAATTCTTATCTTATTCAGCTAAGTCTACCTATTCATTTAATATTTATTTAGATTTTATTTCCCAATACTTAGTCTATTAATTTTACTTCTACTTACTCAAAAGCTGCTGTTTTTGGAATAGGTACACTTAATATGATAGTATTTACTCTCTAGCGGTCTTATTCATCACTCTCACTTAAAATAAATCAAATATTATAAATTGATTTATAAAAAAACTATTCTCCAAATCTTAAATCATACATAATGCAATCATGTTTTATATTATTTTCATTAGGATAAATACTCTGTTAAAGTTAAACCTCTATAGAGTTTTAGTAACTATGATCTAAAATTTATATAGTTCCATCACTGCATGGTTAAACGAAATTATTTTATATATTTGGTTCTAAATTAGCAGAAATATCTATTAATTAATTAGTATCGCTTAATTACTATCATAACTAAACTATTTGAAATTTTTGCAAATAATTTTACTCATTAGATCATTGGAGCTATATGACTCATCGCCCTTTCTTTTTTTTAGATATACAAATACTTCAGATGTATTTTAATTCATAATTGCTTTTTAAAATGAATAAAATTTAACAATCTGAACAACCAAAATTCACTGAAGATATCAATTAAATTTTCTATTAGGTTAGTCTATATAAAAGTGTAATAAATTTACTTTAACTATAAAAAAAAATCTAAGTATTAATTCAACGATATTCGCATGTAATTTATTTTAATAAAATATGATTTAATAAGCAAGTATTAATTAATTAACAATGAAGGTTAATTCAATATAAAATTATATCATTTTTAAAATTTGATTTTTTTTTAATCAAACTAATTTCAAATTGTAATTAATTATAACATCTAAATAACCTTTGAGCAAAAATTTAACTATTTTAATTTACTAATAAACTATCTTTTAAAATATTTTGTTAATTTATTCTTATGAATTTGTTTTATTGTTTTTACTTCACATTTCAATTTTTAAAGTAACTTTTTAAGAAATATTCTATTTTTAAAAATACTTTCTATTTATCATTTGCACGAATTAAAATAATTAATGATTTCTATCAATTTTCTTAAATTTAAAATTAATCAATTTAAAATATTTTATCAAATAATAAATACCTTTTTTGTCTAATTTAATTAAAATTTACTTCAAATTTTATTTGTATAAATGTTATTTTTAATATTAATTATTTATTTTATTTTTTAATATTCTTAGCACATTTAAAATTATAATAAATAATGTAAAATAAATTGATCATTTAAAAGGATTGTTAAGAAAAATTAATTATTTTATTAAAATAATTTGCAATTATAATAATTTTGTATTTGATAGTTGGATATAGGCGAAAATTAATATTGGATGGATTTGACCAAATAAATAAAATATGTTTTTGCCTAATAAAAATTTTGTTAACTATTCTCTAAAATATTTATGAATATCCAATGAATACTATGAATTAAAGTTACTTTATATTAATAACCAAAAATCACACTTTAAAAATAAAAAAGTGGCATTTATTTAATAAGGATTCCCTTTTTTTATTTCTATTAATAGAATAATACAAGAATAATTTTAATCCATTTTTTATTTTTATTTTTTCATATTTTATTATTTAAACATAAATTGACTGGGCTTGTAAAAAATGTTTAGGATTTAAGTGAATAATATAAATCATCTTTTTAACTATAAATATTTTAAATAAATAAATAGTTTTAAATTATATAAGAAAAACATTCCCTCTACTAAATATAATATTGATAAACAAAGACTTTATATTTCCCCTATAAATAAAAAAAAGACATTCATTATTAAAAGGATTAATTTTGTGTTAATATTATTAAAAATATTAACATTGTATAGTTTAATATATATATTGTTTATAGGCTATTGAGATTAGTACTTTGTAAAATTGAATTACTTATTTATTAAAATAATTCTTTAGAAAAAAATTTAAAACACCAATAGAATTTAAAATAATGAATTACTAGATAATTAGCAAGATTTTCTTGTGAGCAAAAAAAATATGTTTTTGTAAATAAATAGTTTTTAATTATTTAAGAAAAACATTCCCTCTACTAAATATAATATTGATAAGCAAAGACTTTATATTTCCCCTCTTTAAAAAAAAATAACATCTACAATAAATATAATAAAAGACATTCATTATTCAAAGGATTAATTTTGTTTTAATATTATTTAAATTATTAATAAATTATAATTTGATGAATTTTTTGCTTTAGATAACGTTATTTTTTGAGGTTAGCACTTTGTAAAATTGAAAAAAGACATTCATTATTCTAAGGATAGATTTTGTATTAATATTATTTAAATTATTAAAATTATATATATATCTATTGTTTAGACAAGGCTATTTGTAGAGATTAGCACTTTGTAAAATTGAAAAAAGAAATTCATTATTCAAAAGATTGATTTTGTATTAGTATTTTTAAATTATTAATATTGTATAATTTGATATTTATATATATTGTTTAGGTAAGGCTATATATAGATTAGCACATTGTTAATTTTGAATTACTTATTTATTGAAATAATAGTTTAGAAAAAAATTTAAAACATCAGTAAAATTTAAAAAGAATGAATTACTAGATAATTAGCATGATTTTCTTGTGCGCAATAAATAATATGTTTTTGTAAATAAAAATTTTTAATTATCTAAAAAAACATTCCCTTTACTAAATATAATATTGATAAGCAAAGACTTTATATTTCACCTCTTTAAAAAAAACATCTACTATTATTAAAATAAAAGACATTCATTATTCAAAGGAATGATTTAGTATTAATATTATTTAAATTATTAATATTGTATAATTTGATATATATATATATATATATTGTTTAGATAAGGCTATTTAAAGAGATTACACATTTTAAAATTGAATGTTATTACTTTTTTATTGAAATAATTGTTTAGAAAAAAAAAAATTAAAACATTAGTAAAACATAAAAGAATGAATTACTAGATAATTAGCATAATTTTCTTGTGCGCAATCAAAATATGTTTTTGTTCTCATTGTAAGCCAAATTAAATTTATTCTTTAATAGATTAATCTTGTCATTAGTGTTCAAATTCATGTAACACTTGCTTTAATACGAGTGAATCTGCATGTGTTACTTGTGAGGATAATCTTTTTAAGAGCTCTGATGATAGTTCTACTTGTGTACAAAAATGTTCAAAAGATGAATTTTTAAATGAAAATTTAGAATGTATGAAGTGTTAAGTCTACGGATGTGCTAAATGTGATACAAGCTAAATATGTAATTAATGCGACTAATAATTTAACCTTGATAGAGCAAATAATCAATGTATTTTAATGAATAATGTTTGCCCATTTTAAACAGATTTTATTTAGGGACCATCAAACCTAAAATAATGCAATTAAGAATGTCCATAAAGCTTTTATTAGAACATGGAAGCACAAATTTGCGAAGAGACTGTAAAATGTATTTAAATTGAAGAAAGCTAAAGGTTTTCTTTCACTTAAAGGGTTAAATAAATATAGCCAATTAATGAGGATTAATATTTAGTAGAAGGAAATGCTTGTACTTTTGCTCTAGTAGATAATAACTGGAAGGTGATTAACATATAAATCCTTTAAAATATAACAAATTATGATTAAATATATACTTTCGGAGGAATAGAAACAAATAATGAAAGTTTTATTATTGGAAATTAAGGAGGATGCGTTTCTGGCAGTAAATTGTTGGTGATGAATTTTTAAACATTTGAAGTTGTATTTGAGAGTATTACAACATTTGATTACTTTGTTAAGTATGTAGACTAAAAAAATCAAATTGTTTTTATGCTATCATATTACTCAGATAACCTTTTATGGTATGATGCTATTAACAAAAGTTTAAACTAATATCAGATAGGTTTTTAAACAATTTTTTTATTTTGTTAAATTCAAAGCAATAATACAACAACTTATATTATGTAAAAAGATGATTAATCAATTTATGTAAATTTCTTATTTTTTTAAATTATTTATTTATTTATTTAATCAATTTTTTAAAAAAAGAAAGGAGTTTTGAATGAATAAAGATAGATAATTTTTCAAACTGTTAATTAATTGAATTTAGATTATTATTATTTTTTAGATATAACATAATACAATGATTTCTTTATTTTGACTTCCGTTTCTCCTGCTTTAGTATCTTACTCATTAGAAATTATAAAAATCGATATTAAATAAGATTTAATATCTTTAGTTTAAGTTATATAACAATTTGATGGGTATTAAAATTTATAAAACTTGCAAATTCATTATTCGAGCATTCTTAATTGTATTTTTGTTCAAAATATTGAAAGTTTAAATTTAGAAATGTTCATTCTAAATGAATAGTCTGATTAAATAATTTCAATGATGAATTTAACTAATTCATAAATAAATTCATTTCAAATTTTTGAAGATACAGTATCAAACTCAACTATAGCTTTTATATTTACTGACAATCTCTAAATAGTGAATCTAACAAGTTATTTAATTTCTTATAATTAAGGTTAAGCTTAAAATTATGTAAATTATTTCAAACCATTAGATTAATCATTTATAACTAACATATCAACAATAACAAATATGATAATTCATATGGATTAAAAAGTAATGGATGTCTTCGTTACTCAAATTCTTTCTCAGTACAATGATTATTAATAGTAAATTAGATTAAGATATAATCTGACTGATTATACATTTAAGATTTAATACTTAAATCCTTATTAATTTGGTGCAGTTTATTATGATTAAAATAATCTTATAAGTTAAAATTAATTCGCTCTTACTCATTTTGATAAAATTGATGATAATAAGTTCATTATCTATGGTAGTCATCAGTCATTTATAAATTATACTATAGGATATTTAAAAATATAAGAATCTATATATAACTTTTAAAAAACTCCTGCAATTAATACTAGAAGTATTACTTTTAACTAAAATGATGGTTCTACTGAATAAACTTTCTAGTTTATTGGTTAAATAGGTAGTTAATATATTTTACTTGAATAATCTACAAATTAAATGGTTTATGGCTATATAATCGATATTGAAAAAGAGAAATAGATAATTTCATATAATTATAATTATAATTATTAATAGACAATTTTTGTTTATCTTTAAAATAAAAATCTTTTATTTATATAAAATATACCATAACTCTTTAATCTTAGTAATTCATAAGAGCTTATTGGAAATGATTAAACTCAATTTCTCTCTCTCTTAAGTTATATAATAATCAATGAAGACTACCTTGTTTATTAGTCTATCAATAATTATTAAGAACTAATTTTATATTAATTAGATTTAACTACATTCTCATCTACATAAATATTTAATTTTCATCAAAATTAAATGACTAGTTTTTGGACTCTTGGTAGCGATTAAATATATCCTGTTATATTTGATAACGATGTTATCTACTTTTGTAATATATAGTAATTGCCTATTTGCTAGCCTTTTTCTTTGAAAGCTTAAAATTTTATAATGGAAGCTACTTAACTTTAACTTTTTCCTATAAGTAACCCTACCTTTATTTATCAAAATACAAAGGAAATTTTTTTATTTTATAGCGGAATTATATTAATATGTTCATAAGATTTGAAAATTCAAACACTACTAAATCTAGGAATTTAATATCCTTCTAGTTAATACTCAAAATAATTAAATATTTTTTAAAGTGAGAGATATGTGTTTTATTATGATTCAACCTATTTTTATAAATTCGATATGGAGTTAAAAAAATTCTAAGTTTTAGAAGCTGAGATATCAAAAGTTTTGGAATTACAGGAATAAATAAATTTTTACAATTTAAATAGCACTTTTTATGTAAAATAATCAGGAAAAATAATTGACACTGAAAATATGATTATTTTAAACACATAATAAGAGGATAATAACAATTTCATTGGTTAAATTAAAATAGATGAATCATAATTACACATATTCGAGTCTGTAAATGGAGTTTATTGGTATAAAAACTTGTTAAATATGCCTTTTAAAGTATTAAATTTTACTTCAAGTTAAATTCTATAAGATCTTTATTTTGAATAAGGGTAAAATTTAATAGCATTATATGACAGCAGTTGCTAATGTGTTTAAATTTATGATTTTATAAAAAACATCAAATTGATCAGCTAAGTAGTGTTTAATGTTAAATTCGATTTAACGATTAAGTTAGTTGATTGGAATAATTATAGTTTTATTTACGTGAGTGGTTCTACTTTTTATCTTTAAAATCAAAATAATAATATTATGAATGAATAAATTGGTTTATTAGACTCAAATGTCATAGAATACGAATATTGTTTTTAACAATAGATTATTGTTGCCAAAACTTAGTAACAAAATCTATACATAATTAAAGTAATTTTAATTTTAAGAATTTATTATTTTAAATTTTAATTAAATTAAATAAAATAGATTTAAGAAAAAGCCTCATCAAAAGTAAAAACAAACTTTTAATAAATGAGTGGTTAGATTGTTTTATAACTTAAATTTGCTTTGAAATGTAGTGAAAATATATTAATAATTTATTCTCCTATTGTTTAAATTATCAATTTACTTACTGCATAAGATCAAGAGCAATTTTTATAAGTAATTTAAAATTTATCTTTCATTAAAATTATGTATCATAATTTATTTTTTTATTAAATCATAGTTTAATTAGCGATTAAACCAAAACTAAAACTATGCATAAAATATACCAATTGTTAATGTAAAAGAATAGTTAATAATATGCCTATTTGATATAGAAAATAATTATTTTTAAAGAAATGACTATTTAGCAATAAACGTAGAATATTTTGATTATAGATAAAATAATACAAATATCTATTATGATTTATAGTATAGCGCTTTGATAGGAGTAACTGGAGTTATAAAAAAAATAAATATTATGACTTTTCCAGGTGATTAAAATTTTTTTACCTACTACACAGCAAACTCATTTTTGTAAGGAGCAACATATTATTTTGAGGATCAAACAAGTATAATATTAGTTGATACTACTCCTGTTATATACTTATGTAACTATGTAACAAGAAATATAACAACATTCAATACAATTGTTAAAGATACTTAAGGTATTTAGATGGATTAAAATAAAAATATCATTTTCTTATATTCTTACTAATTTATTTCTGCTTTGAAGTTTCCAGAAATGTAACTTATAGAGATGTTTTCATTACAATAGTATAACCAAGCAAATATCTTATCTATTTACGTAAATTAGCTTATTTAGGTGCTAATAGTTTAAACAAATACTGTTTTTATTGCTTTTGATCTTACAGAAGTACTTTATTAATCAGAAATAAACTTATTATAGTATTAAAATGCTTAGAGTGTTTATTTAAATGAAGACTATTAAATTTATTATAGTATTTCAAATCTCTCACTCAATCTATTTTATAAAGCATAACTTGTTGACTCCTTGCTATTCGAAATCTCCCAATAAAATATTTATCCATATTTAACTGAGCCAATATTAATATCAGAAAATTAATTCATATATATTACATTTAATTATTTAAATCTAATTTAAGTAAACCTCTAAAACAACTCTTTAGAGCTTATATCTAGAATTCAATTACAAAGTACGCCTGATAACTTCTTTTTTGATTCAAGCTCAAATTAAATACTTTTACTGTACAAGTCAAACTTTTAGTTAAATAGTTTAAATACCAAAATATTTAGTTAAGGTGAGATATTATTAACTAATTTTTAACAAGGTGATATATCAAAAGCATTCATATGTAGTAATTATATTATTGTTCCAAGTAATAACTCTTTATAAATATACAACATCAAATCTAACTAAATAAAGAATATTGTTTTACCTAATACTGAAGGTAAAATAAAATTAGCTTTTAAATTACAGATAAAGTAAATTAAATCACAGGAAAATAATTGGTGGAAAATTCCCTTTGAAGATAATAAAAGATTTAATACATATGATTGGGTTTAAGAAGGAAATTTAACAAAAGATATTTTTATATTGCAAAAGTAAGATAATTAAAATACAATGTTAATTTTAGATTTGCTAAAGATAGAGTTCACTTACCAAAAAAATATAGATAATTGGTAAATAATGAGTGTTGTAAATGATCCTATTAAATAACTCATTTATACTGTTAGTAACGAGGCAACTACAAATATATTTAGATATACTTTAGATTTTTTAACTTCGATTCAAAATCCTTGCTTGAAATAAGCAATTATATCTTTCGATTAAAATTTTGTATATTCTATTTGCCCAAATGATATTACTGTGTATAATGGAATAAGCTTTGAACAATAATTTCCTTCACTAAACACAGGAATTAATGAAGCAAATAATTTAATAAATATGAATTATAATAACCATTTTATTATAGTTTAAAAAAATAAATTATCCATAATATAACTGAAATATAATGACACATATTCAAATATTTATGAATACGAATAAAAAAACACTTTTTTATAAAGTTTTTAGCTAATCATAGATACTAACAATGAAAGATATTCATCTTTATTGGTTTCTAATTACTAAAATATAAGTTAAATTATATTACCCTTATCAACAAATAAATTATGTTCTGTTTTAATTGAACAGCAGGATAGAACATCTGAAAATATTTATTCAAAAACTGTTATTAATGAGATAACTTAATCTATTTAATCCACTTAATAAATACTTTCAATAATAGAAATAGAATACCAAGATGGATAATCTATTGAATAAATAGACATTAATTTTCAAGGCTAAAATAGAGATGAAACACACAAATTAAGCTTGAGGTTAAAATCTAAATATGAAAATTAAATCAAATGGATAAATGATATTTAATTTTCTAATCAAGTTTTTAATTTATTTTTAAAACAAATGTCTCTATCGTTAGCAACTCAAATAAATTTAAATTAAAATGGAATGATGGAAAATTTTTAAATGCTGAATGTTTCTTTAAATTTAAATGAATCACTAAATCTACAAAATTTTAAAAAGGTTTATCTATAATAAGTTTCCATTTAATTGGTAAATTCTAGCTCAATTTAAATTTCGAACTGTGAATCAGTTGTCATAGAATAATTATTCTTAGAAAATATTGAAAGACATGAAAGTTTTATATTTATTTTAAATAACAATACTAACGTTTTAATTAACAATGTTTATCTTTCTAATTCAAGCTCAAGTAATATTTTTTAGATAGGTTACAGTCAAATGGTAAATATTTCAAATTTTAATGTTACAAATTGCTAATATTTATACAAAGTCTTTGATTTATGGTAAATAAATGATCTTAAAATTGTGAATACTTCAATAGTTTAAAGTGATTAATCTACAATTTATTTTATATAAAGCACGATTATTTCAAATATTTAAAAAATCTAACTCACCCAATCAACAAAAAATATTGTAATTTAAATAAAAGAATAAGATATTAATACAGTTTAGTATCTAAGTGATTCTGCTATTTTAAAAGATATTGAGATATTTAATTCTGTAGACACCATATTTTCTTTTAAAACTAATAAATTTGAAGTTTCTCAAATCAATGTTGATCTTCTCTAAGTTTCATAAACTATTTTCACTATTCAAGCTAGTTAAATTAATATTACTAACTTAAATATTAGAAATACGAAATATTTGTTTTCCAAATTAGATATTAATTTAATATATATAATAAGTTTTAATAACTCATAAATAGAAAATGTCAATTCAAATAACAATTAAATTTAGTTCCTTTCAATGAATCAATAAAATAGTGAAGGATATGCTCTTATTTCTAAAGCAAAATTTATGAATTCTACTATTCTTAACAACAATCCCTTAATATTTTTAAATCAATTGTCTAGTATTGATTTAAAAAGTGTACTAATAAAAGATGTAAACAATATAAATAGTAAACACATTTCTATACTTACGATATAAAATTGCGATTTAGTTTCTATTTCTGAGAGCTATTTTACAAAAAATACAAATAGTAATGGTCCAGGAGGTGCTATTTATGCACTTGATAACACTTAGATAACAATATAAAATTCAATTTTTTGGCTTAATACTTGTAAGTTATAAAATGGTGGAGCTATTTATATGATTAATACTATTACACAAGGAGTTTTATAAATATATTAATCTTAGCTAATAGAAAATAAATCAGTTTATTCTTCAGGTGGCTCAATTTATCTCTAAAATAATAACATGATCATGTAAAACTCGGTTATAGCTTCAAATTAAGCTTAGATTGGTGGAGGGATATATTATGTTGAGGTTATGCCAGATTTTTTAATTGATCTATAATAAGGCAATAAAAATAATAATACTTTTAAAGACAATCTAGCACATGTTTATGGATAGAATTTTGGTTCTACTTTAAGGAAAGTATTTATTAATTTAGAAAACATAAAAATTCCTAAAAATAGTGTAAAGTTATATGAAAATAAAGTAATATTTATCAAATAATTTAAAAGTGGAGATTAAATAAATTTTGAACAAATATAATTGCTTGATGAAGAAAATAATCCAATTAGATTTATAGATGTTAACTCAACTGATTTTTCATTACTAAGTAGCGATGTTTAATCTTTAGTGCAATAAATAAGTGTTTCTGTATAGTGGAATTAAGAAAATAAAGAAATACAATGCATTGGATAACTTTAAACAAAATAATTTATAAACGGGGGTTTTAACTTAGATGCTCAGATATTTTACAAACCTATTTCTGAGTTGGTACTAAAAATAGTGAGCAATTCATTTCCTTCATTAAAAGATTCAAATGGAAATATTGTGGTAAATTCAGGTTAAATAGAATTAATTTTGAATATAGAATTAGAGTAGTGTTCAATAGGATAAATATTTAAAAAATACGGTAACTCAATAGCATGTGAATCTTGCCCAGATGGTAAATATTCTTTAAGTTTAAATGACCAAGAGTGTAGAGAATGCCCTGATTCAGCTGTCATGTGCATAGGTTCTAATATCTAATTAAAAAATGAATATTGGAGAGAAGATGAATATACTGACAATATTATCTACTGTAGTTTTAACCCTCAATCATGCTAACCATAACTTGTTTCTTCTAAAGTACTTTTAATCTTTTTAAAATTTTCAACTTAAAATAAACTGTTTTTTTTTTTTTCATCAAATTTCTAATTAAAATGCTTTTATTAAATAAAGTTTTACTGCATTGAAGGATATAAAGGTCCTCTATGTTATTAGTGTGATACATATGGCGAAATTTGGGGAAATAGATATTCAGAAATTTATAATCATGGAGATTGTTACAAATGCGAAGAAAATATTTTAAAAATAATACTTTACAATTTTCTAGTATACTTAATGATTTCTCTTTATATAATTATAATTCTAAGAAGAATTATAATGCAGCTAGAAGTTAAGGTTAAAGGATATTTTTTAAATAAATTGGAAATTATTTATTTAGGATCAACATGTAAGATATTATTCCATTTTAATAGTTTTAAAAAAAATTTATTAAATAAAAAGTAAATTAATCTGATAGATCATAAATTATTTCGAAAATTCTCACTGATCATTTATAAATATTATCGTTAGTATGCTCATTTACTACGAAAATGCCTGCTTTTTTTACTGTACCTATTTAGCTATCAGGAAATTCAGTTAGTGTGGCTAGTAAATCTATTGATTGTGTTTTTTCTAAACACCCAAATTTACAACCTTTGTGGTTATTGTAATTTCTCTGGTCTTTTACTTTGCCTGCAGGAATAATTATTTTTTACTTGGTTTAAGCATTTATTTTAAAGCGATTACAAATAGATTTTTTTATCAGGTATTTATAAACTGCAGCTATTTTTATTTATTTTTACTTTTACCCTATGATAATTACTCTTGCTATTAGATCTATTAATTGTATAACAATAGGAGATAAAAAATATTTAGATCTAGATTTTGGAATTGAATGTTATGATAAACATTAGCATAAGCCGTACATATTTTTATTTACCATTCCTGTTATTTTTATATGGGGTATTTTAATACCTTTATTACTATTCTATAAAATTCACGATGCTAAATCCAAAAAAAAATCGATTATTAAATAAATAAAATATTCTTTCTTATTTGCTGGATATAAAAAACAATACTATTACTGGGAATTTTGGAAATTGTCTTATAAAACAAGTTTGATTTTAATATCTGTTTTACTCAAGCAAGAAATCTATTTAAAGGTAACATACATAAATAATATTTTAATATTAGTTTTAAAATAATAACTTTAATAAATATTAATTAGGTTTCTGTTATGAATCTCTCTTTGGTGATCTAATTTTTTTTATTATTTAAATCACAACCTTATTTAAACAAATATTTTAATAGTTTATAGCAAATATCTACTTTAATATGTATAATATCATTAAATTTGTGTATGATACAGATAGGAGGTGATTAAAATGATTTAATAAATTAAATATTTTGGATAGGTATGACTATGCTTTTTAACTTCCTTTTTGTAGCAATATTAATAATAGGATTATTAAGACTAAAAATTCATAATCAATAAGAGTAACGAACAGGTTTCTAAAATTTCATCTTTTCACTTAAAAATAAATATCCTTAATTACTTGATGTGTAAATATAAAATAATTAAAAGGTAAGTTCTTTGCTTAAGTTTAAAAAATTAAGATAAAAAATAAAATAATTGATGAAAGAATTAAAAAAAAATGACATATTATCCTTAGAATATCAGAAACTTAAATTAGATTCAAAAAATCATTAAGACTCTATTTTTACACAATCTTCTCCCTAAACGCATTAAATAAATTAATTTGAAATAAATGATGAAAAATTTGACACTTTATAAAATAATAGCTCTAATAAAACAATGAAAAATAAATGGTCTTACTACACAAGAAATCCAAAAAAAAATTCAATTTGTAATATTGATTTATTTATTAAAATAATTTTTAAAAAAAATTTTTAAATTTAAAAATAGTCTTAAAAGATAGAATATCTGAAAAGCCAATCTTATTACATAGTAATACAAGGGAGAGTAATAGTTGTGAAACTGAAAGTTCCTTATAAAATAATCAATATAATAGTCACCATAAATTTTAAATACAGCTTTCTCTAGACAAAAGTTGAATGTAACAATCTTATTGGTTTGATTTCCCTTAATTTTTAATAAAATCTTAATATATTGAAATAAATAATTACAGATTATAAATTTAAAAGCTTCAATAATTTTAAATATATATTGTATTTATTGTATTAATTAAGTATTATTCTAAGGTTATTAATTAAATTTAAAGTTTCAAATAATTTTAAAGGCAGTAAGTAAAAAATAATTTTCTCAATCTTTTGCCCTAGCTTTTTAATAGTAAAAATAGAAAAATAATAATTATAATTATAGCTTGAATATTTTCTATAATTAAAAAACTATTAAATAAACCTGCTCTATAAGAAATAAAATGTTATATAAATTGTAACAAAAAGTTAATTAATTAATTAACTGATCAGTTTAATTATATATTGTATCAATAAAATTCAAGAATATAATTAAAAAATTTTATATGACTTTACAAAAATATATGTATAAAAATGATTTATAATAGATTTTTAATAAAACATAATTAAATATTATTCAAATAATTTTCAGATAAATTATATGAGAGCAGATTTTCTCAACTTTTAAATGATAAATCTTCTACTAAATCATACATTATCGAAGAGGGATTTAAGGGAATGTACTCTGAAACTTATTTATAAAATATGATATTTTAGAGTTAGATTGAAATTTAATTAAAATATATTTTTTTAAGTCCAAAAATAATTTAATTATATTAGAGGTATTAATTTTCTTAATCTATTTCATCGAAAATCTTTGATGTAAAAGTGTTAATAAAATATCCTCTTTGAATTCTAGATTCAGCTATTTTAACAATTTACTAAGGAGTTAATTTATGGATAAACTAAAGTTACTCATGAATATGTTCTTCTTCTTCATAAAGCTTATTTATTCTTTTGCAAACAACAGGTAATTCTTGTTGCAATATAATATTTTGTTAAGTTTGACAAATAGCTTTGTAAAATTAGCATCTTTTGCATATTTACTCATTTTATATATTTTAATCTTAATTATCAAAAGGAATTTAACATTATGTAGTATTTTTATCATGGATAAATATTGTAACAACTTTAGCTTAGTTAGATTAAATTTCCTTAGTTATTTTTTATAAATCTTTTTCAGATCTTATAATTACTGATTTCACTTTTTAAAAATCAGAAAAAAAAATAAAAATCCAGATTATAAAGTACATTGAACAAAAGATTATTAATAAAATCGTATTTAGCTTTTAGAATTGTTATTCTCTATTAGTTGATTAGGTATTAAGCAATTATGTTATGTTACCATAGATAAGAGTAAGCAAAAAAATAATCAAAGTTTTTATCATTTCAAGAACAAAAATTATTTTATTAGCTGAAAAAGAATCAACATATGTTTCCATCAGTTTTGAACTTGCTAATAAAATAAAAATAAAATAGGATAAAACTCTGTTTCTATCTTTATCTGCATCTTATTCATAATTGTGATTGTAGATTTTAGTATCTTTTAAGCAATCAATAGATTTATACTAATAAATTATACATATCTTCATAAGAGCGAAAGTGAAAATAATAAAGAAGGAGCAAAATCCTATTTTAAATCCATATGGACTACTAATCAAAGTTAATTATCCTAATAAAAGATTAAAAGACAGATGCAAAGCAACATTTTCCAGTATTATTTTAAAAGAAATGCTATTTGTAAATTAAGTAGAAGTTGGTATTGATAGTAATAAGATATTTGTAATAAAAGCAAAATATAGAATAAAAACCGCTTAATCTGAAAATTGCTATTCGTTGTATATTCTGTATAAAAAAAGAGTCATAAATTATACTATTAATTAGCAATAACCAGCTATAGCCTTTTATCGTACTAATTATGCTAATGAGGACTTATTAAAATAGAAATTAAAAAGACTTAAGTTTAAGAAATCCAAAATATAAAAATTGGCCATTTCTTAATTGCGAAAAATTCTTATTAACACTACAAACTTTTCTATGCCAATAGATAGCCAAATTAATGAGAAATACCAAACTGATCCCTATTAATAAATTAAAAAGCTTAGATAGATTTATAAGATATTGGCGAAAGAGTTAAATAGCAAATAAGTTTTTTCTGCCAACTATCTGTCCATATGTGTATTGGTTGATTTTTTATTTTCTTTAAGAGTTTTTTCCTTATTAAATCTAATTTGGTTTAATTGATATATAAGAAGAAATAAATCTATTAATTAGTCTCTCTAATCTATTTATAGTGTTCAAATATAGAACAAACTTAGAACAGATGAAATAAAATAAAAGATAAATTTTATCCTCCTTAGATAATTTTTTAATTTTGTATTAAATAAAAAGAATTAATAATTTATCAAATATTTGATAAATCCTAACAAATACTATTTATAGAATCTATAGAAAAAATAAATTTCAAATTAAAATAGAAAACTTAAATTAAAAATAGATAGATAGACAGATAGATAGATATTTTTATATTACTATTCTCCAATAATTATAATTTTTCTATGCACAAAATAATTATTCGAGTCAGAAATTTTATTATAGAAAGATATTTATTTAGATTTAAATTTTATTAATCTAAAAATATTATATGTTTTTATAATATAATAATATGATAAAATTTTTTATATAAAATAAATAAAATGAGTTATTTTCTAATCTAATTCACAAATAATTTTTAATAAAAATTTAGAGAATAGATAGCTAAAAGTAAGATATTCTTCAAAATATTTATTTGAAGCAAAAAATAATGAATTTAGAATAAATAATACTATTTTTAGCTTTTTTTCCTAATTTTATCAAAAAGCTTTTATTGAATAAAAGTTTGAATCTATCATTTAATTCAAAAGGATGGATTAATAAATGAATCAATGAACACTTATCATTTATCTAATTTTAATATTAATATTTTTGAATAGTATTTGGCTGTATAAATAATAAATTTTGAATTGATGAAAAGTAAGAATTAACATAATTTTTTTCAAAATTTAATTTTTTATGAAAAAAATTTAACTTTTTCATTTCTAAAAATAGAGAAATTTTTCCATAAATAACTTAAATAAAATAGTTAAATTAAGACTAGAGACTTAAATAAATTTAGGATTTTTTAAAGTATTTTCATTAAACTTTTTTCAAATAAAATATTTTTTTTTCATAAAAAATTTTTTTCATATATTTATTAAACACTCTATCATCAAAATTATTTTTCATTCATTATGTAAAATTTTTTCTTCTTCAAATCATCTTAGATTAGGCAAAAAAATAGGAGCCAGTGCTCAGAATTGCATAGCCCTCAAAAGTGCAAGCATTTTTTAACTATGGGTCAGCAAAATGGTCAAATTACTTATGAGAGCAGATTGTCGCATAAAAATTCAAATTTGGTATATAGTGAATAAAAATTAACTTTTTTGGTAGGGTATAATAAAATTATTAGAATAATTAATTATTCTGAATTCAGTATCCTGTAAGTACTTGATACTCTGCCTGATCCTATTTAGATAAAGAAATATTTTCTAATTAATTTTAAATCAATTAACTAAATTTGATAAATAACTAGTAAGTGATGTATACTTTTTATAAAATTCATATTAATTTAAATTTTATGTTAACAGAATTTATCAAAAGTATTTAATTTGATTCATAAATTAAATATAAATGTGCTGAATTAATTTATCAAATTATTAAAAATACTTATGTTATTAAATTAATGGTCAAGGAATAAAAATTGAAATTTTTCATTTCTTGATTTGGAAGCTGATATTTAGTTTATATGGAATTTAAATCACTTCTAAATGAATAACACCTTATTAATACAATCAACTAAATTGTTACTCTTTGACATGTATTTTTTTTTATTTTTTTATTAAATGATTGATTAATATTGATTAATAATTTTGATGGTCAAAAATAATAATTGAAACTAGTACCTACCTAGATTTTAGTTTCTCTGTAATACCCAAAAATATGATTAAGTTAAAAAATTGAATTAAATTATGTCCACATGAAATAATAAAATAATATAAAGATTCTGTCTATGTATTTATTTTGGTTGATATAGAAATTTATCAAGCTTCGATACTTTAAAACCACGAGATACTTAAAAATATATAATTAAATAATTAAATAAGTAAATATAAATCAATTTTTAAAAATGATCAAAGTTTTATCTTTAGTTTTAATTGTAAACTTTATTTGTATTGCTTGCAGCTAGAAATTTGAATATGATGAGGAAATGGCTAAAAACTTACTAGGATTTTCACTTTTAGCTTACTGCAAACCTGAAAACATCCCAAAAAATAATTGTGGAGAACCTTGTTAAAGAAATCCCTCGAGTTTAATTGATTATTTAGTAATGACTTCTAATAGTACACATACAAGCGGAATAATAGGCTATTCTACTGATCATGATGCTATTATTATTACTTTCAGAGGAACTATTTCTACTGACTTGACTAACTGGATGTACAATTTAGACTCTATAAAAGCTCCTTTTACTGAATGCACTGTTTCTAATTGTAAAGTTCATCAAGGTTTCTTAGATCACTTTAATAACATAAAAGACTAATTAACATAACATTTCAAAGAGTTGAAGTAAAAATATCCTCAAGCTAAAGTAATTTTAATAAATTAAAAAAACATTTTATAAACCCATAACTAATAATTTTCTAAACTTTTCATCATCAAAATAAAAATGTAAATATATGAATCTAAATTATTTATTTATTTTTAAATAGATTTTCCTAACTGGACACTCCCTTGGCGCTGCAATTGCTACAATAAGCTTAGCTCACATTTACAGTCTAAATGAACAATAATAAATTGACATATTCTATAATTTTGGAAGTCCTAGGGTTGGAAATGTGGAATTTGTTAATTGGTTTACTTAGTAAAACATGGCTAAGTTATATGGCAGAATTACGACTGCACAAGATCCTGTTATCCATACTCCTCCATCTAATTTCCCATTTTATTTCTAACACATAAATTAGGAAATATATTATTTAGTAAGTTAAAAAAATGCAACTTACATTTAATGTGAAAAGCCTAATGACAGTAATTGTATTAGAAGTTCAATAGAATACTCAATATAAGACCATTTAAATTATTTTGGATGGAACTTAAAATAATCAAAAAAGCCTTGTAAGTGATTGATTTTTGTGATTTATGTTTTTATTTCAAACAAATTTTGTAATAAATAAACATTTATATTCATATTTCATAATTAAATAATTAAATAATTTCAAAAATTTAATCTATTTTTAAATTTTATTTGAATATTTATAACATAATTTCAAAATTTATTTAGATTAATTAATTTATTAAATTATTTAATATTTATTTTTTAAGTTTTTAAAGTTTGCATATCATAAAAATAATAAAATTTGAAGATTACTGAATTTATTTCAAAATATTTTATGTTAAAAATATTCTCCTTTTTATTAGAAATTAAAAAGCAAGGCTATTTATTTATTTAATATAGGATTTAATTTAAATAATGTAATTAGTGAAATAAGAGAATTTATAATAATTATTTATGTTTTGTTATAAATATTTAATTAAAATATATAAATTTTATCTAATTTTTATTAACCAACATAAATTAACATTTATTCATTTAATAAAGAATGAAACAACAAATAATGCAGCGTGAATAGAAAATGTTTTGATAAGCACTTTGTTGATAATATCTCTTTCTTCAACTAATTGTTGTTAACTTAACTATTTTTTATTAATAACCGCATCTAATCTTGTGTTCATAACTTTCATCCATTCAGAAGGTTATAACGCGATATGCATACAACTTGCATAACTTTCTGGAAGTGTTGGCCACTCATAATTGAATTGAGTCACTTAGTATTCTTTATGAGCATTTACATGATGATCAGAGTGTCTTTCAAAGCGAAAAGAGAGCATATTACTAAACTTATGAGGAGCATTCCATGAAGAGTCATATTGTATGTCAATATCCTAATATTAAGTTAATCCATAATGCTCTATATATTCTATTACTAATGATTCTGCAACACTAATTATTACCATTAATAAATAGAATCCTAGACCATAAAGACCACATATTTTATAAACTACGGTTGGAACTAGTAGTTATGCAATAGAATAGTAAATCATTCTATTATATATACTTAAAAAGGGATTAGATGCCTTATGGAACTTTACAACTCTTTCATTTTCACAGTTCCAAGCTTTGATATAAGTTTGTTAAATTTATCTTAACATATAAGCAAAAATTGATTCGTTCCTCTAAGCAACAACAGGATCTTTCTTTGTTCCGACATACTTATGATGAGACATTATATGGGCAATTTAATAGTGAGCATACATCATTCTCATCAGGTTAAAAATACCTTTTTTTGTTTTATAATAATTAATATCTATTGTAAAAAATAAATAAATGCTTGTTATTAAATATTTTAAATGTTGAGATTTATCTGCCATTTACATATTTAATCGATTAGGATTATTCATGCAATATGCAATGATAATATAAAATAATTAATAATATACCTGCTGATTATTCAAAAGGAGAAAGTCGATGGATCAGCTCATGAGAAACGTTAATAGTGCTTCCCAATGAAAGAGATGCAGAGAAAGCAAGGAAAATAGCTTAGAAAATAGAAAGAGGTGTGAAACAAATTTTATATAATGTATAAATCATCAGCAAAACATCAACAATGATAGCGACATATAATGGGATTGAGTAGAAAATGCTATATTTCTTTTATTTTTCATCTTCTTTGTTATAATTAATGTCATCATAAGGCATAAATCTATCAAGGATTGGAGCAATACAGTGATGGAAAAAGACTAAAGCATATCCAGTCTTTAAATATTCCATGCCAAACACAACAATAAGTGCAATCATAACTGGTGTGTAGAATTTTAGTGAATCAAAAGCTGTATTCAAATTCTACTCAAATTGTTTAAACTTTTTTTCTTACATAACTAAGTGTTATTTCTAATACTTTTTTTTGATTAAAACTGAGCAATTAAAGATTTCTTTTGTTTTTTTATTATTTATTGTTGGATCAATTATAAATTCTATGTGGTGATTTAAGTTATTATACAATTTTTTAATTAAAATAAATAAAATTGTTTACATTTACTTAAAAGTTTATTAAAAAGAAAAAGAAAATTGTGATTCAAATTACATAATTTGAATCTCAAAAAACAAATATTTTGCATCATATATGTAATATTTGATAATTATATAATAAATAAATAGTTTCTCAAGTAAAAACAATTTACAAATATTTATGTTGAATTCATGCATATAAATATCTCTATGTATTATTTTGAATTGCGTTTATTTCTATTTTATTCAAAATAAGAATGAGATTAATAAAATTATTGAGTGAGTCAAGATTTGCTATTTATAGAAATTATCAAGAGTCTTTTTTTCGAATTCTTAATGCTCCTTAGACACTTCTTTTTTAGCAAAAAAGGACTCTAAACGAGGATTCATGATAGAAAACCAGAGCTTTGGTTACATTGAAACCTAAATCATAAATAAGTAGCTCTCAGGCAGCTAAGGCCATGAATAATCGAAGCTTGAAATTTAATATTCTTTATAGGCATTTACATGATGATCAGCATGTCTTTCAAGCTTAAATGAAGATATGTTTGTATACCTTTAAGGAGAGTTCCAAGCACAATCGTAAGAAACTTTATTATCTTTTGTGACAAAAAGACCATAATGTTCCAAGTATTCAACAATTTCAGCTTCAATAACTGCTACAAAAACCATCCATAAATAGTAATATAATCCTTTTCTTCCATATGTAACCAGCATTAGTAAAGGGAAGGCAAGTTAAAGCAGAGTATTATAAATCATTCTATTTTTGTAATGAAATTAAGGGAATGAAGTCTTTTCTTGTTAAATCAATCTTTCATTTTCACACTTCCATGAAACAGCGTAGTTACCCCAAAGCTATCTAGGAAGATACTAATACAAAGTTTCATCTTTTTTTGCTACAATAGGATCTTTGTCAGTTCCAACATGCTTATGGTGCCATAGCAAATGGAATATAGGATAATGGCAGTACATAACTCTTACAAAATTCAAAAATCCTATTTAAAATAATAAAAATAGCATTGGATCTATAAAAAATAATGATTAACTTACCTACTGCCTACTCTAAAGTTGTTAATCTATGAATTAACTCATGCGAAACATTAACAGTATTACCCAAAGTTAAACCTGCAGAGCTTATCAAAAGGAAGCAGTTCAAGGCAGAAAGTTAAGAGCCACTGCTAGTAACTTTATTTATCACATAAAACATTTACAATGTATCAGAAATAACAGCTAAAAATAGAGGGATTGTGTATAAAAAATGGTTTTTCTTTCTATTTGATTCTTCTTTATTCATATTCTTGTCATCCAAGGGTAAAATCTAATCGACCTTTTTTGCTAAGCACTGCAAAAAAAAGCCTAAAAAATATCCATTATTAAAGTACTCTGCCCCTATAAATAGAAGTATGTTGTTAAAAACAGGGGTGTAAAACTGCAAAGAATCTAAAAATATATCCATCTTCTCTTTCTAATTTCTGATAATCTAAATTTTTTAATCAAAATATTTATTAACTTTAAAAAGATATCATCAAAATTAGTTGAAACAAAATATAAATGATAATATAAATTATTGAACAAATTATGGATTTAATTTTTATGTAAGTAAGAACTAAACAATATTTTAACAATAATAAATGACCTAAATATTCTTTAGGTTTATCTCTTTGGGTTAATAAATACTTTTACAATTAAAATCTTGAAATATAAATTGTATTTAAAAGAATTAACTTAACTAATAATCTTAGTTTTATTAAATACTTTCAGAAAGGATAATATTTATTTGATGATAAAAAAGAAAAATTAGTTTCATGATTTGATTTCAACATTTGAATATAAATTTTGGAATTTATTAGAAAGTTTTAATTTTTCAAAAATAAAATTATAATTAAAATATTTATGTGTAAATAAATGGATGGAAGATTAATAAATTTTTTAATGAAACATAAAATTATTATTAGAAAGAATATTTTATTTATTAAATTAAGGAAGGAAAGAAATTAATATATTTTGAAATTATCAAGCTTTATTATTGTAATTTAATTTTATCATTGATGCTATTAAAAGGATATTTCTAGTGGGGATTAAAATATTTAATTGTTTTCTGCTTGCTGTTGCTGTGGTGAGCTTTGCTGGCCTTTATGTGAAGAGTAGTCTTGAGAGTTTATAAATAGGTTTTAAAAGGACATTTAAAACTAATTAGCATTACTGCTGCTGTTGAAATATTGAATGCTGTTATTTTGTTGCTGAGTTGATATTTAGGACTTTAATGATGTTATTTCATTTTATTGATTTGTAATTTATTATTTCAGTTAAAGAATTTAGCTTTTTAAATCTGAGTTTTCGTTTTACAATACTTTTTCTTTTTTTGTATGAGTGTCAAGTATTTTTTTCATTTTATCTTTTATTTTAGTCATTTCCAGCATTTAAACTGTTTGTTACATTGAAGAAGGACTCTTTGTTAAATTAGAAGAGAAGGTTGAATATAAAGGAAATTCTAATAGCTAAGAATTATTGTAGCTTTTGTTTATATTTTCCGTTTTGTTAGGATGAGTAGGTGTTGAGTGCTCTTCTGCGTTTTTTTTGGTGAAAGGTGAGAAATTGATATTGTGGGTTGAAGAAGATTGCTATTCAGAAGTTTCAAACCTCTTTATCGAAGAATGAGTCATTGAATTATCATTTGTTGCAGAAGATGCTGCACTTGCTTGATGAGGTAGATTTTATTAAAATGAATTATTGTTTGTGCTTTTAGGACTTTTTGAGCTTTGCAAAGTTTAGTTGCTTTTCTTATCAGATAACAATTTTAAGGTTGAATTGGATTATTTTTTTGGATTGATTTTATCAATGCTTTTATTTTACTGGTTTTATGAGTGAGGAGAGCTATTAATCTAGCTACCTGGTACTCCTGCAAGCGAAACTCTACTATGATACGAAGTAGAAGAAGGTGCATAGTACTGCTGATGAATTTATTATTAGTTAAATAATTGATCTTCATTATTTTACGTTTTTTAATTGGTATTTACAGCAGTGTGAACCTGATTAGCTTATTCTAATAATTTTGAATGATATTATTTACTCTTTGTGGATGGCAAGTTTGTCTAATTTTAGCTTTAATTAGCTTCTTCTGTATTCAACGTAAGAGGTTTGTAAGATAATTTTGAAGATATAGTAGTTGAAGCTTATTGAGTTTGATAAGACTTGTTTTATGAATTTTATGAATTATATTGGCTAAAATCAAAAGGTTTTGAACTCTTAGCATTATTTGCTGAAGGAGATTTCGGTTTATTTTAATAATTAATGTTCTGATTTTGTTAATTGTTTGCCTCTAAATCAGAAGAAATAAAGAGACTATTATTCTATTACATAGAGAAGTTATTTATATTATTATTTTAATAGCTAGGATGTGCTTGATTTATGCTGAAAGTTGTAAGAGCAGGTGCTTTATTTATAGAAGTGCTTCTTCTTTCTTCCTAAATATTTTGCATGTTTGAGGCAATTCTAGCATTTTAGTTTTCTAAGAAATTATTAAAAGGATCTTAAATTACCCTTCCTGCTAATTATTTAGTTTCTATATTAATATCAGAGAGCTTAGGCGGTGTGGTAGACACGTTAATATGGGTTTAGCTTTTAGGTTTTTCTTCATTCGATTGATAATTATTGCTAGAATAATTATCATTTTTTTCTTTCCCCATTTATTATGTTGTCTGATAAATCTTGGGCGAAGTTGATAAATTGCTTATTTAATTAGAATTGAAGGAATTTATAGGAGAAATAGTTGACGATATTTTCTGAATTTAACTTTGTAAGTTTGTGGAGCTACGAGGAGAATATTTTGAGTTCAATTCGTTAGCATTGCTATTTATTGAAATTATCTATCCAACCAACGAAGAGTTGTTATTTTAAGTGTTAAGAGAGTTCTATTTCTAAATTTATTGCTATTATTATTATTATTTTGAAGCGTTTTGATTTTCAATGTTTTTAGCACCTTACTATTGTGTTTAATTTATAGAATTATATTCTTATAAGAATTTATTAGATAATTTAGTACTAGATGAGTTATTTTATTATTGTTGGTGTTACTGCTGTTAGGAATTTAGTAGAGTAGCTTATCCTAGAAAAGAAGGACTCGGACTCATATAATTACTGCTTGTACCACTTTTAGAGGGAGTGTTAGATCTGCTGCTTTTACCTTTTGTCGCATTAATAATCGAGCTAGAGTGATGAGCTTATCTACTCTGAGTATTAATATTATTACTGTATTTTTAAGCTAAAGTTAGTGAATCACCTTGCTAATTTGCTTGCTAATACTGTGTTATAGAGATTTTTTGTGGATTCGAAAGCATATATTTTGAGGAAATACTGCTTGTACTGCTCAACTTACTTTAAATAGGTTGTATTTTTCTCTCAAGAGATCTGCTACCTATGTCTATGCCATTAACTACCATTCCTTGTATGTTTTATTAAGAATCTTATTTGATTGCATTAAAACTTGGTTGATTGCTTTGATAGTGGTGTTAACTTGTAGACATCCTTTGCTGAAGTTGTGCTTGCTACTAAAGTTAGTTTTGCTAATTCAAAGCTTCATAATCTGTGATATTTGATAATTTACTTTTTAAAATTAAAATAAAATTTGACTTTTTGAATTTTTTTTTTGCATCTAATTAAATTTTTTTAGTTTTTTGCTTTCGGATTTGCTAAAAATTAATATCAACAAATGTAAAATTGAAATTCAAGATTATTGTTTGAAATTTACTCTTTGTTTTATGTTTTCTAAATGGATGTAGCAGCTTAAGGTTCCCTTGGAGATTTGGTTTTGCTGTATGCCTCAAAATATTTAGATTCTGAAACAGCTGTAGAAGTGCTTGCTTATTCATTTTAGCTAGAATTAGCTGCTGGTTTTAAATTTGAAGAGCGAGATAAATTAACTTAACTAATTGTTGCTGGATTGTTTGATGGATTAAGCTATGGAGAGCTAAATAAATTGATTGTTGCACTCTATACATGGTTACTGCTGTTAGTTTATGAGATGCCAGCCAATTGATTTATTAAGCTGTACTCAAGAGATTTACGAAATAAATTATTACTAGGCATATTACTACTAGATTAAGACACTGCACCTGAAGATGAATTTAATCCATTATTCGCTTTGTTATATTAAAAAGTATTTTAAACCTTGTTATTTAAGTTACCAGAGCGAGTGCTGTCTACTCTCTCAAGAGTGTGATTTCTACCACCATTGTGAGAAGAAGGGTTGTTTATATTCGAGCTTTGATTAGTTAACATTTAGGCATTGTTAGCACTCTATATATAATTTTTTACTGAAAGACGAGCACTATTAATAGTTGTAGACTGTTGATCTGTTATTTAAATTTTGGTTTAGCTATTAGGGTTAGTTTGCTAATTAGATTAATTAGAGCTTGAATTTATTTGCGAATTTAGACTGCTGTAGTTAATCTGTGAATTGTTATTATATGTGATATTTTAAGAATAGAACTTTTATTATAAGCTTGGTTACTACTGAATATCCTATTACTGTTGCTATAAAAGCTGCTGTTATTGTTGCTAATACTAAAATTAACTTTATTGCTATTATTGTGAACCTTGTGATTAAAATTATAACTGTTAGGCCATTAAAGTCTCATATATCTGTTATCCTAGAGTTGTGGGCGATTTTTCCATCAAATAATTCCTACTTTCTTTTTCACCTGGCCTTACTTCGATTTTTTCATTAGCTTCTTAAAAATTTTTAATTGCATTCTTGACTAAAGCTCCTGTATTATTACTAGAGTTACTTTGATAGTTACTGCTACTACTCATATATTATCCTTGAATACCGGTACTGCTGATGTGCTGACTCATTGGCTGAAAATTGCTTTAAAAATTATTATTTTGTGTTAAATTTGATGGAATATTAGGAGAGTTATTGATTGATAATAATGGTGAAGGAGAAGATCCCAAATAATTTGTATTTGTATTCATATTTTAGCTGAAAATTGCTTTATTTGCACCGTTATTTATTTCTTCGGAGTATTTTCTCACTGCGCTCCTGCCTTCTAATTTATATTATTAAACTGAACTATTTTTTTCTTTTACTAATTCTATTTGCTGCTATCCTAAAATAATTTTTGTGGACATTAATTAATTTATTTAATTAATTAATTTCTTTTTCTTCTCTTTTTTAATTTGGTATTGATAAATAAATAACACTTTAAAAATAGATAAATAACTAATAATAATTTTTAAATTTTGACTGAATCAATGAATGAATGAATTTTCAAGGATTTTTAATTTTTTAAATGCTTCGTTTTTGTAATCAAGTTAAATAGTTTATGCATGGCAAAATAAAGGTGAAAATAAATAAAATTATTAAAAATTGATATTTAATAAGTGTTATCAACAAGAGATATTACTGTACTATTGATATTCTCATGCAATCACAAAATAATCAGTAAATTATCAATAATGAATCTTCATACTTTCTTAGTTGATTTTACTTTCTCTACTCTAATCTTAATATTAAAATTTACAATAAAACGACGCTATGCTGGACAAAGGCATAAATTTTTGATATTTATAACAATTAATTAGGTTAAAAAAGTTTTGTTTAATTTTAAATTAGATTTATCTAAATATGAATTTGTAATATTATTAAGGATAAAATAAGCTAAACTTGTTTAAAATAATTTTTAGAATCATAATAATTGATGTGCTTTATGGATTTTTATTTATTTATTGAAAAAGATTAATTTTATTACTTGCTTGATACCAACATTAAAAATAAGATTATAATATTATTCAGCTAGAAAAAATAGAGATTTAAGTCAAATAAAATTTTGCAAATTTTTTTTTATTTAAAAATTAATTTTTATTGAAAATATATTTAGTAATTTTTAAATTTAAATTTCATAAAAATAACATTTTAAAATTCAATTATTATAAAGAAAATTTTTAAAGAGTAATTAGGTTGCATTTCTTTTTATGAGGAAACATCATTTTTATTTAGAGTGTTTGTTTAAAATTATTTAAAGATATAAATAATTTTGATAAAACCATAATATTTTAGAAGCTAAACAAATTTAATATAAAGAGATATGAATAGGATATTATTTGATTGTTTATTTTACTCTTTTTCTGATAGTGAGAAACTAAATTAAATGAAAAAAAACCACAATAAAAACATTTCTATCATTTATTGGTTCAATGAATCAATCATCAGCTTATTTATATTTGATGAATAGCGAAAAACCAATTTTGCATTAACTAAATTAACATAGTTTCTGCGAAAGTAATTTTCGTAAATTGATGAGAATTAAGTTCAAATTGTATCTGCTAAATATAATATTAGTAGAGTGAGCTTAGTACCCAACATAAAAACATACTTTTAAAATAATTTTTTATATAATAAATATTTTAATATATTTTATAATATTTTTGCTACAACAGATTTTCTTTTTTAGTTGTAAGCATTTCTTGCTTGAAAAGATGATTGATTTATTTTGTTAATCTTTCACTTTAATGCTAATTTTTCTACATCGCTTTGTTTGCTTAATTGCTTTAATTATGACAAGACGTTTACAGTTTATTCGCCAAAATAATAATTTCATTCTGACTTCCCTTCAAATGATGATATATCGAATTTATTTTATTCAGAATCTTTATTAAGGTATTCCTATAGATTCTATGCTACTAAGTGGTAAGACTTTTGATATTTAACCGCGCAGTAATGTAGACATTCATAAACAGTGTGATTTATAGTTTAAAAAGTCAAAGTTCTCTTTTAGAAATGGCATTAGTCGTAACATGATTTATATCCTTTAAATCTCATCTCAGTAGAACTTTTCAATGTTGCTTAATCAATAGATGATAAATCGCTCATCAATATTTTAGTTTATAAGCTTGTAGATTTTCAGTATTTGAATATATTTTCTAGAAATATTTTTGCACTTAATTACAAAATCTTATTTAAGTTATGCTTAAATTTTTTAAAAAGAATCAAAAATTAATACTTACTTGATAATATTTTGAATGCAGAAAGTAAAAACAAGCTTTTCTCAAGCAAGCAAACTAACAAGTAAAATATTTAAAATGAAAGTAAAATATTATAAATGAATGCCAGCTAATAAAAATAATACTTTGAAGAATGAATACAATTATAATACAAATACTATAGAATTTAAGAAAAAGATATTATATTTTTGTTTATAAATTTGGGAATATTATAATTAAAACGTAACTACATTTTAGAAAACAAGAGGGCCTTCTTGCTATTGCAACAAATAAGTTATTTGTTTGGTTAATTTTTTGAAGGTTTTTGTTGAGAATTAAGTAAAAAAGAAGCTTATAATTTAATAGAAAAGTTGTTGCTATGTATTGAATAAGTAAATTATTGTTTTAATTCAGCTGAGTGATTAAAAAAAAGACCTTTTTAAGATTTCTTAAAATGCTTGATTTACAGTTAAGTTTTTTAGAATATTTTAGTATCATAATTATTACATTTTGACTGAAGGAGAATTAGTAGATAGTTTTTTAGTTAGTTAGTTAGTTTTTTTATTGATTATTATGAAAAATGATTGATATTATCAATATTATTTATTAATAGATAGATGCATGGAATAAGATTAAAATTTTAGTAGATAAGATGAATATTTATTTTTTATTAATAATTAGCATTATTTGTTTGTTTGTTTGTTAGTTAGTTAGTGAGTGAGTGAGTGTTTTTAATAGAAGTAGATCTATTTTTAATAAATTAGTAAAAAAATGAGGAAAATCAACTTGTTTTTAAATATTTTTTCAAACAAAGACTATTTTATCCTTCTCAAATTTCTTCCTCATCTTAATCATCTTCATCAGAGTCAATTTCTTCGTAGTCATAAGCCATTTTATTTTAATTATTATTTTCGTCACAATCAAGAGGGAATTTCTTCAAGCGGTCACTGTTTTCCCCACAAAACTTTTTAATGAGAAGCTCTCTCAATTCTTAATTTGTATATTTGTCGATTTCACCACTGAAATCGCCAATCATGTGGAGAGCTTGCTCTTTGGTTACGAATCTTCCCTTTACTCTTAATCTGCTATCAGCAACTCTCTTGCGAACGTCATAAGAAATTTTCCTAAAGCTGCTGTTGAAAATTAATTTAAAAAAGTTTAAATGAATGCATATATATTTAAAAGTAATTTTGTCAGTGAATTCAAAATTAAATGGAAAGGTCGATTAAAAAAGAAAATTAAATTAAATTAGTAAAAAAGAATTTAGATAGTGATAATAAAACTGAGAGCTTTCAAGTCATCAAATGTTGGTTTATTTCAAATTAATGTTTGAGCAAAAATAAATTAAATAAAGTTCTACTTTCTAATTTTAATTAAATGAAATAAATAAATAAATTGAGTAAATAAAAAATTTTCTAATTTAAATAAAAATAAATTTTATTCTATGAATTTTAATATTCATCCAATAAAATAAATCATAAATAGCTAATTGTTTAATCTTAATATTACGCGCGTTTGTCTCTTTTAATTTTGTATTTGGTGATCTTTTCTCTGCGTTCTTTTCTTGTGAGTGTTCCTATTTTTTTTTGAGATTCATCAGGTATGTTTTGGAAGATTCCGCTCATGATAAAGGAGTTTTGATACACTTAGTCAATATTTACATTGAATACATCACTGAAATTAGATGGAAGTAATTATTTAATTTTATTTAAATCACCTATTGAAGGTACTTGATGGTGCTTTTTAATGTATTCCAATTTTTGGGAGTCACTCAATTTTTTATGCATAAAAGGGAGATATGCTGGTGGAAGTGTTTTCATTATGTTTTTAATTATTTCTATTATTTTTTCTTAAGGTAGAGATAGCAATGAATTTTTAGGAGGAGATAAAATAGATTGTTCTGAAAAGGAAGTTTTGGTTGATGGTTGATCAGCAGAAGATGATGATTTTACTTTTCCATCCTTTTCTTCTATTTTTATTTTCTTGTAGGAATTTTCTTTTAAATTGGTGGGTGTATGAAGTTCGCTATAAGGTTCAAAATTTGTAGTTGCTTCGGAGAGAGTTTTTGATTTTTTGTTTCTGCAGATTTCTGAGGTGTTTCTCTTAACTAGTAAGGTAGGGAGAGCAGGAGTGTTTTCGTCTAATATTATAAAAGAGTTAAATTAAAATATTTTGATAGTTAAATAGATATAAGTATGTATTTATCAAATACTTTCAAAATAAAAATAAATAAAATTTTTATTATTTTATCTACTAATCAAACAAAATCGTTGATCTACTAAAATATAATATATATGTAGAATAGATTTCAAACAAAAATTATCTTCATTATTAATATCACAAATCAGCTATTTAATGTTTTTATAAAGAAACTTGCTTTTTTTATTTTTCTTTTTTTATGTTGGATTTATTATTCATTCATTAATTCTTAACAAAATAAGCAATTAAAATCAAATCAATTTGAAAATAAAATTTGATCAAATAGAGGGAAGAATATCTAATTTATTTAGTTTATTTCTTGTAAAACTACAATAGAAATTATGGGGAATAAATAAATGAATTTTTTTAGAATTAAAGTATGTGTGCGATTGATATTGGTAAAAGAAATATGAGAAATTAATTGAAAAAAAAAAATTATTAATTGCTTTTAGTTACAAATTTTCTTTTGACCAGAAATTCAAAAACATTTGAAATCTCTTACTAATATTGCGGACAAAAGAAATAATTCACTAAAAAATAAACAAATAATTATTTTTATTTTAAGGCTTTTTTTTGATGATTGATTTATTTGCGTAATTTTTTGCTATAACGATATAATTATTCTAGTTTTTTGTTAGCAAAAATTTTGAATTTAAAAACTATTTATTTTGCAATATATTTTATTTTTTTCTTTCTAAATGTTTTGAGTTTTCATTATGGTTTTATCAATTAATAAATTACCGTTTGACAGAGCTTCTACTTTCACTTCCTGCTTCTTTGGAAGGTCATCTACAAATTTCTTTTTAAGTTTTTCAGTTGATTTTGAGTGAGATGGAGGTGATTTGATTGAGGGATCATTTTCATTCTGTACAGATTTTTTGCTAATATCTCCAAGTTTTCCTTTCTTTTTGTTCTTGCTTTGTGGAGTTTCAATTACTTTTGAATAATCAGTAGCCTTAACTATATTTTGGTACTTCTCCTCTTGAGCAGTTAATACTTAGGCGTTATCAGCATCAAAGCTAAGATTTTGAAGTGAAGTGGGTAAGTTTATGTTTTAGTAATTTTAAATATTGGCAGGGTTAACTACCTATGGAGTGACGTTAGAAATATCGTTCATTAAATAGGGTTAGGATTACATGGGGTTTTAGTATGTAGGATAATTGTGATGGTATTAATGAACAGGATTATACATAATGTGAGAGAAGGATTATTAGTAATTGTATGGGTATTACATATCTTGAATATTACACTGTAAGATGGTGCTGCTTCCAACAATATCTTTTTATATTTAAAATGTATTATTTAATTAGATAAGAAAGTCTTTTTATTTCTCATAAAAAATTGTATTAATATAAATTTTTAGTTTTGTTTCATAATTCTTATTTTATCATTCATGATGATTAAAGATAAATATGAGGAAAAACAATCGAATTCAAAGGAAGAGCTGTAAAAAATCTTTTAGAGCAGCTAACCAAATTTAATTTTAGTCATTTTTATAAACTTGCGAGTGCTCAATAGAAGTAATTATGCAAATTAGTAATATTTTTCATAATTATTAAGGAAAGATGTGAGAAAAAAAACTAGTAGGAGTAAGTTAATAAATTGAAATAGTATTTTACCTTCCATGTGATAATTCATATGAGGATTGATTATAGGCTATCCAGTTTATTAGGGCATATGTATGTTATATATATGCATTTCATTGAAGTTAGAGCTCACAATTTGGTCCTAGCCATTTTACTTTTATTTAAAAATGTAGGATTTAATAAATGACGAAGAATGAATACTTTTGAAATAAGTAGAAGAAAATAAATTCTTTGTAAATAGTTGATGAGGAGAAATAAATAAAAGTATTGATTTCAGTACTTTCTATTAAATTTATTAATTTCTTTTTATTTCTTTTTAATGTAAAAAAGTACAGGGTAAAAATTGTTATCATCTAGATTTGCTGATGCAATTGGCATGAAGTTGATTGAGTTTCCTCTACTCCTAACTTAGTTGTTATCATGATCTTCGTTTTAACAGAATCCGTGGGCGCTTCCAATATTTAGTTGGTTAAGTGAATTCTTTGAATACTTTTTTTAAGAGTATAAACAAACAAAGATGTTAGAAAAAATATGTGAATTGAATTAATGAATGCATGTAATTAAATAAAAACGTGAGAAGAAAAATTTCAGATGGGGAAATGTTGGTCAAGTAAAATGCGCTAGAAATGAATGATATAAATTTTAGAATTAGTTTTTATTGGTAAAATTCTCAAAGACAATTCAATCTTAATAACAAAAAAAAGCTAAAGAATTTATTAATTTGCAAAATCAAACTAAAAAAATTATCAATTAATAAATTAATTTGTTTATTTGTCAATTAATTTTTTACGCTAGGAGGCTAATAGCAATAATTCTACGAGTAGATCAGTCCGTTATCGTTTATGTCTTGAAACTAGTTGTATCTGCCGTATTGAGAGCTCATGAAGGCTTAGGCTGTTGCACCATAGTAAGGTAGTTGAGAGTGCTACTGATGAGATCCTAAGTGGATATTTTAAGGATAGTAGTATGCCATGTTCTGAGAATCAGCAGACATGAGTTAGTTAGGTATGTAGGTTAGTTAGTTAGTGTTTTGTAAAGTAATATATTTGTTCGCTTATTTTTCTTTTTGATTGTTTTGATTAGAAAAATCTCTACTTCTTGCTTTTGATTTTTTTTTGTTTATTATTATTTCTTTTTAACAAATTTATTATTTCTTAATAGTAATTAGAATAGTACTATTTAATTCGTTTATTGATTACCTATTTATTTCTTCTACCCATCTATCTATCTGTTGTTTATTTTTTGTTTCTTTGTTTGTTTGCTTTTTATTTGTCTTTTTGTATAGCTAGCGCATATTTTATTAACCAGCCAGTCACCTTGTTAATATTGTTATTTTTAGATAATCTTTAAGCTCTAAATTCCTTTATATACATTTTTTCATTTTCAACAAGAGCAATTTTTTTTAGTTTCATTTTATGAGAATGATATGCGTTTTATAATTCTATGTCATTTTCTTTGACTGTTGGAAACAATAATTAGACCAATATTGAAACTAATAGTAACCATAGTTGAGCTAGATTAGCATTTAAAGTCCTATCTTTCTACTTCTTCTACTTTAAAAGATTTCTTGAATTTATATTTTACTCATCTCTTAATTTATGTGCGGTACTTTACACAAATAATTATTTCAAGTAGAAATAGATTGTATTTAAGATATTTGTCTAATACAAGCAAATATGTTGTTTAACAAAAAAAATATTAATATAAACAGGTATCATAAATAGAAGCAATGCTATTTGGGAATATGCAATTTTAGGCTTTCTCAAAAAAGACTGATAAATCTATTATAAATTGAGTTTTATGGGTAATTATTTATTATGTAAATAACTTAAAATAAATAAGTTTTTTTAAATAATTTTGATTACATTAGGAACTAGCGGTGCTAAATATAAGTAGAGCTTTATTCAATAACTTGATTCTACTTTGATTTGATACTTATCTTAAAAATTGAGGAGAAGAGGAAAAAAAGCTAGCTAATTTTTCACTTTTTCAGATTTAAATTTTATTTTTACAAAAATCAAAATGATTATTTTTAAATTCGTTTTAGCTAACTTTATAACTTCTAAATACTGATTCTCTTTTGAAAGGAGACATTATATTTTCTTTTTTTTTAAAAAAAAATAATAATTTAGGGTTCACGCTTCAAAATACTTGACAGAAATTAAAAATGTCTTCTTCATTAATAATAAAATATCGTTTAAAAAAAATATTCAAACAAAAGTAAATAGAAAAAAAAGCATTAATAAAATCATACATAAAGTATTGTAGAGATATATCTAAATACAATTAATAGCGAAGCTGCTGCATAATTTATTAGATAAAAATGAAGATATCTTTAATTCATTATTTTCCTCTTTTGGCAAAATTTTTTGTTTAATAATAATTGCAATAAATTGCTCTAATGAACGTAATTATTATTAAAATCAACATATATTTAAAATCAGGCTATTATATTTTATTAGATCAGTATTTCTAAGAGTTTCTTCACAATTTTTTATAGAATGTATTAAAAAATGTTTTTATTTAGCTGACTTGGGAAAATAATAGTTTAAATAAAGTAATAATTTGCTACATTGACCACCAAAAAATTTAGAAATCTACAATATTTTTATTTATAGTAATGATCAAATAGTTTATAAATAAATTAATAAGAAAAATAAATTAATTTTTTGTAAAATACTTATCTAAAATTTGTGATTAATTCAAAGTTGAAGTCAAAAATTTTTAAATTTCATTTAAAGAAATATTTTATTTTAATTCTAAAAGTGTGATGAAAAACAGAAGGTCTTTGTATAGTGGAAAATAAATAAAAATTGAACTCACTAGTTAGAAATCAAATTCAAAAATGAAGATATCAATTTTGTAAAGAAGAGATACGTTGCGCGTTAAATTTCCTTTTTATTTTTTTGGCGGGGAATAAATACATAAATGGAAAGCGTATTGGGAGTATTACTTATGATTAAGCTATTGGGATCTTTATTGAATTTTAATATTACAAGGTTTGTAAAAAAAATATATGTACGCTATATATAGCTAGTTAGTTGGCTAATCATCAATTAATTTAATAAATTAAAAATATCTTTAATTCTTTTTGTCAAAAATTAATAAGCAAAATAAAATGAATTTTGGAGGAAACACCAATAGTTAGAGCTATAAAACAAAAGACAAAAGAGCACCTTTAAATAATATTTCAGCTAGAAAAAATTAAATGGAATACGAATCAAGCGAATATAGTTTAAAGTCAGTTCCAGGAACCAACTAAGTAGGAGATTTTAATGGCAATCTGAATGCCAGTAATATTTTAGCTATGAAATCTAATACTTTTGGAATGACCAATTAGAATAAATAAAATTTAGCTTCTCAAATGGAAACAAAGCAAAATTAACAGCTTCTTTCTGAACTAGAAAAACTCAAATTTGCTTTAAAGGATGCTATAGATGAAAATGAAATTGTAAATTTCTTAGATTTGATAATTTCTTACTTAATTAAATATTAAATAGTTAAGAAACAGAGTCACTGAGTTAGAAGCTCTTTATGCCGCAGCTGAAGATGAAATAGAAAAGAGAGATAAATGTATTTTAGAATTGGTAGAACAACTTTAAAAGGTAGATAAATTATTTTATTTTATTTATAAAACTTATATATATTCTTAAAAAAAGCAATCTGAAATAGAAAGCATTAGCAATAAACAAAGCAAAAATAAGCATAAAAGAATCCATAGTTAATGATCTGTTATCCTTTCAAATTCTTAAACTATTGTAGATAAAAATAATAAATAAATGATACTTTCAACATGTCTTTAAAAGCTAGCTAATAAATTTTGGATATTTATTTACCATAATGGATAAATAAAAAAGTAAACTTATTAAATAAATATATGTAAAAAAAATAAGTAAAACTTTAGTAATTTTAAAATCATAATTAATTTCAAATAAAATATAATATAAAATAAATATAAACAAACACACATACTCTAATTAATTAACTTAAAATAATAAAAAAACTATTTTGTTGATTACCAAATAATATATATATTCCTCTTCATAATTAACTGTCATTTTTACCATTTTTTAAATTTATCTTTAATGTTAAATAAAACTTATTCCAATTTTTAGATTATTTATATATTTATTCTAATTAATTATTTTTTATAATTATCTGATCAGTATCTACATTAATTATTATAAATATATATCAATTTCTTTATGTGTTTTTGCAATCAGAATAAGCTACCCTTACAAATTATAACAGTTAAGGTAAAATTGTAAAATTCATCATTTAAAAATTATTTTTTAAAAATACTTCTACAATTTGTATAAAAATAAAAGAAGATATTTGAATGATTTAATTACCTCATTCTATCATTCATTCTAGTTATTTAAAATATATTTTTAAGAGTTTGCTTTTCATATTTATTAAAAAAAGCTATTTAGCTTTTAATTTAAATTATTTATTAAAATACAAAATGTTTATTATAATTTTTTAATGATATTCAAATAGAAATGCTAAAATTTTAATCAATTTATAAATAAAAGCAAGTATCATTTAATAGTTTTTAATTGTTATAAATTATATTAGTTTTATCAAATATAAAAAACACAAAATAGTTTTATTCTACTAATTATATTTATCTTATAATTTGGAAATATCCTATCTTTAATAATTTACAATATTAATATCCAATTAAACAAATTTCAAATCTATTTTTATTGATTTTTTAAATTTAGAATTTCTAAGTGCTTTAAATAAATTAACTTTACAAAACCAACTTATTTTATATTAGATAATATTTGATTTTTAAGAAAATAAAATAAATTTTAAAAGAAAAAATAGTAATTATTTCTATTTTAAGAATGATAATTAATTGATTTCATTTAAAACAAAAAATTAGATTTTAAATATTTTTAAGTTTTTGGATGATGTTGACTGATTTGATTAAATACAAATGTAATTTATTTATTTATATATATGTAATGAATCTATGTATATATGAATGTATTTATATAAAAAAGTGGCTCTCTTATATTGAAGAATGAATGAATGTATAAATTATAGGACTAATTTCTTTTTAAAAAATATAGTATTTCATTGATTTGATTTAAATGAAGATATTAAGCGGAAAACAATTAATAATTTATTATGTATTAAAAAATTAGTTAATTAATTAAAAAAAAGGAAACAAGAACGAACTTTAATTTAGAAATAATAATTAAGAAAACAAAAATTAAAGAAAAAGATAAAGAAGAAAATATCGTATAAAGGGTGATTAATGAGTTAAAACCGGATATAGCATCCTCACAACATTTAGGATCGCAATATGATGGGTATATTTTTTAATATCATAGAAAATACTATCTAAACATATAAGGTTTGGATATGAAATAAATTTTTGCAAGCGATCGAGCTATCCCAAAAATCGATGAGGAAAATGATAATTTACAAAAATTGAATTGGCATTATTTTCTAAATTTAATGAACTAAAATCAAATTTTAAGCAATCTAACAAATGTTTTTTAATATAAATAGTAGGACAACCATATCCAGTCCCAAGGAACAAGGAAATGAATGTAAATTAATTTTTTAGATTAGAATTTGCTTTAAATACAACAATTTTATTAATTTAATCTTAAAATGATTTGATTCTATAAAATAATATTTTTGAAATTTAGTTCAATTAATCCTAATAAATTTACCAGGGAGACTTATTTTGGTGTTCTTCAAATTAATTTAAACTATTTTTTTGCTTTGGATTTAACAATTTTTTAGGATTAGAGATGGTTTATTGAAAATTTGAAAACATAAAATATTCGCAAAAATAAAAAATAAAAAGCTTTTTGATTTATTTGGTTGTTTGTTTAATCATTCTAATAAGTTAATTACTAAATTAATAAATAAAAGAGTACTATAGAGAAATTAGAAGATGATTGTGGAAGATTGCCTGATTTATACTTTAGAAAGTTTAGATTGATTGAAAAGCTCTACATGGAACGTCCTCAATATCCATTCGCTACTAATGTGAGGCTTAGCACAAACAAGCCAGTATTTATTTAGCATGTTTTATGGGATAAAGTTCTTAAAGAAGTATATTGGAGAGCAACTGATTTTAAGGAAGAAAAGAAGGCTAAGATTGCTCTTGCCTTTCACTTATCAAAAAAGATGAAAAAACATATGAGTAAGAAATTTTTAGTAAGAGACGAGCTCCACTTCTACCATAAATTACTTTGTATTTAGCTTTCCAAGGATCTTGATGATACTTTTAGTCAAATTAGAAACTTAAAAGACGATAGTTAAATTTCTCATAAGTATATTCCTCCTCATGAGCTACAAGAAATTCGTAAGAGAGAAAAAGAAGAAAGAGAAAGAAAAGAATAAGAAGAAGCAGAAAGAAGGAGATAAATCGAATTATAAAAAGAGGAGGATAAGTTTGTTGATATGTTTTTTTAGGATGATGAAGAAGTGCCTGAACCTTAGCAAGAAACAATTAAATCTCCTTCTCGTTAAGTAAATTAAAATGGTTAAATCAATAATGAAAATGGATTAAACGATTAAGATAAACTCCAATAGGAATAGCCTGATGGCAAGAAATTTAAACCTATAGCTAGATATATTTAAAAAATGATGGAATTAAATCCAGATAGCTTTGAAACTCCAGAAATAAAAGCTTATCAAGAGTATAGAGATTTTGAAAGAAAAAAAGATATCTTAGATAAACTAAAAGTAAACATTTTTTTTTTAAAAAGTATTTTATATAATTCATTAAATTTGTTATAAAAGGACACAATCATAAAGTATGGTGGCAAAAGAAAAGAAAGACCCAGCATAGATAATATATTTAATACTATTTACCCTCAACAATAGCTTCCTCCATAAAATTAATAATAGTAGGACTAAGCTAATATCTAGGATAAATAAATAAAAAATGAATTTTAGCTTTCTTCTGCATAAGAAGAGCCTTAAAATTAAGAAATAAAAGAGGAGGAATCATAATAGCAGTAACCACAATAACAATAGAAATAATTTGTTAAACCTTAATATGAAGAAGAAGAAATTAAATTAGATCCTATCTAAAAGAACAATTCTAATGAAAGCAATTAATTCAAAGCATATCCCTAAGAAGAATAAATGAAAGAAGAAATAGATTACCTTGCTTCAAGCGATTAAAAGTTGAATGATGATCATAACTAATTTAATTTTGGAGAGAAAAAAGAAGAGAGTATGATAGATAATAATCAAAATGAGCCTAACTTTTTGAATGATTTTTCTCAAGGCCATTCTCACAACTAAGAATAAGGACAAGCTGACGATTATTTTAATATTTAAGATTCGTTTGAGTAGAGCAATAAAAAGAGTGATGAATCTGCAAAAGTATCTCAAGAAGCAAAATTGGAAGACTTTGTCAAAGAAGGCTAAGATCCTTTGCAAGAAGTAGAAAAGAATGGTGTGTAAAATGCTGGAGATGTTGTTATTTTAGAAGATAAAAATAATAATTAAGCATAAAATAATGAACAAGAAAAATCTAATGATTAATAAAAAAGCAATGATTAAGTCTTAGATCAAGCAAGTGGTGAAAATAAAGCAGATAATTTAAATAATGAAGCAGATTAAAATGCTAAGGATTTGAATTAAGTAAAAGAAGAATTTTAGGATTAAATTGACGTTTAAAACAATTAAGAAACTTAAAAAGTAGTTCAAATTGATGTAGAAGCAATTGAAAATGCTAAAAATGCATCTGAAGAAAACAAGTAAGATGATTCTAAGAAAGAAGAAGATGTTTAAGAAATAAAAATGGAAGTTGAAAATATCGAAATTAGCGAATAATAAATAAAAAGTGAGCATGATGAATAGGGAGGTGCATAAAATGCTGAATAAGAAAGCGAGAATTAATTAAGTGAAGTTGATAAAATAAAACAATAAATTAAAAACACTCTACATAATTAAATATAAGCTTATGATCAATCTGTTTGCAGCATTATGCAAGTCGAAGTATCTAAAAAAAGAAAAAAGAAAGATGATAACTAAAAAGACACTTTAAATGAAGAATTTCTAAATCATATAAAAAATTTAAATCCTCAAATAGATCCTAAAAAGATGAAATATGAAAATTTAAATGAACTACTAACATTCAATTATAACAAGAATTAACTCTAATAAGAATATGAAAAGATATTTGAAAAAACAGTAATTAGCTTTTATTATATTTTTAAAAAATTAATTCATTTTAATTTACAAATTTTATTTATTTTTAGAGAGCTTTTTATTTTCTTTGACAGATTATTTTTAATCGCTTTTTTTGATAAATTTTATCATTAATTTATTTAGAAAATAATTAATTATTTAAATTTATTAACAGATAAATAATTATTCTGATTTTCCAAGTAACTTTTCTTAAATTCCAAGAGTTTAAGAAGTAGATGAAGATGAAATAGAAATGAAAGGTTAAGATTTATATGATCTCCCATACGAAACTTTTTGTTTCACTCATGGTATAGAAATGGATAAATTCCTTAAGAAGTGTCATCAATATTTGTAATATTTATAAATTATATAATTAAGTTATTTATTTTAATATTTATTTGATGAATAAAAGGTCTTTAATGGTCAACTAAGATAAACTAACCAAGATAGGCAATCCGACTAAGGAATTGTTAAATATGGATGAATTATTTAAGACTTTCCCAATAGCAAGAAAAGATAATAATTTGTTTGCTATATATACTCAAGTTGATCCAAAATAGCAAACAATGGCCAGAGTTTTCAATGATTCATTTATCAATAGCAATGAGAAATACAAAGTTATATCATTGATATCTAAACAGCCTATTTTCTTCTTCTTTTTCGAATACTATTAAGGTATTTGGGGAAACAAGCACCATTTAATAGCTAACAGCTTAAATTCTAATCCTATTACCAAACGTAATAAAAATTTTATCAAATAAATATAATAATTTTTAATGATTTTTAACAAATTAGACTATCAATTCAATAATAAAATTGTTGAGAAGTTGGACTGGACTTTGAGAATTAAGAAGAAAGAAAAATTTGCTTACTTGAGTGAGAACATTTTGCCTACTATGTATATGTTCAAAGGAGATAATGTAAAAGTGAATGAGTAATTATAGCACTTCATAGAAGAAAAGAAGAAAAAAGAAGATGAAGAATACAACAGTATGAGTAATTTAATAAACGAAGAAATTGATTTTGAAGAAGCTGTAAACAAAAGAGAGAAATCTGGAGCTGTATCCATCCTGAAGCCATAGCAACAAATTTTTAAAAATATGAATAAAAGTTTTGCAAATTACTTCAGTTAAAATAAACTCTATGATGTAAGTAATAAACTAGAATATAGAAAGAGTATAATAGAATACGCTCGTCAAGTCAAAAACAACACAAACAAATATATTTTTGATAATAAAGAGGAGGACAAAGGTAAAACTATTGATTATAGCTCATTCACTAAAATGATTAAAGTAGAAGAAGTAAAATCTTAGCTGAAAATGGCTAGTTTAAATTAAAATAATCCAAGTTATAGACTTATCTCTAGAAAAAAAGGTAATAAATTTTTTTATTTATTTATTTGTTAACTCATGAACTAACTTAATTCATTCCTAAATATTTTTTTTTAAAACATAAATAGTTATAATAGATCAGAATAACGAGCTTTATCTTATTTTAAATAACCTTAAGGTATTTATTTATTTATTTTTTTGATTATTTAAAAATAATAAATTTGAAGTTTTAGCAAAAGGATTAATGAAGTTAAAATAGTTTAAATATTATTTTAAGATGCTCAAAATATATTTATTTTAATTTAAAAATAGTCTCAAATCCCAAATAATATGAGCGGACCTTAACCAACACCACATGGAAACATGCCTCCAGAGATGATGCCTAATTAAGGAGGTCCATATAGAGGCCCACATCCTTCTTAACATATGAGACCGGGTATGCCAATGATGAGCAGATAAAATAGCAATATGGCTCATGCACCTTATCCTAATTACCCTCCAAATGGTATGCCACCAAATCCTTAATAACATATGAATCCTTCTAGAACTCATCACGGTTAATATGATCCTGCCAATGGTCCTTAAAGCAGTTAAGTTCCACCAGGTCCTGGAAATCCACCTATCCCTCCATAAGGTCATCACAGTTAAAGTATATAGTAAGTTCCTCCTTCTTCAGCTATGATGCATCATAGATAACCTCCTCCTCATGGTATGAATCCCAACTCATAAGGTCCAGAAAGAGGGCAAAGTGGAGTTCCACCAGGTAATCCACCTCCTGTTCATATGCATCCAGGCTAAGGTCCCCCTCCATATAATGGTTAACCTGCAGGCGGACCTATGAATTAGCATCACCACCATCATTCTATGTAAGGACATCAGCCGAATTCTAATTCATAACAAAACACTCCTGGCGGACATCCTCCTATGCATAATCAACCTCCTCACGGTCAAATGGGACCTGGTGGCATGCATCATCCTCCAGGAGGATCAATTGAAAAAAATATGGGTCCTCCTCACCATAACGGAGGAATGCCTAATCATCCTCAGCCTCCTCCATACCATTCTGGTCCTCCTCCCCATGGACATGGTTATTAGCAAGGAAACATGCCTCCCCATTCTTCCTAAATGCCTCCATAAGGGCCTCATTAAGGAGGAAATATGGGTCATCCTCCTATGAAATAAATGCATGGTTAACACTAAAACTACCCTCCTAATCACTAAATGAATGCCCATAATTAAAATATGCCTCCTCATCCTCAAGGTTAGCCAATGCCCCCAAATCACCCAGGCCCAGGAAATCCTTAAGGCCCACCAATGCCTCCTATGCAATAGCAAAGCAGCCATGATCCTATACCAATAAATAAAAAGATAAAGAAGTCTACTGATAACACATCACCAAAGAAGCCTGCAGCTAAAAAATCAATTTAAGGTACAGCAAGTGCTGCTCCTTCTCAAGCATCAGATAATACCAGTGAAAAAGGAACTCCTAAGAAAAAAAAATAAACTAAAAAGAAAAAGAATCAAGACGACCCTAGCTAAGTTTCCTAATCCTAATTATCAATGCCAAACTAATGAAAAATAAAATTTTTTATTATAAAATAGTCTTAAAAAAGATAGTTGTAAGTTAAGTTTAAAGGATAGTAGCAAGGACTTATAAATCTATCAATCTATCTATCTATCTAATAGAGTAAAAAACATAAATTATTATATACAAAACTAACAATAAAATAATAATTATTTGAGTCTTCTAAATAACAATAAATATTTATATATAAACTTCTTATATACAACAATAATCCTAGCTATCTCCTTTAATTGTCTTGTATGTCGATTTATTTTACTATTAAAATATATTTATTTTCCATTCAAATTCATCAAAAATTATTTTCAATTCTCCTCTATCGCAGTTAATTTGTTTCCTGTCCATTAGGAAATTTAATCAAATATTTAAATTTATCAATTTAATTAAGTATTTAAATGAAGTTTATATTTTAAGATAAATGTTTTTAGTTTTGTAATTAATATTTATTAATAGAGAATCAAATTTTAATTGGTGAAAACAAAATTTATAAAAAAATATATCTAAAATTTTGAATATTTTTATTAATTGTTAAATTATTTGTTTATTTTTTATATGTAAAATTTGATCACTCACTTGCTTTTTAATTTTAGCAAAAATACAATTTATTTTTAAATGAGTAAATTATTTTATCGAAATATTTTATTTATTTTTTAACAAATGTTCTTAGAATTTTATTTAATAAAATAACTTTGTCTTGAAATATCAATCGCATATTTAATTATTTTTTTAATTTTTTAATAACTTCAATCTAAAAAACAATTTTTAAAAAAACAATAATTAATTTATTTGCAATTTTTTCAAATATCAGTAAATTTAAAAATAGATTCAATAATTATAAATAACCTTATTTAGCAAATTATTTTTTTAGCAAAACATTTTTAAAGAGTAAACAATTAAGCATTTTAATATAGAACTAAATGTAAGTTATAAACTTTAAGTTTAAGGATTGGTCTATCAATTAGCTTTTATGATTATAAAAATAGGAGTAAATCATTTCAATAAAGGTCTGCAATATCATTCAATGATGCAAAATCTGTTAACAATGATGATAATGAGTCTTATATTAAATAAGACTCATAATCAGCGTTATCAGTTAGTAGATCTATTTAATAATAGCAATCATAATTCACAAGAGAATAGTTTAGTGCTTAATCTCTACAAAAAGTTAGTGTATGACAAATTTATCTAATATTAAATGAATAAATAATTCATAAATTAATGATAGGAATCAAATTTAAGCGAATTTCACTCATAAAACCTTTAAGATAGCTAATAAATATAGGAACCTCAAAAATAAGAAATCACTTAATTATAAAATGAAGTGTAAAAATAAAAAGATATGAAACTTAAGGAAGGTGATCAAAGCATTCAAAGAGCGTAGTAGCTGATTTAATAAATTGAAAAGTAAGTTCACAAGAGAGGTATAGGAGATGAAGACGATGAAAATTAAAAGTAAAAAATTTAAATTGTTTAATAAAGTAAAAACCTGATGGCGAATTAAAGCTAACTAACTAATTATTTATGTTTTGAAAAACTTGCTTTCAAATTAAAAATGATGAATAAATTTTGTGTTTTTTTAGGTGATTTAAATACTATTTATATAATTATAATAGGACATATTAGAAGTTAATTAGATAAAAGAGAGAATACGAAGAAGAGTATCTCAAAAAAACTAAAGAATTCTATCTTACTGAAGGAATGGATATAGATAAAGTGCAAAATTTTATTGTAGAGAATTTCGAGCTTGTAAATAAACTATTATATTTTTAAAGATAAATTTACTTTTTTTAAATAATCAATTAAGAATCTGATGCAACAAAGAGCTAAAATGGAAGAAGAAGTAATTTACAATATTTAAAATTATATTCTATTAGTCAAATAAAACATATAAATAGCTTTATTTTTAACAAATTTAATTTTTTTAAATCTAATTTTTTAATTAATTTTGAATTTAAATGTAAAATTTGCAATAATATTTTAATAGATAAAAGAAAAAGAAGAAATTTTACAGCAATAGTTTAACTAGAATAGACAGCTATTTCGTAAATTTTATTATTTTTGTTAAAATTGACTAAGCTTTGTTGATTCTTTCAATTTAAGCATAAAGATTACCACAAATATCGAATATTAGAGCCAATTACTATAAGTAGCAAAAAGATATATTTAAACCTCTGAAATAAATTGAGTAATTTTTTAGCAATTAAATTTATTGATATTTATGTGATAAATGTCTTTTCAGGATTAAAGAGCTGTATTAGCAGATGAAAGAAAAGTAAAAGGCAACAGATGTTTCAGAGTTTATGGAAAAAAGAGCATTTGACTAAGTAAGCTTTTTATGACTGAATGAATATACTTTTAAATTTATTTTTTATTTTGTAAACGAAAGTTAGAAGAAAATTATTACAAAACTTACTACGAATGGTTAATAAACCAGCCTCAAACAGAGGATTAGAGAGCATATTTGTAAGAGTTATTTGTAGAATGCTTTGAGCTGACTTCTACCTTGAATAGTAATTTTATTTATTTTAATTCAAACCTTTGCAAGAAAATAAAATAAATTAATAGATTAGCCTGAAAGCCTAGATAAACCTCTTATCTGGCACACCCTTGCATTTACTGAGAATGAAAAGAAATATGTTGATGAATGGATGAGAAAGAAAAATCTTATCAAAAATAATAAATATGGATTCTTGGAAGATGATTAAGAATTTGAAGCTGATGAAATACTTAGAAAGACAGAAAAATTCTTTGATACAGATTTATTTTTATAATAAGATTATAATGAGGAATAATATTCAGATGATGAAAAAGGAAATTTAAAGAAAATCTTAGAGAGGAAAGAACCTTATAATGAAGATACCTTATATAATTATGATAATGAAATAAAAGAACTTGAAGAAAATTAGAATGAAGTTTAGAAGTGAAAAAGTTATATTAAATATCTTTAATCATTATTATGTTTTTATCAAATAGAGTAAATGAAAAAATTCATTTTGATTTAATAAATTATAACCACTCTTACTTAACAAATTATAACATGTTAAAATTTAAAAGTATTAATTATGAGTAAAATATGATGTAAAATTAAATTTATATTTTTCCTTTGTTATGTAAATAAAAATGTTATTTGTTCTCTCTTAATTAGAAAAAATAATTAATCTATCAAAATTTTATAAAATTTAAAAGTACAAACAAACAATCAAACAAAAATTATGAATAGAATAATTAAATATGAAAATTAAATGTGTAATTAAAAAAAATTTTTTTTTTTGGGTGTTAATAATCTATGAAAATTAAAAAGTATTAATATACAAACAACTATAAGTATGATTTTGCTGAAATAGTTAAATTTATTTTTCTTCCTTTATTATGTAAATAAAAACGCTTTTTTTTTCTATAAATAATCTATGGACATTAATAAGTATTAGCAAATAAGTAAGAGTAAAATATAATTAATTAATTAATGATTACATTGAAATAGTTAAATTTATATTCTTCCTTAATTGTGTAAATTAAAACGCTTTTTTTTATAAATAATCTATGAAAATTAAAAAAATAAAACAAATATAGTATGAGTAAAATATTATTAATAGTTAGGATGTTAAAAAATATTTATCCTTTCCTTGCAATCAATGCAAATAATAATATTTTTTTTACTTTTTATTGAGAAATAGTAGAATCTAAATTTAAAAGTAATATTGATAAATGAGGTTATAAGTAAA